TGAGAATTGTTGCCAAGTATCAACTCTATCTGGCTCATGACAGGCATGACGGATCAATAGGAGCTTTTCCTCCCTCCTCGCTGTCAAAGTTGAAGCATGAGCGACAGGCCTCAAGGCATAGCTGTTTCCGACGGCAAGGCGGCTGCAAAAGAGAGATTGAATCCGATAATGCATACCATATGGCCGGTATTTGTCACATCATATGGAATTTCAAGTCTCCTGCCAAGGCTGCCAGAAGGTTCTGTCTGTGCTGTGCTCTTTGAACGGATCGACACTGGCAATCAAAGCATGTCCTTCGTTTTTATCACTATTCTCCTGTTTTCCCTAGTCAATACTTCGTTCGCATCGCATCAATATACTCCCTTTAGACATACTGTTCCATTTCGAGCCCATGGCCTTCCGTTACATTACAGGACAGGGTAACACAGTTATGCTGACTTCGATGGCACTTCCACGCTTGAAAATTTGCGAAGTGGATTCTAGGCTCGTACACCAGGTGTTGAATCAAGGTTGGAGATCTATACAGTCGTCCCGTTCCATTCCCTAAACTGCAAATAATTGGTACCCATGACATGTCATAATCAATATCCTTCCTGTTCCTCAGAAGGCCCAGTACCAGACCCTGGCTCACTCACCGACCTCTCCTCCACACTGAAGGCCCCACCATAGAAACGACCCCACAGTTAGTTTTGTAGTGGGGTCCCTCAATCTAGATACAGATCTCCATCCATCTCAAGAACAGGCAAAAGTTTGCTGTGTACACCCGATGATCTTTACCACTGCAGCATCGGATCTGCCATCTTTCATCTTCCTGCCTGATGGGTTCTCGAACCCAACTCAACCATGTACAATTCGGCCATTCCTGCTTCTTCAAGACACAGCAGGAAGAAGGTTGCAAGGAAAGGTTGGCAACCCCCACCGAGCCAATATCGAACCACAATAATTGCTCATCTATTACCAAGATTTGGCTCCCATGCTCGACGTATCAATACTCCGAATATCTTATGGTCGTTTCGGCAGGGATGCTTACCATTCTGTGCGAGAACGCCCTTCCACAATTACCGGTTGCCAGCATGCAACACGGACATAATCATCTCGACGTCGTTTGCCGCCCCCGGTGAGAAGGAGGAACTGCAAATGGGACCCGAAAGTCGACGACGATGACGTGCCCAGTTCGGTTCCCTCCCGCGACACAGACATCGATGTACAACGGAATTGTGTGTTTCGCGGCCGAAAATAGCTCAGTCAGTTGTGCCAAATGAGGGGAAGAGAAACAAACAGGAGCTCGGTCTAGGGCAGAGAAGAGTAGACTATTCACCGTTACCTCGTCAACGTCGCAGCCGGGTTGTAGCCAATCTCTTCCGGCCCTCACCAAGAGCTTCACGCCTCTGCGCCCAAAGTGATGAAAACCCGCCCTTTTGCGAGAGACGTTGCTATCCCATATGGTGGCTTGCTTCACGATGATCCTGCCTCGGCAGGGTGCTGGCATGGGTTCAGATCTCTTCTAGCCTCGGGGTAATTCTTTCCCTCCCTAAGAGGAGTGGCAGAGAACAGAGACCCCTCAAGCTACCGTCCCGTCTTGTGGCTTGCTGGCATCACGGGTCAGCACGAGTCGCGAACTGGGCTCTCTGGGTCAAGACCGGCGCTTATTTCTAAGACATTTCTGCAAGAGCACTCGTACTCGCATCTTTCTTTACCAAGTGGTCGGGAATGACACGATGAATTGTTCTATTCTTCGTCTTTTGTCTTTCAATAGTTTGTTCTGGACCATCACGGCATATTCTTTCCGGGACAGGGAGGAGATGAGATCCGCCCCCACGCGGACCCCGTGTATGTCGTCTCTTTTCGCTCACAAGTGCCGTCAAAAGGAAAGAGTATATTTCTTTTTTTCCGCCCAAAAAGACTCCAACGTTTTACGCTTCATGTACGTTCTCGTCACCTCCTTCATCTCCTTGCCTCGCTCACTCCGCTTTCCTTTTCGCCTCGCTTCGTTTATCTATGTGTTCTACCACGGACCCTTTATTTGCTTTTTATGCTTGCTTTCGTTGACGCTTGTCTGTTCCTCCCATTGGTAACGCACTAGATCGACGATCTGATCTCATCTTGGCATACGCCACTCCGTGCTCGCTTCTCGTGTGAGGCTGGAAAACTTCTCTTTTTGGTCGTATATTGCTTTTGCTTTCTGCAATCAATCTTCTCTCGTCACAATCGTCTCCTATCTCTTCCTCTCTCCCTCTCGGAAATAGTAGATACGTCCGGACGCGGTCGTAAAAGGAAGGAATAGGGTCCTTGATCGTACGACCGTTTTGAATCCTTTATGCATGCGAGTGCGGGCGAAACGGTTATCTGGGTCTTTTGCATCTGATAATAGCATGGACTTGAAGTCTAGAGCTTCAGATCAGGTCATATGGTTTGTTATGGGCAACCGAGCTTCTTTTTTCTGGGGCCAGCATAACATCTCATCCGTTCGCGGTACTGGATTCCGAAGACTATCTTGAGCCGAAAGAAACGTGCGCGAATGTATGTACCGCGGCTCCGATGTAGGACTTCAGGGACGATATCTCCCTGCGTTCACGGGATCGCTACTCATTCGACGACGGAAAAGAGATAGAAACACGGCATCATTCGTTCTGTGGCGGCTTCTATTATCTCTAGAACACGGCACCCACGGGATGTCGTGATAAGAAAACGACGCCTCTGGGTAACAAACAGCGTGGCAATATGCCATCGGTACAACCTTCCCATATGGCAGTCACGACGTTCCTCAATCCAGTTTCCCAGATTCTGGGTAGGATCGACATAGGAAATCAAGGAACAATATTCCGGTGAATGGCAAGTCCCGATCGTTATCTGTCCCGTCTTCCTTGGTGCACACGAGAAAGAGGGAATATATTATGTAGGAGGCTTTCTTTGCGTAACGTCGAGGCTGCGTTATCAGATATAGAGATGTCACTCGTGTCACCTCCTCCTCCATCTAGATACCCAAAGTGTCACAACGAATAAGCATCTCGCTGTTGCAAGCCCAGCGGAATCTCCCAGGTACCAAAGTCTCTTTCGTCTCGAACGCTGTTTCTGAAAGCCTTCTTCTCCGCCTCCTCCTTCTCCGCAAGCTCGATAGATCCAGACCCTTGTATCGCCGAACACATACATGCCAGACCAGACTTCTCAAGCCATGCGATCCAAATATTGAGATATTGCCCTCTGATTCAGCGGTCTGAGACACGACATGCACACGTCGGTACAATGGGTAGCACCGGCTTCCTATCGTGGAGATGATCGACGCTCCATTCAAGCTTTTTGCTCTCTCAATCGTGGTTTGTGTGTGTGTAATGGGCCATGTGCTTCCCAGATCTCATCGCATCTCATCTCATCGCTCGATCGCTCGATCGTTCGTTCGTTCCCGTCTCGCGGGTTCTTCCTCTCGCCAATGGGATGGTGCGAGAGACGTCCCGAGGGATCGGAATGCGGTGTCTTTTGGAAAGCTTGCATTGAAGATATCGATTCATGGAGGCGCTTTCGGAGGCGTAGATGCCGCGCCCCATAAAGGGTCGAGGTATGCTGTGTGGAGTGTCTGTTTGGAGCTGGAAGGATGCTTCCTGTTGACGAGGTATCCTTCTGCCTCTCTCTCTCTCTCTCCTTCTCTGGCGGTGATTGGAAGCGATTCGCGGCTCGACGATCTTTCAGTACTCGGTCAAGTCAAGTCAAGTCAAGTCGTTCCGCGGCCCGTTCCCAGATCACGGCGAGGGGACTGCCCGAGGCCGCCGAGTGGTTGGGTCTCAGCCCTCTCGATGGAGGGAGCGGCTGGATCGGTCTGGATTTAGAATGGAATGGAATCGGGGAAGCGAGCTGAGTTGAGCGGTGAGCAATGGGCGGGATGGAGATGGAGATCGAAGTCCGCGCTTTGCGTCTATTGTGCGGGTTTATTGTTTGTTTGTTGGGTGGATAGGCTTATTCATTCCTTGTGGTGAGACGCTCGAGATGCGTTCTGTTTTCTTTCGCAGTTGGGGGCTGGTTTATTGTGTCTCGATGTCTCGATGTCTTGACTGCTTATCTGTTGCTCTGAGTACATGCTGGTAGTGTTGTCTTGTCTTGTCTTTGCCGGACGTAGTGTTGTTTGTGGACTGGACTGGACTGAACTGAATTTCTCCATGTCTCTCTAAGTAACAATCAATGTCTCTTTCCTTTCTTTCCTTTGTCTTTATGCGCGTCTTCGGCTTTTGTGCTTTTGAGCAAGGAAGGAGCCCGTTATGGGGAAGAGGAGGGGCTGGGAGATGATGAGAGGATGAGAATGTTATGCGAGTCAGCGAGGTCTTGGGTTGGTTTTCTTTCTCGGGCCGAGTGGTGGGAGAGGGGATGGTTGGGAGAGAGAAGGGGGAAGAGGATCTCGACGTTGCGAGGTTCCGTGTTACGTCGCTAGTGTTGATGAGTGGGAAAGCTTTTCAAGTGGTGAGTATGTGGTAGACGTCATAGATAGAGTATATAAGGAGAAATGATGAGTAGAAGGGCTGGTGGGAAGTAGAGGGCACTTTCTCTCGCAATCTATCTCTTGACGTTTATCTATTGCCGTGCGTTTCCCATGTCGGAAGTGTAGAATTTGAATCCTCTCAGAAAAGCTATTGCGCAGGATACTGAAACTGATAGAAAGAGAAAGACCACAAAGTGTAAAACTGATGTCTTTTTCATGCCCGTCTCCAAAGTTGAGTGAAGGGTTGTTGTAGCCATGTTTGCTGCGATTTCGATCTTCCGGGTCTCTTCCTGTTTCCAGAAATCTATCCACGGTGTTATCATGTGGGAGTTCTTTCCAGATGTTTTGATTGCTGGATACTTGGCGGATTATCCAGTAACTTTTCCTTCACTTCACGACAAGAACAAGATCTTAAGATTCGTTACTCTGACTCAAGTTTCAGTTCTTTCCACACCCCAAAACTTGCCGAGAGATTTCTGAATGACCCCTTCAGACTGACTCGTTCATCCTCTCTGCTTCATCTCTAACATGTCATCTATTCCTTGCCCTCTTCCTCCTTCAGTTCTGCCTCTGCCTTTACTTCAGGCACCTCCTGTATCTCAACCTTCTCAAAACCATCAGTGCTATCAAGACCATCACCACCAAGTGATTCATTCTCGTCACATCCCTCCTCCTCCGAGCTTTCTCCCTCCTCATCTTCATCCTCGTCCTTCTCATCAATAGTACAGTTGACCACCTTCGTACCGATAATTGCACAGGCACCCTTGATTCTACAATCAATAAGGGTGGAGTGAATTACTGAGCAATTTACCAGAACGCAGTCAGCGAGGGTACAGTGGCTGATCCTACTGATGTGGCACCTTGCTCCCTTCAAGAAACATGTTTCGATCTTGCTTTCGTGGAAGAAGTTAATGTAGTCATCGAGATCGGCGGTGGAGTTTGTTTCGGACATGTTGCGTTTCTGAAGCTTGGCTTCGCGGGAGGGGGGGCTGTTGAGATTGTTGATGAGTGGAGGGGATGAAATCAGGATGGGGGTTGGGCAATAAGTAGCCGGATGATCCAAAGTTACAAAGAGTGGTGGATGACATTTCTTCTACTTTCTGGATCGTACTCGTTTTATTTATTCATGCATCAGGTAAAGGCTCAGATCAAGTGCATCTTCCTTCGTTTCTTACGTCTGTCTCAAAGAAATAGAAATGTAAGGCGCTTTGCGATGATAATCTTTGCCTCTGCTTGGTCTTCTTACCGTAAAGCTCCCTTCGTCCTTGCTCCTCTTTGCAGCTGTATCTGATTCTTTTCTCACTGAGTATGGCCAGAAGCATCAATACCAAGAAGAACAACCGAGTAATATCTTTATGCGTCTCTCATATCGTAATTCCCATGAAAGCATCGTATCACTCAACTGAGATTACACTGATCTCCGTCTCAGCTTTGATCTTCTTCAACAGGAGGATTGACGCCTTTGATAGGCGTGCTGGATTTCGCTCGTGTGTTAGAGACTTGAAAAGATCATTTCTTGACTAAAACCAATCATCAACGGGATGCCAGTGAAATTCTCTTCAAGTTCTGCGTCCTTGAAGCTCCTTTGGTGAAAACACAACTACCTCGTACCCGCGCAAGCGCCATGGAGTTGAAACAGTCTTCTTAAATGACTAGGTAACCATATCAAGATCATCTTATGGTGTCCTCCGACGACGTCAATTTGTGATTGACTGCAAATATTCTGGAAATCCTCGCAACAGGCTACGTCGTAAGCGATTGCCCCTGAATCTGCCCCTGAAACCGAGCCCCACTTTCTCGCTTAGGAAAATGTGCATACATGATTCTCCTTTACAGTAGGTACGCACGCCTTGTCTTCGAAAGATAAATACAGACCAAGTTCCATATCAAAGACTGCGGACAGCGCAGGAGAGTGTCCAATTAGACATTTATATGCGAATGATGTCGTCATTCGGTGTCATCTGCAATTTAAGTTTGCCACTTCATTCGAGCAACTCTTGTGGCGGTCTTCAAGTCTATATTGTGCGGATGGCATATTTGTGTTCTTCTGTCCTAAGTTTGTCCTAGGACATTAATGCTGAAGGAATGCATGCCGGGAAGGGTGAAGCACAACATAAAGAGGATATCTTTTATGATGTTTGTTGTACATACCGAGGGTTTTACCTTTTGGTGGAGATTTTCAGGACTCTGTTGTTTCTACCGCCTGGCACTTACTATTCCACCTGGGCCGAAAATTTACACAACGCTGTTTGAGATATTGTGACACCTTCATGAACAGGCGTAGGACGAGCCGATATATGTAGCAATGAAAAAGTCAAATCAAAATGAAGGAAACTCTCATTGAGGGTTGGCGCGATGACCATTCGAAAACGAGGCCGTATCAGAGTGAAGCAGCTATACCCTCGAACAGTTTTGAAACGTAATATGGGGGGCAAAATATTTGGCTCAGCGCATCGGCCCGTCACTAACGAAAGAGCTGATGACGAGTGTAACCTTCACCTTAAAAAACCTTAGTGCACCAAGTGAATTTGTAACTAGAAACTTACCACACGTCATGTGTTTAATTTGCAATAGTGTGCATATATTTTGCATTTTAAATCCTTCTCTCTCTCATCCCTGTCTTCTTCGTATACATTTTAGAAGACCAAGACTTCTCTCGCACAATAATCATGGCCGACAATACCCACAAAAAGATCAGAAATGTACGAAAACGCTTGCAAGGATGTCGATTCTGGGTCAAAGGATGGATGACAAGTAGGGAGGCATCCGCGAATAAGGTTCAAACCTTGGATTTGAGTGCAAAGAAGTGTTCGTTATACCTCGTCGATGAGGTACAACGGCTGCACAACGATTTCGAGTCCATGTACACCCTTTGGAAAGAACTTCAAGTTCCAGAAGACTTTGAGCGGGACAGGGAGGTAGCAGTTGAATACCTCGAATCCCGTGCTCGAAGAAACGCTGTGGTAATGGCTCTTAATGAGCTGATACGAACCCACAATGGTGCCTCCGAATTGAAACGAGCGCTTGACGATGCTATCCGGTCCTCGAGAGGGGCAACAAAGCCCAAGGACAAAGACGAGATGGCCATTTTTAATAATGCAAAGACGACTTCGATCAGCCTTCGTGCCTCTCTTGATCTTGCTTTTCGTTTATGCGAGGAGGCAAGAGACTTATTTCTCGATAAGGAAAAAATTCTTCGAAGACAATATGTGGAGTTCTATCAACGATACGTTCATCCTACGTGGAGTATACATCGCATCAGTATGCTTTTATACAAGGAGTGCGATTGTGAGGATTGTGGGAAGGAGAGCTGGTGGCGTGTAGCTTTTAATGGTCTGTAACATCAGCCGGGTCACTTTGGAGGACGATGATTGTATTCTGGAGGGGGTATGATATATCACTGCAGTCATTTAATTTTCGAATCGAAGACGTTTTGCGTCATCATTCCAATTGTTGCACAATATCTTTGGGACCGATCGGGTTGAGCTAGGCTAGTCTACCCCATCGAGCGCGGACCAAAACTCCACCTTAAAACTAAACATCAAACACTTACGATTTAAGGGTGTCCTTCTATCATTTGAAGTATGTATATTATGCTTTGATGTGGTTTTGGAAATGGTAAATAACTTACATTTGTCAAGTGTTTCTGGCCCTATTCTAGCTCGCAATGGGCCCACTCCATATCTCCAATTTGAAAAGTCACAAGAACATGGAATATCCAGGTATCTTTAGTCTAAAACACAGCTCCGGGCTCTCGATTCGAGTTCGGAATTGAAGAACTTAAAGTCAGAGGAGACTTGTCGACCGAGTAGCATCGTCACGTGCTGAATTCTTACAAGCCACACTAGCTGCTTCCTGCATCTAACCTCAGCTGGTAATCTGCACTACAGATTGAATCATCGGAAAGTTTATTTCACAGGTATAGGTCGTTTGACCGTGAAATTTCGTCTTTCGTTAAGGTCGGTAGTCGTGAGCCAGAATCAAGCTGGAAGTAGCCGAAAATAGACACTGCTAAGCCTCGTCTCAAAATTCTGCAAGAGCCTTTTCTCTCACACCATCACAACGATCCATTTCCTTCAGTTGAGACAAGTGGCTCAGCAAATTGCAAGGTCGTGAGGCTCTAGATTTTCTTCCTTCACTATGTCCAATCCTTACTGCCTTTTTCAGCCCGACGTGATTGCTTTTGTCGATGCTGTATTCGGTGAGCGTTTTTGGGCGAGGCTCTCTGTTTTCTCGGCGCATTTGACCTTTTTAAAATTGAATATGTGGCGCAAATCCACTATTGTACTGTCTATCTTACTATTTATCTCGAAAGAGAAAGTTGTGGAGGGCGTCTGCACCCCACCCACGTCAACTCCGAATAAATATACAGGCAGTGTAGCATTCGTCCCACCTCACGCCTGATAAGGCGTTTACTTTAGAAATCCCAAACCCGTGCCACTGGGCTGCTTTATTAAGGTTATTCTGAAATTAGATCCACCTTTCTGCTCTGGCCCAATCGCTTAGTTTCAGGGGGGAGCGACAGCCTTGCAAGAAGCGCAGCCCGCATGTGCGGTCACCCTCTCTGACACAAGTGTGTGTGGAAGAGCCTCAATGATAGGAAGGAATTGAGGCACGCGACTCGCAGTCTAAAAGAGCTGAGATGTAGACCAGAGGAAAGAAGATCTCAGGCTCTGTTGCTGAGAAGACAACTGCACGCAGTCGCCCAGAAAAGCAGCAGGCGCACGAGCATAGCCCCCAAAATTCGAGAGCTCTCCTTGCTAAGTGGTGACTGCGAGTATTGAATGCCCGGCTAATGTTTGGATCGCGGTCAAGAGTCCAAGTTTGGAACAAGGAGCCGTTCAGATTTGGCCCCCATGCCATGGGTATGGAGCAATCGAGAACATTGAAACATTCCATTGGAGAGTGTGGTTACACTCAAGGCACTGAAGGAAATTAATCCAATGCAACCTTATTGATGACTGTGCAAGCTTGTAAAGAAGCTTATATGTAAAGAGAGAGAGCCAAGCCTATATCTCTCACCCTAAACCTCCTGTTCCTCATCATCCTTCCAACATCTACGTTCGCAGTACTGCATGATACACTCTTTGACACAATGGCGATCTCAGACTACCACACATGGATTGGTCTCGAACTGACAACGACCTTCGACGCCTCTGCTGTGCGAAACGTCGTTACGACCCTGTTCCTGATTTTGAACTTCCTCATAGCCTTCACAGGCGAGCGTCTGATTATGCGACATGGCCAACGAAAACTGCTCAACAAGAAAACCGTTCGTGTTACCGATCTCTCGCCGTTTTTGCCAGTCATCTCCGTATTGAAAACCTCATGGGCATTAAAGCGACTACCCGGGGGACTCTTTGGCCTCCTCATGATCGCGAGTGGATTGTTCGGGTTGTCGGGTCGTTTCTTGGTCAACTCTTTCATCGATGGTGAACTTGTGGCTCTTAATTGCACCTTTACTGAAGGAGTCGTGACAACAGAAAGAATTGGCAGCAGTCCCGGCTACTTTACTCCGTCAGCGGCATGGGCAGCAACGGCTTTGGTTCGAAGAGCTCAACAAGCGGCCGCCGAGAACAGTTACACTGCCCCCAATGGTACTTGCAGCACTGGTGTCTACTCCAAGGTCCATAACAATGTCACCATCTTCTGTCCCACAGACCAAGATGTGCTTGGAAACTGGAACTGCGTAGCACACCCTCCATCAATCGTCACGCCCTTGGACCGAACCAACGACTCCACGATATCGAACTTTGCCAGCTCATCAACGTTTTTATACAGTGCCCAACAAAACGAGGCGGGCAGACAAGGTCCCGATGGAGGTTACTCTGACTTAATGGCCTGGAGCGCCAACGATACCCTCACCTCTCTCTCCACCCTCAGTATCAGGATCTCCATGGCCGCAGGCTTAGACGCCACTCAATCTGTCAACACAAGTAACTACCAATGCGAACTCGACATCACGAACCCCACTTGGTCTCCAAGCGGCATCGACACCTCCTGGGTCATCAAAGAATGGGCCGACACAATGCTCGGCTCACTCCTCGATATGGATCCGTACTACTACTCCTTCGAAATGTCGCTCGTTCTCAACGCCGTCACGATGGTTTCCGGATCAGCGAACTCCCTGTCTTGGCAACTGTCCGACGCTATCGACTCGGGCGCAGGTTCGACTTTTGGGTGTATGGATTATCGAACCGTGGCGCATCCGCAGGTTTTCGCTATTATTTTGGTGCTGATTTTGATTACGGTTGTGCTGGGAGCGGTAAATCTGCTGGAGATGTTATGGAATAGGAAGAGTGAGTTTCAGAAGGTGGTAGGGAGTCTGCCGATTAGTTTGTTGGAGTGGCAGTTGGCATTAACCAAGAAGATGGTTAATGATGATGCGGTGCAAGAGAGGGATTTGAAGGCGTGTGTTTATGAGTTTGATGAGAGGGAGAGGGTGGTGAAGTGTACGCGGGCGGAGAATGTTGGGAAGAAGGTTTGTGCCCCTGTTGATGAATCTTAGGTTGAGGATTTGCTGACGTTTGATGATAGCGCGCGAAGGTTTATGAGAAGGTGGAGATGGTGAATGGTGATAAGATCGAGGAGAAGAACGGTAATTCGTGTACTTATGTTTGGAATGCGGAGTATAAGACGGTTGAGTGTCGGAAGAGGAGTAGCGATGAGGCTGTGACTAGCTACTCCGACCTCAGCATTCCGAAACGCAACACGATTGTGACTTCGACACCGATGTAAGAATAGGTTGCCGGGAGTATAAATCGTCCTTTCCTTGGATGGAATTGGTAATGAGGTTCGATATCGGTATGGAAATAATGGCTTTGTATTACTATGTTCGGAGTGGAGGGTCGGGAAGAGGGCGTTCGGTACGGTGCAGTACCTTTTCAGATAGATTCTTTGGTTTAATTTCGAAATAAGACCTTATCATTTTGTAACCAAAGCATGATTTATGACGGAAAGAAGGGACGTCAGCGGGAATGGTGAATTGATGAGCCATGTGCGAGACATCCACACTACATGATGCTCTTCATGAAAAGAAATAAACATGTATACGAATATAGCAAGAAGGTGAAGATGAAGCGCTCCCAGCGCCAATTGCACGTTCTACGCATTTTGCGCTCTCAGCGTTACGATCCTGCCTGTGATTAAACAAGAATTCGGACCCTTGAGGTAATGAGACTTCACTATTGCTGAGGAAACATATCCCATGAATATTGACTCTCTTGTGCTCTTCTAATCGTCTAACCAGCTATTGTGAATTATGATCACACTTTGCTATGATATGAAGCAAGTTGGGTTTGTCATTTGACCTTGCATCGTACAACCAGTTGGCGTGTAAATATTCAACAGAATATCATCTTCAAGTTATAAAGTGGAGTAACGACTCCAGCAATCGAATCAATCGTAAAAAATCATTAACCAATTGGTTCCGAGGGTCGTGAAGGGATCAGGAAGCATTCTGGATGCCGAATTAGGAAGTGTTGCGGCGCTAGTCTCAGAACAGTAATCGATTCGCAAAATTGCTGTGCTGACGAGGGGGCTTAGACAGAGGAACTACGAGGGAAGATGGTATAAGAATGCACTGTTTTTCACTGGAAAATGAAAGATTCTCAACACATTCAAATCACACAAATATTATTGTGCAACAAAGATCTTCTTGAAAATTCAAGCAGCCATGGACTCAAAGACCATTTTCGATGAGCCACCACCATACGAGCCTCGTGATTCTCGAGAACAAGCAAACGCATCAAGTTCCTCTTCAGATGCAAGACCACAGAACTATCAAACAAACAATTCTGCCCAGAGAAACGAACCTTCAATGTCGAGACAAGAGCCTAGGTCGTTCGACGACTTCCGTCGCGATCCTCGAGACCAAGCATACAACCAGAGCTATAACTCAGACCCAAGGTATCAAAATTATCCGGACGACTACATTCGGAGGGGCGAGCCTGCCATGGGCAGACCAGATCCTAGGTTAAATAACGGCTATCGTGATCCTCGAGATCAAGCATACGGACCTAGCTATAATCCAGATCCGAGATCTCAGTATTATCAAACCGGCAACTACGTCGAGCCTCCGATGGGGAGAAGAGATTTCGGTGGATTCGGAGGCATGCGGGATACAAGGAGAGGAGATATGTATGATGGTGATGATGATTATAGCTATGGAAGAGGTCGACACGGTCGTCGTGGTAGACGAGAAGGAGGAAGAAGAAGAAGGGGCGGTGGACTGATCGGTCTCGTTGGGAATTTGATAGAGGGCGCAACGAAGAAGTGAGTGGGCGACTTTGGGAAAAGGGGATTTAAGCAGTGTGTGAAATCATAACTGATGCTATTTGCGATACTCAGAGCGCTTTGTATTAGATTAATGACAGCTATGACAACGGAAAGCAAACACTTTCATCACACAAAAACGAATTTATGAAGACGCAGAGCGGGCCAGGAAGTCACGAAGAACAATAGATAGTTCTGAGCAAGAAGGTTGATCGGGTGAAATTCTTGCAATGCATGTCCACAATAGTCTCTTGTTCTTGTTGTGTTTCGCAAAAGATCCGATAAAAAGAAGCTCGGGATGGCCGCAACCCCTAATGGAGAGCTCCGCGCCACATAGCCACAGCCTTAGAGACAGGCTTAACGGGATTTGAAATTTCAAGGAGATGAAACTGACACATTAAAAAACTGAACAATTAAACAAGTAATAGAATAAAATACATGAACTGCGTCGCCCCTCCAAATATATGAGAATCAACCTCAACTTGTGGTGAGGCGGTCAAAGGATACGTCAAAGGATACCGGCATGATCGATGCCGGGTACCAATGAGGCTGACTGAAGCAGACCAATGATGAGTGAGGCTGACGGCGCAATGCTTTGACGTAGCATTGCAGGACTCAAGGACATACCGAGTAAGAACTTGCTGCCCAAATCATTGTGCACAGGCTCTATTGGTGTTTGGTCAGCTGAGGCTTGGTTTGCATCAGAGGGTTTCAACTAGCGATAGCTAGAATATGTTGGGTCGAAAGGCACAACACACAGGAGGATAGAAATAGGCTTGGGTTCTCCTAATGACAGCGGAACAATTTGTTGTACATGTTTTCAGGAATTTGTTCGGAAAGGCCTTTGTTATGTAGGCGCACCGAGGTAGCAAAGCAATGGACCTTGAGGAGTTCGGCTTCGCCCCCACATGCGGACACAGCCCTTCATGGCCTTAACCGGTTGAGAAAAGCCTAGCCGATCAAAGAAGCACCTCCCTGCCTGAGCGTGATGAATTGATAAGATCGACCTGGTTTTGATCAAAGATGTTGGCCAAGTAATCGAGAAGAGGTCCTTCTTCTCACATTGTCTTGTCATGACCGTGAATTTCTGTAGAAGGACGTGATAATTTGGTGGCCTTGTTGGGTGTTATCGTAGCCTCTTGCGCCTTTTCATTTTCTTCTGTCATCAAATCCATTTCGGGCATAGCGCCTCACGTGCCGGTCGGTCAGCCTTTCTCGCAGTCGAGATCGGGAGCCTCGCAGAGCCAGTTCAGAGCAGCCTTGCAAAACCCATCCTTTCCCTTCCATCGTCAACAACACCACCCACTCATCAATCATCGTAATATCATCGTCATCGAACCTTGCGACGTCCGTTGTCTATCGAGCGACTCCAATTACTCAAAGGTGCCACTGATTGCGTCGGCCTTGCGACACCATGGAGCCTTCTAACAAGAAACGTCGTCTCGCACCAAAACTCGCGGAAAAGCCTCTTCATGAACAGGTAAGAACTAGTGCGCGTCCGTATAGACTGCGTATTGACACGATTAGGATGTACAGTCCCAACAGGTTCCCTACAACAATTACAAACCTCTGCCGCCCGTACAAGATGCAGCGCCTCCTCCCGAGCGCACCGATTTCGAGTCCTTCGCTCGTCATCTGCAAGATGCGGCAATGCTCATCTATGCACAAGCCAATCGATCTCCATATACTGCCGTCTCAGTTCTACTGGTACGATGGGAAGATGATATGACCTTCGAACAAGATCTTTTGCTTCTGCAACAAGTATTTCGCGAGCGCTTCCACTATCGAACTGAGACCTACACAATCCCTACCTGCCCAAACCCAAGCATGAAATTGACAGTCCAAATGGCTCAACATCTTGAATTTTCAAGACCAGACCATCTCTGGGTTGTATACTATGCAGGTTACGGCTTCGTAGGCTCGGATCATAATTTATACTGGGCATGGTATGATTGTTATTCTGCCAGCCTTACGGTACATACTGATATTACAATAGTCATAACCGAGAAGATTCATGCAAACTCAAGTGGGATGGCGTAAGATGTCTCATCGAAGATGCTCAGTCGGATATTCTACTATTGCTCGACACCTGTGCCGTCGCCGACTCTCCAAGTGCTGGAAGTCATGGAGTCAAGCAGGCAATTGCAGCATACAGTCCTGATCAATCCGCTCGAGAGCCCGGTGGTCGTTCCTTTACCCAGAATCTCATTGAAGCACTTGGAAAGCTCGGCACTGGTCGTCCCTTCAGCATACAACGACTTCACGAAGAGATCATATCTATGAAGCATAATGTGTTCTTGCAGCCTCCCATGGCAAATGGTTCTGGCAAGGCTGGAGCTGGTCATGAGAGAATGCCTGTATGCTTTTCTCTAACACCCGGTGCTCTTCAAAGTATCAGTCTTGCCCCCATTGGCCAACAACCACCCGGAGGTTCACATATGGTTTCACCTCTAGGATCTCCTGAGAATGACATATCGAGAAATCACGAGCAAGCTCAGATGATGAGAGTCAGCTCCAATTCTGATCTGACCTTTGAGGAGATGAGAGCTCTCGTCTGCACTACCTTTCTCGGCGAACCAAGTCAAGAGATGGCCTCTTTCAAGCAGTGGCTCCATAACACTCCTGTTGCCGCATCGAAGATTGCAGTCGAAGGCATGTTTCACGGCCCACCAACAGTTCTCTTGGTATCAATGCCAATCGCAGTATGGAATGTTGTCGCCGCTGATCGTACTTGTGCTTTCCTGGGTTACATTAACTCGCACAACATGACTACAGAGTACCAGCGATTGATTAGCGGTATCGCCCCAATCGGCAAGGCCGCAACATTCAAGGAATTAGAGGACGGAAAGATTCTCCTTGAAGCTCGTCAAGCTGCCGCCTCAACACCAGTCATGATTCGGCACGAGCCTAGTCGTGGTGAATCGATTCAGCAAGATTCAATGCGCCAAGAAATGGTCATGGGTACACCAAACTCGGTTCCTCAAGTAGTCTACCCGGAAGCCGGCCCCTCAAATATTCCCGAACACAAGGATGATCACCTCGAAGATTCTGTCGAGATGCACGAGGCTGCAGAACAATTGAAGGCACTTAGTCACGTCAGACACCTTAGCCATGATCACGCCAACAGTGAGCGGAACAATTCCCACATCGCTTCTGAGGATTCCCCTGGTTTACGAAGTGCTCGAGAGGAGTCTGTATCATCACAAGAAGCTGCGGACTCGGGTGTTGAGGATCCTATGTACAGCTCAGAGTACAACTCTCCCGCTTCGAGACCAAAGCCACGAAGATCCATACAGAAGCAAGGTCCCAAGCAAGATACCCGATGTTCGCTATGTAGTCATGCACCATTCAAGGACTCATCCTCGTTGCGAAAGCACATTGCTGCTGCACATACTCGACCATTCCCTTGCGCCTTCTCTTTCGCAGGCTGCACAAGCACGTTCGGTTCTAAGAACGAGTGGAAGCGTCATATTGCCTCTCAACATCTCTGCCTGACGTACTATCGCTGTTCTTCGTGCCCACAAAGCACCGTCGAGGGTAAGGGTAATGAATTCAACCGCAAGGATCTGTTCACTCAACATCTTCGTCGCATGCATGCCCCGTTTGCTATCAAGAAGGCCATTGCCAAGGGTGACAGTAAGTTGCAACTCGAGTGGGAAGGACATGTTAAGGAGATGCAAAACACATGTCTTGTTGTTCGTCGTCAACCACCTCAACGATCCGCTTGCCCAAAGCCAGACTGCGCAAATGTCTTCGAGGGTGCTGGTAGTTGGGACGATTGGACTGAACATGTTGGCCGACACATGGAGAAGGGTGAGGCTGGCAGACTTGGTGTTGACAGGATGCTTGCTCGCTGGGCACTTGATGAGAAGATTATTGAGCGAAGAGAAGATGGCGAGTACAGACTCGTGGGAACAGAACGTGATGGTGCAGTTGGAGCAGGATACTACAGCGATGGAAACGGAGGGGTGAAGCCAAAACACGAGATTGAAGAGGCAAAAGGAGAAGGCGACAGTATGTTGCTCGACGGTTGATCTTCTTCACCATACCTTCTTTCTGCATGCGTTTACACACATAAGCATGCTCGGTTCTAGGGTTTGTTGAGGGACGGAGTACAAACAGCACTTTGACATTCATTTTCCTTTGTCCGTTTCGCCTAGGCGTTGGCGCCTGTCTTGGCTACTGTACATTGTCCAGCACTATTTCCCTTGTTTTGTCGGTTAAGTTTGATGGTGGACCAGAGATGGTGGAGGATGGATCTGGCGAAAAGCTAGATGAATATTCCTGCGAAGTGAACACAATGAACAACCTATGATTTTTACATGCCTCTTACGTGCCTACTTACTTTCTTTTGTCGTGCTAGTCATCTTTTCAAGGTTTCAAATTAGTTGACACCTTGAATTCGGATTAATAGCTCCGCCTTTCTTGCTTACGCTTCTGCTCTCCACCACTTCGTGTATCAGAGTTTGACATGCGTTGAGAGAGAGGCATGGTAATGTCCGAATGAGGAGTCTTTCCATATTGATGACTAAAGCGGGACAGAAATGGTGTGAGACGTATCTTACGCTGACGGCAGATGCTTCTTATTGGCGGGCTTCGATTAGAGGGCGGGCAAGTGTTGATGTAGCCTTGATCCGATATTGGATGAGCGAGGGAGAGAGGGAAGGGAGATGTAAAGAAAGGAACGTTTGAGAATTTTCCTGTGAAAAATTGTGCTCAATGATGAGAGCTAGCTTCCCTAAATTCGATTGTTGATGGAGTATCGGGATTTGGCTTGATTGGATATTTAGTATAGGTATCCGGCGACTTTGTATGGCGCCACAAAAGCCCTAACTAAGATTTCAAGGCCAATCATATCTTCTTGAAAAATGTGTTTCGGATTTTGGATTGTGTGCCACAAGATTTGCAGACTAACAAAGTCGGGGGTATACTAGAGGGAGGACTCAACATGAAGTTCGCAAGATCGGGGAGTATTTCGATGAGTGTGGGAGCTAACAACTCAGCTCGACTCTGAAACAATTTTCTGCCGATCGAAAAAACCTCATCATTGGATACGCCATAAGATGAACAGGACGATCGATAAAAATGAGCCGTTGAAGATATTTCTCTTGGCAGGGGAAAGATATGGTGGCAAAACGACTCGACTGGCTAGGAGCATTTCCTCCACTAAGCGACCACGAAGCGAACGGGAAGAAAAGAGGCGAATTCTCCCCCCTTTTTTGGAGACCCACATTATCGCCCATCTTAAGATGTTGACGAGACGAAAACGTGGCGAGCACATGTAAAGAGATCTAGACCGAGTAGTAGTGCTAGCTGAAGTCGCGAAGAGATGGTGTTTCAGAATCGGGTTCAGGGGACGGACCGATTGGCTTACAGTGGGCAATATAAGGCTTATATATTGGAGGGAATGTCCAAACGGGCCATCTGAAAGGTCGACTTCGGCACTTGGATCCAGATGAAGGATTTGAGATTATAGATGAACTGGTCCATGCATGAATGATCGGCCGAAATTGGACGTTGAACGGTCGGCCAACACGTGACAAGGATGCGAGCAAGTTTTTTTTCTTTCTTTTCTGCTGGATGAAGTTCTTGTGTTCCCGGACAATGACACACCTCTATCTACAACAATCCATGACCGCAGCATAATAATTACAACGCATCGCAAACAAATCAACCCACCTACTTCCGGACCTCCGTTGCGGCTGCTGACCCTTTCTAAGCTCTGCAGATACAGTAGACTCTTGTCAGAAGTATCGTGATCCAGGATGAGGAAATAGATAGGTAGGTTCCTTAGCATAGGGCCAAATTAAGGTTCTCATCGTCTTCCTTCCTGGCGCAGACATTGGTCCTGACCGCGAGAGAGCCTCGCTTGGCCACAGTCCACTGCCAACAATTAGGCACAGCCCGAGATTCCCTCGCACGTTATTAGAGGGAGACCGCATCTCCCACCCTGAAGCTTATTCCAGGCGAAGTCAGCTCAGTGGCCTCGCTACTGTCACTCACTCAACTCACCCCCAGCTCCGCCACTTCAGGAGCTGGAGAAGGACTCCCACCTCACCTCCCACGCACCGACCAGGATAGGATCTGAGGATCCGTCAGGGACCGATAGTTCGGGTGGCCAGTGGCCAGGCTCTCCTCCGTTCTTCTTTCGCTCTCACGCTGCTTTCTTTGTCAGTTTCATGTGCTTGCGTGCAGGATGCGGGAACGCTTGTGATGGGACGAAGCCTCTCTGCTCCAAGATTGGGGCTAAAAATAGGAGATTGTCTCCTTTGAAATCTGGACCGCGATTGTTGGAGGTTTACGACGGGCCAAATAAGGGACATGGTCTCTTGTAAGTTGGCGTTTCTGTTAGGGATAGCAAGGGATTTGGTTAGGGGGTCGTGGCTTTGTTTTATTTGATGTGGTGAAGGATGTTTACCTGTTTCTCTATGGCTATTTATTTGCTGCCCGTCAACTCGTTTATCCGCTGCTTCTTCCTTGCCCCTGACAACCTCCATCTACTTCGTCGGTGTATAAAGTTTGCTTGTTTCCCTTTCTCAAGTCGCACGAAGAGGTCTCTTTCTCCACGCTCAAGTCTTTCGTTGACAGAAAAAGTCTTCTTCTTCTTCTTCCTTACTTAATCCATAATAATCTTGTCCTTCACTCCCTCGAACAAGATGTTCTCGTCCTCCGTCCTCCCCCTCGCTTATTTAAGCGCAGCCCTCCTCTACACAACCACCACCCGCGCCATGGCCCCCGAGACAAACGCCGGCTTCAACATCATCTGGTCCGACGACTTCTCTTCCGGCTCCCTCGACATGACAAAATGGGACCGCTTCACCGCCGCCCCCTCTAACGGCGAACAAGAAACCTACCCCTCCTCCGGCAACAACTGCCAGTTGACATCCGCGCAAACCCTCCTCATCACCCCCGAGAACAGCGGCGGCGCCTGGACCTCCTGCCGCATCGAGTCCCTGCCCTCCTTCCAAGCCAAAGCCGGCGGCCAAATCATCGTGCAATCGCGCTTCAAGCTCGGCTCCCCCGGCGCCAACCTCCAGGGCATCTGGCCGGCATTCTGGTCTTTAGGAGAAGCAGTCCGCAACGGCGTCTCCTGGCCGGCTTGCGGCGAAATCGACACCTTTGAGAACATCGACGGCGGGGCCCTGGGCTACGGGACGCTGCACTGCGGCGCCGCGTGCAACGATCCCACGGGGTTAACCTCCGGAATCGCGTTCGATTACGGGACGTTCCATACCTGGGCGCACGCCATCGATCTCCGCAGCGGCGACTGGACCCAGCAGAGCATTACGTGGTATATGGATGGGCAGGCGTATCACGTTATCCATGGCTCTGATGTCGGGAATGCGGCGACGTGGACGGCGGTTGCGCAGAGCGGGATGTTCATCACGCTTAATGTGGCGGTCGGGGGAGGGTGGCCGGGAAATGCGGCGGGGAATACGGCGAGTGGGCAGGCGGCTGGGATGGAGGTGCAGTATGTGGCTGTTTATGAGAGTGCTTGAGTACTGTTGGAACTTTGCTTTTGGGATTTGGATGGAGTAACTGGTGTTTGTTAAAGATTTGGCAGGATTTGGAGGATTTGGAGGATTTGGGATACCAGGAGTTGGGTGTTTATATTGACAAGCACTAGACTCGCGTATCTCTTCATATACCGAAGATTTCACTCAAGTTAAAGAGTGAGAATTAAGTTACGTTATTGACATCTTAGGCACAAACATCGTGGTGGGTTTCAACCGCTGGCTGTGTGTCATGTGCTTGTTGGTAGTATTACAGTTACACAACATAGGGCATTAAAATATCCATTCACCGCCTTTCGCATCTTTTCTCCCGGGTTAAGTAGAGCATCGGTGAATTCGTTCCTATCAAATTTCATCACCTACTACTTTCTGTTTGCCTGATTTCAGTTGCAAAGCGTAGCCATGGGAATCGACGCCGGTTTCGATATGTATCCTCGTCTGTCTAAAGGAATCGTAGACAGACAGAACTGGGGACGATTTATCGACTTCATCAAAGAGCATTACAAAGATGACTCCCAGGTCGAGATAAAGCCAAATTACATCAACTTCAAAGCAGGGGAACATCCCAAGCTTCCCTTCGAGGGCCACAAATTTCTGCGTTTTAGCTCGAAGGTATCGGGGTCTACCGCAGCAGACACGAAGGTAGACAGCTATATCGACACTGTGACACGTATTGCACAGACATGCTTCGGCTCTCGTATCAAGTGCTGGCACGAGGGTGCCGATCAGATTGGTGCCTACGACTGGGTTGAAGTCCATGAATCACTCATGTCATATCAGCAGGTCGGTGGTGCCTCCCCCGATATAGTGTCTTTGCTCGATGAGCAATCTTTGACATCTCAGTTGCAGCCAGATGAACTTGAGACTCCGTCCAGTATTGCCCAGCTTCTTAGTGGCACCGATCCTATCGCAGAGTTGGGCATTGCGCCTTTCGAGATCAAGCACATCCTCGGAAAAGGTAAAGCTCTCGTTGCCCGTTTCAACATATCTAAAGGCACTCGAATCCTTTGTGAGAAGCCGCTTCTCACAGTTGGACCTATGCCTCCTGATGAGTTAGAGCGGTTTCTCGCGACAAAGTTGAAAGCCATGTCCAGAGAGTCACAGCGGCAGTTCCTGTCTCTTCATAACAACTTCCAGGCGAAGAACCCATTCAGCGGCATTTTCAAGACGAATGCTCTGCCATGCGGATCTGGGTCGCCCGTCGGCAGCGTTTACCCAACAGTGTGCTTAATCAACCACAGTTGCATGCCAAATGCTCACAATAACTGGAACAGCGCCAAGGAGCACGAAACCATCCACGCGATCCGATCGATCGAGAGAGGAGCTGAGATCACAATCTCGTACGACCATGGAGGGACGTCAAGCGAACGACAGGCATTCCTTAAAGAAAGCTTTGGTTTCTCCTGCACTTGTGGCTGTTGCACCCTCCCCCCTTCCTCACTCCAAGCTAGCGACAATCGGCGCACACAGATCCAGAATCTTGATGAAGCTATTGGAGATCCGTTTCGCATGATGAGCAACCCACAAGAGAGCTTGAGGGACTGCTACTCGCTGATTCAAGTCCTCGACCAAGAGTTCGATGCGTGTGCTGGCGCACTAGTTGCTAGGCTCTACTACGACGCCTTCCAGATCAGCATCGCGCATGGGGATCAGGCACGCGCGAGTATATTTGCAGATAGAGCTTATCAAGCTAGGGTGATCTGTGAAGGTGAGGATAGCCCCGAGACGCTGAGAGTGAAGTCTCTTGCGTTGAAACCAGCCGTTCATAGTAGCTTTGAAGCCTATTCTAGGAAGTGGAAGAGCGCGAGGGACTCGGTACCGAAGGCTCTGGATACGGTGGACTTTGACAAGTGGTTGTTCAGGCAGGAGAATTAAGCAAACAAGCCTCTCCTGTTAGTGTTATTCTGAAGATGTGCGGGCTTGTAATGAACTGCGCAATGGTGTTCGGGCTGCTGTCCGATCTTTTTTCTGTCCTTGAGAGCAGAATGACTGTTTCGCAAGTCAAACATGCTAGCACGACGTGCGATGCCCAATCGCCTATTAGTACAGGATCCCCTATTTCAATTTTCTGTGGATGTAAAACTGAGGCGCGTTGAAAAGCACTTGTGCTCGCCATCGTTATACCTTTATTCTGTCTCTTGGGTAGTGTTGCTTCTTATCGCCGCGCACGTCAGCGTCGTGCTATGGTGTCTCCATCTCAACGTCTTTGCCAAGTCATCGTTGTCTTGCGTGCTAATACCAGGCTTCTCTCGGCACCTTTACGGACAAGGTCATCCATAAGGTCCTTTTCGAATTCGTCGGCAATCTTGCAACAGGAGGAAATTCCCCTTGAAGGTTTTGGTTAAAAGTCGAAAAAATTTATTTTAATATAATTTATTTTTGATAAATTCCCAAAAAAAAAACCCCGTTAATAACGCGATAATAATTTAAAAACATTTAAAGAAAATATATAATATAATAAAAATAAAAATAAAATAATTTTTTAAAACGTTTATAAATTTTATATCATTTAAAGTCAAAGTACTTACGATTTGTTTTATTACAGGGGACTCCTCGGTACGCAAGATAGACGTTAAGTATCAACATTGTCAGGAAGAATGTAGACCAATGATGTGGATCGCATCAACTCCTGCTGTAATGTCGTCTCAAAGAGGAATCCAGCTTTGGCAGACTTCAGGAAATGCAAATGTATATCATATCGACAGACCATAGACACAGAGCACTGTGTTGCCTCAAATATCTATGATCCAGAAGAACACGGGATTCACGGCGGAGAAAGAATTTACTGTATAGATCTCTATCGAAAATCAGCGTCGCTCACTTCTTAATGAATCGCAAAAGGGATTTGCGAAGTCAAACTTGATGCCAGGCACTTCCCATGAGAGGGCAATCTTCTCGCCATAGTATAGCTAGAAAAAACAACGACCTGGTATCCTCAGAATCAGTTGCGTAATGCCATGCCATTTTGTATCGAGGTCAACGATTCATACAAATTGCATGAAAGCACGGAATACCATTTCCTAATATTTACACGTCCTGTCCTTCCTACCGTCATAAACATACTCAACGATTGAACCATGCTCATGGTTATGGTGCCATACTCCAAAAACAGTATGCTTACATGATGCGCACCCCATTAAAGGGCTGCTATATCTGAGTGAATATGCTTCCCGTTGAAACAAACATGTTCTGCCCCCGCGCAAGCATATAATAGCCATGTAGAGCAACTAAATCTTCTTCTTGAAGTCCTCCGCCCTCTTCGGGGTCCTCGAGTGATAGTCGTGCACTCTTGTAGCCCAGACGGGCAGCTTTTCCTTGTCGCTCATATCATCCTCACCATCGGGAAAAAGTCGATCACTTCTCCTACTAAGCTGTTGCACCATTTCCGTTGGAGTCGGTCTCTTGTTTACGTTTGATTCTGTTGCCTCCAGGATCGACTGTCGTAGGGGTTGAGAATAGTACGTTTTGATGACTTTGGGATTCCGCTGCAAACACCTGGCGTACCCAGCAACGGCAGGTGGAACGTCTGCTCGGTGTGTGTTGTCAACATGAGCAAATGCATCGCATTCGGCCAGATCGTACATGACAGTCCCCAAGGCCCAGAGATCTGATTTCACGGACGGTCTCTGGCCCCCAGGATACTTGCCTGAGAGCTGCTGGAATTGATTGGCATATGGATCGTAACATAACTCCGGAGCCCACCAGGTTGGCGTGCCAGAGATACCTCCATTCTTTTGGGAATAATCTTGATCTGGGTGTCCAGCTGGAAGGTCTTCGCATGCGAGACCAAAGTCGCTGAGAGTAACATAGCAGTACTTCCGGTTAGCAGAGGTTGTTCTTGATCTCAAGAGCACATTGTCGGGCTTGATATCTCGATGAAGAATGGATATCCATCCCTTTGCTTTTTTGTTAGGATCCTTGACAGCATCCTTCGTATAATGTAATCCACTCTGAAGGTACGCCAATGCATCACAGAGACCAATAAAGCAATGCCACAGAAATTTCTCAGGAAGATGTGGCTTATCCAGAAGACTCGCAGCGCGTTTTTCCTTGTATCTCTTCATGATATCTCCCAGGGAACCCAGATCGCAGAATTCCATCCAGACAGCGCACTTTGTCGGCGTTATGAATCCGTTGATATAGAACGTCAGAGCACCGTGTATAACGCGGTGCATGAGTTTAATCTCATTCTGGGCCATTTTGAAATTCGTCGCTCCTGTAAGAAACCTAATAGAACATCAGCAAGTTATAGATAGTCACGGATGAGTCTTCGGTTTGAAGTCAAGTTATACCTCTTTTCTACAAATAGAGTTGGTGCGCCTTTCAACCTTACAACGTACACGCCCCCATTCATTCCGCCAATTTCACCACCCGCGTCAATAGCGTGAAGATATTCATATGCATCAGAGATATCTTTTTGGCCGATTTCCGCTCTCCTGAAGTCCTGTATCTTGTCCCCTTTTACCAGCTTCCGTTTGAGGCCAATAACGTCGAAAATATTGTTTTGAGCTATGTCGTTAGATTTGTGGAATTTAGACACACTTGTATTATCCGCTTTAATGGATTCCGGACGAAGTCGAGGGTCTGCAACGTAGAATTTTCGGCTTCTCTTGTTAAAGTAGCGCGGTACTCTGCGTCCAGTCTTTGTCATTGTACACAATCTGACGGTCCAGTTCTTTGGTAGAGGACCCAGGTTCGGATGGGTTGTTGTGCTGACGCCTGTTTCTAGGTTGTAATACTCAATGTAATCACCACTTCTCTCCTTCTTCCAACGTATACCCCATGTCTGAGGCAACTTGGCGAATTCAGCAGGAAGTGCCTTTCTCCAGGCTTGCTGTTCTTCGAAATTGCTAGGCATTCTCAGGAAAAGCGTAATGTATTTGGTTGTGTTTGTAAGTGCACGAGTATAAAATTTCGTGTGAAGGAGGCGGGAGAGGACATGATTGTTCGACGATCATTCAGGTGCCACCAATGAATCATTTGGCTGACCCCTGGCTCTTCCGCACAGAATAGAACGACTGTGAATCACATCTTGCCACATGGGAATTAAGTCCAAACAATCAGATTCGTCAATCATCGCGTGAAACTCTTAAACTCGCATACATCTCGCCCGCATACATAGCTCACATAAATCTCGCTCGCATACATCATGGCCAATATGCAGCGACCAGTTCGGCAGCGCGGTGAGCTCTTCCGCCAGCGAGGCATCTTCTTGCCATCAATATCGACAACAGCGCCAATCAAGCGTCATCAACACATCTCTCAACAACTCGAATATTCACAAGACGAACGTCAACAAAACGAAGCCCAACAAGTAGCTCAAGAAACAAGACGAAGATCAAATCACACATCCAACGAACTCACGATGTCGGTACCCGAGTCGCGAGCTTCAAGCCTGGAACAATACCAGGAGTTTTTCAACAATCGCCTGCTGAGGCAATGTCTGGACCCAAGATACTTTGTTCCTGGGCCCTTTCTAAGGGAACTGGACGATAACGACCCATACGAATGTACGGGAGAGGCTTTGTACAAGAAGTTGTTCAAAGAAACCCGCTACAAAGTTTCGTACTTTGAGAAGGGTGGCAGGCGCCCGGCCCAGGTCACAGAGTTCTGGGATGGAGTCAGAGAATCTCTCCAGGATGGTGATTCTGAGCAGTACCAAGATTGGCCTCCAGAGGACGAAGAGCTTGTTCCAACAGAGCAAGCCAGAAAGCATAAGTATAAAGTTACGGCCAAAGGACCGACAAGGTGGAAGCCAAATGTCAGGGAAGATTGGAAGAAGAATGCCGAATATATGAAATATGTGAGAGGTTATTTGATGGAGAAGAAGAGAAGCGGGATATTAGGTCTGGACGCACGGACCACTCTGGGGCCCATGCTGTAACGGCAAGTTCCGTCCGCTCCTGCTGTTAACACATCTGCACCAGCACAAGCAGCGCTCCCCAAAGACTTCAAACGCTTCTACGAAAAATGGATCCCTTCTCTACGGAAGGAGAGTTGATGAACCTCCAAAATTACTTCTACCAAGGCCAATACCAAGAAGCCATCGATTTTGACACCGCCGGTCTGTCCCCTGAGAACAAGCTCCCTGCTCGAGTCCTCTCCCTCCGCGCGCAGATCGCCTTGGGCCAAGCAGAAGATGTTATCGCAGATGTACAAGGAGAGAAAGATGTAGAATTAGTTGCCGTTGGCGCGCTGGCAGAGCTTGCGGCAGGGAACGAGAGCAAGGCTTTGAAGATAGCGGAGAAATTGTCTACGGAGTCTGGGGATAATGGTGCTGTTCAAGTTCTGGCTGGTATAGTCTTACAGGCTGCTGGCAAAAGCGAGGAGGCGCTGGCTCTACTTTCGAATCACCAGGGAAATTGTGCGTATATTCATTACATTGTAATGACTGAAGCTGACCAGATCCACAGTGGAGGCTGTTGCGTTAATCGTCCAGATCCACCTCGAGCAGAATCGCACGGATCTTGCCATTAAAGAGGTTTCAGCTGCGCGAAGTTGGGCACAAGATAGTCTTCTTGTCAATCTGGCAGAGTCATGGGTTGGCATGAGAGTGGTACGCATAGGGATATACTTGGGCACGAGCAATTACTAACCAGCACGCAGGGTGGAGAGAGGTACCAACAAGGATTCTACGTCTTCGAAGAGCTTGCGCAGGCCCCTTCTACATCTTCGACACAAAGCCTTATCTCACAAGCTGTTGCCGAAATCCATCTTGGCAGATTAGATGAAGCTGAGGCCGCTCTTCAACAAGCATTGTCCAAAGAACCAAAGAACGCAGAAGCCATCGCCAATAGCCTTGTATTGAATATTATTGCAGGAAAGGATGCAAAGCAGTTGACAAGGTAGGTCCACCAGACTTCTGATCTGGAAGTCCATTAACGTTCTGTCCAGTGAACTTCAAAGCGTCGCACCAAACCACCACTTCCTCGTTGATCTCCAAGAAAAGTCGGAATTATTCGACAAAGCGGCTACCAAGTACTCGGCCAAAGTTACAGCATAATATCCGTTGATGGATCACATGGCGTATTGGGAGGGGCATAGTCTGTGCGATGCAATTAGGGGTACAAAATGGCAAAATCGAAGCATTTCATGACCGACCAATCACCTTCTCCAAGTGCAAGAGAATCCCACTTATGCTTTGCAGCGGCTCTTTCGGTCGGATTAAGCTAATGCTCCGGGAATCACAAAAGCCTCAGTATGCACATTGACATCACCGGCTGATTGCGCCGAGTAATTGAATGCAGACTCATTTACAGCCCCAATGTCTCCCTTTGAGGGTCTGAGGGTTCAAGTGAAGGAGCCGTGATGCATAGTGACGCCGATTTGCAGCAATGCTGACGGAATATAAGGCCTTCCCCACGATCCTTCCCAGGGTTTGAACAAGAAGCCATATCAAGATAGCCGCTGGGTAGACCTCTCACCGACAGACTGACGCGCGCCGACTTCCTCCAACGACCTTGTCGAATTTGGTTCAAGCATTTATCCCGCTTCCTCCTAACCTCGACTCGACTAGTCAGGTAACGTATCGCTAGAGTGAGCGACCTGCCAATGCATCATGAGTTTCAAGGGCAAGTAAGAAGCCGTCTTTCTCACCCGTGAGATGTTTACGAGGGACTTGAGGAAGCAGAGATATCGGCATCTCTGTTACACGAAAACGGCTCTCACGCTGCTTCATGACATCACCCACACGGGTATCAGCACCCTTCATGACTTTCGTCTCACAACAATCAACAGGCGAAATGAACTTCTTGATTCCATCGTGAGATTCTCCTGTTACCAACAGGAACATTTCTTGGCAGTCTCGTTTTTTCCCCTTATCGTCGTTCAACATCTTTGCACTGCCCCTCCACACCAAAGTGTTGTTGCCCCACTTCTAGCGAGCAGCACATGCCTGGACAAGGTCCTAAGCACACTTCCATCATAGTCTCTCCTGTCTAGCAAATTCTTCGGCCAACGACGGTGCGAGTAAGTGCTCACGGCATCCAATCACACAGCGTCAAAAATCTATACGGCAAAGATCAGCGCAGATGCTTGACACAAACTAGTCAAGTTCAGGTCCGATGGGAGTCGAGAATTCGATCCTCAAGCAGAGCCCGCATTATTTGCCCATGCAGGTGGGATGGGAATGCGGGCGTTGCATCCCCCACCACTGACCGCCAGCCAGTCCTGGAGCATGAAGTGTTTGGTACTACAGTACCCGTTATCATCGTGAACGAAGGGACGCCTCTGCCGTTGGCTGGACTTCAAGCACGTTTATGTAGTGTCCTTGTCATGGAGTCTGGAGAAGATAATAAAAGGCGTCTGACACCCTCTTGACAAGTTTTACTTCTTTCATATTTCCCAAGAACACAATACAACAAGAACGAACTCCTTCCATTTAGCAGTTCCAGTACACGTTTCCACTTTTGCATATCCACTTCGTCTCCATACATACAAACATCATCTGTTTGCCACCAGCGAGAATTTTATTTCAAGATGCCTGCTGCTATCACTCCTCCCGCGGTCCCTATGGCCAAAGATCTTACTGTTCCAAGAACGAGCATGATGCAGACTCAGAATAAAGAGATGTTGAATACCAAGCGGAAGATCATCTGTTTCTCAGGTACGTGCTGTTGATCATGTCGATCACTTCTCTCCTCCCACTTTCCTGAACAGGAAACCATTCCTCCCCTCCAAACCCTCACCGCACTGTGCTGCCTCAGCAAAAATGGCTGTTAACATCGATCCCAGATTTTGACGGCACGATCTTCATGCAAGACACCGGCCACATTCTCTTCGATGCCCACGGCTGCGGCTCCAAACGCCGCGAAGTCCTCGACGAGCAAATCAAAACCGGCGAGCGCTCGTTCCGCGAAGTCTCAGAAGAAATGTGGGGATCCCTCAACGTCCCCTTCGAAGACGGTTTCGAAGTCATGGAGCAAACACTCGAAATCGACCCCGACTTCCAGGAATTCCACAAATTCTGCATCGCGAACAAGATCCCATTTAACGTTATCAGCGCTGGTCTCAAGCCAATCTTGAGGAAGGTGCTGGATACGTTTTTGGGCGAGGAGGAGGCGAGTCATATTGATATCGTGGCGAACGATGCGGAGATCAAGGAGGATGGAAGTCAATGGAAGCCAGTCTGGCGCCATGACACGGAGCTGGGACACGACAAGGCGCTTTCGATCACGGAAGCGAGAGCCGCTGCTCACCTTGAGTGCGAGGATGGCACGATTCCGCTGATTGTGTTCATCGGTGATGGCGTCTCTGATCTTCCTGCTGCGCGACAGGCGGATGTCCTGTTTGCGAGGAGGGGATTGAGGCTCGAGGAGTATTGTGTCGAGAATAAGATCCCGTATATTGCGTTTGATACTTTTGCCGATATTCAGAGGGAGGTAAGCAAGATTATGGTGGAGGATGAGAAGAAGACGGCTGGGAAGGGTATGCCCGCCAGGTACAATCCCAGAGCCAATCTGTGGAGAAGGGTTTCCAGTCAGAACGCTGTAAGTGACGTTCTATTCTCGAGTCGTGATCGACAGCTAATTGGAAAACAGGTTCCGATGTATGTCGCTGCCACGCCATCAAAAGAGGAGAAGATGTTCTTGTGGCCCAACGCTTTCTCGGATTATCAACCCAAGCAGAAGATCACGGAAGGTGTTGCTGCTTAGACTTAATTTTTACTTCCGAATTGTCTTTTATACCAACCTTTTTTCTTTAGTCACTACTTGTTAGGTTGGCATTGCGGAGGCGTTTTGCTTTTTGCAGGAAAATACAATACTGTACCAGGCAACAATAGCAGGCAAAGGGATAAGGGAGTTTTCTTCATGGTTTATATTTCAGATGAGATGAGATGAGATAAGATCATAAACAGAACCTAGAGATAGATTATTAATGAAGTCAATGGTCTCTAAACTCAACGTTGTCTTCTTGAATGTGAGATCTGATCAAGTACAAGTACATGTAACAGAATGCCTCAGCCAAGGCATTATGGCCTCAACTCATCTCGCCAACTGTTCTAATAATATAATCGAGCCTACATTGCAATCAGTACGCCTTTCAGTAGCTGAACCTCGATGCACAGTACATGACAATTGTCGAGTTGCATTGTTTGCTCCGTACAGGCAGTAGGGAGACTGCAAAGAGTCTCGTGGCCATGTCGTCTCACAGCAATCGTTGCAAACACATACTGTGCCCAGACTCCCTGTCGCAATGTATCCAGAACACGAATGAACTAATTTGAAGCATCGCGAATATCCCTCGGATTTTACGATTACAATACGAAGACGGCACGAGGCATAAAGCAAACGATCGAAGCTAGACTCTCCGTGCTTCCGCCTTCCGTACGATATCCACAGCAGAAACCATAGAAAGTGATACGATCTGATCTAGGCAACCTAACTCTATCGTCCCGTATTTTCCGTCCGATAACTGCGCATTGCTGTATCCCTTTTTACGTTGTGGAGGAAGAGGCACAAGGTTGATATCCTCTCAGCCACACTGCAACAATCAACCAAAGAGGTCTTCTCTCCCTGTCTTGACCTCACAAATAGAAGAAGAAAAACAAGTCTCACTCTGCAACACCTTCCAATGTTGAACTGGACCGTTTATTAAAGGCTCAAGCTCTCTGTCTCAGTTCACTCCTTTCCCAGTCCCAAACCTAAGAAAACCCCGCACCGAGCCGAATCCCTGAGCAGCAGTGAGCTCAGCCAAGACCCCCGACCTCTGCTGCTTTGCTTTGCATTGCTTCAGTTCCCATTTCGCAATTGCATGCAGATCCAAGACCCAACCAACGAAACACTTCGACCCCGCCAAGCCCTCTCAGCCCTTTGCTTGGAGCTGAAAGCAGTTGCATTGCGAGCGCCAAAAAACCCAAGCTGTCCTCAAGAGTTGGAGTGAAGGAAGACCAGAAAACCTGCAGGTGGTGTCTTGCCAAGACAATACCACCTAACCTGCCTTACATACATACAGAAGGAACCGGGGATAAAGTATATTAGAAGGGCAACACCAACTCCTCCACCACCACCATGGTGCGTATCCCGCTTCCGAATCGACTCAAGTCCTATGGTGGAAATAGCAACAATCCCTCGCGGAGCACGAGTCCGAATCCTAATACGCACACAAATCACACTATGAAGAGGACAAATACGGGGGAGGGCCCTGACGCGGCGAAGATTACGGGGTTGATGCTCAAGGTTGTTTGTTTGAAGGTGAGGAGACCTGCTCTACACTTTGCTGAAGGGATGGACGGATGGCAGATTGAGAGATTAGTACGGAACACTGACAGATAGGATACTCACAGGCCCGAAATCTCGCGGCGAAAGATAGAGGAGGGACCAGCGATCCAGTGAGTATCCACGCAAGCAGAAGCCAGAAGCAACAGCAGTAGCTGAACGCAAGCAGTACCTCGTCCTCACGCTGGGCGATTCTCGCAACGCGACGCAATCGGTGCCCAAAACATTGAATCCGGAATGGAACGTCACGATGCAGATGCCCATCTCGGGCGTCAACAGCCTGCTCCTCGATTGCGTGTGTTGGGACAAGGATCGCTTTGGCAAAGACTATCTCGGCGAGTTTGACCTGGCGCTCGAGGATATCTTCGCGGGTGAATTGACGGAGGTTCCGCCACAGTGGTTTCCGTTGAGGAGTAAGAGGCCTGGAGGAAAGAAAAGTAGTAATGTGTCAGGGGAGGTACAGCTTGCGTTTACGCTCTACGATACTACGGCTCTAGGATGTCCTCCTGCGGCTGTGCTGGACAAGTTTAGGACGTTGGCGGGAGTGGTGGATTTGGGTGAGGTTGGGACGCCCACGAAGCAGCTCAGTCGTACAGGTACAGATGGGGCTGGAGATGAAGACGAAGAGTATCTTGATGAGGATGAGGAGCCGAGCGATGAGACGGATGATCCTACGAAGCCGGAGAACGTCGAGAAGAGAAGACGGAAAATCAGACTACGGGGTCTGCGAAAGAAGAAACACCAGAATGCATACGAATTCACGGGTGGTAGTGAGGTTGTGGGTATTGTGTTCCTCGAGATTGGCAAGATTACAGATCTGCCACCCGAACGAAACATGACGAGGACGTCTTTCGATATGGATCCCTTCGTAGTGGCTTCGCTGGGAAAGAAGACGTACCGGACACGAGTCATTCGACACAATCTCAACCCAATTTTCAATGAGAAGATGATTTTCCAGGTCTTGAGACATGAGTTGGGATACTCGCTATCTTTCACGGTCATCGATAGGGATAAGTTGACAGGCAATGACTTTATTGCTTCTACGAGTGTGCCGTTGAAGGATATTACGGATACGGCCCCTGATGCAGCTCCAGAGACTGGTCTCTACTCGTTGAAGGAACCTCCGGATCCAAGCGCTTTTCCTCCGCAACCGAACAGGTCGAGATTTAAGCTTCCACTGTCAAGATCATCCTCGTCTCAGAGCTTAAACAAGTTAAACCGACCAGGTATGCAATCGAAGAACTCCAGCCAGAATATACCTGCGGCAAGCCTTTCAGCAAGCCCTCCACCTTCTGGTGCAAATACGCCTCTCATTGCCCCAACGAGTAATCCGTACAGTGGACTCCAACCTGGCGACACTCTTCCTCTGCCCAATGCTGTAGACGACGGCGATGGATTCAATGGCCAAGGCGATCCAGATCTACATGCTTTCACCATCCCGTTGAAGCTCAAGAATGCCGAAAAGTGGGAAGAGAAGCATAGCCCGCAACTTTACATGAAGGCCAAATATGTTCCATACCCCGCACTTCGGCAGCAATTCTGGAGATCAATGCTCAGACAATACGACACTGATGAGAGTGGACGGATTAGCAAGGTTGAGCTGACTACTATGCTTGATACTCTTGGCTCTACTTTGAAGGAGTCGACGATTGACAGTTTCTTCCATCGTTTCCCGCATACTTCTGCCAGTGGCGAAGAGACTTCTGGCGACTTGACTTTCGACGAAGCGGTTATATGCTTGGAAGAGCAGCTTATCGAGAAGTCGAAACCTCAGACGATGGGTGATCGTGTGCGGAACTTGATGCCGGATTCTGCAGCCGTGAAGAGTCATATTCCTACTCAGCTTGGAGGGACTTCGACTGCCCTTTCTTCCAATACAGCGGAAACTGGACCTTCAGTCAATGCGACAGCAGTAGACCAATCTCAATTGGGTGTGGAAGCACAGTCTGTCGACGAGTTGAACACTCCAGGCGAGGAAGGCGATTTGTTGGATCGAGACGATCTCAATGATAAGGGTGAAGAGCATGTGGTTGAGATCAGAGAATGTCCAATCTGTCATCAGCCACGACTCAACAAGCGTTCTGATACTGATATCATCACTCACATTGCGACTTGCGCAAGCCAGGATTGGCGACAAGTCAACAATATCGTCATGGCTGGCTTTGTAACATCAAGTCAAGCTCAACGAAAATGGTACTCTAAGGTTATCACCAAGATCTCCTACGGTGGCTATAAGCTTGGTGCCAATTCTGCGAACATTCTTGTGCAAGATCGGATCACTGGCCAGATCAACGAGGAGCGCATGAGTGTCTACGTGAGATTGGGCATTCGACTGCTATATAAGGGATTGAAATCTAAGGATATGGAGAATAAGAGAAGTATGTCGGCTGATTTCGATCATGCTTGCTTTCGTTCCAAATACAATTACTGACAAGCCACAGTTCGAAAACTGCTCAGAGGTCTCTCATTCAAGCAAGGAGTCAAATATGACGACCCAGCATCGAAAGCCGAAATCCAGAAGTTTGTCAACTTCCATCAACTCGATATGTCTGAAGTCCTGTTGCCAATGGAGCAATTCAAGAATTTCAACCAATTCTTCTACCGTCAATTGAAACCCGATGCTCGTCCTTGCTCTGCGCCGGATAACCCACGTATCATCGTCTCGCCGGCAGACTGTAGGTCGGTTGTCTTCAATCGCATGGACGAAGCGACAAAAATCTGGGTCAAAGGTCGAGAGTTCAGTATTGGACGACTTCTAGGGAAAGCCTATCCTGAGGACGCGGAACGGTATAGGAATGGTGCGTTGGGTATCTTCAGACTTGCGCCGCAGGACTACCATCGTTTCCATATTCCCGTCGATGGAGTGATGGGTACGCCGAAGACTATCGAAGGAGAGTATTACACCGTGAATCCGATGGCTATTCGTTCTGCGCTCGATGTGTACGGTGAGAATATCAGGGTTGTGATTCCCATCGACTCGGTGGCTCATGGCAGAGTGATGGTCATTTGTGTCGGTGCTATGATGGTTGGTAGCACCGTCATCACAAGAAAACCCGGAGAGAACGTGAAGAGAGCAGAGGAATTGGGATACTTCAAATTTGGTGGAAGTACGATCTTAGTTCTTTTCGAGGAAGGAAGTATGAAGTTCGATGATGATCTCGTAGATAATTCGATCGGGGCTCTTGAGACTTTGGTAAGCCTTTTCTCCCTACCTTCATCCCGCCCAAAGCTCACAAATATATAGTTGCGAGTCGGCATGTCGATAGGCCATCATCCTTCGCAAGGCCAACATACACCAGACATGCGAAAGAAAGACGAGGATATCACCGAGAAGGAGAAAGCGGAAGCGAAGCGCAGAATCGAGGGGAGTCTGGCGCCCGAATCGCAGGGTAGTGCGCCGATGGCTTAGAGATGAGATGAGATGAGATTGTTCCAACGAAGTGTTCTGTTGGACTTTTGTGTGCTGTTGCATATTGTTGCCTGGAAGGCATGGGTGATGACGGTGCATAAGTGGTGGCCTGGAACTGGGAATCGGAGAAGAAAAAAATAACAGTGGTATACATGGTATGGTAGAGGACGGTAGATGGGGATCTGATATGACTGATACGAACGAATGGATGAAAGAAAGATAAGAACCATAGCCCCTTTCGGCACTTTTACTTTTATTGTACTGTCTGCAATTCTCAGATCTCAATGTTATCTTCCCAAAGTTGAGGATATCAATCGGCTACAGTACATTCATGCGGTACCCAATCACGCATACATTAGCTGACGGTCATGACTCTCACGGCAAGCGAACTCGCCAGTCGCGAATTCCTTTCTGCCTCACTTGCCCCCACTTTTTTCTTTCGGAAGCGAACCCCTGATTGGCGGGCGAATATTGGCGCGGCTTATGTTTTGTGTTTGATGTTGCAGTTGGTGCCTTGAGTCATACTGTAGGAGGGTGGTGAGTGAATTGAGTTTTTTGTGCATGAGTGATGGCTTAGGGGTTGCTGCCTGGATTGGGTTTGAGGATTGATTGATTGCGTGTGGGTGAAGGGTGTGCAGGTGAGGTGAGGATATATATGCAGCCTCCATCCTGTTTGCCTCAGTCCGTCCTTTGGTTTCGTTCTTTTTTGAAGAATAATTTATACATCAATCGACGGAGGAGAGCCAAAGTATTAACTGCCTGCCTCGGTACATCATTCCTCCCTCCCCTCTTTACTCAAACAAACAAAACCAACAATGTATTCATCAACCATCGTCCTCCTCCTCCTCACCAGCACCGCGCTCGCGCTCCCCTCCCAACCAACCAACGATCCAGAAGGCGACCCCTCCACCTATGGAGATATACTGCCCTCCTCCTCAGACTCAAATTCAGATGGCAAACCAATAACCTACAACGATAAAGGACAGATCGCAGCGGCGATCATTGCGATTTTGGTGTTGCTGGGGATTATCGGCACGGGGGTTTGGTGGTTGAGGAGGAAGGTGGGGAGGGTTGATGGAGAAAATGGGGGAAACAGGGGAAGGAGGGGGTGGGGATGGCCTGGTGCTAGGGGGGTAGGAGGTAGAGGGAAGGGGAATGGAGAGGGGGAGGAGTGGAAGAGGGGTGGGAAGTGGGAGGAGTTGAGATGAGATGGTGGAAGGGATTGGATGTCGAGGGAGATGGGGAGGATGCCAAAGCAAACGATGGGAATCCTGCTCAGTGGAGCCGATGGAAGGTTGATTGGTGATGGAGTTTGGAGTTTGATGGTTGGGGTATCTTCTTGCGCATACCAATGTTGTCTCAGGAAGTCGGCTTGTAGATGACAGTTTGTTCCTGTTGTTGTCAATATGGAAAGCCATATTTGTGAATGCGCTTTCTTGTTCTTCGTTTTTGTTCATAGCGAGTCTGATTCATAGACCCGGGTATGGCAACATCTCGATCTCCAGCCAACAATAAATCTTCATTTGATGTAATATTTTTGTTATAGGTAGTTGACCTAGCCGCAGAGGCATCAGTTATTTATCGTTGTAGCTTTCGCCTAGAGAATGCGCGAAGCGCATTCTCAAATGAGTTACTACGGTACTAGTTTGCGCCTCTTCGGTATCCCATTGGCCGCTATTTATATATCCCGGTATTCATAACCCATTCTATCAAAAAATAAACTTTCTAGCACTCACACGCACAGGGAAAAAGCGAGTAGTCCTCCAATTTCCAAAGGCCTAGGCACGGTGCCAGGTGGCACCAACGCCGTCCAAAAGCCTCATTTTCAGCCTCACCATGGATGTTCAACTACGCACCTCTCCTAGCCTACCAATCTTATGCAATAGCAGGGGCTAGGCCTCTGGAATCCCATGTGGTCGATGGCCTGTAGCTAAGCTAGAATGCAAGCCTGGGACATAAGAGGAGAACGATCGTACTGTCCATAAGTTCTAATCACCGAAACCTCTCTACGTGCGCTTAGCTCGTCTGTCTGTCTTGCATAGCCGAAATGGCTTTTAACGGGAACATAACCCTTCCTGCGGGAGCCACCAGCCACGGCCAGCCTGACTTGCTCTGCTTACCGACGAAATGGACAGACATCGTCGTCTTTTTCATGGGCAACTATGTAGCTCATGCTGCGACGATCAGATTAGAACCCAGCACCAGCATCGTCAACACTGTCCTCGCAATTGTCCTTGCTCTATTGATTCCCATCTCCGGCGTCAAGAGGGGTATCAAAGGTATTATGAGCTTTGCTAAGTTTGGGAAAACGGATTTGCAGGTAGCAGCCCGAGCAGGGGCTCTGTGTCAAGTCATCCAAACGGACATGCAAGCTCGGTCGTTCAGAGAACAACTCTTAACAGCCTTCGACCATGGTAAAGATTCCTGTCTCACGTTACTTGCTTGCTTCCTACTGACCTGAGCCCAGGCTCCATCTTCGCCGGGAAAATCCACAGCAGATACCGCCTTCCAGACGGCTATGGATTTGCCACCGTACCCTGGAACTCGAAGTTCCAAAACGACGATGCTCCAGCAGCGCAGCAAATCACCCTCGCGGCGAACTACAACATCGTCTCCATCCTCGTTGCGCTGGCGCAACTGGCGTTTGCTGTCGCCACGATATACCGAAGTCGCGGAGACCAGATCACTCAATACGGGTACGCAGCGTTCGGGCTAACCGTCACGCAATACGCCGCCATGTCGCTGGTCAACCTGCTCGGCAACCTGGTCTGCCCGCAATACACGTCCATCTACCTGGTCCGCAGCACCGCCATGACCGACGCAGAAGCCGAGCCGGGCGCGAACGCCTTTTTCGAAGGCGTAGTGGGAACACTGCTCGAGGATGAAATCCAAGCCGACGAAGCGGAACGCCGCGCGTCGGCGGCTCTCCTGCGGCCGCCGAAGTCGACGTGGGCGCGGATAGGGAATATGCTCAACCTGCGGAAGATTCAGACGCTTGATCTGCTGCTGCTGCCGGTTTCATGGATGCCGACGGCCGTCTCGGTGGCGATCATCTACGGGCTGTCGCGGTTCGAGGAGGGCTCGAGCACGTTTGGGCAGAGGGCTGCGACGATGGGGTGGCTTGCGATGGGGAGTTGGGCGGGGGCCCTTGGTGGGTGGAGGGGTAATCTGGAGAGGGATATGTCGCGGAGGAAGATCTATTCGGGATATCTGTTAGAGTTAGCCATTTCGCTGGTTTCTTCTGTGCCTTCTGTTGCTGGGTATATAGTTGTTGCAGGGATGCTGGAACAGTATGGAATTTGCTCGCACGTATGATGCATGGACGAGAAATTCTCACCAGAGCGTTCAGGCCTCTGCTTGGAACGTTCCAAAGCACTTCTGAAAAGCAGAAAAGTTTCGAGGAGAGCAGATTTAAGTCTTTTATTTTACTTACTTTACTTTAGCGAATCTTTCCCCCTTATATACAAGGAATACTGTCTACGAGAACAAAATCCAACGATTTATGCTGTATATTCGTCACCTTCGAGGAGAAGGAGAAAGGGGTGATAATGAATACTCATTCGTATTGGAGGTAGAGCTAGCTAGCTAAGTCTTTAACTTACGTATAGTTTCTTTTATAGTAGACTACTCGTTGCAAATTACTCACGTCAAGTACTAGGGCCGTGAGCAGAGCAGGGGGAAAGCCAGTTAAAGTTGTTAAACGCGCTTTTTGTTAAAAAGCAAAACTAAATTAAAGGATGGTGGTAAGTGGGAATTCGAAAATTTTGCATGTAATAAAGAAGATAAATATCTTCAAAATACTCTCCTTTCCACAATAGATGTCTGGTGGGGAAGGTAACGCTAAGACTACTATTACCAGCTTCGGCTCATCCTTCATAAAAACGCGTGCAACCAACAACATAATCCGTCCATCCCATCTCTCTCCCTCGACACAACATGGCTATGGCAAGTGCCTAGCATCATGTAATTTTGCAATTCACAAAGAAGTGGGCGAGCCTTATCTCCAGTGGAGATCTATACAGAAACTTCTTTCTCCCCAATTGGTCCTGTGTTCTTCTGGATCATCTGACTGCGTCTGGCGCAATATGCACCTTCCGGATTGAACATATCACACAATGTTTGTAAGAATCACAGACACAGAAGGGACTGTAGGCGAGTTTGAAAATGCGCCTTCAGGGCTACCTCTTGAAGAGTCACCCCTTCCGGAAAATTGTTGGACCCTTCCCAAGCGGAGCCCACATACAGATCGTGCTCGCTTCTTTTGACTCTCACACAGCGTTTGTAAATTTTCTCTTCACCAATCTCATTCGATCTCTCGGAAGATTCTCCAGCTTATGCATCAGACGAATGCTCCGCGTCCGAAAGATTGTAGATCGTCCCAACAACATCGTTACCGCTTACTCACTGCATGCTGAAAGTTCAGCGATTTTCTTTTCTTCGGATTTTGTTCCAATCGTCGTTTCGTTATCGCTACCAAGTTTATTCAATTTCTGGTATCGCTTGCTCATGTGCCATGTGGTGCTGGGTCGAAGATATGTATCTCTTAAGTGCTTGGCAAATCGGAACAGAGCAACAGTATTTTGCCCCGTGTCCTAAAAATATACCTTCCACTGGAAGCGAGACAAAAGAGCTGTAGTTCGCACAAAGCAAGTACACAGCTCACTTAGAAGCTGAAGTTTACTTTGATATCATGAGGATATGCGTCGGAAAAAGATATGGCCATACAGAACCGCGGTATCGTAATTCTGTGTAACTGCCGGCAGAGCCCCCGCAGGCACCCCTTGCAGGAAACCGGGCCGGCCAGGGCAGCATCATTCCAGAGTGGATTGTTTTCCCATTTTCTGTTCCCATCAAGTCTTGTCGTTTGGATAAAGGGAACGGATACCGGGGCATAGCCCCTAAATCGTGGTAAGATCAAATGCAACCACGCGGGCGTATGCAGGCAGTGAGATCTTAGGGCTGCGGTATGCGAAAGTGAAGCCGTGATATCACACACACGCAGTACAGAAGTGGCACAGCAAGATAAGAAGTTTTCTAGAAGGCTACTGTAGGAGGGGAGAGAATGTGAGCTTTTCTTTAAATTATTACAAGGGGAATGGACTCAGTGGTTCGAGTCTTGGTCCCTCAAGTTTTTGGAGCTCAATCGATAATTCAACGGCGCTTTCTGCCAGCTTTCCGTTCTGTTTCATTCATTACTAGCTGCGCATTCAATTGAAGATGTCGACGAATTCGACGGTCCATATTGGTGTGTGGACTAATTGGTCTGGAGGAAGAGTTGGCGGGTCGACGATAACTCTTACCAAGGGCGCTGGGAATGTTCTCATTGCTGCGCTCGCTATTTTCATTCAAGTAAGTGCTTCTACTTGTTCTCTATTAGACCATTGTGCAATCTCCATGAGATGATGGGAATTTTTCATCTCGAAGTCGAAGACTCTGGTATTCAGGGAAATGGCGGGGTTAAAGTTTCTGCTTGCATTGACCACTTCTTTGTATTCGAACCCTCTTCTGTACTTACCTTTCAGATCTGCGTTTTGCGTTAGAACAGAAAGATATTTCCTGCGGATCTCAGATTCACCAATGGGAACCTGAACTGATATCATCTATAGCTTACTGGTGCGCGATCATGGAGCATAATAAGTTTCATAGCACACCAAATCAGAGCGAGCAGGCAAGCCAAAGACGGCCTATATCATCAGCAGCAAGCAATTCTGCGCAACAACAACTCCGATCTAAGTACCATTTGGCAATTCACTAGAATAGGATGGGCTTGGAGAAGACAGCTAAAGACTTTTCGAAAGTCGGCTATTTTGTTATTGACTGCGAATATCCATCTTATCGCCTTCTTAGCAGCTGGTCTCTTGGCTTCTCACTTCACCAAAGCCAGTAGCGAAGTTCTCTTAGCTCGAAGCTCGAGTTGTGGTCCCTGGCCCATCAATGCAACTGGAGTCAACGAAACGACCTTGCCGCACGTCATTGGCTACAGGAGCTACGCTGCAGATGCCATGCAATCAAGCAAAGAATACGTGGAAAGTTGCTTAGCCGAGTCGCAATCTTTACCCGAATGCGATATCTACAAGAACCCGCAAATACCATGGACCGAAACGCGGACTGACTGTCCTTTTGCGGATGGATTCTGTCTTGGCTCTGCCAATACTTCGTTGACTATGACAACTGGTCTTATTGATTCTCGCAACGACAATGGTATCAATGGCCCAAACAAAGACCGAGTCCAGTGGAGGAGGACAGCAACTTGCATACCCATCAACACGGAAGGGTACGTTGAGATTGGGTTCAGTAACCGTACCAACATCAATGGTCTTGATGGCGCTGCCACTCTTCCGTTCAACTACACAGCGCTTTATTACGGAGTTGGCAACACTCCTGCGATCTACCTTGGGTTTGCAGACCCTAGGTTGACGAATGCGACGTATATTTACACAAATTTTCGTGATATTGCAGGAGATTACAACGAGAATCAAGCAGGTTATGATATTAGGTGAGTGCTACTATTCTATTGTTTGTATGTGTGTCTCGTGAGTAACATTGGAAAGTACCCAAGAGGCAGATGGTGGGATGGGTTGGCAAGCAATTCCCGAACTTTCTATCATGAACAGCTCGACACTATTGGTATTTGCGTCATTTTACGGTGCATACATCAGTTAGTCACGTTCTTTAAAACCTTTCATCCCTCTTTCAATGCCCTTTATAACAATATACTAACTATTCTCTCATAGACCGCAGCGAAGACCTCTGGCTCTCAGCACAATTCAGGAATATAACCACAGTCGAGGTAACCTCAGGACAAGCTTCCACCACCATACAACAATACCAGCTCGACAACCCTATCTCACCCCTAGGTTGCACGGAACAAATCCAGTTCTGCAATCCAGCCGCTGGACCCAACCACTGTACACCCTATCTCTCTGCAGGTCAAATGACTTTTGCTCAACCCGATATCTTTGTACAGCTCTTCAAGAACAACACGCGCCAGATCGCAACTGCAAACAGTATCTTCACCGCAGCTTCGAACTCCAGGATCGCTGCCGTGGTCGGAGAGCTTGAAAAGCCGTTGCTGGCTGAAAGTATGATGTCGGGCATGACTTCTTTGCCTCTGAGCGCCGATCAGTGGATCAGCGAAGTGAGAAACTGGTTCAATATCGGTCTCGCAAATACTCAACGTCGAATCGTCGACTATGCTACTGGTCCGGCACCACAATACACGCAATTCGTGCCTCAAAATCAAGCATATAAGGATTCGGCGTTAGCGTGGCTATGTGATAGTCAAGTAATTCAGCGAAATGACTTCACGAACTTCAGAACCTGGGTTGTTGGTCTTGTTTTCGGCTTCGGTGCCATTATCATTGGTCTTAGTCTTTGTCTTGAGACTATCACGGGGAGATTACGCGCTAGACGCCATAGAGGAGAGTGGAGGCAACGTGCTTGGTGGTCTGAAGAGACGTTACAGATGCAAAGGAGGGTGTATCAGGCGATTGGTATCTCGGGCTGGGATATTGGTGAAGATGGCATGGTGCCGACTACTTTTGGAGAGAAAAAGTGGATGTCGATTTCTGCTTGGGAGGAGAATGTCCCTACGTATCCAGAGGAGAAGAGACGCGGGGCTGCTACTGGAGATGCGCCTTCGATTAGGGGAGTGGGTAAGGGTGATGTTGTGACGAAATTAGTGTCTGTAACCCCTACAAGTCCTATCGCAAGCGACAGCGGCAGTAGTATTAGGAGGACCAGATCTAATTCTGTTTAGAATTTTCTGCGTAATGTAAGTACCAATCTCCCATCCACCATTTTTCAACTACTAACCTCCGAAATCAGAAACGATTAAATTTGGATGTACGAAATGTATGATATCATGACAGCGGCTCTGCTTTGACCATCTTCAAACTGGACGATTTTTATTGATGGGCCAGTGCACGCGGGACAGGGCGAAAAGACCTCAACCTTCTTGTTATAAAGATATACTTCAACGAAGACTCTCACTTACCTATTGCCGGTCTTCTTTCACAATCTCCCAGCTATTCCTAAACCCCTCACTCAAACATAAACAGCTTGTCCTCGGCACAGCAACACCATTGTCCGGCTTACTCTGCCATTCATCAACGAAACTAAACACAAAGTCATCTTCGGCAGCCGAGAACGCAGTTCCACAATTGGCATCACTGCTTTGTACTAACACCCTATCCTCATCAAAAACTAGAGAGAATACCTAGCACCGCCACTCCCGTCCTCAAACCACGAACAAATATCATGCGTGAAACAATCTCGACTACCGTTCCCCCTCTTATCATCTCCCTTAACTCTGCACTAAGAACGCAACTCCATCGCAGCCAGTGCTGCAGCGGCCGATGCAACTGTAACTGAAAATTACGGCATGATCCACTATGTTCCAAGAGCGAAACGTACTCGCCGCAGGTAGCCGGGTTGAAGTTGAAACTATGACCTATACGAGCAGTACATGTACTGTCAATTCTACACTGTTGCTCTTGGAAGTTGTTGTTGATGCGACGATGGAGAGACACGTGACGCTCGCTAGATATAGGGGTTGAGGAGGAAGCACAGGAGGCAAGCAGCGTTATCTTTTGTATCATCAATGAAGCGAGATTGCAAAGCTAAGAAAGGGAAAGATGGGCAAGAAAGTAAACTTCGTGCCAAAGAAATGGACCCTGTTCAGAACTTCTTGTCCAGCGACAGGATCGAGTTGGTAACGATTTGAGGAAGCAAGTGAAATGGTCTATGAAGCTATTCACTCGCATTCTGAGCGGTATCTCGGTTTCGATCTTCGAGTGTGTTTGAAAAACCAGGAGAAATGGAGAAATGGAAACCTGGGTAGCTAAGATGCGTAACATTACAAAGAAGGAACGCGGCCTCGAAGCAATGCCTATCAGTAAATTGTGTTTTTCTCTCTTCGTAAAACATCTTCCAGTTAGATTACGACGCCTCTGTGTGGCATCCAATTATTGTTAAAGTCATGGAATGTCCTGGATTGTTGATCATATAAACTGAAAGACTACTTGAAATCAAACCCTCGCTATTCGAAAGTCTTCACTAAATGACCCAAATACCTCTGGTAATATGTTCAGGGTCAACGCATTCAAGGCCTGTAGACTTAGTGTCGGTTGGACTGGTGCCACCGTAGTCATCGTATTCTCGATGTCTTCTCGCTCGTGCTACCTGCTGATCAATGTCTTGACGGCAATGAAAAGTACATTTGGTAAGTATGTCCATTGCCGCCTTCTGGAAGGAAACACTGGAATGAAAATTCCACAAGCTGCGGTGATTGCTTTAATTTTTCGCTTTCTAGAAAAACTGGTTAATACAAGACTTGCTGTCATATCTAGAAGATGGGCTATGGTGACACTTGTCCGAGAAGAAGCTCCGTATCAGGTCCCGAACTCAGTGACACGATGAACTTTGTCACATCTACTGCACAATACCCAAAGCATACACTCTTAGTTCTCGTCTTGCGCTTGCATTGGGAAGGAGGCTATCCTGATCCCTCTTCGACAGAAGAAGACGAGGAAGAAGTCCCTTCAAACAACAGTACACTATATTTTAGGCGTGCTCATACTTACACTCCCACCTTCTCACCAGCACATCTCAGACCACCCACCATCCTCCCGCTCCCAACTCTAAGCCCTACAACCCCCGTAAACTCAGCCGCAACCCACTAAACGCGGCGCGGGTGAGCCCCTGAAACCTCAGCCATCAGACGACCGAGTATTACCCGCTGTCGTTCGTTCGTCCGTTCATTCAGCTCTCAACACCACCAGCACCATGAGGCTCTGACCCTCGACCATCCTCCTCTCCATCACCAGTCGCTCACTACCCATCGCCGTATCGTCTCGTCTCGACGATCAGGTCAAGAATCAAGAGAGATGATTCACCGAAACGTCCGCGGCGGCGTCCCGTCGCCGTACCCACGATTCCTGTTCCACGGACTGAGGACCGCGCAATTACTCGCCAGCATAGTCGTCAGCGGGATCATGGCGTATTTTATATATTATTTGCGTACGCTCCCTTTCCTCTCATTCCAGATGGAATCAAATACTGACAAGAAGGATGTTATAGGAATGGAACACTTCGCAATCCCCTGGACGTTCATCGTTGTACGCCATCCCCCCTCCCCTTCATTTCCTTCTATCATCAAGAACAACAGAAGTTAACAAAGCGAACGACAGTTAATAGCTGTATCCCTCGCCACGATCCTGGCGCTGCTCATCACGATTATCTTCTACAACTTCACCTACCTATCCCCCGGCTTCAACCTCCTGCTCAATGGCAGCATATCCCTCTTCTGGGCGCTGGGCCTCGCGCTGCTGAGTTGGAGCGTGAGTACGAGCCATGTGCTGGCGAAGGCGTGTACGGGGAGCGTGTGGGGAGGTGAGGCGGAGGCGGGCGTTTGTAGGGACTATAAGGCGCTTTGGGGGATGGCTCTTGTTGGGACGTGAGTTCCCCTTTCTTTGTGTACAGTATACAGGCGGAAGAAGCGTGGTGGATGCAAGGAAGCAAAGAACTCAAGCTAACAAGATGGGTCGAAAAACAGAGTATCGACCTTCGCAGCCCTAACCCTCGATATTGCGACCCAGCGCAAGGTCACCAGACGCGGTGTCTACAAGCTGCCCGAAGACGACAAAGATGCGCAGAAGCTGAGCGAGTTGAAAAGTATGAGGGTGAGGACGCAGGGGTATGAGGCGCCGAGGGAGCAGGGCGGAGATGGGGTTTGGAGGGATGAGCATTTGCATGGGGAGGAGTATCATAGTAGGTATGGAGCTGAAGAGGAGGTTTCGCACGGCTTGAGGGGGGATGTTGTTGGTGGGTATAGTGGTGTGGGGTTTAGGGATTAGGGGTGGAGGTTGGATTGGGATTAGGAGCGAGATGGGTGTGGTTGATGAGGAAAGGTGGTGAGAGACATGCTTTGGCTAAGAGTGGAGTGGAGAGCATGAGAGAGCATGAGAGAGCATGAGAGCAAGAGGGAGAGGATCAGGCAGATGATACGAAAGAAGTGTACGCGATATTGCTGGATTTCATACCTTGTATTGGAGTTCGGAGTAGACTTGTATCCTGGACATGGGTAATCTGAATTGGACAATTCCATTGCCTTTCTTTCGACTAAAAGCTCATAGTTATATACCAATGTCATCATTTCCTATGGCAGGTTGTGTCGCGAGCTACTCAGCCGGCATGATGGAAATTGGTTGCGAGAAAGTACTCCTAAGGAAGAAAGTGTTTTCTGATTCTTCCCGCGGCAATACGATCAATATTCATCCTCTTAAGTAAGAATAGGAACAAGGTTCCAACATAAGCCGCACTAGCCGTCATCACGACCTTGAAGGAACGAAGAATAAGCACAACGTTCTCGAACAAGAACCGAAGAAGGATCTCACTCAACGTCAGGCTAACCTTCTCCCGCCTCAGAATCTGATATCCTGGAACCTATCAAAATACCCTACTTACAAGAAACCACCATTCTCAACCCTATGCACCCCCTCACCTTTCCGGAAGGTGGCCATCACGCATAAACAACTTCTGTATGAAAATTCAACAGCATTCCAACCGATTGGCGATACGCGGGAACTGGTGATGGGGTAAATAGAAGCTCGACAAGATAAGGCACAGCAAAGAAAGCAAAGCAAAAGCAAGAAAGCGGCAAAGACAAATAGAAAGGATGGAGACGAGGCCACATGGTTTCGAACAAACAAACGAGCAAACAACCTTCTAGAAGGATGTAAGGAGGAGGCGCGAAAGTAAGGCTGGCATGGCCATGTGGTGAGGCGAAGGATGAGAGAGAGGAGTGAGAATTTAGGGTTGGGGTTGGTGAGATTCGAGAAGCGTGGTGGTCATTAGGTATGTATGTATGCAGTGAGACGGCGCGCGGCCACATGGTTATTCGATCGAGCGAGCTTCGAGAAGGTGTCATGGAAGGACGTTGTTGTGCGGCGCAGAAACAAAACAAAACGAGAGATAGACGAATGGCCGTCGAGATGTCGTGTTGAGATGGAGTACAGTATATGTGGTGTGGAGCAATATAATCTGGTTGCGAGGATGGGATGGGAATGACCTCACTCACGATGTAACTCAAGATTCCCCAGTACCGACCGATACGCGGAACCTTGAATGATCTATATTCAGCTCTCCCTCCCTAGGTAGGGAATAAACCTCTCAAGGGATCTCGGTAAAGGAACGGAAGACAGTAAGGATGAACACTTCCATCCCTCCTCCCGTCGAACCCTGATTCCCTTCTCCGTCCATGAATGAGAAATGTGATATCTGCAAGGCCGTCTAGACATTGGCAACATGCATGCATGCACGATCCTACAGTATTAACACCCAGGATTATCTTTCCCTGCAAAATAAGTACAGAACAGAAGTAAATACCAAGGCGGAACTATCCGCCCAAGAAATAATGAATTAATTGAACAAGAGAAAACTGGGACAGATAGACCCCACAACCTGGACACGCCCTTCCTTGGGAAACGGACATAACGCCCTATCCGCTTGTACCGCGATCAATGCGCTCACGTGGCACAATTAGATACAGTAGAGAGGGGAGGGAGTCGTCATCCTCTCCTTGCATGGGACAGTAGCAGAAAGCAGAATTGAAGAGCTGGGATCTTGCAGGAGATAAAACAGTCTGCAAAGCGGATAGCTTGAAGCGCGGTAGATAGTTTTAGGCAGAACTTGTTTCCAGACTTGGTGTATCTGATAGCGAGAATAGAGGGAATTCTGGGCGAGGAGGGGAAAAGAGGCTTTGTTGATCTTAAGGATGTAAAGTCCCGGGCAAGTCTGAGAAATAATCGACTCGTAAGAGGCTTCAGCCATCGCTTGAAGATCTGTAGATACTGTAGATAATGCTTGCGCCTCCATTCCATCAGTTGTTTGCCGATCAACTTTTCCTTAACCTCCATTACATTCCCACAAATCAGACGTCCCTGTCGCTTTCTCCAACCCCCCCTTGCTTGCGCGAACCCGAGAGCACATTCTTGGATCCATCGATCCCTGGAGGAATTGAGTTTCTTTCGAAGGATTTCCCGCAGGGAAGTGGAATGGTACGATGAAAGCTTGGCCGCAGCTTGGCATTTTTCCGCCTTCAGAAGATTGGAATCTGTATATCGGGACGAGCCGAGGTCGATTATACTGTATTTATCCAAACATGATGGGAATCGAGTCGCATCATGTCGTGATCTCGCTCTTGATATCCAATGAGAAGCACTCTATTGTGCATTGTTAGTGTTGAACAGCATGTCTCGTTGCTGGTGAAAGAACGAACGGAACGAACGAACGACTTGAGCGCGATCAGATTAGACTGAACGGTACTGCAAATTGCCGGGAATAGTTTATCGGTACATCGACTCGCAATTTCCCATATCTGGTATCGACACTACCTCTGATTGGACCAAAATACGACGTTGTACGTGAAAACCCACCTGGGATGGCTTTTTTTTGGACTCTCCACTTGGATTTCCTCAAGCGCTGTTTGTTTTAATCTGGGAGCGCTTTCCAAGTCTTGAAACGGTTGCGCTGCAATCCGTGGTCGGGTGCAGCAATGATCGTCGGCACTTGGGACGTTGGTTGGAGGCTGGCCTGCAGCTCATGAGGGGACTTGTCCAATAACCCTTACCCGCCATGACCTTTTGCTTGCAAATTTACTGTACAGCTCTTCCTTTCAGTCTGTGATGCATGGCTCCACGGTCGATCTGTGTTACAGTGTTAATTTGTCTCAATTATTATCTTAACCCCCATTTTGCTCTTCCTCATATGCTCTCTTCCTCCAGGGGCACTGCGGGCCGAAATGGCACGAAGCTCGCCCTCCACCGTAACAGAAAAGAGCAGTAAATATTGCTCCAATAAGCAAGCTCGATATTCTTGGGTCAAACCTTATTCAGCCCTGTGTGCATTTGCCGCGCCACATAAAGATGGGGCACACTTGGCTTTCGGCACTGTCCATTGGATGCGATGCACCTGAGGGGTCAAGTAGGCGCTAAAGGACGAATGAAATGACGGTAAATTTGCCTCCTTTTATTGCTCGTCTCTGGCCCCTTTTGGTATTTTGGTACGTCGTCGATTACATAAAGCGGCAGATTCCCGCTCTCTTGGCTACTCATTCGCTATCTCGCTTGAAGCTACCCTCGTGTGGCGTGAGCTCCAGTTTCTCAAGTGTGTCTCTCCTGAGTCGTGAACGGGCGATGAGAGAGAACGGGACTTCACCTCAACTCCCGGCGGAAGCATGCATTCAGAGTTCTCTGGTGCTCCCGCCGCCGAACCAGTTCAGCCAAGTGAGGTGAGAGCAAGTGCAACCGCAGATCTGATCACGGACGGGTCATGCCCCATCTCCATGGCCTTGGATTGTGTGTGCGGTGTGACTGCCGCTGTTTTGGGCGACCAGGAATAAACTTGGGGTCCAAAATGCACAAGGGACCACCGCACAAGCGTCCGGGATGGTGTGAGGCCAGTGGAACCGGACTGCTAGAGAGTTGAACGGGGAGACGCTCGAGGTACGAGCTGTCCATCCTTATTGGACTGAGATGGGCCCATCTGCTGGATAATCTTCACCTCCCAGGTGTCCAGCGCGGTAAGCCAGTGTACAAATCGGAAAATTGGGCAGCACGGGGCATGCGATGAATCCGGCGGGCCACCCTGGTATGTGCTAAATTACATGCAGCAAAATCAAGAAGGTGGACGCTGCAACCTTCACTTCATCCATCCAAGTCCCACGTCCCACCTGCTGGCATACTGTACTGTACTGCTGTGACCGCCGGTGGCCTGCAAACACACCGGTTCAAGCCTCGTACCCCCGCCCATGTACATCCATATCGGACTGTACATATCATATATGCAGCTATCGATGGATACCCGTGTCTCTCGTTAGATTCCTATATTTGATAGCGTGTGGTCTACCCGGTCCTACCTGGGACAGATAGTACCTCGTACCTCCGGAAATCGCCAAGCATACTCTGCCGTGTCTGTGGCGGGAGCACTATTATCAAGAACCACGAACCCGCGAATCTGAAGACTTCCAGCTCCTCCACCAAATCAACCACAATGCCGACCACGAAGCCCAAGAACGGTCAACGGTATCGGATATGTGGTACGCCCTCACGACTGGGGTGTTTGACGTGCAAGTGAGTTGCTGTCGCTCTGACTTTTCTCCTACAATAGCAGGACTTTCATGGACTGATATGTGAGTGTAGGATCCGGAGAGTCAAATGCGGGGAAGAGAAACCATTTTGCAAACGATGTACCTCGACGGGAAGAAAATGTGATGGCTACGGACCACCCAAACCAGCACACAACAGCGCGGTTGCGCAACGGACACCTTCGCTACCAAAATGCAATCCGACGACGACGTGCGGCGAGAATCCGTTGGAGCAAAGACTTCTCTATTTCTTCGCCACGGCTACAGCGCCCAGTTTAACGGGGACGTTCTCGTCGGAATTTTGGGAGAATAAAGTTGTGCAAATGAGCATGGTTGAGCCGACCATCCAACATGCGGTTATTGCAATCGCTGCAATACATCAAGACTTTGTCAATAGGCACCACAGCCGGGGCGCCAATTACGATTCGAGCTTGCAAACTTTTGCCTTTCGACAGTATACGAAAGCGATCAGTAACCTTCACAATCTAATGTCGACTCGAGCGCATCAAATGGATTTGACTTTGATTTCATGTATTTTATTTATTACTATCGATTGTCTCTTAGGCAATCAGTAAGTCTTCCCCCAACGTTCTCCTTTGACAGTTCTCGAGCCTATTGAAATGGAAATATTCAATTCCTATAGCTGACCAAAATACCAGTGCCTCCGCCATCATCCATCTCAAAGCCGGCTTACGGATATTACAAAACATCAAATCCCAACGAGAACAGAAAGGCCTCTGTGACGCAGAATGGGAACGAAATTACTCCCCTCCATTAATCGCCCTCGGTGTCCAGGCCGCCACATTCGTGAACCCCCACCTTCAAAAAGAGCGCACAGAACTCTGGACTTTCTTAACGACCGCTGGTCTACACTCAAAACCGATGGTTTTCACCTCCTTAGACACGGCACGCTATGCTCTCGACACCATCGTCGCCGAGATCATGACGGATCGAACATCAACTAGTAAGTAATCTACACATATGTATATATTACTTCAAAATGAGATACTAACAACCCCAGACTCAATCCTCGCCCACACAACCCCCGATCCCTCGGGCGTCGCCGCCCACAAACACCTCGCAGCCCTACACTCCTGGTCCCAAGCCCTCTCCCACTTCATCACCTCCTTCATCTCCTTGGACCCCTCGGCCTCGAAACCGCGCCAGGGCGCCACGCTCCTAAAAGTCCACTCCCTCGTCGTCTCCATCGTGATCGGGCGCCCCGAAGACGCAGACGAGAAATTCGAGGACATATTAGCCCTCTGCGAATACCTAATCACGACAGGAGGCTGCTTCACCAGCACGCTGACGAACTTGAATTTCGCCGCTGACCAGGGCGTCATCGCGCCGCTGTTCTTCACGGCGTTAAGGGCCCCGGATCCAAGTGCCAAAGCTCGCGCGCTGGCATTGCTGGCGAGAGCACCGGGCAGGGAAGGTATGTGGGATACGGAGGACGCGATACGGGTCGCGGAGGGAGCGCAGAAGAGTGATTCTCTCCATGTCCCGATTACGGCGGTGCCGATGGCGCCCGTGACGGACGATGTGGTGATCTGGTTAGATGTCGCGGCGCGGTTGAAGGCGAAGGTGACATGGCCGTTTGGGGAGCGGCAGCCGGTGGAAGCGGGGCCGGTGCCGTTTCAGGGCGGGATGGGGATGGCGATGAGTCCTGGGGAGCAGGCAGAGGCGCCGGATTATATGCCCAAGTATGCGTGGTTGTTGAGGAGGAGGAGGGGGAGCGATGTTACGAGTTAGGAGTTCGTTGGGGTTGTATAACACGATACCATGTTTTGGAGGAGTTTGTGGAGCGATGCATTTTTTAAGTGGGGAGGGGGTATGTTCTTTGTATCTATCTATTTACATTATGTTACAGACAGACGATTCTGAATGATCAAACAAACTATTACATTTTGCTTCTTCCCACCTTCCCACCCGTCCAAAAAAAACACCTCCACCTCAACTACCGAATAAACAAACAAACAAACAAACCCCTCCACAAATCCAAATCTAACTTTAAAACTCGATCCAATCAGTACCTTAATCTGAGTGGGCCATGCAACAGCGCGATACCACGCCAAGACTCAAGTTTACCGCGGTTATCTTCGGCTCTTAAATCTTCACTTCACCGAGCTAAGCTACCTAAGCCATTCCCGAAGTCGCGCTTGGGGGTTTTCTTTCTTCTCTGGTTGTTGAAACTTGAGTTTGAGATTGAGTTTGCGTGGCTGACGTTTATTTTTTTGCTCTCAAGACATAAATCAAGTCGTCGAAATAAGGTATATGTACTGTACGTACAACAGAAATCAGGCTGATGTTGGCTTTTTCGATTAGGTCGGGGGGAAAGCTTGTAGCGAGGAGGCGAACGTTTTTTTTTTTTGAGAGTTGTTCGTTTGTTCCTTTTTTTTCCTGCTGTGAATGGCCAGTGGTGTTTTGTTCGGGTATTATTAGATGTTCAATTTTAGTCTATGCTACGATTTCTCCTCCTTGCTGGTGATGGATGTGGTTTCGAAGCTACCAACTAGTTCGCTTCACTTTCACAGTGATTTTGCGGTTGGTTGGTTGTTGGTTTAAGCATTTCTCCCGTCGATTGACCGACCGACTTGTGCTTTCGAGGGGGTGGACATGAGGGCGGTGGCGATGAATCGATGCTTGATACTCGTCGGAAATGTAGGTAGTGAGTAAGTGCATCTTCGGCAGCAAGTGGAATATGAGTTTCGAGCGCTTCGAGTTTCGTCGATGTCTTTCGTCCGAAGCGGAAGAGGGGTTGGGGTTCTGAATACCCCTTTGACGCACTGGAGTCTTGATTCTAGAATATATTCAATGTCACTCGCCTCCAGCAACCATGTCAGCGATTTACGAGGACGTTCAACAGCAGGAGAAGATTTTCTCGGGATGTTGATGATTGCAAGCACGTGGTTTTGGTACTCTGGACGCGGGATTTGCGCTATTCGCGCTATTCGCGCAATTTGCGCGGGAGGCGGAGTAAGCGCTTTAATTGAGGGGAAGGAAAAGATTAATGTGTATATGTAGTGATTCCACTTGCGTCAAGTGCAGCTTAATAGACTTTTTCTTGAAAGGAGTGAGGTCGCTCATCCATTGTAAGGGAGCGATACAACACCGTTGCTGCAGACCGTCTCGCATTGGGTAGTACCGAAGGAATTGTTTTTACATTCATCTGACAATTCAAACATGCCCTATCAAGCATGAAAATATTGTTTCAGGCGGTCAAAATAGTCTTTGAATTTTTTTATCCCCAAGTATTTCAAGAATGACTTTACTTCAACTTTCTATCAATGGTCGATATCAATTCCTTTCCAAACATGTATCACAATTTTCCTTCTCATTGAAGGAAATTCCTTCGAAAGTTTACCTGATCCTGGATCATCTAAGCCTACAGTATTCGGTCAACTAGGCAGTTCAAGCACATGGGCTAAGCTAACTCACATCAAGAGCATAGTAAATGCTATTACACTGATTCTTATTTCCATCAGTAAACATAGTATGCTTATCATCTTTAAAGATATTAAAGTTATGGAACCCATTACTCCCAGTCCTACATCACCACCGATTCTCGTCAGCAACACCTCTCATCCCATCAAACCAGAAAAATCTACATACCCAACCTGCGCGAAGTTCGGCTGAGACTGAGCATTGCTCTCAATATTCCACGTAAGCGTGGTCCCAGTATCAAATTTGCAATTCTGCTGCGAGCCTTCCCAGGTAAACGTTCCTCCGTTCGGATGATCGCAGCCGTTCCCCGCGCCGGGGTCGTGGTTGCAATCACCGTCGTTGGGACAGTATACAACAACGGAGTAAACGTTGTTGCCGCAGTTGACGAGATGGATGCCTTCGGTGGCGCGTTTGGCGAGGTTGGTGGTGAGTTCTGAGGAGATGGGGTTCGCGATGGCGGTTGTGAGGAGGGCGAAGAGCCCGGTGAGTGTGGTGAACTTCATTGTGTGTACTTTTCGGGAGAAGAGTTGTCCTTTTTGATTTTGGTTGTGCAAGTGCTTCTGATATTTGATGCTGGATATAGGAAGAGAGAGGTGACGATGATATTTATACTTCGTTTTCGAACTCACTCACTTGCACCTCCTCGTTCAGCAATGCACTACAGCTTACATCCATCTGTCGGGCAAGCCGAACATATTCACCAGACACCATTTTGAGATCATTTTAGCTCAGTATCTCACACATTGCCTCTGTCCAGAGGCCGAGAAGGCGGCTAATGCAATATAGAGGCGCTGCTTTCACTATATGAAGCTGACTCTGGCCTACAAACGAGACCATTAGCAAGACAAATAACCCTTATTCATCGTTGCACAACATAAAGTTGTTTATCTATATTGTTTTTGAGGCTGCTTATTCTCAAGAAAATATTTTATATGACCTCAGCTTTTCAATATAAAAACATATTAGGCTCAACTCACTAGTCTTGGCGGGTGCGCATAATAGTACTTTATGGTAGGGAAGTACCTATTCTTGTCGCGTAGCGGAACTCAAACCGGCGGCTAATACTAGTTTTCATCCCAACTTCGACGATGACTACAGAATTCGTCGTATAGATAATATGTATATATTGCATCACATGACTGATACTTCAGCAGCGGCCGACAGCAATGTCTGTTCAAGGAGAATAATTTCTTTTTAATAATTATATTTCTCACTTTTCATTTGGACTCATGGTCGTAAGGCTGACGGTCTTTTGATTGTTCAAGGGGTCGAGTTGTGTTGGAGGAAAGTCCAAGCGAGGTCGGGATATTTGATAGTGACGAGGATAATGCTGTCTCATGACTTGTTTGCATATGTTATTTCATTCTCCCACCCAATCTGATGTACAATACGAGTGCCCACCGTCCGTTTTCTCTTCGTCATCAAGTCGGGTTGATCTTGCAATACCTCTCCATTGACCTCAGTCGCTAAATTTCAGGGGTTCTCGCTTACGAACATGGGGACAAAAGTCCGTGCGTTCAGGGCATCAGAATCATGAATTTTATTAATTAATTAGCTGTAGACCAGCCACATCGCTTAATTAAGTCGTGTACCCAGAAGTCCTGCTGCTCAATAAGCCCATTGATCCATTCCTGAGGAATTTTGTCCCATTCTTCTAATACTGCTACAACCATTTGAACCTCAGTTGTTGGCTGCCTTAGGCGCCTATGGAGAGCTTGTTTTATTCTCCTCCAGCACTTCTCAATAGGACTCATATCAGGGCTAACTGCAGGATGGGGGAATAGAGTAATACCCATAGAAGTACGCCAAGTAGTACAAATATTGCTAGTAGTCTTGTGGCCGTGAGCAGAGTTGCCGTCTTCTATGAACTGAGGGGTCTTCCCAGGCCCCAAAACAGCCGCAAAAGCAGCTAAAAAATCCTGAATATAAGGCTTGAGTACTTGAGCAAGGTAATCAGTTTGTGTAAATGCCCCACTCTTCCCAGTTCCATGAATGTTGATCAATAGACTTTTGTATCCGTAGCCTACAGTACCAAAGAAGTGTACAGGAATAGTGCCACCTCTATGCATTTGGAATTGAATGCAGTCAGGATGACAGCGTTCCTTCTTATTCCTAATACACCTCTGCTTGCATTTCTTCCCTCCAACTTGAAATGTGACCTCATCTGAGTACAGTATCTGACTCCATTCCCAAATAGTCCAAAACATGTGTGCTATCCCCCACAGCCACCGCGCATTGGCTTGGGTCTTAGTGAGGTAGGGCTTTTGGCAGTAGATACAAGAGTAGTATCCAGCTTCTTTGCAGCGGCGTTTGAGGGTCTTGACAGAGCAAGAGAGTTGCAATTCATCGTGTATTTGGATCCAATTCAGCACTCTAGTTGCATGGTCGGTGCAAATATACTCAATAATATCTCTAACCTCCTGTTCATTGAGGGATTCTCTGGGTCTCCCTGTGCGTGTAGGGCGCGCTCTTTCAGGCACATCGTATAGTAGGATCTTCCTAACTGTGCTGTCTCCTAGGTGGTAGTAGCCCTGGAGCTGTTGCAGGCCTATTTTAGCGAATTTGAAGAGCCGGCGTATGCCCTCTTTGTGCTTGGTTCTGATCTCTGCACCTGGGAGACGTGGAGACATAGGTGGAGTGGTAAAAGGATCCATAATGGTGGAGTTGTTGATAGTTTAGTCCTAATGTGAAGAGTTTTAATTTCGAGGTTCTACAGCCTGAACGCACGGACTTTTGTCCCCATGTTCGTTAGCAGGTGACTGAGAATCGTTGAGCTGACTGCGCTGAAATGGCTCGACTTTAGCAAACCAAATCTAAGTAAAGTGGTTGTGGAGGTCAAATATTACTAGGTACAAGTCAAAACTTCAAAGAAAAGGGACGATCATCCATAGACTGAAGACAAGATCAGAAAATGTGATTGTAGACAATTTGCAGTTGATAGCGCTGCCGCTTAGAAGAAATGATTATAATTTTCAGATGCCGCCTACTAAAAGAATCAATGGCTATACTGTTTGCCCGCTACCCCAAACATACACTCATCACACCCCATCAAGATTTCTAAAATCTCTAACAGCTGAGAGTCGCAGCTCTCACGCCATCCAACCGCGAGCGAACCGTATCCTGTGCGAGTTTAGTGCCTTGCGCCTCAGCCTTGGCCTTTAAGTCTGCAGTGATCTTGGCGGCTAAGAGAGCTTCTGATCTTTTGATCTCTTCTATTGCCTTTTGAAGAGCCAGTGCGGATGCCCACTCGCCTTGGGCTTTTCGAAGTTGTTTCAGCTCATGGGGGCCCACCGCAACCAGTGTACCGTCCCCAGGAGTCAGACGGTATGTTCTGGCTTCTGCAAGACCAAAGCGGTGGTAACGGATGCTTCCTATGTGATGGATGTTAGTAGACCAGGAACAGGAAATCTTGGTCCTGGAGTGCTTTTGGGTTCTTACCAGATCGGAACAGCTTCTCCAAGAATCTCTCATGGGTGACAACAACCACTTCTTTCATCTTCTGCGCCTCTGCTAGGTTCATCTCCTTCAACGATAGCCAGCCTCGAACGAAGTCGAGATCCGTTGCCTTGGAATCTCTTTGGATCCATCGACCCATTTCATGAAGGGAACTCTCCTCGAAGAACTTGATGCCATCCACCCAGTCTTTGTTGTCCGTTTCACGACCGCTGAGTGATCGCATTAAGTCGATCTTCACACCATTATTGATAACGGAGCGAAGGCTCTTGCGTGCAGTGTCGATGCATCGTTTGTAGGGTGAGCAGAGGATATGGGTGATGCCTTCGTTGTCTCGAGAGAAGGTTCGGGCGAGATCATCACACTGACGTTCTCCGGCGTAGTCGACGCTAGCACTCATGTCGTTGCCGTTATTGAACGTGGCCTGAATAAGACGTCAGTTAGCTAAAACTCTGAATATGATATGCAGGGAAGGTTATTCATACATGAGCATGGCGAACGATGTGCACGATGATCGTGGGTGGGTAGTCGGAGCTCTTTGGCTTGGGTCCAGTGCTAGACGCGGCAGGGTAACACATGGCGGATGAGCGAGGATTCTTCGTGGTTGTCAAGGATCTATGGTGTATGCTTCAGTGGAATGTAACAGAGAGTCGGATGTTGTGATGTGTTGTGTTGGTGTGAAGGTATGAGTTGTGATGAAGGAAGGAAAGAAATGGCAGAAAGGATCAAAAGTCTTACATTATATACACGAGTAGCGGAATAGCAGGGCAGCCTGGCGGGGCTCGCGTCGTCCCTTTTGAACATGTGATTCGAGTCCTCGAAGACAAAGGAATGTCTTAGACAGAAGCGACTATCTCGCTAAAGCAGGAGAGAGAGATACTTGGCGCCGCTGGACCATCGGCCCGGTATCCTCCGGAGCTTGGATGTTGCACTTGACCTCCCGTGATGTAAAAAAATGTTTTAGACGGTAGTGGTTATCGCTTTTATCTAATTCCTTGAGAATGAGCCTGAAGCTGTTTAGCTTTCAGCTAGATATCTTTCTGAAGTTGAGTGTTACATATCATCATCTATTGAAGTTCGGTTGATTCAGCAGAAGTACTGATGGATGTCTAAGTAAAGGAGGTGGCATGCTATGTAGGCAACTAGTTCCTGAGAGAGAAAGCTTTGACATGGCTCAAGACTTGAGCCACCGAAGCGTCTTGAAAGCTGTGCCAAACTCGCACTACGCTTGGTGGATACCGCACAGCCTTCACGGTTTTCACAGCCTTCAAGGAGAACTGAATCGAGTCTAAGGAAACCTACTGGATCACATATCTAATTGATACTATGACATGAATGATGAATAACAGAAGCCTCAACGTAGCACGACTCTCCAGCCTCTAGCTAGAAATTCCCTAGCCGGCGTACTAATCATCTGCAAGTGATTCTTGACTTGTCACTTGAACTTGTTCCAGAAAGCTTTTGGTCCACCTGGAACTCTTCTTCTTTTTTTCCCTTCTTGGCAGGCTTTGCTTCCTTGGAGCTCTTGGCTCTGCCGTGCACCCTCGATGAGACTTCTTCTATCTTCCTGCTTGCTAGTAAGGCTGACAGTTGCTTGAAATTCATGGGTCTCGCTGTCTCTGGACTGGGATTGGCGAACATTCCATCTCCCTGAAAGTCCCCACAGTTAGCCTTGTGATCTCTTCTCGCACCATGAAGTGATGTTATTTGGACGTCCTACCTGAGCAGTGAGGAGAGGTCTATTATTTGCTTCCTCGGTCGAAGTGACTGGAGTTTCAGTCTCAGTGTGCATGCTCTTTCTCTTGTGTTCGCCTTTCTTTTGTCTGAACTCTTGTTTAGCCTTCTGCTGTTCTCTCTTCGCAGCTTTGGCTTTTTCTGCCTTATCTTTCTCCTGTCTAGAAATCAGCGCTCTGGCATGCATCTCTTTTACTTCCTTCTGCTGTTGGATTTCTTTTGCCCAATCGTGCTGGATCACTCGTTGTGCATCCAGTTCCCTCTCAGTACGAAGGTGGATCAGAGATCCAGAAGCAATTCCAGTCTTTACCATATAGCTGCGAAGCTTCGCATTCGGGAAATGTTGTTCTCTATAAGCTTCACTTCAATGTCAACGTAGAGCTCGATTAGCAGATTTGAGTAAGTTACCTTTCCCCAGCAATTTTGATAACTGCTGTCCATGAGTGACGACGACCACTTCGCGCACCTTGGAGGCCTCCTTTGCCGATAACCCTTTCAATGTCAAATACTGCATTACGAACTTCTCGGGTCCTGTTTGAGTGCGTCTGGAGCGAGTCTGTTCTTGTATCCAGACATCGTCGACTTCCGCATGTCTGGGTGCAGTGTCAGACCCGTATGAAGCACCTCGTTTTCCTGCCAAAGCTGGCATGACTTGGATCTTCAGCCCACTTTTCAAATGACGAGAGAAGCTTCTGCGTGCGGTGTCCAGACATCGTCCGATGGGAGAAGACAATATTTGTGTTACGTAATCAGCGTGCTTTCTGAAGCTTTCAGAAAGGTCATCGCATTGCATTTAGCCTTGAAAACTGAGTGGATCAGGGCTGGAGTCGCCTGGCTTTCTTGACTACATAATAAGAGGTGGGAATTAGTGTCGACCATATGATGAGACTTAGTATGACTTGCCTGAGCGTGACGGACGAGATGAACGATAACTACAGGGGGTAGCTCTGAGGCGAGAGGCTTGCTGGATGGCTTCGCCATGGTGCCAAGACTAATGAGAATATTGCAGAACGATAATGATAGGTTGAGGGGAGGACCAATCTCTTGACAGCAGACTTGATAACTGAAATACATTCATTATTTGACACAGAATAACTTCAGGCAAGTGCTCGAAACTTCATTTCGAATCTCGAGCATCGAGGATGCGTTCCATAATAGCCGTGAAATAGCGCGAGACAACTTTGCTCCAAATGAAACAATGCTTTTGTTACCCGACCAAAGTTGGTCAGTCCGGGAGGTAAAACTTGATACTTGAAAGTATGGAAGTAGAAACTGCAAGTAATGGGGAAAAACATAATGACCTCCGCTGCTTCGAAGAAGAGCTCAAATGTTCGTTCTGTTATCCGTGACACTGAACAATATTACACGTGAGATCCTACGCGCCCCTTAACGTCCCACATCACTTTCCTGCCTCGTTATTGTAACGCTGTGCCATCGTATTCTCTTTCAACTGCTCCTCAAACTCCCTCGTCATCTCACAAGCGTCTTTCAAATGTCTAAAGGTTAGCAAGCCACTCCCCTTCTTCTTAGCAGCACCATGTCTAGCCGATGCCAGCGCTCCCGACACTACATTACGGATCTGCCTTCCATTCAGCTTGAACTGATACGCGTAATCATTGACAAAGTCATCGATCCTGGATCTGTCATCAATCCACTGAGGCATCAGTTGGTCCAAAAAGAACGCAAAGATCTTGCGCATTTGAGGCTCAGTCAAGTCCGTGTATCGAATTGCTAAATGAATACGTGAGATGACTGCGACATCGATGGACTTGATCCGATTAGTCGTCAAGATGATGATCCCTTGGTAGTACTCCAAGACTCGAAGTAACACGGAAACTAGGGCGTTCCTGCCGGCACTCGAAGCCGCCCCTCGGGTTTCGAGGAACACATCGGCTTCATCGACTAGCAAGATAGCTTCCCACTTGCTAGCGAGGTTGAAGAGTTTCTCAAGGTTGCGTTCTGCGCGAGAGGGGTCTAGTCCGATCTCTGCCACGCTGACGATGAAGAGTGGTTTTCCTGTTGCGGTTGCGATGGTCTCTGCTGTGAGAGTCTTGCCGACTCCTGGTGGACCGTGAAGAAGGAGGACCAGTCCTCGGCCTTTGCCTTGGACAACATCCTTCACTTGTAACTGCTGCTCGAGCTCCGCGGTGGAAGATTCGTGGGAATCGACTAATGCTTCAATCATATCCTTGTACCTGTATTCAAAAGGTTAGCAAAATATTTCTAATGAGATACTAAGGAGGGATCGGGCATTATCAATCACTTACCTTTGGTCTAATTGTAGGTCCTCCTTGAATGGTTTAAAATCTCGATTCGGAGCTGTCTGCGTGAGTTCGACAGAGAACTGTCCCCACATTTTCTCCCTGGTTGCATAGCCCAGAAGTCGAGGTGGGAAAAGCTGATGCGTGTCGTCTTCTAAGGCCTTACGTATATCCAGGTTTATTGGAGTTCCATCCGGCTCTCGAGGATCTTCATCAGTGAACCTCTCCTCCCATTCACCCAGCACGTGACTGCCTGTTCCATATTGGAGGAAAGCTGCGGCATCGCAGATGAACTCTCCTTTGACCTGCAAGCGTCAGCGATAAGATATACAGCTAGCTACTGGAAACTTACTGGGACAACTGTTGGGCTATATTTCTCTTTTCCCAGCAAATCCTCGTTCTGGTATCGTTTTGAGCCACCACCTTCCGTGTCCTTTTGAGAATGTCAGCAGTTGAGGGACCTGGTCCACAAGCCGTACTCACTTCGCCATCATCTCCCGAAGCGATTACTTTCCTTCGATCTCCATAAGCATCGCCTCGGTAAGTAAACATCTGACTTGCCCCACGCTTCACCTGGGTACACTTTACATAGCGCTCACTGCGCGCCTTGATGTCCTTAAGAACTTCCTCCTTGTTTTGATCGAAGTCGATAGGGTAGTATTCAAGCTCGTTGATAGGTTTTGTACCTCTGAATCTTTCGAATTTTAGTTGATAGTATACTCGAACCATCTTCTTTCCATTCCAGTCCCAGCACCACGCCCACATATCCAAGGTGGATTCGACCGGATTTGAAAATGGTATTGGCGATGTCAATACCTCAAATATTTGAGGAATATTCATGAATGGTTTGACAAGGATTTTGGTCTTCGGGGCAAAACATGTCCAAAGCGTTTCATAGGTTGTAATTTGAGCACTAATGTTCGCTGCACGGGTTTTGAAGTATTTCTCAAGCTCTGGGGCTGATTGAACACGACCTAGCAGATGAGCCAGATCTTTAGTTGCTTGGGATTCTGGCGTGTCTTCTAGTTTCTTTTGAAGCTTGTCCCAATTGTGAACCTTCACCAGTCAGTATATCCAATGATGTTACAGGTCATGAGATTTTACCAGGGGTGAGAAAGGAGCAGCTATAGTGACAAGTTCTCCATCGAAATTGATCCCAGGGTACTTGTTGTCAATCACACTTTTCAGGATCCCTCTCAGTTCTTCTCCTTCAATATCCAACTCAGAGAAAGCACCCTTCTCTCCGGTTTCTGGATCGTACACTCGTCGAAAGGTGTAAGCAATATCTTTGGAATCCGATTTCTTCAAAAGGGCTGCGCTCACATCCTGCTCAAATCATTAGCACTGTGAAGTTTAGAGACTGAATGAGTTGAGGACCTCGTCTTTGTGAGATCCAGCGCTACGATCCCATTTCCGAAGAATGTTTCGGTACCGGATTGTTGGCTTCGTCTCATCCTCTTTCTTGCCATCAGTCTCCGTTCCTTTATCTTTGGTGTCTGTGCCAGTTGCTTTCTCTGTGGCAACCCCATTTGCTTCCGTCTTGTTCTCTGATTTGTCGTCTACTTTTGACACCTCAGGGGACTTGGGAGGGGCATTAACTAGTGCCTCAAGCTGAGCAATTCGTTGCTCGAGTAGTTGAGTGTATCTCTGCTGGAGATCAGTCTCCATGGTAGTGGCCATTTTGAAATTGTCTGTTCTCGCAAAGTTTTGGGGCCAAAGATTCCAACTGAGAAGAGCCTCGCGGAGTCTTATGCTCGAGCGAACCTCTAGCCAGTTGCCTGAAATAGGTCACCGACATCCATGTCGCTCTGGAGCGCCAATTGAAACAGCGAACGGCTGCTGTGATCCCTCGTGGAGTCAAGGGTACTGTCGCATTGCAGCTGTGGTGCTTGCATATAGCCCCCAAATGACGGCCCCGCCGCAAAGAGCAATCAACCACGCCTCGACGTGTTGTCGTACTTCCGTGAGGCTGTCCTTCATCTTGATCGTCGCAATGTCGAAGGACGAACAATCGTCAAGTCTTCGTTGATGGAAGAGCAGAAGCGTGTTTGGTTCGAGAAACATGAGAGCGGAGGAGGAGGAAAGAGGTGAGTGGTGAAATTTAGCTATGTAATCAGGCAACCGACAGGTCGTTTACAGCGTCCTTCACTGCTAACGTCTCTCCAAGCAGCGGAGTCCTGCAGCCTCCCGAAGAGGTCCTCAAAGCTCATCAACGGTTCAAAAACAAGCTACGAAAGGCCCTTCGAGTCGAAAAAAGAGAAGTACACATAGCTTCTACGAAAGAAGACTTGGACAAGCAGATCAAGGAGACCCAAGATGGATTCTTTCCTCATTTAGTTGCGCAGCAGAACCTCGACGATGCAACCAAGTCGCAAGATATATACCATGCCGACCGAACGCATGGCGCCAAACGAGTTGGACGATGGGCACAAGAATTCGCCAATGGGTTCAGTCAGTTCGTCAGCGCATATTCAGGCATCATAGATGTCGTCCAGAATGCTGCAGGGCCGTATGGAGATGTAGCATATCAAACCCTGTCTATATTCCTCATTGTTGGCCTTCTCTCAAGTCGATTTGAAACGAATCTGACATATCTCCCAGGTCGTGGTGAATAAAAGCAGTAATGATATCAAAATCAAGGATTTGCTCGATGATATGCGAAAGTCTTTCCCTCGCCTGGAGAATTGGGCTGATATCTACCCTACTACGACAATGAGAAAATTAGTTGCAGATGCTTATGAGCAGGTCATCGAATTCTCTCGAGCTGCTACGGAGTACTTCACACACTTCTTGAGTAAGTATATAGTATTTGAGAACTGGACAAAATTCCTAACACATGTGCCACAGCGAGATTCACATTGGCAATCATTGCCCCGCCATCCACGGGTGTGGATAAAATTGCAGCTCTCATCCACAAGACGCTCGCAGAGATCAATTCGGAAGCCATGTACAAACTACATGGTCGATCACAAGATATCCAAACTCAGGTGAACAAGTCTGGTCAGCATATTGAAGAACTTAAAGCACAAGTTACTATCTCCGGTGAAAAGATCCAAAAGCTCCAGGTTTATGCAGAGAGAATGGAAGACACGAACGACTGGCTACGACGAGCTTTGCAGGAGCAGTCGGATAAGTTCGATGCATACAAGAAGGAGGTCGAGCGTACGAGCCCATGAAATTTAACCATTGCTACGATGTTAGCTAACAGCTCCCATAGAACGAGCGCAACAAGAAGACGAACAACGACTGAAAACTCTGGAAGAAGAGCTTGGGGTAAGGCTCATCGTATCAAAACCAGATCAGTACTAACTGATATCTTACCAGGTAACATTCCCATCCCCAGAAACCAACGTCGAAGAAACCAAAAGATACCTCAAACAAGTCTTCCCCAACTCGCCACGCTACGTAGCACACATGCCCGAAACAGCCTACGTCCAAATGAACCGCGCCCTCCTCCAAAAAACCGAAATCTACCGAAGCTGGATCTCCTCCACCGACTCCTGCCTGCTATTCCTCAGCGGCAAGACCGCCTACGACGGCCGCCACTACAGAGGATGGAGCCATTGCTGGCTCTCACCGGCTGCTATTTATATCACTGAAGATCTTGCGAGAGAGGATATTCATGTTGCGTTCTTTTCTTGCCATCCGGGGTTGGAAAGTAAGGTTGTCCCTACGAAGCAAATTATCTCGTCGATTATTCTCCAGATTTTGATGAGGAAACCGCATATCCTGCGGGAGAAAGCGGTGCAGTTCCATAGTGCGGCATTGAGTGATCCGTTCCGGAACTCAGCGAATACTAAAACGCAAGCAAGAGCTATGATGAAACTACTCGGAGACGTCCTCGCTGCTGTGAAAGATCTGGGAACCACCTTTATCGTTCTAGATAGACTGGACCAATGTGAAGGCAAATTTAAATTCGTCATGGACGAACTGGTAAGGTTAGTAGGTAATCCGGCCTGTAATGTCAAGATTGCCGTTATTGCGGAGACTTCGATTGGGGGTGGAGAATGGGATCCAGATATGCTGTCTGAAGTTGAGTATAAAGTAGACCGTGTGTTCCGGCGTCAGGATTGGAATCAGGCTCGGTTGACGAATCTGGAGCTTAATAGGGGAGAGAGGCCTCTGACGTGGACGAGTGAGGGGTCGACGTTGTCGTTGGGTGATGTGACTGCTTAATGTATATATCGAACCTCAAATAGTGTAATTACTGTGATATATCTATCAGGACGTCCTTCATGCATTAGTTTGCTCGCTAAAGGTGTTCATAAACCAACTTCGAGACAGTAATCCATCGTCCTTCTCACCCCTCTGCAAATCGTAAACCCCCCCTTTAAATCCCTCGCTCAAGATATCTCAACAGCGAAGATAGCTGCTATTACTGTAGAACGTAGTGCACTTGACGTTGCGAAGAATCACGGGAGCTAGAGTAGAACAACATGCGTTCTGGAAACATTTCAAGAAATTGATTGAGAGCCTTACAGGTGGCAAAGTAGCAAAGAAGTAGGCGTGAACAGCGCGACCAGCGCGACCAGCGTGAATAGCGCAAATAGCGCAAATAGCGGAAAAGGCGGGAGATGGGCCGGCAGGCGGAACGTAGTAAGTCCATCACAGTAACTTTAGGTGATGGTGGGATAACTTGCTAATAATTTCAGTGTCAAGATGGGATTGGGTTGTTTCTGTGTGCTAGACAGAGGTGATGGAAGGGTAGAATATGAAGGGGGTTCGGAGGAACGTTGGGGAACGAGAAAGTAAATCTTGATATCCAATTCGTTACTACGCTCTACTCAAAAGACCCAGAAACCACAACATGCAACCATATCCAAACCCCTATCGATCCTCAGCAGCAACAGCAGCCAAGCCACCAGCAGCCTGCAACTCCTCATCCGAAGGTAAATTAACAATCATCAAATACAACACATCCTTCTTCAGAATCTTCTTAACAAGCCCATCCCTCTTCTTCCCCGTCTGCGGCGTAATCTCCTCTCCCCTCCTATACGCCTTGTACATCCTCCTATCAATCCTCCTCTGCTGCTTCCTCGCCTTCGGATTCACATGTCCGCCCGTCAACAAACTGATCAGACTGCCCGAATTCGCAGGATGGTTCGGGTCCGCATATCGACTGCTGAATTTTTGTCCATTCTCATCGCCAGGAGAGATAGCGAGTTTCGAGTTCGGGTTCTCAGCGATGTATTTTGCTTGTGCGCGACGGTCGAAATAGTCCGCGACGAATTTCTGGCTGGATTTCATGGCGGACTTCTTCTTCTCGGCATTTTGAGAGTTGTCGTCTGCGAGGTCTTCAAGAGCTGGGAATATGAGGGGAGCTGCCTCGGGGAGTTCGAGCTCGCCGTATGTTTTGCCGGACGAGAGACGCATGTTCTTGAGTGTTTGGCGGTTCTTGCTGGCTGCGGGCGTCATAGAGGAGCTGATTGTTTGTGTGATGTCGACTCGGGAGTGGGAGGAGGTGGATTCGGGTTTGTAGGTCATGATGAGGCAGTAGAGACCGCGGGGCTTGAAGAATTCGTTGTTCATACGGTCGAGAAAAGAGTTTGTTCTGTTGGTTTTCTGTTAGCATATCTTCTCCTTTTTCAAAAGAATAATAGCAGAACTCACCTCGTTCTACGCTGTACTTCCATAGCCACTCCCACTGCAAACTGGACAGCGATAGTGACACCCATTGCAATAGGATTAGGCACGAAGCCTACAGCCATAGCTGCCATATTCACAACCTGCAACCATGGGTCCTCTTTACAACTCGCATGGAACGTCTTGAGGAAATCCAAGAACGTAGCTTGATCAATGCCACAATCCTCCAGAACCGGAGCATAAGCTCTCACAAAGCCCCTCTTCTTATCTCTCGGTCTGCGCTGTGGCAGAATGACAGGGCATGGTAATGGGTTCCTCTTGAAAGAGGGTGTACCAGGTGTGTACATTGGTGGAGGGTGATCGTGCATAAAGGTATCCGTGAGCTGATTCAGACTCTGCGGACTCCTAGCATTCTCTTCTTGCGTATTCGACTCCGTCAACGCTCCAGCGGCATCGTCCATCTCCCACAACTCCTCATCGTCGTCCTCGGACACATCTTCCTCGTCCTCTCTGTACAGGTGTTTCTCATCCTTCGAATCTACAGGGACGGCTTGGCCTGTCGCGATTAGCTTCTCTGCCGTCTCATCAGGCACCTCGACATATTCCGGTGGAGCTTCGTCATAATCTGGTACGGAGCGAGATCGCGATGCTCCTGCTGCGCTAGATTCGCCGTTGTTGGAGTTGAGACCAGCTGCTGCGGCTGCGGCTTTCTCCTCTTTCGAGGCTTTTCGGTGGGATATTGCTTCGGAAGCAAGACCTATGCCCGAACCGATGAGCTTAACGAGGATACCCATGATGAATGATTTCTGCTATCAATTCTATCCGGATCTTAGAAGGTATTGATATCAAGTATTGCGATGAGATTGCTGTCAAGAAATTAGAGGTGACATTTCAATCCCTATATATGTCCTTCCTTCAACATTTTTCCCATCCTTCGAGCTGTCAATTCCGTAGATCAACTTCCAGCACTCCCAATGTAGTAAAGGTTGGAGTCCAGCAGGGTTTAGCACTGGACGGCCGTAAGATAGCGCGGGGTTCAGCAGCCCCAAGCCACTAAGAAGCTTAACTGCTGCGGCACAGCCCTTTTTCATCTCCACTCAGTACCTGAAACCAGGTATCATGGCTTTGGGTGGGCATGTGAATTCGAATAGTGCTGACGTCCTCTTGATGGCTGTGTCTCAGCTCCCCGAGCTTTCAGGATTGCCTACTTGGGTAACTGTTTAGTAGGTGCAGATGTGCAGTACGGATGTAGAAGACTTAATGTTTCAATGATTATGGTGAATGTAGAGCTGAGAATGAAAAAGAGGCACAGTTCTTGGATGACTGCAGCATGATGAGTAATGGAATGAGGGGTCGGAGAAATATATATATCTGGCGCAGGGCTGAAATGGAGTTAATTGATTGGACCATCTGATATTTGGAAATGGCATCGACTTTGCATCTGAGATTTATCTTCAAGCGATTTGAGCTTATTGTTGCTTCTCTTTGTTGTCCATGAAGACAATGTCGAGTCTTCAAAGTAGATATCCGAAGTCTTCTCGATGCAGCAGAGTAAAGATCACGCCTCACTCATGTTACGACGACAATCTTCCCCCCAGCGCTATTTTCTTCCATCACTTTGTGCGCCTCCACGATCTCGTCCAATTTGAAGACCTTGCCAATCTTGATCTTCAGCTTCCCATCTCTAATCTGTCCCACCAGCTCATTCAATGGTGTAGCCATAAAGTCCTCTGGTCCACCAGCATAAGTCGTCAAGTTGACAGCCGTCGGAATCGACCCCATCGGACTAAACTTATCCATCTCCCACTTTCCACCCACCATTCCGACCATGCAAACACTCCCACCCTCCTTGACACACTGCAAACTATCCTCCAGCGTCGTTGTCCCAATCAATTCGAGAACTTTGTCATACTTCTCCTCGATACTCTTGCTCACACTTCCATCGTCAATGACAACCTCATCCGCACCCGCATCCCTCAACATCTGCTCTCTATCCTTCCTCCTCGTCGAACTCGCCACAAACGCTCCATAATTTTTCGCAATACTCGCAGCCGCCAACCCAACACTAGTCGTCCCTCCCCTAACCAGAAATCTCTCCCCACTCTTGACCCTCAAACTCTTGAACAGACTCCCCCAACTCGTCTGCAGCATCTCGGGACAAGCCCCCAGAACCTCCCACCCATGATGACCCTCCCCATCACTCAACCCCTCCACTCCTCCCTTGATAACTTGAACATTCTTCACAGGCACAGAACTATACTCCGCATACCCGCCATCGAATTCCCTCCCCAGTCCCCCCATGCAAGTAGCCACCACATCGCCCTCCTTGAATTCATTGCCCGGGCATGAAGCTACAGTACCAACACATTCGATACCTAGAACTCGAGGGAATTTGACGTTGGGAGAGTGTCCTTGACGAGTGAAGAGTTCGGAACGATTCAAGCCGAACGCATGGATCTTGATGAGGACGTTGCCTGGTTGAGGGGTGGGTGTGGGTTTTTGTTCGAGCTTGAGGGCTGAGGGGCCGCCTGCTTCGTAGATTACTGCTGCTTTCATTGTGGAGTGTGACATTGTTGTGATTGATCGTGAGAAAGTTTTGAGACTTGATTTGATAATTTGTAGCATATAAAGCGGACAGAGAAAGATTTGAAGTGCAGGAGAAGGAGATCGAGGGGTTTTGAAGACAAGGCTGAAAGAATAAAGATATGAAGCGGGGCAATACTTGCATTAGTGTCAAGCTTCGTTGATGCTAGTGCTCCCCAAATAGGCTCGGGTTATGCTCCAATGAACGCCTTCAATTAGCCCAGAACCCGTGCCGAATTCAGCATAGTGTTATCTCCCTCCTCTTTCAAAGAGATATGTCCACAAGTATTGGACTAATGTATTTGGTACCAAAATCTCCTCGACAGTTGAAATTGTGCTATGCAATGACTCAGCATACGACTTTCCTACTTGGGTCCTGGGAACTGCATTGAAATGAGAATCCGAGCTCAAAACAGCAAAACGAGCTCGATCAAGGAATGCGTGCTGGCGTGATAGCGATGCAACCGAGTTACGGCATTCAGACTCTGGTCGTCCATATAAGTAAAGACGTAATACATGTGCGCTGATCATCAGAGAAGTTTATCTCTATCAAAGTTCGATATATAAAAGAGAAATTACCCCTCTATAGAACGAAATCTCTCTACAGCTTCCCACAAATTTCAATCGAAGGCAGAACTCTTCACGACAGTTCTGCAATCTTGAACCTCGTTGTACTCCACTTGGAATCACCATTCAGCCAACTCTCGCCTCAAAAGTTATCAATCCACATCGACTGTTCACTTGAATCTCAATCAACATGGCAGACACCAAAGCAGAAATAACGACCCTCCTCCAAACATACGCCAAACACCTCAACGCTTCTGATACCTCCTCCATCGTCCCTCTCTACACCAAAGATGGAGTCTTGTAAGAACTCATTCCATTTAACATCACAATTTTCGTCCAGCCCATCTCTTTCCTGCAACAAAACGAAACACAAAGAAAAATGTGCAAAGTCTAACCTCTCACCTCAGCATGGCACAACACTTCCCCACCGCCTCCGGCACAAATGAAGTCCGCGATGCATACAACAAAACATTCTCCCTCATCACCCTCTCCGTTGAATGTACCACCCCCTCCCTCCCTGTCCTTTATCAGCACTAACAGCCCCAGTCACTATCCACGAAATAATTCCCACCAGCCCCTCCTACGCCATCGCACGTACATCCTCCATCGGCACCGTAACAATGCAATCCAACGGGGGCAAAACCAACGAAGGAAACCAGGAGCTATTCGTTTTGCAGAAGGAAGATGGAGAGTGGAAGATTGCTCGGTATTGCTTTTGTAGCGTTTTGCCTCCTCATTGAGTGAGGTGGGAGCCGAACTTCTCTGCAGCCTTAGTTTGGAATAGAGGTACATTCAATTGATCAGCATTTGCACTTGCTTGCAGCAACAGTGACGTTGACAATAGAGGACAATCTCAAAATGTGATGGGACGCTGACAAATCCTCCTGCTTGAGCCGCCCCTGGCTTAGCGTTGTGACTTAGCTTAATTCACGTGCTTCGCCCCCATTTCACCAGAACTCCCATCAAATTTCTACAACATTCTTCTGTCGCGACTGCTGTAGAGAAAGTAGAGAGGGAAATGTTCACCGTAATCGTTCCCGAAAATGCCTCCCCGCAAAAGCGCCGCTCCCACAAGAAATCCCGAGCCGGATGTCGAACATGCAAAGAGCGGAAACTAAAAGTAAACACCCCAAACTTCTTATAACATCAAACTAACAAAGGAAACCTCAGTGCGACGAAGTCAAACCGATATGCGGAAATTGTCAACGTCGTTTTCCCACCATGCCGAGATGTGACTATGGCACTCGCCTTCCCTCACGAGCAGATCCAACTCGTGCATTGGCTCCAGCACAACCCGGGTCAAGCAGCTCGAGCTCGAGTTCCAGCTCTTCTGATTCTGGGAACGAAGATTGGAAAATGTCTCTGCCGGCTAGCTTGAGAGGTGAATTGCTGGATCCGTTTCAGACGCTTCCGCCAAGCCAGGTTAAGGGAGTTGATATTTTGATGAAATTCTGTAGGTGCTTCCCCGTTTCTGCTCTTTCGCTTGATACTTAGTGCGAAGTAAGACTTGACGCTGATGTGAAAAGATAGATCTTAGAACAGCTTTGTATAAGAACTTTCCCTGGCAACCACCCTCTCCAACAAACGCAACAACAGCATACTACGTCCCGCTCATTTTTCACGATGTAGTGCTTTTCCATGCTATACTTCAACTCAGCGCATGGCGCCTAGAACCACACGTCCGGCAACAGCACGGGTTGAGTTTTGCATTCTTGTGTGCCGAAAGTATTAGACTTCTACGAGATAGAGTCGAGAATGAAGGCGGAGATATAGGGGTGCGAGATGAGACGATCAGTGCTGTTGCTACACTTGCTGGCATTGAGGTATGTACTGCTTTCATCGTAGGGAGGGATATGTTGACAACGAGAATAGCATGAAAGAGGAAATACAAAAATGCTAAGAATGCATCTTGAAGGATTGAAAAGGATGGTCAACATCAGAGGCGGACTGAACGCCATCCGCGAGAACAATCCGATGGTTGCAAACTCGGTTTTTTGGGCGTTTGCTGTTGCGTTGTACGAAGCGCCGTATCCGAATTTGGATGCGGAGCTTCCTCCTTTCTTCCCCAACGAGCATGATCTTGCTCTTCCGAGTCCTGCTGTGGTTTCGATATTCCAGGACTTTGGACCAATCCACGAAGAACCACCACCGTTGGATCTGACCGAGTCTGGGGTTAATCCTGGTATAGCTGTGATTGTAAATTCGATTCAACATGTGTCCCAATTGGTCCCCACAGCTTCAGCATATCCCACCGCTTCTACCTCTATGGTCATCTTGACTCGAATGTGCACATTGCTCTCACATCTGCTGAGCTTACCCCGCGCTCGCCTCTATCCTGAGATAGATACGAATGCAACCTTGGCAGAAGCTGCATTGATTTCCGAAAGCGTGCGATTCGCAACACTGCTCCACGTCTTCACTCCTTGGCGAGGACTCCCACCAGATGGGACCTTGGCAATCAACCACATCTTACATCAGCTGATGGCTAGCCTGAAGCAACTCTTGGCAAATGCCACTTCAAGAAACAACACCGTACTCCTTTGGATGCTAACCGTTGGCGGTGTGTCTGCCGGTCAAACGCCAGAAAGAGCATGGTTCGTCAGCCATCTTGTAGAATTGACAGAAGAATTGAACATCTCAAACTGGGAGGGTATGAAATCGCATGTACGTCGTGTCATATGGCATGAGAGGTTGTGTGAGAACTCGCACCAGAAGCTCTGGGAAGAGGTTATGACAAAGAGGCGAGAGCTAGACGATGGAATGGGGGTTAACACAACATAGAATAGACAATAGAAATTGAGTAATGAAGCAAACAAAGTTCAAGCCACAAGGCTTTCCGCATAAGTGGACTTCCCGCCGGGCGAGACCTGATCTGATATATCGGTTCAAGAGATGTTCTCTCCCGCCTCGGCTTAAAAGCAACCAATGGAGCAGAAAACGGGAAACGAGAGGTAAAGCAAATTCGTCATCTACTGCAACTGCTAGCAGGCAAGTAAATCGATCGTTACTTCCGAAATGCATCTCTTCCGATGATGAGAGCATGGGTCCGTTGCGCACGGAAGCAATATTGATATTTAGAAGCTCCACGCAAAGGAAACCCGCGCGCCAAGAGCATTGCGCCTTCCTGTTCGAGAAATATAACTGTCTTCAACCAGCTCTCCGGGACGAACATGGCGAATAACTTTTCGTTTTGGGGTGATGCTCGAGCTGCGGATTCCGAAGGCTTTCACGAGATCTCATTCGAGAAGGCGACATTCCTGCAGTCATTCTAGAAGGCTTCCCAAAAAGCTATTGGCTGGTCATTGTTGAACTTCCGTGCCAGTTTCGCCCCTGGGATCCGACAACAGAGAGTGATGGTCTGCACAAGCGCGAACCTGCAGGATCTTTGTTTGAAACAGAGGCTTTCTGTGGGAAAATCTTTGATGAGCCACTGAGCTGCAAATAGTCGCCATGAGCAGTTTTCGCTCGAAAATATCTGACAGGCTTTCAGCGAGGCCGCGTTTGCTCGATCCTGCTCTCCACTTTTCTCCATCCGCAGATCGTGAAGCAACGATAGCACGACTCCACGAGATAGCAGGCGGGAGCGGATACGGATGACGATGCCCCTTTTGGTTCTTATCAGGACCAAAGTCAGGTGCCAAGCATCGAAGGGCAATGGTGACAGAAGCAAAAACGAAATATTTTGCAAGGATTCTCGGCTAGAAGAGGAAAGCTTCTGGAAGGACGCTCCAAGTCCTTCTCTGCAGAAGGATTGCAGCTCCTTCCGGGGAATAGGGAGACAGGCATTTGGTTGGAAGTGGCAAGGGAAGGTTGAGCGCCACAAGATGAGCCAAGATCTCTGTAGTGGTGTGGTGGCACTGCATTGTGACGAATCTTGAGCCGAGGATTGCATTGCCTGGCATATGCAAAGCATGGTTTGTTCCGACCTGTACCAGAGCCAGCTGTACTGTATGCCTTGAGTCTTTTACAGAGATGGCAACATACCTTCCCCGCGGGTGATGTTTGGCAAAGTCTCTGCCTTCTGAGCTGATTTCCACGAGTCAGCGACAATAGTGCGACCCTGCGACATTTTTGAATGTGGCTTTCTTCTGCGTTTATTGAAGCTAGTTAGGAAGGCGATTTTTGATGACAGTGAGGTTGTACGTGATGAGATCGCGGCTACACTGCGTATCTTTGGGAAGACCCAGCCTCGCAATGCAGCAGGGTTCTCCAGGCTCGAGCCAGGGTCCTCTTCCGCACCATAGCATCCGCTATTCCTGCGTTATGGCAAGAACACAAATCACAGCGCTCTGCTCAGCTTCCAGGCCTGCACTAGAAATAAAATTAGTGAGTAAAGTAACGAATCCGGTCGACGCCGGCCCGAATAGAAAAGGTTCGCGCTTGATCTACCCACTCAAAAATCCATTAGAGCTGCTTCTAGAATAATTCCCCATTCGACAAATGCACCGGCCAAACCAGAACATCGAAGCTTATCGTGCCACAAAGTGAGCTCGCCATAGCTTTGCGACCGTCGAAACCCGATTCGAAACGAAAAACTTCTCCTTGCAGGAGCAGTCAGCCGTGGCTGCCACATGAAATATTGTCAACGTAGATGGCGGGGAAAATCCAACGCCTCAAAAACGCCCCCAAAGCCATTCCCACGGTTGTGCATTAAATCGTGTCACAACATGCCTTTTCCCCCCGGTTATAGTCGGGGTAAATGAGAAATATGATCCGCGGTGGTCTACATCGAGGAGTGATTAGTTCGCTTCACAACGCCCTCAGGGGCTATGAAACTTCTTCGATTTGTCCAGGTCTCTTCATTTGTTGATATCCATGACGACGGGCGCTACTCTTATCTGTGGATCTGTAAACGTGAGACTACCGGCAGGCCCACAACACAGAGGATGGGGCTCTGCCAAGCCTTGCAGCATCCATTTGATCCAACGAAGCTTGCTGGGTCTTGTGCAATGCTTGCGTCCCTTGGTAAGGTTTAGTCGGTTTCGAGGTCGGGCATGCCGTGCGAAGAGCTCTCGAGATGGTCCATACGGACGGCCAGAGCAGGGACCAGCAAATTGTCACTCCCGTCTATGGGTCAATGAGCCTGTCGAGAGGGGATGCCAAGATGAAGCTAGAGAGATAGAGGGAAGAGTGTAGTACAGTCTCCTGCTCATCCCAAGAAGTACTTAATGAGTCCTATATCCCAACCTCAAACGCGCATCAGTCTCGTGTCTGTCAACTCAATTCCATCCTCTCACCATATAAGCGTGTAGAGCAGGTTCACTTCTTCTGTATATTGCCATCTTTTGGGAAACCATATTCGACATGGGCGTTTCCGAGAAAGAAAAGTATGGCTCCGACATCGAGGCCACGAGCCCTGGTCTGGTCTCGCCAGCCGACGATGTCGAGGTCGGTGAGGGAGGTTTGAAGAGAAATCTCAAGGGGAGACACATGCAAATGATTGCCATTGGAGGTTCCATCGGTGCCGGTCTCTTTGTTGGTTCTGGTAGCGCTCTCAACTCCGGTGGACCTGCGTCGCTGGTGATTGATTTCATCATCATTGGTTTCATGCTTCTGCTCACAGTCAACGCTCTTGGAGAACTTGCTGGTACGTTTTCTCGATCCGCATATCCCACAAGAAAGTTGTCACTAACCTGATATAGCTCTCTATCCTGTTGCTGGTTCCTTCTATAACTACTCGATCCGATTTATCGACCCTGCTTGGGGATTTGCCATGGGCTGGAACTATGCAATGAACTGGCTGGTTGTATTGCCTTTCGAGTTGACGACCGCTGGTATCACAATTGCTTTCTGGACCGACCCGCAGAACACCGGAACTCCTTCCGTCAACGTTGGTGTCTGGATCACCATCTTCTTGGTCCTCGTTTGTGTCATCAACATCTTTGGTGTCAAGGGATACGGAGAGGTCGAATTCGTCCTTGGCTGCATTAAGGTTCTCGCGGTCATTGGGTTCATCCTCTTAGGTGTGATCATTGATTGTGGCGGGGTTCCAACCGACACCAGAGGTTACATCGGAGCCCAATATTGGCATAATCCAGGTGCGTTCCGGAACGGCTTCAAGGGATTCTGTTCGGTGTTCGTGACTGCTTCGTTCGCTTTCGGTGGTACTGAGCTTGTCGGTCTTGCATCTGCAGAGGCTGCCAATCCAAGAAAGTCCATTCCCAAGGCTACCAAACAGGTGTTCTGGCGTATCACCCTTTTTTACGTTGTCTCCCTCTTCATCCTGGGCCTCATCGTCCCGTCTGACGACAAGAACCTCTCCAACGCAACCGGCGGTAACACCCGTTATTCACCATTCGTCTTGTCGTTCCAACTTGCGGGTATCAAGGTTCTCCCATCCATCTTCAACGCCGTGATCACTCTTTCCGTTATCTCGGTCGCCAACTCCTGCACATTCGCCTCCACTAGAACTATTCAAGCTCTTTGCGCTCGTGGTATGGGTCCATCCATCGGTGCCAGAGTTGACAAGAAGGGTCGCCCATATGTTGTCTTGATCGTCGTTCTTTTGTTTGGCTGCCTTGCGTACATCAACGAGGCTAAATCTGGTGGCACCATCTTCACATGGTTGCTCTCTTTGTCTGGTCTCTCCAACTTCTTCACCTGGGGATCCATCTGCTTCGCCCACATTCGTTTCAGAAAGGCCTGGAAAATGAATGGCCGTACTACCGATGACCTCCCATTCGCCGCCATGTTCGGTGTCATTGGTTCGTGGATCGGTCTTGCTCTTAATATTCTCTGCTTGATCGCCCAATTCTACACCGCATTGTTCCCCATTGGTGGGAGTCCAAATGCTGAGGTCTTCTTCGAGAGTTATCTTGCAGCTCCAATCGTCATCTTGTTCTTCATTGGATACAAGCTGTACTACAGACAATGGACCCTTGGTGTCAAGCTCCAAGACATCAACATTGATGAAGGCAGACGTGAGCTCGATCTCGATGCATTCCGAGCTGAGATGGATGCTGAGCGGGCTGAGAAGGCATCGTGGCCATGGTGGAAGAGAACCTGGGATTTCTGGATGTAGAGTGTGTAATGTCTTACTGTACGCATAACAAGAAGGACTGAAATTTAGGCGCGTAAAAGGAAACAGGTCTTTTCGGTGACGACTGGATAGGAGAAGGCTACATAGATCTCAAATCAATATACCCCGTTGCTTGATCATTGAAACCAATTCTTCGTCTGTGATGGTGAAAAGATTGAATGTTCTGGGGAGAAGTTGCGGCTTGGTTGACGCTGTTTTGATTGCCCCACCCGGAAGGCGTGGGTGGGCCACACGTGATATTATAACCAATTCCTTCGGATCAAATATCTTCCAGAGGTGAATTATCTCACCTGATGAAGATATACTTTTTCGAAAAGGTTATAAATCGAGGTCATATAACCATCCCACCTAGCTTGGAAAGAAACTGATGATTAACACCATGTCACGTGGCTCTTCTAATGCCCGAATTTTTGGTCTGTCCTGCATTCGCCTCCGGTCTTGCACAATCTGAAGACAATAGAAGTAAAAGTAATATATCATTGCCTGGAAGATTTTTATTAACTACATTCCATTGTATCACAGTCTTAGGATACTAAGATCTCCTCCGGGCAAGCAGGCTGTACGTGGAGAACTACCTAGGTACTCAATTGCTACCGAAGCTTAATTTCCTCACTCCTCAGTCTCAACATGTCGCAAAATTCGTTCTTGAAAGAAGTCTCTTGTCTCGCACCTCCCGATTTTCTTTTGTCATTCTGAAAACGATTCCCGACGACGTCCACAATGTCTTTGTTAAGAAGTTTCGTGATGACACAAGGGCAGGCCGTCGAGTCGTGAGCGTTTCCTACCACTACTGAGCGAGTATGCATATGCATATATATATACATATTGTCGTTTAAAGAACACTATGATCGAGTTACATTAGATCAATTGCACCTCTCGATACCAATACTTCATCAATACCGACTTCCTTGCCTTCTTCCCTTTCGCCCAATTGCAACCATGTCTCCATTGCGACCAACAATCGTTATCCATTTGATGCGCAGCACAAAGGTACGATCTCATAACCCCGTTCATACTTCAACAGATTCTAATTTCAATAGCTCCGAACGCAAACTGGAGAATCCATTGACCCAGTAGCCATAGAACGAGCTCACGAATTCGCGGAAACATATCCCCACCTCAAGCATATCGCCCATCTCTTCAGCTCACCCACAGATCGCGATAAAGAGGTTGCTGGGACAGCTTTCGCTCCTGTTCTATCAAGAGGCATCAAACATCAAATCCTCCCAATCCTTCGAGCGAATACGCGGCTGCAGGCTATGCTACCCACGAATGGAGTGAAAGTCGAGTTGAAATAGTGCAAGTCATTGAACAATTGGCCCAAATGGGAGTGGCTCACCTACTGTCATCTTTTCCTGTCCCTGAGAAAGGGCAGAAAGGAGAATTGATGGAAGTCGCAGTGGTAACTTCTGGGAATGTACTAAGGACCATGGTTGGCAGTAAGTCTCATGACGAAGGCAAGAATCCTGAGTCGAAACGAATACTGATACATGTCCTATTGACAGAATATGAACCCTCATACTGGGCAATTGCAAGAGCTAATTCTTATATTATCGCTGCATCTGGAAGGCTGGCACCCATTGGAGATCAGCAGCTGGTGGCGTTGAGAACGCAGTTTCCCAAACGCAACTCGAGTACATGCCCCATGATACTCTTCAGTTTGCTCATCATGGTTTTGTTTCTATTATTTATCCTCTAGCGCTCATATATGAAAGACTTAGTTCATCCTGCAGTTTGTGTCCATTGTTGTCTCAGCTGGTGCCACTTCACATTGTCTTGCTTCTTTGACTCCGCAGCCCCTTGTAGATGTGAGTACTTTTGGACCAATCTTGTCTTCGATTTCTTTGTCAGTCTCGCATCAGAGCTTCTCACTTGAAGTTCTCGAGGCGTCAAGTAGCTCATGGACAATGGCTTCTTGGTATATTAATCCGGTTTGTTGGCACGAGATGTCCTTTTCCAAACCGTACACAGCATCATCTTCCTTATCTGTAATTTTCTTGGGCATATCGTTACAAAAAATATGACAGCTCCCTTCAAACCAATTCCAGATTCCCGCCCTTAGTGATCGTGCATCTCATGCGTCACGCATCGGTACGAAAACATTCTCTCTCCCCATTTAATATATCTGCTAAGAAGATCAAACACAGTCCAACACAAGATTGAAAGGCGAAAATGCAGGTCTCAGAACTGAAGGTAGAATTCAGTGTTATGCCTTTGCAACCGCTTTCCAAGCAGATGCTCCCCACATCACCCACATCTTATCTTCACCAATGCCAAGAGCAAAAGAGACGGCAGAGCTTGCATTCAGGGACTCAATCCTTCGAGGTGTTCCCATTCGATATCTCCAAAGTCTGTATGGTGGCGGAGGCGAATTCGATGATAGCGCCGACAGAACTTCTTGGACTGCAGCAGAGCAAGCTGCAGGTCAGCTTATTGAAGCGCTTGCGCAAAAGGATGATGCCAGAATGATCTTGCTGTCAGGTGTGCTTGCCATGCCGGAAACGGGAGCTCTAGTTGAGGTCGCGATCGTAACTCACAATCGTCTGTTGATAGATTTGCTGGGAACATGTAAGCATAACTCTATGTTATGAGCATTGGTACCATTCTTTTTTATTCCCTTGGAAGATATCTAGAAGTCTCGCTGATGAAAAGAGGCAGCTTATGTTCAAAGTGACTTTCCCAATGCAACAAGCAGGACTTATGCAGTTGGGTTGACAGGTACTCTGATCTTGATCACGACAGACTACTTGAAGTTCTTGAGGTACGTGCAAGGAATTAGGAAAACATTCAATAAACGTATACTGGACCAACAATCCGGCCTTTCGAAATCCGAATCATCACCCCCGTCCCAAATTGTATCTCACACAGCCCTTGGGAATAGGCTTCCCGCTGTTTTCAGGAATACGAGTACTTTTGTGGGAGAGAATACTGCTCTGAATGAGCAGATCACTATGCTGAAAACCCAAATTGTGACGGAGCAGGCAAGGCGTCATCGGCGAGAGAGTGAGCTTTCCCGACTACGAGACAGGATAACACTTTGCACGTACGGATTCAACGTTTTGTTGGCACTCTATTTGGTGCTGCTTCTGCTCCTTTCGTATGCTCCGCTAAGCTGATGGAGGAGGCATAAATCATATATGCAACCATTTCAAGGCTAAGGTACGTATAGAAGTCCATGAAATAGAATCGAAGGGAGACCTTTCCAAATAGAGGAAAGACAAAATCAGGGCAAAGATATTTCGTTGCGAGAGAATACGAGGAGCAAGTGTATACAATACAAGAAGAGTGCGAAGGTCTCCATATAGGTGTCTTTTGAGTACTCGCTGTCTGATCTGCCGAAATTAGCGTTGCTACTAGAACCTTCGTTCATAACTGAAAGTTGAGACACCGAGAAAGAGAACATGCAGTCTCCCATCCCATCTGAAACGTAGAAACTCGGCCATGCACATAAGCAGAATGAAGGAACAAAGAACATTAGCTTCCGAGCTGTCAAGAAAAGCATTCACGATTTCGAAATCCCAACTAGAAAACGTGAGGAGCAGGTGAACTCTTCGTGCTATATCATACAAAATTTTGAGAGCCAAAAATCAAGGCTACCACAGCGCAAAATACATAAACGAGTGACAATCTTCACCATCTCACTTCAACATCGCACCCATGTCCATATTCCCCGATCCTTAGACAGCAGTGCTGCTTGTAGAATTGTCTGGCGCGGTCCCATTGAAGTCGCCTCCCCCTCCTCCAGTAGAAGTGCTGGTCGTAGCATGACCACCATCAGCCTCATAATGAGCTGCAACATTGTAATAGGACGAATCACTCTGGTCAGCAGTGACATTGATACCGATCTGAATCCAAGCCAAAAGACCATCCTCGATGCTGTCGCCAAGGTAGATGAACTCTGGGAATGGATCATAGTCGTTCTCTGCCTGCACGATCGACCACATATCCTCTGCGTTAGATGTGATAGCTTGCGTGTTGGTGTTGTATGGGTAGACCGCTTCAGCGGCTGATCTCAATTCTTCGTTCCAGAATAGCTGGCCGATGTGGCTGACTCCTCCTCCTGAGATGGTGCCGTTGGCGAGAACGGTTACATTGGTATGTGACAGGAGATGGGTGTGGATAGCACGTCCGGCGTAGTGACCAGGGAAGATGGTCTCGAAAGACGCAACGCCGTCGGAGTCGGTGGCTTGAATACCACGCAAGAAGGTGGTATCCCATCCTACATCATTGCCAGTTGCAACTATGCCAGAGTAGTAGCCCGTTGAATTGCAATTCCAGATGTCAACCTATAAGTCAGACAAACAGTTAGTATATTTCTTTCTGTCTTTGCCTAAAGGGATAGAATGATGAGACATGTCGCCCTGAAGAGGTGACTTACGTAGATCTCTGGGACTGGGAGGCATGTAGTGATGTCGAGGTATTGGACTTCTAGGTATAGAGGAATACCTGCTTGACCCTCGGTGACATTCTTGCGAATCAACTCGCCAGTTACGTAGTATGGGCCATCGGTATTCTCTGGGGTGAGAATACAAGAGGTGTTGGCAGAGAAAACCGTAGTTTCGGCCGTAGTCGTATCGTAGTCGAGGATGCCAGTCTCGTTGTGATTGATTGCTTCGTAGACCTCAAGAGTCGCCAGATCACGACGGAACTTCTTTGGCTCTATAACGCTTTTAGTAATGAGGTACACTGAGCTTGGGCTTGAGGCATAACTTACTGCTTTGGATGTTTCGCTTTTGGCGAATATCGCGAGCAACCTCTGCACGTCGCTTCACAGATCGAGCAGCCACTTCACGGTGCTTCAATGAGTTTGAACAAGTATCGAGAGATCGCTTGGCGGCAGAGGCCATTTGATCGCGGACCTTGACTTCTCGCTTGATAGCCGCATGGTCATGATGCTCCCCAGGATGCGCGAACGTAGAGCCAGTGAGGCAGGCTACAGCCACAGCAGACGCGAGCTTAGAGATATAAACCATATTTGCTGAAAAGAGAATGATCTATAAAACAAAGAATGAATGCAAGATGAGATGAAAATGCGAAGTGAGTGAAGATGGTGGAGATGAGGGTGAAGAGAGAACTTTCTGGCAGCACATCGCCATGACTATATACTACTGCTCGAGTTGTCAGTCATAGAATCATGCTCATCGCACGCGCAGATACCAACATTACACAGGGGGTTCATCTGCAGTGTTCGTCAGCGTCTTCCACCGTCCTGTTTGCATGTTTCGTAACACTCAAATTCTCATTGGTCTCCTTCATGAGTCGAGACTCTTTTCAACCCACAACTCAACTCAGCCTTCTCCAACAGCCTTGTGTAGATCTCTATTGTGGCTGACGAAACCAAATGGAGCAGCAAGGTTGTGCCCGTCGGGAAAGCTATTTCGACAACTTCAGATCGAAACTTTTCGAAGCAGTAGCCAATGGCAAGAATTCCTTTGTTGAAACGACGTGCGTGAATGGACTGGACGCGTGTTATCACAGCCCCGAACCTTGTCAGGTACAAGCTTAATTCTTGGCGACCCCACTGTCCACTTTGCTGGAGAGAACCTTATGCCGATATACTCAGATGGCATTGGCCGTCTGGAGTATTGTTCTCCTTGCTGGTGGGGAAGAAATGATTCTTGAGATGAGAATGGACGCGAAGAAATGCCGCGTCATGCCGTTTGAAACGGTCATCACGTGACCGACACTGCCCTGGGCAATCTCGGAAATCAAATCTTCTCCCGGTGCACAAGTTCTTGGAAGTCCAAATTTCATCTTGGCTGCAACGAAGCCCAAGATAATCTTGCTGTCGTGCACAATGCGCTGTTCACGTGTATTGTAGCGCCCCTTTTTTTCGGGGTTTAGCGAGCACGATTGAAATCTTCTTCTCGATTTTGATTTTCGGGGATTGCTTGAACAATTTTATTTGCTGACAAAACGATCCATTCAATGGCATGAACAAAGTAGAGTCGTTTTCGAGCAAGCTCTCCTCATTCAACGTTACTCTTTGTTGAAGATACGCCCCAAGATCACAATAGCTACAGCGGACGCCGAGAGATGCCTCTGAGCCACGTTGGCTTGATTAGAATTCAGGCCTTCAAGAATTTTTGGTGGCAACCAATCATAAAGTCTCCACGAGCCGATTATGGTGCATTGACTGTGTTCGATTGGTTGTGATTATTTTTGGAATTTGCCAAGCCACAGAACATTCCTTACCAGTTCTTCTATTGTCAACACAATCGACCAGATAAAGAAAGACCTTCATGAAAGGAGAGGTTCCAGTCGAAAGCCTAGTGAATTACTCTCTGTGATCTTATCGTATGATGAATCTCGACCTGAAATCAAAAGTACACTAATTATGGACTCAAACTTCGTCTTCAAAAGCACGAAAGTGTTATATCTCGGCATCGTGGCGAGTTTCCTCATCATCCTACATCCTCTTTGTACTATCTTATTTGCCATTGGTTATAGTCATCAATAGAGAATTGATTTATTCGAGAAGACAGCTTTGAGCCCAAGAAATTGTGTTAGGAATGCCAAAATTAGCGATGAAATCCTTGGCAGGTTTCACCGTGGATGGTCTAAATGGGAAAGTCTTTTAAAAATGATTTAAATATAGACGAAGCACCATGATAGATACTCTATTCCTCTTTTCTTTGAGAGCTAGATCACCCAAAAGTGCGGCGAATCCCTCACAATTGAATGAGTACTTGAGTTGATATAGGGGCTTCGAAATTCAGACGGAGTTTGCCTTTGATCTATGTGGTCTCCGATATGCTGGATCTAGTGCTGCCTACAATCAATCACAAGCTCGACTATATGCTTTACTGTCTAGAAGCATGTGAGCAGCACGCTCTTCACTTTATTGTGAGTATCATTTGGGACATCATCAATAGGATACTCTCAAGTTGATCCACCTGCTCTCGAGCCAAGCAGCCACCCTGATCTTGTTGTGTAAAAGTGTCTCTCACCTTTGTATATTTTTGGCAGCGCTCAGTCAAACAACAATGAAAACTGTCTGAAGACGTTTGCGGAAGCATTCGATGTGGTTAGTCTTTGTCCTCCACTTTTCTTTCGCCCACTTCGTATACATCCATCTTGCAGACCATCGGACGTTTGATTCTTGACCAACTGCCCCGACCTCCACCTATTCACAAGCTTCAAAGCACAACCATAGTACAGATATCATAATGGAAACAGGTTTAATGAACGAGGGAGCGTTATTGGTCGTTTTATTCTGTACCATAACCCTCGGCTACTACTTCGCATCCAAACTATTCATGAACCTGAACCTCACAACAGTGTATCTCCTTTGGTTCATCTTCGGAATACTCGGCGCAACACCCAGCATCCAAGAAGCCGACAAGCCTGTCCCCTATTTCCTGCAAGCCAGTCTTTTGTTCTGCGCAACTTAGCGCTTGTCTGTGAAGATCTACGACATGGGCTTTCAGAGGGCCATTCACGAATATGGGTATTCTCGATATGATCGGCAACCTAAGCCATTTGGGCTCATCCTGCTCTACACTTTTCTGGTCATTTTTCAGGGGGTAGAGGTGTACTATAAAGTCGACCATTGCTTGAAAATCGTCTTTCTCAATACGGCGATTTTCGAAGAGCGACCCGGATGGCTTCATCATTCTTGATGATATCGTGGGTGTTGACTAGACCACGTCAGCTTTCTCTGAAAAGTCAAGTTCCGCTTACTTCGCAGCCTCCAGACTCTGGGCCTCCTTTTCTATAGTCCGCCAATTCAACTATCTCACTCAATACGCATTCATCAATCCAAATCGCTATAACGTATATAAGTGGTTCCAGGGATGCGTCAATAAGTGTCGTCCCCGTGGTCACAATTATACTCAGCGTTCTTGCTCGCAACATCTCAAATCTTTTGCGGAATTCCTCACGTCTTTCTTAAAGTTAGTCTTAGTCTGACGCCATAAATAGCTCTAATTTATTTCTTAAGAATCTCTTCTCATGTCGTGATGGAAGCTGGTGCTTTGTTCAATTGCCAATTGTGAATTTGCGTCTACGTGGGGCTGAATGTTAAGCATCACCAGTGAACTTCGCCTCATGCATCTTCACCTCTCTATACTCCACAGTCTACATGCTCAAGAATCAATTTATCTATCTCTATCATAGTCTATCATATCCACAATACGCTGTACGTAAGTAATCCAACAGAACCAGCACTCCAACATGCGTCGATCTTCCCATGCAGATACCAATTTTTCTCCACGCCCCGTCCCACCCAACAAAGAATCTAGGCAAAGATAGCCCAAAATTTCTCGTCAAACTCAGTCTTCAACTTCTTAAAAGCCTTGTAGACATTCATCAATTTCTCATATTCCTCATCATCTGTCCCCTCCATTTCCTTGCCCACCCTGCTCTTCAAGAAGTCCTCCTCGGCAACTAAAGCATCTTCACCTGCATCCCAGTCCTCGGCGACCTTTCTGTTCTTCTTGGGTTGGAACGTTTGGTCTGGAGTGACAGTCTTATTGGCGACTGGTGCGTCGGGAATAGTTTCTGCGGCGACCTTCTCGTCAGCGTCGTTCTCGGCTGCGTCTCCTGAGCCCATCACGTCAAGCATTTCGGGATCAGTTCCGGAGTCAAGGCCGAGATAGATAGCGAGAGAAGTCGTGATCGTGGCGAGTATCATGGAGAAGTCATTAAGCAGAAACCAGACATCGGCCTTGCGGATACCATTGGCAACATCGAGTGGGACGACCGAGCCATGCATGTAGAAATCCAGCAGGTAAGCGTTGAGTGGGGATCTCGTCTCGTCGGGGTGAAGCTCAAGATGAGGGACGACAGCTGCTTCAAGGAACACACCTTCTGGTGTGGATGAGCACAGATCCTCGATCGTGGAGAAGGTATCTCCGAGACCTGACAGCGCAACAAATGCGGAACGTGCATGCGGCCTGGGGAGACTGGGAAGGAAGTCCATCGCATCTGGTTGCTTCTTTTCGGCAGTTCCATTGGCTTTTGCGTGCCCGTTGCTTGTCTTCCCGTTTGCAGCAGACGAAATCTTTCCCACAGGTACATGGGTGAGGGGCAGACGGCGCTCCTCTTCTTTCACGTGCTGCTCTGCGAAGGTCTTCACATAAGTGGTGAAAACATCCAGGGTATCCTTGTTGTGGGCACGAAGAATATTCGCAGCTTCTTCTGGCATAGCAGGCAAGTACACCATAGATGACGATCGCTTGATCTTCTCAGCTTGCTCGGGATCGTCGATCTCACGAACGACTCTACGACCGAACAGGTGACTGAGAACTAGCATCATCTGATACAGAACAATGGTAGTCTTTGTATCAATATCGGCACAGAGCGTGTGGAAGAAGCCACCCTTTAAGAGTGCTAGATTACAAAGTTAGTCAGTGGAGATGGTTAAGTGAGGTGGAGAGGCTTACCATGGAAAGCGAAACTGGAGTTCTCGGTGTAATACAGGTGGGAGACACAGCTGGTGAAGTTCACCGGCTCGCCATTCGGGCCAAGAAGGTCATTTCTTCGTAGATATTCAATAGAGAATCTCAAGTGATGTAAGACCTGTTCCTTGAAACTCTGTCCACCCATGTATAATCTTGGCTGCGAGAGTAGAGCATTGACGGACTGTACTGCATACTTCGAGTTTCCAGAGTCATTCAACAAAGTGAACAGTCTAAGGACCAGGGTGGTCGTGAGCGGAAAGTGACCTGTCATCTCAGGCAATCTTGAGCTCAGAAGCCTAGAAGCTCTCGCTGTTGGAATGCCCTGGAAGACAACATTACCAAGCAAATCGAAACCACGACGACCAGAACGACCAGCCGCCTGACGGAAGTTCAGTGCAGTCAAGAAAACAGAATCTCCACTGAAGACAACAGTCGCACAAGGCATGTTGATACCCAGACTGAGAGTACCAGTGGCGATCACGACTCTCAAGAAACCCTTTCTGAACAGCATTTCAACACACTGGCGGTATTTTCTGTTCATACCAGCGTGGTGGACTCCGATACCACGTCTTAGCAATTTAATGAGCTCCTCTCTGACATTCTTCCATCTCAATGCTCTGACGTACTCGTGTAGTTCGGCCTTCTGAAGCTGCTTCGGATTGGCGAAACTGAACTCGGCTTGGGGCTCTTCAGGATCGAACAGATCATAGACAGAAGCTCCTTCGGATGACTCGTCGCGCATACGATCTAGCTTAGAGCCGCCGTCTTCTTCATCATCCTTGCTCTTCTTCACTGGCTTCACGGGCTTTCGAGACTTCTTGTCCTTTTGTTGCTGGTACTTTTCGTAGCCCTCCATTTTTTTCTTCCATTGTGGACCCTCTTTCCAGCGTGTCTCTGCTTCGACAAGTTGGGCTAAGACTGCGCAGCCAATGTCTTCACATTGGCTTCTGTCATAGTTGAAGAGAATAGCAGGTAAAGCGCGTCTCTTGTGCAATTGGTACAGTAGTGGCAGAGTTGTAGACTTCAGATCATGCTTGTCCAAGTGGTCTCCCTCGGTCACGGAGGAGGTCGTCGATGATGGAGGTTGATTTGGCTCCGTCTCGCCGGTGATCTTCAGCATAGATAATTCTTGAACAACCTTGTCGAAAGGGGAATTGCGATCACCCATCCATTGCAAAAGAACTTTCTTGATTGCCTTCTCCCAAGCAAAAATGTCCGCTTTTCGAATACACTTCGGTAAAGACTTGGAAGGGCTGATCGAGTCTGGGACGCGATACTTCTCGGTCTGGCATTTTACCATGGCCTTCCAAAGTGATAGGCAGTCGCGAGGTTCGAGTGCCAAGTCGTCTGGCATACCTCTCGATTTTTCGACAAGACTAGCAACTGGGTGGAAGGCACTGAATCCGTCAAGTCCATCGAGACCGAGGCCAACACCGTAGGACGTGCCAAGGCCCGAGAAGCGGAAAGCTTGTGGAGGCTGGTACATATACTTTCTCAGATCAGAGTATCGAGTACCGTGCTGAATCATCTTCAACTCGGAACCAGACGACTTCTGCGTAACAGTGAGCCAGTCGCTAAATTGTGCTGGATTTCCAACTGTCGCAGACAAAGCAACAATCGGACAGGGTGACAACAGCAAGAGTTGCTCCCATACAACACCATCTTCAGCCTGTCCAATGCAGTGGATTTCATCGAAGATGATACGGCGGACTTTCGGGGCCCAGGACTTGGCATTCGAAGGCGAGAGCAGCATAATTTGAAGGATATGTGGAACTGTGACCAGAATCTGGCAACCAGTGGGATTGTTGACACGGTAGTCTCTGGTGTGAATCGCCCAGACACCTTTACCAGGAACCGGAAACTTCTTCGAAAACCGTCCTAGCATAAGTTAGCATGTCTTCGTCAAATCGCAGTTGAAGTAAGTAATGATTTACCTTGGATTTCAGCAGCGATTTGATTTACGAGTGCCTTGGTTGGCGCAACGTAAACCAGAACGCCATCGTTGTCAGCACGAAGAACTTGCTCCATGGCATAGAAACTAATGAATGTCTTTCCTGCAGAGGTGGGGGCAACGACAAAGACACTCTTATTGGCGTCAAGCTGATCCAAAACGTCTCTCTGCCACCCATCGGGAACGAAGCTGCCTACTCGTGGATCTGGCTTAGCATCTAGCATACGATCCATGTAAGGACCACAATAGTCGAGTTGGAACTCGGTTTGACTCATTGTAATGCGGATGTCCTGGGTGATTGGCGGAAACTTGAAGTAAAAGGAAAGCGTTCGATCAGATGGTGAAGGGTTGTATGAATCCATCGAATCTGGAATTCCAAGGAGGGTGCAAATCTTCGTCATATGCTGAACAGTATCCTTGGAGACTGGCGCCTTTGACGTGCATATTGATCGAATTGTGGTCCATATCAGGGCCACAACATGGTACCCTTGGTTCTTCTTGTCAACCTTGCAATATGAAGCCCACCAGTTTAGAAGCGACTGAAGAACATATGTGTAAATATCGGTCTCGAGATATGTCGTCTTAGCAGCATCGAGGTTGTTGAGGTATTGAATGGTCCGCAAGTAACGATCTTGCTCGTCAGATACGGCATCAAGATCCTTCATGACAGTTGACCAAGCTGCGAAAGCCTTATCCGACTCTGCACCTCCCTTTCGCTCCTTGTTATCGGCGATCATCTGGTCCTTCTTAGATAGGCCGGCTGCGCCTTTCTTCGTCCCTTTCTTGGCTGGGCCACCCTTATTCTGGGGCTCTGCAGATTCCTTTTTCGATTTTGAAGCACTCTTCTCGGGTACCTCGTCGGCAAACTTGATCAGTTGCTTGGGTCCAACAGTTACTGTCTCGGGTTCTAATGCCTTGCCCTTGGCGCCGGTCAAGCTTGCAGCGTAAGTAGTCATCTCCTTCATGTAAAACTGGTTGGTGCGAAGAGGATTACTAACGCGTATTAGCAAGGGTATTGGTTGCCAACAAACAATAAAAGACGTTGAAAGACTTACCGCCATTTCGAAACTTTTTGTGGAGGGCCTGTCTTTACATCAAGTGGCTTCCTATGATTGTGCCAATGAGTAGTCTCTCGGTATATTTTCAGAGCACCTAAGCGTCTCGGCAGTGACTTGTCCGTCTCGACATGGATACATTCTAGATGTTTATCCAGAACAGGATTCGAAAATGGTAGCACGAATAAGTTTTCGTTCTTCACTACAAAGTCCGATTTTGTTGCAGAGGTCTTCGAAGATGTTGGCTCTGGACTTCCATCGATCGAAAGCTCATCGTCTGTTAAGTCTGCAATGAGACCGGAAAGGAGTTCCCAGTCAGGCTGGGCAGCTCGAGGAACGACACCCTTTAATGAGCCGTCACACATCGCTTGGATAACTGCTCGAAATAGTCGTCCATCAATGATATCCACGGCTCCAAGCTCTATGTCTTCGTGGTCCATAAAGGTTGGCCATTTTGGGCTGTCAATGGCGCAGCGAATAATCATGGAAAGACTGGTCAAGAACTGGTTGATTTGCTCCTCAAAGTCATCATCGAAAGTGACCAGTGGAAGTCGTCGTTGCGAGATTGGCATATGCTTTAGAGCAATGCTGTGCAGAATATATGCAGATGCCAGGAATTCATCACAATCCTCTTGCTTCAATAGTCTCGAAACACCGTAGATCGACAAGCAGTAGCTCTCACTGATTTCCTCGTCTCCCATTGCGTCCGAGAGCCGCTTCATATCTGAGTTCTCAAACGGAAATTCCGCTACTGGATGTAACGCATTCAGTTGGTCTTGCGTGGCTTTGATCGCATCGACAAAGCTCGAAGTCATGACCAGCTTCTCCCTGCTGGAAGGTCTAAAGCTCTCCACAATCATAGTGAATACCTTGGAGTCTCTGAACTCAATGCGGTTGATCAGAGCAACATTCAGCTTGTGCGTGTTGAACCACCATATAATCCCGCGGAACAGTCGCTTGGTGTACTTTTCGTCCTTGGGAATTCGTCGTAGTTCCTGTTCTTCTCCTTCAGGCGTTTCAACAGCGAATCTAGACTCCTTGCTCGATCCATCGTGGGTCATGACAAAATGGATCGGAGAATCCTGAAGGTATTCGCTGAATTCCGAACTGTGGAGAGACGGGAAGCTCTTTACCAGGACACTGGGGTGTGATTTAGGCAGGCGAATCATCAGATGGCGTTTGATCACGGCCCTGGCCAGTAGATATCGGGCACGCTGAGCGTCAGATTTTCCGAGGGGAACACATAGTTGAGCATTTTCTACATTCATTTGTTAGCGAAACATTCTTTTTGGAAAAGGTCCAAGCCACAATACCATCGAAGAAAGCAACATGAAATTGACAATGTCGCTTGATCAGATTCTCCAGAAAGCGTTCTACCACATAGACAGCGTGAAGAAGTTGGAAACCCCCTATCGAAGTTAGCTCTCCATATTTCCTTCAATATTGAGTTCGTAGTGTCTCTGTAAAGTCGAAATGCACGCATCAATAACCTGGGTCGCGCCAGGTCACCTGACATTACCATTTCAAATAAGACCAGGCTTGTTAATGTTTCTCCTTCCGGATCCAGCAAACGCGTAGCCAGGACAATAAAACTGAAGGACAGCGCAAAAGGTTGACTTACCATCGAAGTCTATCCGCTCGTCATCGAAGCATTCGCGCAATAATGAATCTCCTTCAACGAGAAACAATTCTTTGCCTGCATAATCCCCCACCAGGTCAATGTACATAGGCCGGGTGCTATCGTACCACGCAAGGATTGACGCGGTAGCCCGGACTAGCTCATATTCTGGCTCTGTCGCCATCGTGACCTTGATATTGGTCGCGTCTCGACCTGTGTAGTCAGTTCTGTCTTGTTAGTCACAGCAATATTTTCTCCCGACCGGTCTTCCTGATCAAGGAGGACAAAGGTGCGTTGAGAGGTTTTATGGCGTTGCGAAATTAGGTGGAAAGATTTGTGGCTTGTATGTTGAAGATTTCTCGAGGTTGAGGCAAACGGAAATCTGCAAGCGCGCTTCGGGGGTCACGTGGAACGTGCATGAAACGCCCATTTTGGAGTCTCAAACTTTATCTTGTTCCTTCGTTACTCATGTAATTCTTCTTGTTTGATCTCTTACGTTAACTGGGCGAAACTTGTCTGCAAAGATGGCTCTTTCCAGCAGATTCTACACAGAAAAGAGCTTCAGCGACTCAGGGCAACATCCCACCTTTTAAATACGTCATAGACCAACAATTCGTTGTCAATAGCTCAATGTTCTTCAGCTCAGCAAAAGCGCTCATAAGGGGCCTATTATTACCCATCATCTGGCCCACAAAGGCATTCAAGCTCGATCGGAGTTGAGGTCAATCTATGTCACACCCAACCATGCTCAAGGCCGCTGCAAAAGACAGTTCTTTATCACTCTTGTTTTCAGCCTTAGCTTTAGCAAAAGTTTAGCATGTTCAGCAAGGCTAACAGCTATACTCTCCATAATGCCTCAATGAGTTATTTGATTCCAAATATGCTTCAAGTTTGCTTCGCAAGGTGCCAATGGTTACCCCGCTATCGCTATCGGCAAGTGCGGGGTATTTTTGAAAACTAATCATGACTCCTTTTCACATGAGCTGCTTACTTGTGGTTTTCTTCCCAATCAGGAGAAAGGCATATGCATGCTTATAAATGGCCCCGAGTGCAGCTTCATACATATATATCATCGACATGAAGCTCTCAGAGCGCATGAAAATTAACATTTCACATCTTTTCATAATTTCTATCCTCTCAAGCTAAGCCGAAAAGCTCGATTAGATATATAGCGCACATTACAACGGCTTTCATTTCACTCAGATATTGATTTTTAGAGATACATATTCCACAAAATGACCGACTCCAACATCCTACTCGGCCCCAAAAAGGCCGCACCACCACCAAACCCTTCCCTCCTCACACTCGCAGAAACCCTCCTCAGCACTGGCCCCTTTAAAATCGAGTCTACACCTCGTCGCGTTCGCGCCCTGTTCGGTGGCAAATTCCTCTTTGACACAACTTCCGCAAAACATGTCTGGGAACACAAATACTTCCCACACTTCTGGGTCCCCCTCTCATCCGTCGTCCCCGACGTCCTGACCAAAACATCCTCCGTCGATGACTCCGAGTCTGCATTCGGCGGCATTGTTACTATCCCAGGAACCGAGAAAAGTACCGATCGAGTTTTGATCTTCGAGAAAGGCCCCTTGGCAGGACTGGTCAAATTTGATTTCAAAGCAATGGATGCCTGGTTCGAAGAAGACCAGCAGATATACGATCATCCCAAGAATCCATACACAAGGATTGATATCCTGGCGTCTTCGCGGAAGATAGAAGTCAAGATTGCGGGTGTCACAGTTGCGGAAAGTTCTAGCTCGATGTTCCTGTTCGAAACTGGACTTCGGCCTCGTTATTACTTGCCTAAAACTTCTGTAAGTCTCTCGCTTCATGTATATTTGGATAATTGGGACTGATGAGAAAAAGGTCAAGCAAGAGTACCTTACGCCTTCTTCAACTACGACGAAATGTCCGTATAAAGGCATGGCGCAGTATTATAACGTTACGATAGAGGGGAAGGAGTACAAGGATACCATCTGGTGGTATGAGTACCCGACTACGGAGAGTGCGGCGATTCAAGGCTACGTGTGTTTTTATAATGAGAAGGTGGATACGTATGTCGATGGGGTGTTGGAGGAGAAGTGATTAGTACGGTCTGAGGTCATCTGATTTCATCAATGAGTCTCCCATTTTCGACAATTTTATAATGACTTCCTTCACAAATAAGTCTCTTTCTTGAAATAAGAGCAATTTTGTCTGTGTTGATTACTAAAATTGCTTGCTCTGAACACTTCATGATGATTGGGAAGTCTTGGTCCACTCATCTAGGAGTAATCTGTATGATCTTTGTGTGATTACGAAAAGGTGCCGATAATGGACCATCTTACTCTTCGCGTGTTGACCTCTCATAAGACCCAAATGGCGTCTCGAAATATCTTATCTGCCCTTCTTCGAGCTTCACTCAACGCAGTTCTCATCCGCTCCCGCTCGGTCCAGCTTTTCAAAGTGTCAATAACACTCTGTGCTGCTATCATGTCTTCTTGGTAGAGTTGTTGGCGTCGGCATATTGCATAATACACGGATCGATACAGTAGCGTGTAGAATTTCAGAAGTGGAATGTCCAGGCGAGGTTCGAACATTATGAGAAGTTTTGCGAAGATTTGCTGGACCATGGCGAAACATCCTTCTCCGCACATTGCAGCTGTCTGGCAGAATACCAAAGAAATTACAATATCCATAGTACTTTCCTGAGTATGAAACAGCGAGATAGCTTTCTCGCAGTCTCTGATACACTGCATGCTCGACGCCAAAGCCCTCGTCATTCCCCCTTCCTTTGCAGTCTCATTCAGAGTGAAGATCTCCGTCACATAAAGAGTGTGATCCCAGCTCGGAGCAGCAAGCCACGCTTCATATGGACTCGGCGGGGTCCACTGTTTGTTCCATGAGAGGTATTTTGAGACAAATTTTAATAATCCATGTGCGAGAACCTTTTGTCCCAGCAACAAGGGCGGCTTAGTCAAGGCTAGAACGGCAATCTCAAGCTCACACAAAAGCCCCTGCTGGACCGACTTTTCCACTTCGGGAGTGAGTTCTTCTGTTCTTAAGAAGTGCATACTTCGCGCCCATTGGCTATCGATATCACAAGAATTTCGTGATGGACTGATCAAGGCTGCCATATCTACAGAAACCTTCGCCGTCAAACCGTAGGTTTCGTTGATCAATTCCAGAAGCTCCTCAAATGGATTGTGATGCACGTGAGCTGCAATCCAGATATGTATGTCCAGTGTAGGCTGAGCTCTCATGAGATCGGATATGTAAGGCAAGAAAGCGTCCCCATTGCCATGACCGTACTTGAGACCATATGATATCCCACAAAAGTATTGCATTATTGTACCGTCTGGCTGACTTTTTCTTCCGTCCATCGTGGTGCCAGATCGAGCGCATTCTAAAATGTCCAAAGCCAAAACTTGAAGCTTTGAGAATGGTATAATATCTTGGTTGTGCCCCAAGCAGTATAGATCAGGGCCAAAGTTCTGATCATAAACAGCTTTTTGTAGAGCTAGGACTGTATCAGTTCCGTCCAGGAACCAGAACCAGTCCAAGTATTCATAAATGCCTGGAGTTGCATTGGGAGTTTGAAAATTACTGAACTCACGTTCGGGAGGTTGAGCCACAGTACTTTCGTCGAATTCATTGTTTTCGATTCCGGATGAGGAATTGCTCTCATTACTCCCCTCAATATCGTTCAAGGCCAAGTCATATCTTGGTGTATCGTAGGTGATGTCGATTGGTGTTGCTTGCGGAATTAACTCCTGAAACAGACACATGATTCAAGGATGATCACATACCTGCACTTGACGATGCAACCTCGATCTGCTCCGTTATTCTTCTCTTTTTGAAGTGGAGAAACTTCTCTGAGCTGATCTCCTTCCCTCTGTTGTAGAATATGGTGTCCTTGTCTGCATCTCGAGCTCTCTTCTCTGCCTTTGCTACTAGAATAGCCATGTCATGCTTGCTCATGTTCTTGTCAAAGTTCCATTCTTTCATCTGCATCTTCCATTTTCTTAGACTGAATACTATTAGCGGCTGACTCGAGAGTAACAATGAAAGGGTAAGATTGGTTTACCTCGCTCGGAAAGAATACTTTCGCTCGAAATTGACCATAGTTTCCTGGAGTGTCTTGCCTTCAATTATATAGTACTGATGGACTTCATTCTTGATGGAGGACCATTTCTCTCGGTTCTTCAAACGACGAGACGTACTTGTGACATCTCTAGTAGAAGTAGAGGTTAATTCCGACGTTCCTCCGTGCTCCTGGCTTGAGGGTAGGCCGCTGATCTCCTGTCGTGTAGCGACGACATCTGCGATGCCTGCTCCGGTGCTGGGGGTCATTGAAACAGAGGTTGATGGTAGGTATGTGAATGCTGGGTCATGCTGATGTGAACACTCCCATGAGGCTGTGAGAAGACATTCAAGACAAGGGTCAGGTTGGGAGGCACTGAGTATGTTAGCAAACCTCGACCCTTGATATGAAGAGCTCGGTCATTGTAGACTCGGTCCAAAGATCCTACTGTATCGTTGTGTTCAGCTCGAACATAGACTTACTCAGGAAACCTGTGCCAATGCGAACTCTCATTCCATTCCATCAGGAGCAGCGAGTCAGGTCGTGATTTGAAAACAAACGCAGAATGAGTGGAACAGAATGAAGAGAATGCCGAAGCGAGAGCTATCCCACGGAGAAGAAATGGAGAGAGGTAAAAGTTTGGGAGCGATTGATATTTAACCTCTCGAAAACCGGTGAAGATGGGACGAGGCTGCAAGTGGTCACGGTCCCGCGAGGGTAAGCGCAACCACTCAGCCCAGAGAACGAAAGTGCAAACTTATCTGCAGGGAAGTGTGAGACATTATGCGTGGCTTGCATACGCCACAGACCAGGCTGCCCTCATTTTCGTTGATCGAGAAAGCAAACTTAGAAAGTGCAAAATTAGAAGCGAGTGGCTTTTTTTGTGCAGACACTTTGAGAAATTGACTTGCTATTGAGTAGGGCACGGATGGACGACACTTTGGGTCAAAATTGAAACTCTTTTTTTGTTTTATTCTAACAAGCTTTAGTGAGTTGGTGCGCTTGGCATGCATACGGGTATGGACAACGCTTAGTCATCTTAAAACTCTTAAGTCAACCTAGTCTTGATGCCTCGAGACTACTTTACATATCGATTGTCAAACACTTCTACAAGAATACGTACAAGTTGATACATTCATATTTGTTTGTAGTGAAATGCACCCTCGATCAACATGAACAGAAGCTCAAACGGCTGCTGGACCTGTCGACTGCGGCGCAAGAAGTGCGATGAGCAACGTCCTGTTTGCAATGAATGCCTGACGCTCCACATCTCTACCTGCAAGTACGGCGATAAACCGGTATGGATGGACGGTGGTATAAAGCAAGAGGCCATGTCGGAGCAGATCAAGAATGAGGTCAAACAGCACGCTCCTTATCGTCGTCGCGGGAAGCAGGAGTCGGCGGCTAACCTTAATAACAACGTCTCTATCTCTATTGCCGAGTCCGAAGATCAGAGCGCGGCCCGTTCTAATATACATGATTTCAGCACGCCTCCTTCAGGTCCATCAGATGTTACTTCTCCCGTCGACACCAAGAGAGTATGCAAGCAAATACTACAATTGAGACCCTTCGGACAGTCGGACTCGGTACTACTAGTATTTTACCTCGAACGCATCCTCCCTTTCCTATTCCCTTTCTATCGGCCTGCGCCGCTCCATGGCGGTCGAGCATGGATTCTGGATTTGGTCATCAGTAGCCCCGTCTTCCGTCAAGCCATCCTTTGCCAGAGCTCATATTTCTTTGCATTGGCACACGGAACCTCTACTATTACAGATGATCGCATGTGGGAAACTCTACTTGAGCAGACGAAGGATGCGTTTAACATGTTACGAGGTTCCATTCGGATTATCGAGAGCTACGACAAGAATGAGCATATACTTGGCAGTGTTCGTGCTATGGCTGCTGTCATGCAGCTGCAACGCTTCGAGATCGCTATCACTTGTTTTGACAACTGTCAGGCCCATCTCAGTGCAGCTTTAACGCTTTTCAAGAAAGTAGTTGATGTCGTTGGAGCTGCCAGCCTCGCTAGCTCTTCCACCACGTTCCAAACTATCCTCAACCTCCTTGGCCTGCCATCATGGATCCTACCAGCCCAACAAGCTGAGGTATCTAGCTCTGAGCAAGCCGCCTTTCGCTTTTCAACAGCCCTGTTACTTTTTGATGATATCATCGCGAGCACTGCCTTGCAAGAGCGGCCTCAACTATACGACTATCACCAAAGTCTTTTATGCCAAAACGACGGGATCGATATTGTCCCGCCCATCAACCTTGAAACTACCATGGGGTGTCAAAACTGGGTTCTCAAGCAAATTGGCGAGATTGCTGCTCTAGACGCATGGAAGAAACGTTGTAGTGCTGCCGGCAATTTGGATGTTGCTGAGTTAGTACATCGCGCCGCGGCTATCAAGAAAACGCTCGAGGCTCATGTCTCCCAGTTTGAAACCTATTTGGTTTCCGTGCCTGAGGGGAGCAGTCTTCTAGACGACATGTTCGCAGCAGAAGATCACGCCGGACAGGCTCGGACTATCGCCCGACAAAGCTGGTTGGTGACACGGATCTGGGCTCATAGTGCCTTTCTCTATCTGTCTGTCATCGTATCCGGCTGGCAGCCTGCCAACGTCGATGTACGGCATCATGTATCACAAGTCCTCGAGCTGTTGACACATCAAGTATCACCTCCGGCGTTGTTGCGCACCATGGCCTGGCCATTCTGCGTTGTTGGCTGCTTGACAGAATCTGCGCAAAAACCCCGCATACGCGAGATGATAGATTTGCTACGACCGGCCAGCCGCTTTAGTACTGTGCGCCGAGGCTTTGATATTATTGAAAAGGTGTGGAATGATAGGGCCATGGGCAATGCTGGCGAATTTGCCACGTATTTTCGAAGTGATACTACTCTCGTGTTACTCGTTTAATATAGCAAGGCATTATTGCTGAGAACTTTTTTGATTTTCAATTGTTCGGTACCACGCTCTTGGAAAATGCACTTAAGTCACAAAGTTTTTTTTTGTTATTTTGAATCTTTCGGTAGATTTTGGTGTCCTTTTTCTAAAATTCTTTTTTGAACTCGTCCCACTAGAGGCGCCTTACGAAACGTTTTTAGCAGGACTAATAAGAGTGTTCTTAGTTGATCGAATATTTTATTTGACTTGTACTCTACTCCACGTCTGAGTTTCAAGCTAATTGGAGCAATTTTTCCTGCATAAGGAAGTACTGAAGTCAAGGTGCTGAGCTAAGGGACTACTTCACTAAGCCCCTGGACCTTCTTCGATATTCATGTAGGTCTCAAGTCAGGCGCTCACTTACCTTGTTCAATGGCATGGCGTTTCGGAGCGCCCGAGTAGCTCTGAGAAAATCCTACGAGGTCATGGGGGTCTGTTCGAGCTCTTGAATGAATCCCTCTGCATTAAGCAAGGGCAATTGTGTTAAATTTTGATTGATAATGGCTGATTGGTAGCTAGATAATATGCCAATCGTGACCTAGAATTTGACATATCCTTTATCCTTGACAAACGTCGCATGCCACGGGACATCATTCGCACCGCTCTCCGCCAACTGTGTATAGAACTCGGCATGCGCAGGCCCGCTAACCGCCTGCCCTGCAATCTTTCCATCCGCTTGGCGCTGGTCGGCGTAAATGAATCTGAGAGAGTTAGAGAGCCCAGTGACTAGTAACCGTCTATCGCTCTTTATAGAACATAATTTCAAAAGAAAAGTATAGATGAAAATTTACCGACAACCCTTGGCTGTGTATGCCCCGTCAGCAACCCCAAGCCAGTAAGCAGTGGCCGCCTTTCCCATACCGCCGTTCAATAACAGCGGTACAGGCAACACAGCGACGTTGCAAATGTTGCCTGTGTAGATGAACAATTTCTTGCCTTCTGCGGGCAGAGTTTCCCAGTGTTTGATAGCTTCTTGTGCCGCAATGTATGGGCTGACAACATTGACGTTTAAATCGTTGGTAACACGAGCCTGCGGAAAGATAAAGTCAGCATTTTCTTATTCAAGAAGGTGGCCTGAGATAAGTGAGAACACACTTCTGTTAGAAAAACATGTGAAGTAAAACGAATAGATGGAGCTAAGCTAAAGGGATCGAGGATTAAAGAAGTAAAGAATAAACATTGACTTACACTCGGGATAGACAAGGCCGAATCTGCATCAGGAGGAGGAGTGATAGATCCGGCATTGTAGATGACCACACTAGGAGCGACCTTGAACTCGCTCTTGACTTTGTCGAAGATAGAAGCCAGGAGGCTGGGTTCGGTATTGGCAAAATCGGCCTGGAGAGAAAGATAACCTTTGTCATTGATCAAGTTTGTTCCTTTCCTAGAGACAAGAGCGACATTATATCCATCTGCGGCGAACTTTTCGGAAACGGCATCGCCGATACGTGGGCCTGAGCCGAGAATAAGAACAGTCCGGGTGGCCATTTTGATCGAGGATATCGAATAGCTTCGTGTGTTGCGCCGCAGGCTTGGAGAGAACAATCTCATGAAATCAAAGACTAGATTGAGGAGAGATAGAAGTGCTGGTATGATCATGAAAGCCAAATTTCGTTGTTAATTCTGGAGGTAAGTCGAAAGGAAAGAGGCTGGCTTATATGAGTAAACGGTCCCCTAGGCTGCGGGGCGAGACACATAATCCGCGCGCGAGATCTGGAACAATACTGGAATATCATATTCCACTTTCAAACCTGTACTCATGGTTAGTTATGAAGGCGGAGTAGACCTCGCAGCAGTCAAACAAAAATCTCCGATGCCCTCAGCATTCAGGGCGCGCGGCTTACTTAAGCCGCTCGGGAGTGGGGCATTGAGACAACAGAGACTATTTAGGTCTATGCTTTTTTGATTGCAATGACATTGGTATTGACTTCTTCGCCGAGTTGGACCCCTTATGCGGCCTTCCCGCGCGCTACCATGTCTACGTTGAACGCCCCATCCTTCGCCTGATGCCTGCATATCCCGCGCGTGTGTGAGGACTCCACCGAGCTTGAACGCATTGACGATTCGACAAAGCCTTTTGCAGCTAAAGCACGGAGGTTGACCCTTATCGTCAGTTAGTACGTTGTCTAATACATCTAATGCTAAGACATGGGGGAAAAGACGATGATGGTGGGACATACATGGGGCCACCGAGTGCGCTGCATCGTCAATGAACAGCACCCTTACAGCTGACAGTTTTCCTGGCTATAACTCCACACACTGTACACTCTGAAGCTGGAAGCCAGGAGTGTGTTTCCCAGACATTTTCAGACGTGATCCGAGTCCAACTTCATCGCTTCTCTTCATGTTAACATACAAGTGGCCGAAATCGACTCCACTTCGGTCTTTTGTGGGGTCTCCTACTCTGCATACGTCTGAACTTCTGCAGTTTGCGTAATAAAATCATCCCAGACCCTCTCAGCTAAATTTCCACACCACTCCTCCTCCCACACTGCTCTCCTTAACGTCTCCTTCAGCCGCTTGACATCCCAAATATTCATCTCAGCACATAATCTTCCAACCTGACTCACGAACCACCACCTCTCCTCGCTTTTCGCAGCCACAGCGCCAACCCAGAATATCCAAAGCAGCCAGATTCTCCTCTCTTCATCACTCTCCCACCATTCTACGATCCCAAGCTGTTCCAAAGAATCTTTCAATCTTAATAACATTGATTGAACAAGCTCCGAGCTTGTTGGGATGAGTCTGATTGATAGGTAAAGGTACAAATGAAGCGCCGTTCTCAGCGGCAGAGACTCGAACACAAACCCACAATTCGAAAGCGCCAACGAAAAGGAGTCTGGGGTAGAAGATGGAGGGTTGAGTGCGAGGAGCGAGTATTCCGTATCGTAAATTAGATTGCTTGCGTGCATTCTAACCGATTTGGGGAGAGAGGGTGTCTGGCTTGGTGGGAGGAGGCGTGTGAGGGTGCGGAAATTGTTGATGATTTGGATGATAGGCGAAGAGCTTCCGAATAGATGAGAGGGCTTAAGGATGTATAAATCTGGGTCTGATTCTAGAATTCGAAGACTAGGGGATGAAGTTGGTGAGTTTGGTGGGGTTGAGGGGAGGCGAGGGAAGGAAGGTTGTATGTTCCAAACATTTGCGAAGCAGAAGTCGGACCTGATTTAGTAAATAGGGGGATCAGAATAAAGTTCAATTTGATGCGTACCATGTGACTATCCTTCGAAAAACGCCTGAGAGACTTGGGGGTCCACCACGAGTCTGGATCATCTGTTTGAGGCCTTGCATGTGCATTTTGGATAAATCATATCTTCCATTAAGATTCTAAGGCCCAGTCAGTGGTGCATCGAACCACATGAGAAAGACAACTTGCCTCTTTGTTGACGAGCATTGCCACAGCAGCTATTGTAACGTCATCGAAGATAAAGTTGTTCTCAAGTCTCTCATTGATAATTCTGAAAGCCTCGCTTCCATGATACAGAGAGATTGGCGAGTCAACCAGACCATACCATATGTCACGATGCAGCGAAACAAGGTAGAGTATAGAGTGAAACAAAGCAGGATCCGTCTTGACAAAGGAGAAGAAGTTGCTTTCTGCGTTGATAGCTACTGAATTCATGGTATACTCCGTGTTATCTAAGTTTCAATCAATCTGAGAGCACGAACCAGATAGGAATGAGAACGTACAATGTACAAGGAGATTCTCGCTAAGTGGACCAAGTCTGATAGCTAGGGTATCGAATGGATCTATGGACGAGGTACTGGGTGAGAAGATTCGCGGAAGTAGATCGTCCCTTTCGATCGGCTGCCATGCTGTAACACGGGCGAGTGAACTAGGAGCCCAGGATCCAATCGTTGGGAGTGACTCTTCGTTAGCAGAAGGACTTTCATCATGCGACAACTTTGTGCGACGGGCAAGGATTGCTTTCGTTTTCGTCTTGTGCGACCAAGTATCTAATTTGAATTTGCCCTTGTACCGAGAAGGTTCCTCCAATTGAACGCTCTCAACAGTTTCAACGATACCGGTCGTTGCTTGCCGATTTTGTTTTCTAAGATAATCGTTCATAGCCTGTTTCCTGACTGTCTTCGACGTTTGGCGAGTGGTAATCATGGTGGGCTGGCTTGTGAGCGTGACAAACTCGAATTGTTTGACATCCCGGCGTGAGAGATTTGACTCAGCCATACTTTCACGATGCTTGAGTATGTTGACTGTTCTTGATGAGTAAAGTTACCTGAGAGAAGTTGGGGACTTACCACTTCTTTCAGTCAACTCGGGTCCGGTGACAGTTGCATCGTCGATCGAGGGACTATTATTGGCCTTCGCTCTCCTCGGCAATCGCTGTCGTATATGCGATGATTGCATTCTCGAAGTTGCGCTTGAGTCTGGCATGGTAGAGTCCCCCCAGTGGCACGTGTAGCTCAACGTTCCGTTTCTCCCACGGATGGCATCCGGTTTCTCAGACTAGTTAGTCGTGACCTCGGTGTGCATAAAATATCGGATGTCTTCTTGCCACAATGACAAAGCTTAGATTATTTCTTTCATGACTTATGTGTTGAGATGTTCGGTCGTTATCCGGGTGTGATTATGAACTCGAAATGTTTATGCGTCGTGATTATAAATGCAGTTACTGGAAGAGGGAATTCTGGGGATAGATTTAGCGAGTTCGGTAGGCGTTGACAGGGACAGGTCACTCATCGCCTCGCGGAGTCCAATTAGTCACTCTCCCCCGGAGTGGAGGAAAGCGGCGTCTCAGAGCAGTAATCCGAGCCGCAAGTTTGTGATATACGGCGGTAGATACGGTAGGCGAGCCTATCTTGGCTGTGGTCTTGGTTGTTTCTCTATTTTGAGATTTGTTCGCTGTCGGGGACGATCACTGGCTATGAACCAGGAAATGAATAATAAAATGCCCTCTGCATTTGTTCGATCTATCAATCTTGATACCATGTAGTTTTCAATCCGCTTACAGATAAACTTGTCATTCCCAACCTTTCATCCATTTCTCCAACCATTCCCCTTTGATAGGCCCAAGGTTTCGCAAAGCATCGCTTGCATCCTGGCTTTTTCCAGTGATCCACTTGCTTTTTTCTCTTTTCATCTCTTCTCTGCAAAAGTCCAACAGTTGAAAAGCAGGATTACGGTCCAACGCATCTCTGAGATCATTTCCACTGATGCTCTCTTGACTTTCTATGTCTTCCCTCACAAGTGAAAGCCAATTTTCAAACGATACTTTGTCAATCTGCCTCGCGCCATTCTCCGAATTTGCGAAAGACACGGCTTTGGTAATGAAAGGGAGGAGTTCTTTCCATTCTGCAAGACTTGGATTGAGCAGATTGTATACATCAGCAGCACAAGAGGAGGCGCTTTCAGACCCATTCGGGTCATGTGGTGCATGGAGGGGGACTCTAGTGAGGCTCACCAGTATCCTTGCTAGAATGTCAATCGGAATCCAGTCGATTTGATCCAAGCTGGGACCGAGAGACTTAGGTATTGCTCCGAGGTAGATGGAGGACCTCACCAAGCTAGGAAACCACTCAGATCTATTCCATTCTCCTTTTCCATACAGGGGTCCTGCTATCTGGCCAACTCTTGCTATTTGTGTCTTCAGCGAAAGTTTCTGAGCTGCGTAGCCTAAAATGCGTTCGGAAAGATATTTACTTTGACCATATCCCGTAGTTACTGGGGCTGACGAATCCGTAATGACTGCCTCTGGGATAGGAGAGCCACGAAACTCGGACGCTGCACTGACTGAGGAGACAAACAGTATAGGAGGTGAGTGCGACGCACAGGCTGCAAACTTGATGAAGTTTATCACGCCATCGAGTTGTGGAAAGAATGAAGATAGGGCCAGTTTGAAGTTGACAGGCCACGCATTGTGCACGATGTTTGTGACATCTTCCAGAAGCGAATGATATATCTCAGGTTGCAGGCCGAAATACGGCTCAGAGTAGTTTGCTGTAAGAAACGTGACCCGCTTCGCCGGGAACTGGCTCACCAGGGATCGCGAACTATTCCGCTTGGTCTGAAATTTTGAGGCAGAATTGCGATTCAAACAGAATATATGTTCAACTTCCGGCGTTTGCAAAAGATCGTCCAAAAGATGTGATCCCAGAAGCCCAGTAGACCCCGTCAATAGAAATACTTTCGTGTGAGGTTCTGTACGAGGAGGTAAAGCAGGTTGTTCGATATCGTCGACACGGGCCTCGTAGATTTTCAGGATAGTAACGATATTATGTTGTAAGTTTTCGGGGCCATTTAGCAGAGAAGTCGGCCTGGCCAATGAATCCGTCTGAAGGTACTGTGCGAGCAGTGATATAGAGGGATACCCATAGATCACATCGACATTCCATGTCGGGTTGGCGAGAGTTGTCTTTAGATCTCGAGCTAACAATAAAGCTTGCAGAGAATCCATGCCGTTGACAAAGAAATTGTCTTCCTGCCCAAACACTCGTCCAGTGATTTCCCATGCCGCCCTCGTTAGATACAAAAGTACAGCGTCGTTGTCCAGAGGGCCAATTTGAGTCCCAACCTCGCCGCTGACATATACTTCATCAGCAGTTTCGTACAAGGCATCAAACTCCTCTGCATAATGTTTCAGAGCTGTTGCTCTTTGAATGGTTCCTTTGGGGATCGTGGCAAAGGCTTGCTAGGGTCTGTGAATATGATGTGGGACTTCGTGATTCTGGCATGTGATGGATAGTTTTTATTGACATATTTGATTGATGGCCAGATCTTCTCGACGACTTCAGATCTCTTAGTAGATTGTAACATGCTCTTGTCGACAAGTTCTACCAAAAGGACCGCTTGAAAGCGCTGAGACCCTGCGATGAGTGCTCCAGCGACTTCGGGATTCTGGGAGAATATGTATTGCTCCATACTGACCGGATTGACCTTTTCGCCCGTCAAAAAGACTATGGTGTCGTCTGCTCGACCAACGTGACGCCAGAGATTTGGCTCCGAATCATGACGAGCATAGAGATCTTTCGTCCGATACTCGTCATAGTCCGGAAAAGTCGTGAATATCTGGTGCTGACGTTCTTTCCCGTGCTTTCTGACGATGAGTAACTCATACATGTCTGCTGCATGATGCCGAAACTCTGCGCCCGAGTCGGGATGGAATGTGAGCTATTTCCAGTCTCCCTTAACATCATATTCAATTTTCCGAATGAGTGCAATACTAGCCCCTTCTGTAGTGCCATAGTAGTAAAGCTGTTCCGAGTGGGGGTGGGGCTTGATTTGTGTGCAACATAGTGACGAAGCCATTGTGAGACAAATGATAGAACTTTGAGGGTTGAAATGTGGAATTTCGAAGAAAGAGTGACTTTCTGGCAGCTCTGTCCCCATAAGAAATATGCCAAGAAAACACGGAAAGCTCTACCACATATCAGGTCAATAATCCATGACCAAAGACTCCCGTAAGAAGCAGTGACAGGTTTTTTGGGCTCTGAACAAGGGCAGGATCCTGCATGTGCTGCATTTAATTTTCTAAGTTCGAGCTGGTTGGTGCAAGGACAACAATCCTGCTATTGGCAATTACGTATGGCAACTGTTGGGGAAGCACCTTTCGCTGAATCGTTAAATGGACTAGAACATACATGAGGTGAGATACCGCCGAAAATTTCAGAATTTGGACCAGGAAGCTATTCATAATATCCATGGAACATTATGATCTTGAAACCTGACCTCCATGCATTGCACCATACCTCGTTCAGCGGGAATTTTTTGGTTTACGATTGGTAACCAATTCAAGTTTTGTGATTTTAGTGTTATAAAATAATTACTCATTTAGTTTTACATGCAAAGAAATAAAATCAAATTAAATACATAAGAGGAACATATACTGAAAAATGACATGCTATTAAATCTTGGTTTTTCCTATACAAGCTGCTTGGAAGATTTACCCATGAGTAATGTAGCCGTTTAATCCAATTCCAGGTACAACAAACCACCTTATCCGCACTTGAGATAGGTTCCCAATTCCGACCAACCACGGCAGTTGTTGGAACTCTTCAAGAGCCTTCTTATCGGCTTGTTGGCACTCCTGGTCGATCCGATGGGTTGCTCGCGAAGCAATATTATATTATGGCCTGCATGTCCTCTTGCGTCCAGCAAATCTCCAACTGCATATTGAACTGCAATCATTTTCCCAATTGAAATGCAACAATTGAAATGCAACACCGTTCCCAAAGAGACGGTAGCGGCTTGACATCGCATGGCTGCCTCGCAGCACTTTACCCAACATGCAAACATCTTCGACTTTGTTCTTGCATACTCTTGCATGCTCTTTGATTGTTCTGGGCTTTCTTTCCCGTCGTATTGCCAACCTCCAACCTCCCGCTTCCTGCTTGTTTCCTTGTTCCCTCCGGGCGATGTCTACCTAGTCATTCAATATGCGCGTTCTTCTACAGAGGATGTCAAAGTAGATCTCAGGCACTATGGCCGCCTACCTAGACCCCGAATCGCCTCCGCTCATAGCCTTAGGAGATGTGTCGTGCTTCCTTTAACAAGTACATGCTCGAGATGGCATGTATTTGTCGATGAATGACAACTCGAGGCACCACGTAAGATTTTACTGGGATATTTGAAGAAAAGCCTCTTGGTATTTTCAAGGGCCGACAGGACAAGGACTGGTCGCCGAAGTCAGTTTAGATGTAGACATGATGAAGAGGCGGCTCTTACGTTGTGAAGGGTGCGATGACCCTAACTCACTCTATCAATGATTTGCTACCCATCTGTACAATCCATTCATTAACCCCATCGACACCTTTGTACGTAACCAGCATCAGCAAGCCCAACTCATCTACATCTTCCAATCTAGCTTTGCCTAGTATCTCGTCTAACTCCATTCGCTGCACATCTAAGCTCTTTTGTGCTTCCATCACAAGTCTCCAATGAACAGCACTACCTGCATCCCACAGCTCCTTCCCTGCTGTGAAAGACAGCTCCGTGACCTTCTCGACATAAGTGCAATACCCTTTCTTCAACACCGAGTACATAGCCGATACCATACGACTGACGATCACCGTCCTCTTCACACTCTCTTCGAACACCCAACTTTCCCAACTTTTCTCGATCACATAACCAGCATCGAATGACGCATTGTCTTGATCCTCGACGACGATACCAGTTCGCAGAGCAAGACGATCCGTCCAGTCATTCAGTACAACTTCTGCTTCTTCTGCATCACCTCGTGCCCTCACATCTCCATCAAATAGTCTGATAATTTGGAAGATGACCAAGGACTGCACACAAGATAGATGTTCCGCCACAGCCCAATTCGGCATAGGTTGCAACAACTTTGCAATCATCGACGAGATAACCTCCCAGACCACAGCTCCATTTGTCTCATTCTTGGCGAGATAGAGTGAGCAAGCCGAAATTGCATCTTGAAGAGGAGAAGAGATAGTCGGAGAAAAGAGCAGCGGATGAATGAATGGCGTTCTGGTTGTCGTTAGGAGGAGTGTAGGGTAAGATCGAAGAGCTTTGATGATCCAAGTAGCACGAGGTCTGTCCATAGTCCCTATTCTTGGAAGTGGAAGTGGATCATGTAGTAGCTGCATGTCGTACATATCGAGGAAAGTTTCGTCGACGTCGAGCATGGGATTTATTTGCCGAGGGAAATCGGTGGGTACTGAAGAGTTGGGATAGTCCAAGAGAGGCTGTGAGAGGCCATTGGTCTCTGGCCTAGACACTACTGGTGTATCGATCGATATTTCGGAGATGGGAGGTCTTTCCATCCTTGGCTTGACAGAGCCCTTGTATTCGCAGAGGATTGATTTCCCGACACACTGTGTGCAGATAGGAGTTCGTCTGTCACAGCGACGCTTAGCATTTGCACAAGCTATGCATGATTTCTGTCTTGTCTTAGTTTTCGGAGAAGACATTATTATGACTCTGGTTTCATCGAAGGATTCGCTTTGACGCAGCACAGTATTGTGGCAGATGCTGGCCTCCAGACATTTGGTGTTCAAGACCTTTGGCCTATGGACGAGACATGAGAGACATGCGATATATCAATCATACTGGATCGAAAGGAGACCATAACTTGATAGATGTTAGGCAGTGTCAACATCATTAAGATGAAAGCTACAAGCTGGTGATGGAAATCCAGGTCAAAATTCGGAATGCGGGCGCTGGAGCCACACCCCGCTATTTTCAAGGAAAGGGCCCTTAGTGGCGGAGTTGCGGAGTTTGAAATGTGAACACTTACACTACGGACTTTCACTGCTGATCATTCCTTCCTATATACATCCTCTCGTATTATTGCAAACCCCGAAGCCTACGTCTTCTGAGGAAACTTTCCGCATAGCTGATTCATCGAAGGACTTTCTCACTCGCGGCGGCCATCGAGAGCTATTCGCCTTCAACGAAATTTTATATAATGGCAGCTTTCTCCGATCACAGGGGACAAACAAATCATCGAAGACTATCTGGTGCACTCGAAATTCTACTTGCAGTCCCACACCGTTGAACATCACAGAATGTCTATCGTACCAGAACCAATAGCGGCTTGCCTCACAGCTATCAACCAAAAGTCCAGCAGCGCTTTCATCACCCCATTCACCCAAGACGCCATCCTCATCGACGAAGGACGAACAGACAAAGGTCGAGACGCAATCCAAGCATGGTGCGAAAAGGCTCTCCTCTCCCACAATGCCACGATCAAAATCCAACAAACGATCACGCAGCAAGATCGGACCATCGTAAAAGTAATCATGGACGGTGATTTCGTCGAAGATTATGGAATCACTGAGCCCTTCACGCTATACTTCTCCTTCCAGATAAAAGACAACAAGATCCATCACCTCTTAATCACACCCTGGGATTCTTCCAGACCGAGCATGAAAGCCGTTTATCTCGATAGAGCAAATGCAAATGATCCCATCTCAACCGTCAAGATTGCTCCTCGACCGCAGCAAGATCCTCCAGAAGGTTGGGTCCGAGTCAAAATACAAGCCGTAGGCCTCAATTACCACGACATCTTCACCATGAAAGGCCACGGCATGCACCCCTTAACCTTTCCCCTCATTCTTGGCTGCGAAGGTACCGGGACCCTTGCAGAAGGAACTCCAGTCCTTCTGTACCCTTGCATGGGCTCGCCAGACTTCAAAGGCGACGAAACGCTTGACCGGACTCGAAACGTCTTCAGTGAACTTACGAATGGCACGCTGGCCGAGTACGTGAATGTCCCTGAGAGGAACATTGTGGTTCGACCCAAGGAGTTGGAGGTCGAAAGTGCTGCTGTCTTGGGAATTGCGTGGTTGGCGGCTTATCGAATGCTAGTCACGAAGTCGGGATTGAGGGCTGGACAAACGATGTTGGTTCAGGGATCTTCTGGGGGCGTGTCGAGTGCGTTGATTCAGCTCGGTGCTGCGGCTGGGATGAGGGTTTTGTGTACTGGTCGTACAGCGGCGAAGAGAGAGTTGGGGCTGAAGCTCGGTGCTGAAAAAGCGTTTGAGGCCGGACAAGAGTTGCCGGAAAAGGTGGATGCTGCGTTTGATACCAGCGGTGAAGTGACTTGGGAGCACTCGATGAATTCCGTCAAGACTGGAGGCACGATTGTAACTTGTGGTGGGCATGGTGGAAGGACGATCCCGGTTGATGTTTCGAGGGTATTTGTTGAGCAGATCAATATTCGAGGATCGTATCTTGGGACGCTTCAAGAGTTTCGATATCTCATAGATTTTGTTGTTGCCAAGTCTATCAAGCCGCACATTGGACTTGTGGTGTCGATGGACGAAGCAGAAGTTGGATTTCGAAAGATGTTGAATGGAGAGACCGCAGGCAAGATCGTCGTCAGGATGTGATTTAGGGGCGGCGAGAATCTCTATTGTGTCGTCGGCGGAAGTAGCTTCATCATCTCAGCTATGCTGAGATCATCGACATATTCGATCGCTGTGAAAGATTCCAACGAATCCACTTCTGCTAATTGGTGAATGTCCAGCTCTTTAGCAGCCCAATCTTTAGCTTTAACCAAGTCGCCTTTCTTTTCATGGAAGACTGCAGCAAAGTGGTAAGCTTTTGCCAAATAATCCGCCAACTCCTCTTCCTCAATCATATCCACAAGACTCATAGATTTAGACAGCATCCTCTCCGCACTCTTCTCGGACAACCCATCCAAATGAACCTTCTGCTCCAGCACCTCAATAAAATCCGCAATCTTGACTCTCTTCCTACTACTCTCCACCGACTGACATGCATCACAACCACAAGTAAACCCATACTGAAACAACCTCGCCTGCCTCTCCTTAGTCGATTTCGTCAACGGTATATACGAAACCGTAACCTCCTCCCCCCTCTCAATATCCCTAAATGCATAAATAACCCTCTGATTCCGCTTCATGCTCCAAAAGTTCCCCGAATTCGGCCGACACGAATGATTGATCCTCGCAATCTTGGGAAAGATACCCACATAGTCGTCGCCCGTGTTGTAAGCATTACTCCTCAAAATCGTGAGTAGCTTGCTTTGATTTTCTTCCGTGGGGAATCTATGTTCGTGTAAATCGAGGAATTCCTGCTGTTGAGCAGGGGAAAGGGAGTGGAAGGCGTCTTCGACGTTGGTGAGCATGTCTGCCATGCGGAATCCTTGGCCGGGAACCATTTCGGGCATGGGGACTGAGATGAGTGCTTCTTCGATGATGATTTTGGTGCGCCGAGGTAATTTTCTGTTCGCGACTACTCCGAATCCTTTCCCAGGAATTGGAACAACGTCGTAGACAGATGAAGATGCTGTGATCGATCAGTAAAGTGTTTGTTGATAGTGGGTCATGTGACCAAGACTGACCTTCCGTTGGAGCTTCTCTCAGTGGCAGTATCTCATGCTCTTGAAACACACCGCTGACTGGGAATTCTGCACTGCAAAGATCTTGATGGACGAGCAGAGGATTGAGGTAAAGAGGATCACACGCGGCGGTGATCGATACAAAGCTCAGAATTAGCCCGAGGAAAATCACAAGCAGTTCGCGATGGGTGCTGCAGGGTGCCATAATGAAATCACAACCGAAACAATGATCTCGTAAAATAGAAAAGTTCTTGAAATTCTTGGCAAAAAAAGTATTCAAGGTTGAGACTTCAATCGCGGGGTGAAAGTCCGACAAGATGAAACTCGTGTATCATAAATCTGCCCACAGCGTCGTCAGCTGGGATGATCCCCGGGGTATGGAGTGCCTTCCGGCCAGCAGTCGAACATATGGAAACTGGCAACTGGCAATACCTCCAAGACAGGAGAAACTTCTCATGAAGACGTGTGCACAAGATTTGGCAGCGGTGTTTTCGGTCGGCAATGAGCAATCGACTGTCGGTGCTATGTAATACTAATTTTCCTTCTACTGCAGCTACAGTTTCGCCTTCTTCGCTGCAGCACTCAATTTCAAAGCTTCACGAACACCAAGGTCAAGCAATACATCTTCGGAACCACCCGGCACAATCAATGTTGGAATGGCTCGTGCTATTGATTCGATTCTTGCTCCTTGTCCCGTTTTGGTCAAGCCAAGTCTGAAAAGTTAGCTCCATTCCTTACGAGAAGAGAATTTCTTACCCTCCCATAAGTTTCTGGCTTTCATCCGCGATATATTTTGCTACGATACCAGCCTGTACTTTCAGCAAAGCTGTTGCGCCGCCCAACACCTTCGACCCTGTACTCAATCAGCAGGTGTTCTTGTTCGATTGTACTCATATCGCGTACCTTCGGCATGGCTCATATTCTCCAGCTCATAAATCAAAGACTCGATCCACGACTGAAGACCATCGATTTGTCTCGCCATATGTCCAAATTTATGCCTGACAACTGGCTGCTCAATCAACGTCTTCCCAAAGGCTTCGCGCTTCTGACACCACGTCATCGCATCCTCAAGACATATCCTCGAGCCTCGAAGTGCTTGGAATGCAATCCATAATCGCTCGTGGTTGAAGTTGCTCATGGTGTATTTAAAGCCACCGCCTTCTTGGCCAACAAGATATTCGGCGGGTACTTTCACATCTTCGAATGTGACGTAGGTTGTCGCTCCCATGCTGCTACCTCCAATCTCTATTTTTCTGGGTTTCAGACCTGGGAGGCGGGGGATGAGCAACATGGACATGCCTGATGCTCCGGCACCACCTGTCCTTACAGTTGTCTGGAAAGTTCGTCAACGTGGCAGCGATACCGAGATTCACAGTACTAACCATGAAATAATCAGAGAATATTCCGTTGGTGATCCAGTACGACGAAAGTCAGCTAGGATCCAGACATCATTTCTGGATTACTTATCTTTTTCTCGCCATTGACAATATAGTGCTTCCCATCGGGCGTCTTCTCAGCAGTCGTTGTGATGTTCCTCACATCTGACCCCGCAGACGGCTCCGTGATAGCAAGACATATCCTCTTCTTTCCGCTTAGGATCTCAGGAAGAATCTTCTTCTGCAAAGCTGGGGAGGCGTATTGCTTCAACGGCGGTGCGCCAACAACCAATCCGATGAACTGGCTCGAGATACTCGATGCTCCTCTAAACAACTCGTCCCAAAGGATAAAATCATGGAACCCATTCCACTCTTCTGCTTTGATCCCTGCGGCGATCGGATAGTGTCCCCATTCTCGAGGAATGCGGTTTCCGAACGCGATTGGGACAAGTAGTCCATCTCGAGCACACTTCTCATAGACGTCGTCCGGGATCTTGCCAACCTTTTCCCATTCTTCTTCATTTCCGACTACATTCTGAGCAAGTCTTCAGTCAAGATCTTGTTCCAGTGGAGCCCACTCACATCTTCGGTCCATTTTCTGACCCAGTCTCGAAGCTTGACATATCTTGCGTTGTAGTATGGAGATGGCCTCCCGGAATACCTTTTTATTGTCAGCTCAAATCCCATGCAGTCATGTGACAGCCAAACTCTCACCATGCTGGATCAGCCCACGGGCTAGTGCTACCAAAAGCTTTGGGCATTTTGTTGTTTTCGTAGGGGTTCAGTGTCTCTGCAGTCAAATATCATCGAATACCAAGAGATAGAACAACAAATCGTGAAGGTTTTCACACAATCTCGACACCGGCTATCTCATCTCTAGCCGAGGTGAACTCTCTCCCAAAGCATTTGTCGACGTGCAACAGATCTGGATTGCGACTTGCGACAAAAGATGCGATGGTTCACATTGATGGCTCGCTTACTGAACGACCCCGCATTTCGGGGTTCGGGAGGAAAAGTCGTTTGCTTCTGACACGCCCTTGACGGCTATTCAGACGGCTACGGCTACTTCGGTATCTTCACCGGATGGATGTCTGCATGCCTCAAGCAAAACAAAAACGGTAATCGGTGATCATCTGTTATCTGCAGTTGTCTTTCGATTAAGCTTATCACTTCAAGATATAAATAGAATGGAAGTGGGAGATCCTTCCCAAAGCGAGGTAGTGTTGCACATGGTCGCCAAGCCTGCGCTGTGGCTGTGTCTCATTTGCCTGCAGTGTCAGCGGAGATCACGGAAAGATATCTCCTGCAGGCCAAAAAGCTCTCGTTTCAAGCTTCATGTCTGCAGCTGCCCCAGACCGTGAAACGAATGCGGGAGAGCACAGCCCCGACGACATGCTACTTTATTCTATCCTCGCCAATGAACGGTCTACATTCATTACTTGGACTTGTGATTATTAAAGCTAAGAGGATTATGGATCTACACTGTACCCATCGTGCATCAGCTTCACTAAAGGAAGCTAGTCTGATATGGAGGCTCAGCGTGCATTCCTTCAATGTGACCATGCTTCTTTCTTCATTGGTACATCTCAGCGTTACACAAAGCTCGAGGACGAACTGGAAAGGTGAGCAGTCTGAAGTATCGGTGACTGCTGCACGAAAACGATACTATCATGTTATGACATGTCAATGGAGGATGTGAGAGCTGGAGGCCCATCGGGAAGGCCAAGTCTAGGGAACAGACGACAAACCATCCCCAGGAAACCCGTTGGGATCGAACGACACGATACTCTCAGCGTTCCCTCCGGATACACCTTCGATGTTCGAGGGCATGAGGATGGGGCCTCTTTCGTATCGCGACTTTCGACGCAGTCCAGTGGAGGATTCTACGGTCATGGGTTCATCTCAACTTTCAGTCCTGATACCGGGTATCATGGTAATAATATTGGGGAGCAGGACATTCCGCTCATGGATATCACACCGGCGACTCCACGACATGGGACATCTGATAAAGACTCGATACCTCCAAGCAGGATAGACCCTCTGTCCGATTATTTTGAACAGAACCCAGACTACCTAGATGAGAGGCCCTGCGACTGGCTTCCCGCAGCGCTGAGATGGCCATTCATGACTATTCTCTTACTGGTTTCTTTCGGGCTTGGAATTCTGGTCTTGGCCCTTACTATCGTGTCTGCAAGAAACTCGGGACTGGGCTCGGACCAAAACACATCCATATTCTTGTTCGGATGGCGCTTCACTCCAACTCTGTTTGCAGTCATCTATACGTTGCTTCTGATGGCCATGGTTGGCGAGATCAAAAGAACCGAACCGTATGCCAGACTTTCGAGACCTCAAGGATCATCTGCAGCATCAAGCTTGTTCTTCAAACCTAGAGCTTTCTGGTTCGATCCTTTTGATTCGTTTAGCAAACAGAAGAACGATAGAATTCGAAACTGGACATTGTTCTGGGCGTCCATTGTTTACATCCTTGGTCTCTTGATCGTTTCGCCCTTCTCTGCTGCTTTACTTAGTCCTGCCGAAGTCCTGATCACTCAGGATGCTCAATTCTCAAGACTTGCGACCTCAGCGGCCAGTCCGATGCAGCTGTCAACGGATGATTCTGTCTTTTTCAGAACCATCTCGAGCATTATATTGAACACGACTACATCTGCCTGGCTCAGCAACAACTATACTGTGGTTCCGTTCTGGCCTTCCAATCTGCACTCCGTCCCTTCGGGTGCAGCCCTTTCTGCAAATGAAGAACAATGGGTAGGTAATACTACTGTCTTCCAGACCTCTCTTCAGTGCGACACAATGAACCTCAAGCAATTCTCGAATTACTCCCTCAACTCCACCGCACAGTATAATGCCTCGACGATCGTAACGACAAATCTCACATCTTTCGTCCTCGAGTCAGAGGATGGCTGTTCGTTTGGACTTTCGGGTCTCACTCCCGAGTATGATGGGACTGGGGTGATCTGGTCGACTGGAGGTGGTTGGTGGGCAGCAGCACCAAACTTCTCTTACCCACTCCTATGGGGAGCAGGCAACGGCTCTGCAGCAGACTTTACAACAGAAACCCCCATTGCAATCAACTCGAGCAGTCAATGCGGAAACAGGACGATGTTTTTCTTGGCTACTCCAGAATCCGTTCAGCCATATCAAGCCAAAGGGTACATCTGCAGTTCCGGATACTATTCTGCCATCCTTCCTGTCACTGTTTCGAACACAGGTACCTCTTCCTCTTTTAAATTCGACGAACAGCAATTCAACCGTACGAAGACGCCAATACCTGCCAATGTCCTTAACCTAACAGACTTCGAGAACACTTTCTTGAGTCAGAATTGGTCAACGAAATTTCAACCGCCCGACTCCTCAACCAATCCTGTGATGACGATCCGGCCTGGTATAGGAGGACCTCTGATCCTTGTTGGAGCTCAGAATGGCTTCGATATCCCAGCCATGATTGCGAATCCGAATCTCGTCGACCAGGGTAGACAAGTTAAGCAGAGACTACTCGGTGAAAGCATGCAACCAATCTTTCAACAGATCGGCACTCAACAAGCTGAGGATATTCAAGGACAGATTGGTGTTAATGAAGAGAGAATCGTTGTCAGTCTGATTATTGGGACGTTGTTGACAGTAGTACTGTTTATGTCCACCTTCATGATTGGACTGGTCGTGTACTTCACCCGTCTTCGCAAACGTCCACTCAATCTCTACCAAAATCCAACCTCGACAGCTGCGGCAGCATCACTTATTCGTTCGGAACCTTCTTCAAGGTCAATCTTCGAAGGTTTAGATCGCTCTTCGGAAGATGCTATGCTCAGACAACTTGATGGATATGTGTTCTCGCTGAGGGATGGGGTCCTTTATTCGTACCACGTCAAAGACAACTTCCAAGAATCAAGTAAGTACTTTACTTGGTTTCTTATATGAATACTGACCATTGTGATCCAGAGTTCGATACAAATTCAGTCAATGAAAGCTCCAAGCCTGAAGACTGGCGCCCCAAAGTCCTCAGAGGATGGCTTTTGGCCCTGTTGCTGTTTCTGCTCGCAGCTCTAGTCATCACACTTGCAGTTCTTTACGCTAAATTTCATACCTCGGGAATACATCAGTCGTTTCTAGTGTCTGGCATAGATTTCAAAATCGATAACAGATCACTGGAAGCACTTGCACCATACTCTATCATCCCAACCCTCATCGCCGTTGGGATCAGGCTTTGGTGGGGCTCAATCGATGAGACTTTTCGGAGACTTCAACCTTATGTCTCAATGGCCCACAATCAGTCCGAGAGCATGAAAATGACTGTCTTGTCATACGTTAGTGCTCCGTTGGTATGGGCTGCCGTTAAAGCCGTTCCTTATCGTCACTGGCTTCTGGTCATCGTTGCAGCTGGAGCATTTCTGTCTGAGATTTGTAAGGGTCCTGTCTTTTTAATGACATTCACCACTAATCACATTGGCAAGTCACCATTGGCATGTCAGCCCTGTGGGACCGAAACCCTGGCTTTCGTACGTACAACAGTACTTTAGCACGTACTGTAGAATTTAGGAGTGTTCCAGCAATTTTTGAAGTACCACCACCTTCGCCGCACGGTTACGATGCCAGTGTTGATACCCAAAATGCCAAAGGTATGCCTTGATTCTGTATTTGCGAGTACAATGCGCTCTGGAATAGGTTAGTTGACATGGAATAGGAGCTCTGACAAATGTCTTCGGCAATCTCTTGACTAGCTGGCTTTACGCTGCCATCAATGAAGGTGCTTATAACACGACTCCCTCAGCATGGATGAATGACGACTGGGCCTTCATGCCTGCCGAAATCTCTTCCATATCAATCTCATCCCAATCTGTCTCGTCCTCTGACAATGCTCCTGTCGCTGGGTCTGCCGTTAATGCAACTTTCGACACTCCAGCGATACGAGGCAGACTTGAATGCAGTCCGCTCGATATGTCAAACACATCTGCTTGGTTATATACCTTAGACTTCACCAACAAAACTGCCTGGAACTCGACGATTCCTTCGGATCTCAAGACTGGCTACGAGTTGAAACTTGGACTTGCTATGAATGAATCCGTGGGCGACGGAAAATATACGTATTGGGACGACGATAGTCCATACTTCAGTTTCTTTGCAACAGACTATCGCTTGAAATGCTGCGGCAATGAGACAAATGGGACAGTCAACGAGGCTTCTGTCGGATACTGGTCGCTACCTGCAGATAGTATGCACCAAGGGATCGTGGTGAAGTGGATTACCGGCCATCCTTACGTATCGCAGTTCAACGATTCGACTGGTTCCGATTATCTCAGTCCCGGAGAAGGGTACGGAGCACACTTACACTGGGCCTGGAAAGACGTGCCGAAAGTTACAGCTCTGAATTGCACACCTGTGTTTGAGACTGCTAATGCAAGCATCACCGTCGATGTCTCGACTGGTATTGTGCAAAATTATACTATCAACGATACACCTCGTCTCGATCCAAATGCATGGGCGTATAACTATGTCCAACTCAACGTCTCAAAGGGGGTACCATACAATGCCACGATGTATACGGGTTCTGGTTACGAGGTCAAGCCCGGCAGCTTTGTCAATAACGTGACAGTCAGGTGAGTAAACTCTCTTCGACTCGTTCTCAATTTTCACGCTTTTTGCGCGAATCGCGCAAAACGCGAGATCATTACTTTCAATCCCCTTTCTACTTCGGACTAATAGTTGCAGCTATGGCTACCTGTTCCACGACGCTCTCCTCGGTGCCGCCAATTCAGCACTGACAGGAAACGACCCCATGGCAGCCTCTGTCACCGCCGAAAACCTCTCAGACCGAACCTTCAACTTCCGCCTCCCTGGTCTAAACGTAGACTTCATGTCCTACGTCTCCTTATCCCTCGCCAATAACACCGCTTCCCCCCTCCTCGACCCCAACACCCTCGGCAACATATCAAGCACCGTCTTCTCCATGTTCTTCAAACATTTCGTCCACTCAAACGTCACCACGAATGCAGGCATGTACATGAACGGCTCTTGGGGTCTACAACCGCGCGGCGCTGTCATACCTTCTGATCTCGGCCCAACAATATCTAGTCTCTCGAAAGCATATCTCCAAGATAATTTCACAGCTTCAAATACACCTCCAACCATAACCACCACCATCTCCACACGCATCCAACAACTCGATCTCAGTCCCGTCGCGGTATTCCTCTGTATATCAATCCTCTGTTTCCTCATGCTCACTACAGCTATCGTCTTAGGCTGGCATAGAAAATATCTCCGTCTCTTACCCAGAGATGTCGATACCCTAGGTAGCATCCTAGGTTTCGTGTACGCGAGTGAGAGGTTACTAGCTAAATCCAACGATAAAACTGCCCTAGAAACAGACGCTGGCAACACGGAAATGGTGCGGATGGGCTGGTTTGAGAGTAGAGGGAAACGGAGATGGGGTGTAGAGATTGTGGATAGGCCGGTGGGGTTGAGGAAGCCTCCTAAGCCGGTGAAAGTCCCGAAACTTCCAAAACCCCCGAGGATGCCGAAGCCTCCCAGACCGCCAAAGGTACCGAGTGAGAGGAAGAGGAAGAAGGATAAGCAGAAAGCGGTGGAGAGGATCGAGACTGGGTATCCGATGCCGGGGATGGCGAGGGGTGATTATGAGGAGGTGGGTTCGGGTGTTGATCTTTCGGCTTGGCAGTTGAGACCTGCGAGGGCGGAGAGATGGGCTTAGGCTGTTGTTGAATAATATTGCTTCAATGAAAGAAAGATGCTTCTTTAATCTAATTGACGGTCTTCGACAATGGGAAAATTTTGGAAGATTGTCGTTTCACTGTCCTAGGGATTGCGCATCTCTGTACGCGTCTTCAGTCTATTGTCCTATTCTCGAAGCAACATCAAGCCTCTTGGAAGCTTTGAGCTAGATTAGGACTCTTGGTTTCAGTAATCTCAATGGCAATGTCCGTCCTGAATCCAGTCTCTCTGCCCCTCATAAGTCATTTCTTCGGAACAATACTTTGCATCACACTTCGACGAATTAAGAGGTTGCCCAAGAAGTGTTTTGGTTTGAATCATTTGTAGTAGAGGACTTGTGCCTCCCCAATTGTAGGTTAGCCCAAGCCGCACTATATCCAGATCTTCCATCCCAATATCCCACCAAAAACCGTTGTTTGCTCTACTTCTTGCCTAACCACCCCTCTCTCTCCTTACTCCACTGGTTGTCCTTCAAATTGACGGCTTTGATACCCCGTAGCTCTCCAGGTTGGCCGTATATCTCCCGAAGCCTCTCTAGCTGTTCTCGCTTAATAAGCTTGAGTCCGTCCCAGCAGTAGCTCAGAATCCCACCATGAAGCTTTGGGCAATCTAAATTTGGTCAGAATTTTGAACCCCAACAAACTTTGTTTCCAACTCACCTAGTGCAAGCGTAGAGTGGATCACGCTGGAATGTGTTACTATCGCGATTTCAACGTGCTTGCCCTCGTATTGTTCGTATAATTCCTGAACACGCTCCACCAGATCATCCCACCGCCCATCTTCTGAATCGCTATCGACGCTCTCCTTGATCCTTACATCGTTATAATCCTCAAGCAGTCCATCCGTGATGGCGATCTCGCCAAACGTTTCCTTGAGTTTGGCTATGCTGTCACCCAAGCTGGAAGGGTGTTGTCCGAAACTTTGAAGCTCCTCCCGTAGCTCCAATTTGATCCCCTTTTCAATTGATGCCTCGAACAATAGCAATGCTGTCTCAATTGTACGACGGAGAGGAGAGCACAGGATGTGTTGGACACGCCTTATGATAGGTTCCATCTCGCTACGTTGTTCGATACAGTAGATTTGACCGTTTCTGGTGAGCTTGGGGTTTCGAATTGAATAGTCTGCATCCTGATTGAGGAGCTTGTGCACCGCCTGGAATTTTGAACACAGTTAGCCATTGCCCAAGATCCTAAGACTCAGAGGTTGGGCTTGTTATTCGTCTGAGTGTCTGAGTATCGCAGTGTCGTCGTATCTTTGTAGACGCGCGAAAAGGAAAAGGGAGAAATTTTTTCAGCCATTGACTTCGAAAGCCCATACTCTATATCCCCAAGGAGAGCTTTTTCTTGGGAATACTGACCTCAGCGTGACGCACGAGATGGATAACGAATTCAGGGCGTGGTATGGTAGCCATTGGTACGGAAAGGGGTAGCGACGGGATTTCTTCGGGATTCGTTTCGGTGTATGATGGGTTTTTGGAGGTGCAGAAATGGTTGAGGAAGCATCCTGTAGCGGAAGTCAAATGCCGGCTGCTGTTTGCACAGATTGGAACATGTATCGCAGGGCCGACATGTCGCTGCATGTCGGGTCATGATATGGTATAAGACACCCACAGATTTAATTCAAGCAATTCCCTACACTCCATAGTCTGTACATCAGGGCTTCAGCTAACCATCCGAAGTCCACTTTCACAAACTGTTCGAAACATATCACAGTACCTGTGCCTGGCACATTATAGCAAGATCGTTCCGGATTTGGAGACAAACTTTGACTTCCATGTATGATTCAAAGAGCTACTGTTGCCCTCAATGAGCTTACATATGCTGGTCTGTGTATTGAGACAGTTTCGAGTACCGAGACAGGATGTCTTGGATGCCATTTTCAGACCGGAGTCTTTCTGAGTTACTGGTCGAGGCTTCTGGTTATCGCACTTCCAACAAAGGCGCACTCATCATGAAACGTTTCAAAATTCTTCGAGGCCTTGAAGATATCCTACTGTTCACCGAGTCTCAGCCACTGTCTACCCTACTCTAGAATATGCTTATACTGCTACAGAGGTATATAATCAACGCGTGTGGAGCATTGAGAAGAAGCAGCAAATCATTCCTATCATCATACTTCTTTCAATATTGTTTTCTCAAAACTCAGAATCCAAAGAACCAAGTCAATCAACAAAGACAATAAGATTTCATCCGAAATGGAAAACGCTACGCCTAACATTATTGTGCATTTCATGCGACATGCAGAGGTAACGTTACCCCCTCTTGGAATAACTTGTCCATCTCACTGACAAGGAATACAAGCCAGCACACAAGTGCGGCGGCATAGATGACTTAACAATGCTGGACCCAGACATCTCTTACAACGGCCGTCTGCAATGCCTGGCCTTCTCTTCCGCAATAGCACCCGACCTCGAACAACACGTGACGCACATCTTCTCATCTCCAATGCTTCGCGCACTCACGACCACCTGTATCGCTCTCTGGCCTCTGCTCCGTAAAGGTCTTACCGTCCATGCGTTACCCGAGTTACAGAACCTAGATATGGGACCTAGTGGAACTGGAATGAATGTATCAGATCTCGATAAAGAATTTACTGGGAATTTCGGATTGCTTGGAGGGAAGGACAGGAAGAGTGTTGTTGACGTGAAGACTTTTATGGCGAAGGACTGGAATTCGAAAGAGACGGGAAGTTGGAGTACTCCTGAGGTGGAATGGAGAGTGGATTATATGAGGGGGTTCTTGAAGGGATTGTTGGCCGGGAGAGAGAGGGTTGAAGTTGTGATTGTTAGTCACGGGAGCTTTTTGAGGAAGTTGGTCAATGACGGTATGCGATTATTCCAAGTATTTGGAAAACACTAACTTTGTGCCTGTTTAGTCAAGTTCCAAGATGTTGTCCTCACTAGTTGCGTGTTTGGGGAAGATGGCAAGTTTGAGGAGATCAGTCAAGATAAGCTTGGAGACTTGAGAAAGCAGATGAAGGAATGATTGTTAGAGCGTCCTCAGAGTGAAATCGGTCAATGAGGATAAAAGTCAGGGACTGGAGCTTGGTACCGACAACTTGCTGCCGTTTTGACGTCTAGCTATTCAAGTAATTACTTATTGTCATTGTCAATTCACATAAACCTCTTATTCACTACTGAAATATGTGGACCTCATGGAGCCTGACCCTGAACTTCGACATACGACCACTAGAGAAACCTTCCCCGTCCGTCCTCTAAAACATAGCGAAGACAAATCCTTCAGAATCTTTCTAGTTTTGATTTTGAAACTTGTCTGCATCCACAGGAGGTCCGAGTAGTTGGAGCATTTCACGTGATCTTGGTGCCTAGAAAAAGAAAAGCCACACAAACGCAGAGTTCAGATATTAATTGGCCTCGAACGCATCATGATAAAACTCCGGGGGCTCACTGTAGTACAAGAAAATGTGAGTAGTGTCACATGACGCACCGCTGCGTTTGCATTGATCGTAAGAGGTTTCTTGGTCTAAATTTCTCATTAGTTATCAATTCTATTACTGCATCAAACCTTATTGCTGCTTGACTTTGTATACAATCGTCCTTGAAAACTCTTGTGACTACCATTTCACGCTCTTCAAACCCTACCTTGTTCATCCCGGCTCTTGGTGAAACCATTTCCACAACTCAGCTTCCACAATACTCTCGCACCTACGATGTCTTTTTCAGAAATCAAAACAGCTCTTGCGACAGTATGTTGCTCGGAAGTTCGCGCAACTCTTGCGCCAGTAAAAGAACACCCGCGTCTGATTGTGCATCTCATGCGCCATGCAGAGGTAAGTCTCTATCTTCGGGTACAAAAGCTCAGAAGACTGAATCATTTCAAGGCCGAACACAAGATCGAGGATGATCCATCCACATACGAAGCCATTCGAGACCCGAGATTGACCGCACGCGGGATTGAACAATGTCGGACTTTTGAGACACAATTCAAGGACGAGCTCAAGCATATAACACACATTCTATGCTCCCCATTGACTCGGACGATTATGACAGCACTTGGAGCTTTTACTGGAGCTGAACACTATGGTTTGAAGATAATCGCGCTACCCGAACTTCAAAACTTTGACAGTACGTCTAGTTCTGCGCTTGTTCTATATTCCTATCCGGAGTCGAGATCTTTTATACCACCTTCGGGATCTACCCGTCAAATAACTATGTCCTAGCTCTTTAAAGGGATAACTCGGCTACTAGAACTCTGTCAATAGTGCGTACTGATTTGTCTATAGGAAGACCCAGCGGCAGAGGTCTAGACTTGAACAAGCTTAAGGAGACATACCCCGAAGAAAAATACCCGATCGATGTAGCCACGTATGGCAGAAAGGATTGGAACGAGAAAGATCGAGATAAATGGCGCTTCAGAGAGAGTGAATGGCGAGTTGAACACATCAAGGGACTTTTGAAAGGCCTCCAGGTTGGTGGTAAAGGCAGCCTCGTTGAGGTAGTCGTCGTTAGTCATGGATCTTTCTTGAAGGAGCTTTTTCCTTATGGTAAGTTGGTAACAACCCCGAATCCCACTTGCCACAGAACGCTAATATGTACCCTTTGAAGCTGAATACAAGGCTGTCGAGCTCAACAGCTGTGTCTTCATCGACAACGACAAGCTCGGAAAAGTTGAACATGATGAAATAGACGCAATACGCCGAGCATCAAGGAATTCCTCGATCGAAGTTCAAGTCGATCTTTCTGATCAAGGGCATCCCCAAGCTCCTGATCAGATCGCCATTCAGGATCTCTTTACATCTGCTGAAGATGTAAAGCCTCCCCGGAAGAAACCAAAATCGTTACCGTAATTTAGCATGTTCGTGTCGACAACGATGCATGGAGTACAGGAAAGACGGGCTAGAGACGATCTCTACAACAAATATGCGTAGCATGGAAGTGCCAAAAGTATGTTGGTTTATCGAATGTATGAGTATACCTATTGGTGCCTGACTTCCATCTTTCCTCCGCTTCTTTTTTCGTTCTGAGAGTGATTGTGTCAGTCGCACGCACTTCAAAACTTTTGATAGTGCCATATCAAATGTCTTCAATTCAATCACTGTGTATACTGAACAACACTGTGAACTGGCGGTTGACAACTTTGGAAGACATTGCAAATGAAAGCTCGACCTCATCACATGATCCGGGTCACGGGACAACACTTGTCAAATTTGACTGTTCAAGAGCAGGAGTCCTGTAGTATGATACGGGATCAAAGTATTTCTAACTAGGACTCATTCTGTGTTGCTTAGTGATGATACATTAGCGCAAGTCCCCGAGATATAAAGTATTCTGCGATGGTCACGACGAGTTCTCCCCCTGTTATCATCGGGCCTCATCAGGCCGCAAATCAGTGATGTGCTGTACAACTCTCATCCATTCATTCAAGATGTGGGCCAGCTGCCACATCGCGTGATACTCAACGTCGATATCGATGGGTACTCAACAGCTATCCCCAACATTGCCTGACGCTCCCGCATATCCGCTTTGCTGCGGGACGATCAGGCACGCGAGCAAAGATGGCCAAGGCGAAACAGAAGAAAAACAAAGGTGCAGCTCCGGAGAAAGTGGAATCGAAGCCTCAGAGTCCTAAGATCCGTCCTCTTTCATCAGCGCTGGTACCAAGAACGAAAACACACAAGCCCAGACCACTTTCAGTGGCATCGCCTCCAGCTCGAGTCATCGTTCATCTCATGCGCCACGCGGAGGTCCATCTCCTTCTTCTTGTGTATCACTTCATTGACCTAACGAGTCATATAGGCCCAAAAGAAGACTGACATCTTCGGTCCCAAGCTCAGGGACCCGTCTCTTTCTGACGTTGGAAGAGCTCAATGCTCGACCTTCGTTGAGGAGTTCAAGGATCACCAGAGTCATGTAACGCATATTCTCTGCTCTCCAATGAAGCGAGCAATCAATACTGCTGTTGTTGCTTTCCCAGACGTGGTGGGAAAAAGTCTCACAGTGTATGCTATGCCTGAGCTTCAGAGCCTCGACAGAGGTCCTGGAGGCATAGGGGCAAGCTTCTCGAGGCTGTCAAAGAAATACCGTGTTAAGGAAGGGGAGATGCCGAAAGTTGATGTGACCACATTTGGTCGTAAAGGGTGGAACGACAAAGAATATGGGGCTTGGAGTCCATCCGAAGCTCATCGAAGAGTTGACTTCATCAAGGGCTTCTTGAGGGGTCTTCTTGCTGCTGCCACAAGCAAGATCATTGAAGTTGTTATCATCACTCATCGTAGCTTCTTGAAACAGTTATGCAGAAGTGGTAGGTTTCCATAAGTTTCTCCTGCAATATAACATGCCAACTTACTTCAACCATAGCTAAGACCGGCTTCATGGTTTTTAGCACATGCGCGCTGTTTCAGGATGGCGAGCTCAGGCCAATTGGAGATCGTGAATTGAAGAAACTGAGGGATGGCGAGTCGTTGAGTTTGGAAGTTCCTGATGAAGGTCCCAAAGAGGAGAATGGGTAGCAAGGCAGATTAAGAGACTAAGCGGATCGGATGCGTTCCTGTTTTCTTTCGCACTTTCATTTTACAGTGCTGGTATATACATAGGACAGTAGCCATGTGGCTCAGCTGGAGTTCAGGACGCGGCACCACAGCACCACTTCGGAATGAAGCCTGGGATTTAGGGACGGAAAGACATAGTCACTGATGGCAGGATGTAGACGAGCGAACTTATGATAGGCTTGTTAGTAGGGTCGCTTCATACATATACATATACATATGTCATTCATTCAGCCCTCATAAAGTCTTGCTATAATCGCTTCATCGATGGAAGAGATACTATAAATGCCTGAACTGTGAATCTCTTCCAAACCATGATCAGAAACTGTGCTTGAGGTACTGCCAAATGGGACATGCTATGAGATTCGGAATCAGTTTGGATATGTCTCTTAATTTGCCTCTTCAAAAATGTGGACATACCTTTAATTCATGATAGGACTACCATATTGCCTAGGCTTGTAAGGTTTCGCCTTCTCTTCTTTTCGGTGTTGGTTGTTGATGTCGCTTTCCTCGCTTGTGCTCGCTTACCTCCTAACTCGAGGTGGATCCACTTCTTCACTTGAGCAGTCTCTCAAATGTGGTTTTGATTCAACGGTATAAGTTGTCAAGTCTAGTACTTATAGGGCAGTATCAGTAGTACAGCGTGCTCCTAGAGGTTAATATATCTATCGTCAAATATGCAGCTCATATTCTCGCACTGGCTTAGTGATATGTCAGATGTCAGTGAAGCAAAAGACCAGCGGTGCGGCAACTTCGTCTATGTTTCGTTCACTCTTGGATTATTTGTGCAATAAACTGAATCTAAAATAGATTGCAAATGCTTGAAGAGCGCACGTTGCTTTTCCCGCTTCCAGTTTTTGCTGCTCCGTTTTTTGTTCTGCCTCCACAACTGCTGCCGTTGATTAACTACCAAATCATTTCGGAAAACCGCCGCAGAAACCACCCAACAATTCCATATATCTCTCTCGCTCTTCAAAGAACGGTAAATGGCTAGATTTCTCGAGCGTCACCCATCGGACCCTCGGCAAGAGCTCGAAGAAAGGAATTACAGAGATGTCTTGCACCTGATCATATCGACCATGGAGGACGAAAGTCTCTACTTCAATTTTCGGAATGTCCTTTATGATCGTCCAGTCTTTGAGGCTTCCTGTAGGCTTCAACTTGTCGCCTCCCCACCTGTAGAGAGTAAGTCAGCGGATCTGTATCGAGCATATATTGGATGCGATCCCGCAGGCTAACTCACATTGTATTGACCACAGTGGGATCCTCTTTCATGTGTCTCATTGCAATGTTCATCTCTTCTGGAAAAGGATCGATACGGCAAATATGTCTCTTCCGGTAAACCTCTAATGCTTTCGCATACTCCTCAGAATCCGTCGTACCTTCTCTTTCACATCTCTCAATGGTCTCTCGCACTTCCTTTGGCAACGCTGCTCGTAGCGCTTCTTCGCCCTTGAGGACAAGCTCAACGCTGGCCGGTGAATTTGCGAGGATCATCTTGCGCAAACCCTTTGGGTGTAAAGTAGCATATTGTGACGCCAGTAATCCGCCCCAGCTTTGGCCGTAGAGGTCGAAGCCATCTCGTATACCCAGATAATCAATGAGATTATCGAGTTCTCTCATGAACAATTCCACGGACCAAAAGGCTTCATCACCGGCTTTCTCTCGTATATGCGTGGACTTGCCATTGCCGATCTGGTCGTAGAAGATCACGGGAATGCCGTATTGCTCGTTCAAATCTGCTAATGGGCCCAATAACTCATGACAGACACCTGGTCCACCATGTAGAGTGATCAATGGGACTATTGATGGTGAAGTGACGTTCAAATCACCGACCACTTTGTACCACGTGTGGCACGGCTTACCGGCCTCGGGGACGTCGAATGGGATTTCACCTTCGGGAGGTCTCCACACCGTTGCATTCGCATGCCTGTCGATTCTCACATTCATTTTGACGATGGTAGCTTCTCAGGTGCACAGCTTAGTTCGTTGCGAGGGGCTGGGTTGCTGAGGTGGTGTGGAGTGGAGTGAGGTCAAGTCTTAAGAAGCGTCAATGTGGCCCCAGGCAATCGATCGGTGCTAATGCAGTTGGTAAGACGTTGCTCTTTTTCAGGTTCGCAATGTGAGGAAAACATTTCAGCACCCGGTCTAAAGTTAGCCCATACAGCGGCTAATTATCCCTCCACCCTGCACAGCCCCCGCATACCAAGCTACTGTAAAGGTATGGATTCGCAATCGGTGATCTGATTTGTTCTCGGCCCCGAGCATCAAAACATGAAATGTAACGTTATGATTTGTTTACAGTTGAAAAGAATAAATCAAGCCTGGTGAGCTCTACTCTTCATTCACGTGCATATGAGGTTCAATAACACAATCTAAGAGCCACTGATTGTGATCGGTATTGTTTGATTTTCATAGACCAAACAGTCGCTTTGCGAGACTTCACAGCAATCTCTTCATCTTCATCATTGTGGCGACATAATGACAGACAAATGAAAACAATGTCTCGCTATACTATGTCCAGAGCCTTCTCGGAACGCTAACCTAAACCAATCCATCAAAGATACGCCAATCAGACCCTTTTCACCCTCGCTTTACATCTCTGCTTCAGAACTCACCATGATGGACTCATGGCATGAGTCTCATGCTCCAAAAGGACCTGCGAGAATGCTGTATTTGCCCCGATCAAGTGATCTTGATCGTGCCCAAGATTCAATTGGTTCCCACTTTACGCACTTGGACTTTGACATAGTCCGCAGTTCAATATGATCTTTCTCAGTAGATGGTTTAACCCATTCGCCCGTCAACATGCTCAAGTCCGCATGGCACATGACCTGCTTTCTCAGGTTCTCAAGGCAATGGTCTGCAATTCGTAAGTTTGTCTTCAATGAACCTGAAACCGACGAGCTTCTTACCAAAGTGACCTTCAGGAATGCTAAGATCATCGTCCGGGCCTGCGATTCCACGGTAATAATCGATGTACTGCATCCTTCGGAAGGTATCCTTTTAACAAGTCAAACAGGCTTAGACTCAGCTTCATCAACACATACCAGGCAATGAATTTGATGGTACACAAGTGGGACAATAACATAATCTCCATCAGTAAGTTGAGCGATATTTGTGAAATTCTCGCCGCCTCTGATCAATTCTTCCTTGGTTCCGCGGACGTTCAGACCTACAACAAATTGTCAGATATTTCGCAAATAGAGGACTTGTGCATTACTCACCGAGAAGCAAGTCTTTCCAAGCTGCATCAACAGAGGGGGATGGAGGCCCCATGAACTCTGAGTGACCACCCCAATGATGTTTTAGTTCGTACGAGATGAAGGGATTTGCGGGTGCTGGTAACCTGTCAATGACCATAATCGTGACTTTCACTGTCTCCAGAAATCAATATTCACAGCAGCGAACTTACTATATGGCAGCTCTGGTTCAGTTGAGCTTGGAATATGTCTCGCTAAGTCCACAGAGCTAATGATGCTGATGTATGACAGGAGGAGAACAGCTATGATCCACAATACAATCAATATTCGTGACTTCGCCTTACTTTGATGGCATGAGCAACACCTCACGCTCTTGTCGTCTCCTGCCATCAAAGGCTCCATAGATTCCATGGATTCTTTCATTTTTCTGAATAATTTGAGTAAGTAGAGTCTTGAGAAAGGGGAAAGCGATAAGTTTGCTCCACTCACCAGAGGAATATTCTGCGTATAACAACCCTAGGACAAAACGGTTTTGATATTGAGGTTGCACATCCCGTTGAGTTGCATATGCGGGCGGAAGCTCAGCGTTGCCGTCAGATCCTACGGAACCAACATGTTCCACATATATTACGTGCCGAGCCATAGAACCCCTGAAGATATGGCGGGAGATAGAGAACTGCCGGGGACTGTGCCACAATCTGGTCTCGGCGCCTAACATCCGTATCGTTTGCGCGGCTCGGGCTGCCAGAAACGTAAGTTTAACGTCACCTTCTATCTTGATATCTGGACAAGAAAGTCTAAAGATAATGAACCCAGTCGCGATGCGGGTGAGCCATCCACACCAACTCGGTGATCCTATGTTGCGAGCAAGTAATTGGTGGACTCAATTTCTGGTTCTCCCGTTGTGGGATCCTTTTCCAACATGCACCATTGATTTTCAATCCTTCAGCGAATCTTCTCCGGACTACTGAGAGAATGCCGAGCATCATCAATGCCATTCGAATGCTGGACTATTTTACCGTATGTGTTGACTTTTTGGCTTCAAAGTTTCAGGTCTTTACGAGACAACCTTGGCAAGGCTGAGCTCGATTGCCGGTTACACAGCATGCGTGGCGCTTGTAGACTTACTCAAAGACTTACGAGGCGATGTCCAGGTATCTGACACTCTGCGCCACCGTACCTGTCCATTCCATTATTTGGTTGATCACTTTGCAAAAGTTGCGAGACCTGCATGCATTAACCAATGTAAGTTCAGGGATATATATTACATCGCGCCAACACTAAGCTTATTACCAACATTGATGTCAAACTTCGTTTGCTTTTGTGTGCCATCAAACATCTCATGGAAGGATTTTGAAATGTTGGAACATACGGACTGTTGATTTCCAACCTATCGTCTGTACCCCAGATATCGGCAGGTGGTCGGTGATGATGCACGGCAAGTAAATACCCTGGTAGTTTCTGTTGGTTCCATGGCTTGCGTTTCTGAAGAAAGATCTTCAGCTGCGGATGGTGTAACATCAGGGAAAGTCTCCAAATATGACAGGTCCCTCTCTTGTAGGTCTCTCTGGAATTACAAATCAGCTACAACATTATTTTCGCAAAGACAAGAAAACCACTTCTCCTACCAAACAATTAACTTGCCTTGGACAAGTCTTCTCTGACAGAAATTTCGATCATGCATTTACTCACTCAATACCTCTTCATCATTGCGCTCTCTGGGCATGCACTGGCAGCTCCGGCAGCTCCAAGTAAGCGAGTGATAGGCGGAAGTTCCTACAAACTCCATGCTAATCAGCGCTTACAGACCTCGATGCCCGAGCAGTCAATGCTCGTGGTGATTCTCTCATCGAGGCCATCTTTGTTGAAGGAGATGTTGTCGATGCGGAGCCAAAACTCAAACGTGGAGACGCACTCATTGAAGATATCTTTGTCGAAGGAGCCGTTGTGGAAGCGGCGCCAAAGCTCAAGCGTGGTGATTCACTGATTGAACAGATCTTTGTTGAGGGTGAGGTTGTCGAGACAGAGACAAAGTTGAAGCGCGGAGACTCGCTTATTGAGCAGATCTTTGTTGAAGGTGATGTTGTTGGCAAAGCGAAGCGTGGGGACGTGCTGATTGGGCGTATTCTTGATGAAGGCGCAGTTGTGGCTAGGGAGTAGAGATCGAATACGGCTTGGATATTCTTGACTGGCAATTGAATTGTAAGCGAAGTGCTGTCGTTATCGTAGAACAGAGTCAATTGGGTTGTTAATTTGGTTGGTGTCGGCTTTTGTTCAGGGGCTATCAAGGATGTGAGTAGATAGCTGAGAGGAAATGGATGCATACTGATACGAGTGTTTTCGTACTTATTCAACGGCTATCTTTCCTATTTCCCTATCTTGTGTTCTTGCGTAGTGAGAGGATACTTTAGCAACGATCCTTCGTGTAATGTCACATAACTGTGGACCTGGTTTGGTTTCGTTCTGAAATGCCGGCAAAATGTAAGGAAGAACTAGTGTTTTCAGAAGGATCGCCGCGGACCACTTCGTGACAGCGGGCCGAACCGTTTCAAGCTTGGATGCACTCGCGTCCTCGTAAGTATTGGTAAATTTTTGCGATTGTCGACGACGACTTGCGATAAGGTTGATGAGCACTTTTGAGTTTGTGGTACGCAAGCATAATTGGCTGGTCCGTCTATACCTCGCCCCAATACTGTACCTCGCCTCAAATACTGTACCTCGCCGCAATAACATACCCCGCCCCCATTGCTCGTAAAGTGTTTACCCTTGCATCTACGCCTCCATTCTGCATCTATTCCTAGCGTTCCGCTTGGTGCCATCTCTTTCTCCATTGCTGCGTTGCATTTTCTCCCAGCCACCGTAATGTCGGTTGGCCTCTTTCCCGCCCACACTCCTTCCTCTTTGGAGATGCTGCTGCAGCTCTCTCCCGATGTGAATTCGTTTGTTCTCCCTGCTACTGCTTTCAATGCAATAATCATGTGCGGCATTCAGGCGGGCCGATTCTGACTTAATCCCGACCGGTGTTCCCCCAATATGAACACCTTGACGACTTCCCTCCAATTGTAGAACTGGTTCCCCACAGTGGACTTGGCTTCTCGAACTTCATATCACGTCTGTCTTATTCTTTACCTGTTGTTCACCAATATTTCAGCATTCAGAATGTTGGACACCAGGGCCAAAACTATAGTGGTAGTAAGCGCGGTGCTCGGCTTCCTGGCCACGCTTATGGTGATTTTGCGCTTTTGGGCTCGGTATCTCAAACGCCAGAAATTCGGAATCGATGATGTTCTACTTATTGTTGCTCTCGTAAGTCATGCCTGACGTCAAAAAGACTTTGCTGATTGCTTGGATAGTGTCTAACTCTCGGCGTTGTCACAATCGATATCATCACTGCGACTTGGGCTCGAGTGGGAGAACATGAGATTACTGTCCCGTCAGGACCCGCAAAGGGGGATCCTTTGCCCTGGGAGATCAAACGGGAGTCAATTGTAAGTTATCAAGTGTTCCTATCGTGAGAGCCAAGAGCTAAACGAAGCTGCGAAAACACTAGACTCTCTGGTCCATCGAAATCCTCCATACCTGCGCTATGCCAGCTATCAAAGCGTACACTCTTGCATTCTACCTACGCATCTTCCACGTTTCTCGAGGCTTCAGGACATCGGTTTATGTTATGGGAGCGTATGTCTTCTGCTGGTGGATATCGGTGCTACTTGTCACCATCTTCCAATGCCTTCCTGTTGGCCCGGTGCACACTCTAGATTCGAAGTGTATTGATGTTTTGGTAAGTGATCCCCATTGGCAGATGTCAAGATGGCAGCATGAAGAAATGGCCCTATGTTGTTTATGCGGGCAACTAACATTGTTTAAAGAAATTCTTCAGAGTAGCGGCAGTCACCAACGTCATCAGCGATGTTATTATCATCTTAATGCCTATCCCCGTGGTCTTAAAGCTACAACTCCCAATTGGGCAGAAGATTGCTGTGGTTGCAATTTTCTGCACCAGTTCACTGTATGTTGAGCATATCCCGTCAAACACTTTGCTTAAAAGCATATATGAATTTTTACTGATGCATTTGGCTCCGTAGGGTCATTGTCGCTGGTATTGGTCGCACAGTGGCATATTTCAGTGTCGCGCACAATCTCGACTTCTCATGTCAGTAGCCCTTTACCTCATATAGCAACAGCCAACGTTAGATACTGACTGACTATTCTGTAGACCATGATTATTACACCATCATCTGGACCTCGATCGAGCCTTGCATGGGTGTGATAGGTGCATGCCTACCATCACTTCGGCCCATCTTCCTCGGCTTCTCCCCCGAATCGCTCGTCGGAAGTATCAGGTCTGTGCTCTCCCTCCGATCCATGGGAAGCAGAGACAGTCGTGGACGAAGCAAGAAGGATTCACAAAGACTACGAGAACCATCGGAATCCGTGGATGGAGCTTCTGGCAAGAGTTTCGAGAATATTCACGACAAGTTCCCCAGCGAGGGGCTGTCGCAGGTACAGCACATGGACCGCGTAGTTGAGCTTGATGAGAGAGGTCAGGTCATAGACGTCTAAGGGTGCAGAGTTCTTATTAGCTTTCGAGTGGTATAATGGCTAACGACTCAATGACTCTTTCGCGCTATTGGAAGCTGGCCTTGATAGCAACAATTGAACAAACCTTTTGAAACATTACAATAGACTCTTGTGAGCGCTTCGATAGGATCACCAAAAACCGCATCCCATATCTTGAACATAAAACAAACCACACTCATCATTCGAGGTTCCTCTGCATAATTGCATGACCGGATTTGATGTTTTCACGTATGTAGCCCCTGAAAACTCGCTTATCAGCATCCTTCAAGCATTGCTGCACAAGCTCGACAAGGTAGCAAGGGCATTAACATTTAAGTTTTAAACGGAGACCAGGATATTGAGGTTCTCCCCGATACCTTGCATAGTGTGTGGCAAACGAAGCAACCTTCTTCATGAGGATGGCGTGCGTGCCACCGTCTCCTGATTCCGAGACTGTTTTCACACGGGTGAAAGCGAGGCCTCGCGAAGGAATCTGGCAATCTTTATGTCAAATTCTGCAAGCCCCGTAATGCAAATTATGCCTATCAAACTCGCAATTTCGAGTCCACTTTCACGTGAGGGTGTGGAACAGAGAATATTGCGTGGGGGAAGTAGATGTCGGATCCACTTCCCCAGCCGATGCTAGTCGAACGGCTTCGTGCCGTTCCACCACTGAAGAGAAAGTGCAAGATTAATATAAGGATCAGGATGCTTGCTTGGCAGTTGTGACGCGGAGTGCCATCCTGATCCATGAAGTTCTTGTATCCGTACTACCTTCTCTTCTCCGTTATCTCACAGTATGCTCTTGCGTGCCGTGAAGACACACCTGAAAGCCTTATCTGTTCTCTGTCACATCCAAAGAAATTAAAACTCGTTCTTTTCTGCATATGCTGTCCCTCCGCTACAAGGAGTATGTCCTGTATCCGAGCTAAAGCACTGTGCCACTTTTCCCGCACGGAAGACTTCGTAATGGTTCGATATCCGGAACACCAAAGATACTTTCCTTCAGATTTCTTCAGGCAAAAGTTCTGAAGGATCTGTTTACCGCCCTTAGACTCAACTTGGTCGAGAGGCTGCAAGTTTAGGGAGTGATATGAAATCACGTGGTTCATTGTGGGATAGTGAAAGGAGGTACTATGATGATGCCGGCTACGTTGCTGGTGGCGAAGATGCCATCGACTATCACTGGCCCAATAATTAGGCTATTTATTTGTCCCAGTTTTTATATTTTTGGGAGCAACTTGTCTTTTCTTGAATAGTTTTGATCCTACGCAGGCATAGTCAATCGCACGACTGTCATAATTGTAGAAGAACATGTTTGCAATTCTGATTTTGAGGTCCCTGCATTCAATTGGTATATCTGCGTTCAGCGCGATAAGTGACCCACCAATCGCCTTTGCAAAACTGGTATTTCGTTTCCCAAACTTTCTCTGCAAAAGAGGCTCTCATTTCTACTCTCTGGTATCTCGGTACGCAGCAACCTGCTTTTGGCTCAGTGGTATCAATTTTCTATTGTCCGAGTCCCACTCAAAGCTGTGGAGGAATTGCCGTCTGTTTGCACGATAATCATCATCTTCTTTGAGTTTGTTAGCCTTTGATCAAAATTTGTAAGAACGAATTAGATACAACATACCATCAAGATAGAAAACTTCCCTAATGATGCTCGAATGGGTGCCAAATACAACCTCTTCTATTCCTTCTGTCATTTCCTCAAAGATCTGTTCCAAAAGTGTATTTAAGAATGCTCTTCGACCGGGAATCGTTGCCCAGGCCGCTGTTTCTTTTACATCTTTGCGATTGTATCCTATCCGTAACTCCTTGAATGATACTTCAAATCCCCAGTCTTCGCTTAGTTTGTGTAAAGAACTAGCCGTCCCATTCCGACCGTCATCCAATGATTGTAGTTCAGCGAGGAGACGAACAATAGTCCCCGTCTCTGCGTCAATGAACGACGGAAAACTCCTGAAGATAGTTTCAAGCGCTCTATAGAGCGGCGACGAGAAGATCTTTGGCTTCGATGGCAAGACCCTTTTGAAGGTTTGGCGGATTGTTTCGCATTGTTCTTGCCCACGCTGGGTCAATCGCGGGTTGCAGATCTCGATATTGGTGGTCTTTGTTACTTTATGTTCAGCCTAGAAGGCGCCAAGTTGATGAGTCGGAGGAGTCTCAAAAGGTCGCAATATCAGGGGACTCTTACTTCTGTATGACGAAGAGCATGAACGATCAGTCTTCGCGTAGGTCTTTGCCGATCACCTGCGTCGTCCATCTTGAAAAGAAGCCCAGGCTGAACTTCAGCTTTTATAGTTGCGCTTGAAATTGAGGAATGGATGTGTGGGAAGAGACTTTTAGTTGTAGGCGTCTTAGCGGACGGTACCAGCACCCAATGCTCGAAGCTGAGCAGTCTTGCAGCTTGAATTTAGCGTAATAGTTGGGACTATGAAAATTTGAACACTACGTCTTCAACAGCGGTATCATTCAAATTTACAGATTGTTATTTCTGTTAAAGTCTGCTATTTCACAGGCAACTTATTCCAAAACACTAGAAATTGGGTTCTCTACTCCAAGAATTGAGAAGTATGACAGTAAAATGAAGTTTAGAAGTACTCTTTCGCAGACTGGTAGGAGTTCGCTCCCTCCATTTGATAAGGTGCAGGCTTTCAGTATCCGGATTCTACAGAAATATCATTGACTCTGTATGATGTAGCCATTAGATGACCGAGTTGGATTCTGATTCTCGTGCCTCGCACCGAGGCGCTGTCGTCGAAAAAGGAGCGCAGGCTAAACTTTAAGGTTTTGCTGGGTACCTAGGTAGATACTCACAAGAAATAGGAAGTCATGGTGGGTCTTAGCATGTTTTACCAGATATTGATGCCCAAAGCTCTTACTGTGTCTTTACATGCTGCTCATAGCTGGATGGCAATCTTTCATCGGGTAGATTTGGTAGTGTCGTGTCTCCCGTAGAGATTCCGGATTCACACCATCTCTACAGCTCGTCAAAATCCGCACCGAGATTAAGCGCATTGAATTTCCAAAGTCTCTTGAATCTCCAAGATAAAGACCTCACTTTTGATCCTTAAATGTGTAGAACAAGAGATCACTAGAGAAGTGATTGGCTTAGGAAAGTCTCAGCAGACTTGCTGACCTTCTTGCCCTTTTTTGTCGGAAAATGAGACCATCAAGCTGTCGACAATATTCTTATTGTGATATATCGATCAATTTGAACACAAGAAGTAAGGAGTTTCCAGTAGAAAAACTTTGATTCTTTGATTCGTTCGCCTGATAGTACATTCTTATTTCTCATGTACAAGTTCTTTTCATGTCTAGTTTCAGGTCTTGGAAACGGAATTAAAGAAGCTGCAGATAGAGTATTTTTACGCATGCTCGAGGAATCTACATTACATTTCACTGTGAATTCGGCTCCACCATCAAATGTGTTCCATATATTACCTCAGCTACGGTACCCTTAGGAATGACTGTGGTCATGCGTATGCCCATCTCCATCCCCATGGCTATGTGTATGTTCATGGTGATGATGATCAGGAAGATTTGCGTGCGTAGGGTCAATCCACTTTACACCTTCCGGATTTTCCGCTGGGACCAGGTCAGGCAGATTGACAGCAACTGCTTCTCCATCGCTCCTAGACAAACATTAGCTTGAGATCAAGTACCCCACTACCTTCGACAAAGATTCAAAACTCACCTCATCAAAACACACTCCAATGCTTCTCCCTCCAACGCATTAATCTCCTGATGCGGCACGTACGGCGGCACAAATATAAAGTCTCCCGGGCCAGCCTCAGCAGTAAATTCCAACTTTTCACCCCATCTCATTCTCGCTTTTCCCTTCAATACATAGATAACTGATTCGAGATGGCCGTGGTGGTGAGCTCCGGTCTTGGCGTTGGGTGAGATTGTTACTGTTCCAGCCCATAGCTTTTGGGCACCGACGCGAGCGAAATTTATCGCTGCCGCGCGTTGCATACCTGTTGGAGTATCAATGAGCTATAGAACAACTAATATTGACATATCATACCAGGAGTCTGGGCAGTATTGCTGTCCAGCGAATCAGCTGGGATGACTCGTACGCCAGTATGCTTCCAAGCATCTTCGGGTGTAGAAGTGGGAGGTTCTGCTGATGAAGCCATTGTGGTCTTGAAGATAGGCAATAGATATGGGTAGTATAACCTCGAAATCTGAAGACTGTATAAGGCACGCTTGTGGTGTTCTTTCAGTATAGCTTCATTGCAACAAGAAGAGAGATGAGGAATAGTGGGGTCAAAATTACGTGCGGGCAGAGAAATTACCCCGCTATCACGTGCAATTACCCCACTTCTGTGCTGGGCCATCAGCCCCTGAACGATTAGCGAGTCGAAGCCTGTAAGGGCCTGAAGAGATCTCCAGCATTGAAAGTAGCCATGCCTCCCTGAGTCTCACCTTAACTCGAGGGTTGGTAGGCCTTTCGCACAAAAGAGCTCCTACAGAACTAACAAGCATTATTTGATCCTAAATCGACTTGAGACTGGTGCTCGCTAATTTCAATGTATGTCACTGAATAACTCGTTGCCAATGGATATGTTGTGTCATTGTAGTCTATTTCAGCTTCGATTAAGATCTTAAATTATACTTGAGCTCCGGATTCTCTGACCCCTTACGCTCTTCAAATGTGTAATGAGCTTTTCGCAGCAGCTATGAAAGCGTAACTATCATTCCTGAAAGTATCCGCAAGCAATGTATTACTAACAGCCTGAAAATTCATCAACTGATTGCCTTGACTCCACTTAGGCCAAGTTGGTAGTCCAACAGTTCCATCATTCGGATCCATCGTGTTGAAGAAACTGAGGTAAAAGCTCTGGATAGTGGCACTTGCAAAGTCTGGAGTAATTCCATATGTTGTCAGAATATCTGAAGCATGGAAGGTCCCTAAAATTGGTGTCCCGTAGCCGTAGGATGCGAGGTATGACCACGTTGGAATTGAGGGGTTGACAGATGAAGCGATGTTGAGGAAGACTCGTCGAGTGAGCGTGAAAGTCAAGTCTCCGAGTATAGCCGCAATGCGCTTATATTGAGGATAGATGTTGTTGAGTAGTCCAGTGTTGAAAGGCGAACCGGCGGAAGGATCATCCGGGTAAGTCGCAACTAGGTCCTGAACTTGCTCAATTGTTGCGTCTGCAAAATAGATTGTTTTCAGATAATCGACCAGCTGTTCAGTTGTACTGATATTTGACTGCACCAAGGAGAATAAAGTGCCTTCGTCTTCTTGATCTCCGATAATGAACGGAACCTTGGCGTACTGTCCGTTCTGGGCAAGGATCTCAGCCGATTGTGTCAATGCTACACCGTCAGGTCTTGGGAGATATGAGAGTGCAACAGATTGGTAATCGGTGAAGCAAGGAACGGATGTTGTTGCTTGCAGATATGTCTCATAGTCGACCGTTCGAAGACAGGCAAGTGTATCTGAAGCAGCTCCACAACCGGCGTGCGCCACTACAGTGTCGTAAATGCTTTGGCCTTTAGGATAGTCGACAGGATCTGCTGGTACTACGCTCCCACTATCCATGACAGCAGCTCTGAACAAAGGTTGGCCCTTGTAGGTGTTGTTCCCATTGTAGAGTGACATCTGGTTGAAAACGGAAATAGATCCAGCCGATTCGCCCCAGATGGTCACTTTACTGGGATCGCCTCCAAACTTTGCAATATTGTCGGCAACCCATTTCAAGCCCAGGCGTTGATCAAGATGTCCAAGGTTTGCAGAGCCATCTTTCAAGATTTCTGCTCCGGGGAGGAAGCCGAATCCACCAAGACGGTAATTGACTGAAACATAAATGATATCTTTTCCTTGAGTCACTGATGTAGTGATCAGCTCACTCGCATCATAGGTTTGCGTTGATCCAAACTCAAAAGCACCTCCGAACATCCAGAAAACCACTGGTAGCTTCGAACCAGCAGAAGCAGACGATGGTCTTTGAAGGTTGACAGTGAGACAATCTTCTCCAGTGTCTGTCAGCGCCTGAAGGAATCCAGTGTCCAATACCTCGGTGATTACATCGTTTGGTATGGCACTGGTGTTGGTCGAAGTGAGAAATTGTGGACATGCACGAGGAGTGCCCGTTGCTTGAATCGTGCCCAAATTCGAAGTAATCGGCTGTGGTGGCTTGAGTCGAAGACTTCCAACTGGAGGTTGAGCATATGGAATGCCTTTGAATGAATCAATTCCAAGGAGACTGGATCCTACGATTGTTGCATAATCCAAGGAGACAGTTGGAGATGCTCGCTTCTCCAGGGTAGGAGCAGCTGTGATCAAGGAGATGAAGCATGGAGCCAGGGGCATAAGACAACGCATAATGAAAAATTGTCTTTCTTCGTAACCAACGGTAACCCGAATGAGGCGCTTGGTAGACTGTAGAGTGTCTGCATCGTGAAGCTGGGTGTGTGAGATATATGTACTGTACGTCGAAGGTCTCGTATCCCCAAATTTGGAACTTCCTCAAGCTATAATCGAGTTCTTCGGTCTTGATACCTGATTCATATAGGATCGACAATTATTAGAGGCTCCAAAGACGGGAGTCGATCAAGATTCTGGGATTAGAATATGCCTTTTCCGAGAATGGCACTTAAGAAACCCGTGTTGGGTAGAAAGACGAACTGTGTGCCATGAGTTTATTGAGAGCCGAGGCTGGGCTAAAAGCACTACAACCAATAGAAATTCCAATCCGAGCATCTTCAACTACTGGTAAAGAGACAGCGCTTGCTTTGGGTGTGTCGAGTATCCCGTCCGAGAGGTTTCCCCGCATTTCGCGCAACGCTACAGACTACCGGTCTCGCCTAAACTGTCCCCCTGTCCCCCTTTTGGATGGATTTGCGTACCGGCTCAGCCACTAAACGCAACCTTAGGAATAGTTCAGGGCCGGTAGATCTCAAATACCGACTTCAGGCCTCGGCCGTAGTTGTAAGTATTTCGAGGCGATGAGATCGGATGAATATGAGCATGTGAAGGCGCAGGGGATGTCACGTGAACCATTCTCTATTTTATAGAACTAAAGATCTTCACATGAACCTATCAACAGGGAGAAAATTCTCTGAACCTTTCACCCTGTAGCTGATTGCGTACAAGTCCACCCTTTCAAGGTCGTTACTCAAGCTTTGGGGCTCTTCACCGGTACATGAACCATCCATTGCAGAACCTCGTAGACGATCTGGGCAAGAGCGATCGCGGTGGTCTCTGCAGCATTGTCGTAGATGGGTGTAAACTCTACAACATCTGAACCGACTATCTTTAAGCCAGCGTCCGAAAGACCATTGATAATCTGCTGCAGCTGTGCGTTCATTAGCAGCGCTCTGAGCCATTTTCAAGTCAACACTCACCTCTCTGGTGGTCCATCCTCCTGGTTCAATGGTGCCAGTTGCAGGAGCAAATGCTGGGTCAAGCACATCGATGTCAACGCTCAAGTACACGTATTCATCCCCGACACGCTCAACAATCTTCTTGACCACCTTATCAACGCCAAGTTTATCTAGCTCTCGAGCACGGATGTAAGTGAAGCCACACCGAAGGTCGTTGTTCAAGTCGTAGTGTTCATCGAAGATTGTGCACCGAGATCCCAGATGCATGTTGCTGTGATTGGACAACAATCCTTCTTCGTGAGCTATATGCAGCATGGTTCCATGATTGACTTCAGAATACTTCGTTAAGCCACCACCAAGCTGCTTCGGATCCCAAGTATCGAGATGGCTATCGAAATGTAGAACGGCAACACGGCCCCATGTGGAATGAAGCGCACGAAGAATAGGAAGGGCTGCAATATAATTAGCAGTATACATGAGAAATTGACAACGAGTACTAACTTATGGTATGATCTCCTCCGATAGTAATAAGTCGGACAGCCTCTGACGCCGAGTCGTTTGCTGCTTTCACATTGTTGATAGCTTGCATCCCCTTTTCGAGCTGGTGGATAGCAACCAACTTATCGAAAGGATTGTTTCCAATGTCTCCACAGTCAACAACTTTGGCCCAGTCTTGATACGGATTGAGATCATGATCTATACTGTAAGAACTTAGCACTCAATGGCCTTTGAAAGAAGGTATTAGTCACGTGACTCACTCCCATCCCGCAGAAGGGCTCATCCTCCTGGCTCCTTGACGAGCACCATTTGGTCCGAATCTTGCACCTGGTCTATATGATACACCTAGGTCGAAAGGGTGACCCACAATCCCAATATCAAATGATCCGCTGCTCACGGGCTTCATGCATTCTATGAAATCGAGATGGGCGAAAGTGTTGATTCCTTGGTATAAATCATTGTCGTCGAAATCTCCAGCACGATAGCTAGGAGGTAAAGTTTCAGGAAGTTGGACGGATGATGTGTCGAGTCTGCGACCAAAAATGGAGGAATCGATGAAGTCGTGACGTTTGTGAGATCCGAGTACCTCTTGAGGGTGCATCGACGCTGAGACGACCGCCAAAGACACTGTGGCCAGCAATAAGGAGTGCATGTTTGCTCGGAATTATCAATTGAGGCAGATGACGAATTCTGAACGTCGGAAATCTTCAGAATTCTTCGAAAATTTAAAGTCACATCTTGGACAGGACATGTCGATGTCCTAATCCAGCTAGACACCTCTAAGCCGGTTTCGGCAGGTCTAAGCGTTAAGGCTCTTGGTCCGGTGTTCTCTCGTAATCTCTCGTAATCTCCTCCTTATCAATTAACAATTATTGCGAATCCTGAACTTATAATCCTTTTCGAGAACAATTGGTACGTTAAGTTCCCTCAAGATGAGTGCCTTAATTGGGTTCTGATGGCGATGCTTGTGTAAAAAAGCTGGAAAGTTTCAGTCACGGTCACAGACAACGCCAGTATGAACTTGGAAAGCCAAAGACCAACTCTTGACTTCAATCCTACAATTCAAGGTCGTCCCATACTGCGAAGTGATTATGTTCGAAACGCTCACTTTGGCTTTGTAGCTTGACAATGCATTCTATCATGTCTCACCTTATTTCTCCTGCTTTCGTATTACCCAAAATTCAACAAAGGATTGACACGGGACTTGATGGCCTAGTCCCATCCATTTTTCTTTTTCATTATCGTAACCCTCACTTTTGCTCATTTTTCAATCATAATCTGCAATTCCATGAGTTGAAGATGTCCGATAGTGAAAAGGATGCCAAAAAGCCTGCGAAAGCCAAAAGCAAAAAGGAACCTCCACAAATCCAGATCAGGAAAAGTCGCACCCCGGCACAATCCATTCTTGACGAATTCTGGAAAAGTTACAAAAGCGAACACTGTGGTAGAGGTACGTATTTTCAATCCTCTCTAATCGTTCACTACCAAGCAGCTACTAACAGCTCCCCCACCAGTCTCCACCGTCTTGCCTCCTTCTACCCAGGTCAAGAGATCACGCAGAAAAATCCCAAGCGTGGCTTTGCGAGAATCAGTCTCCATCTCATACGATGCAGCTGTAGCGATCTGCAAAGCACGTGTAGAAACCATCATTCGGGAATGCCAAAGAACGAACCAGAACTTTATAGACGCTGATTTCCGCCTCGAAAGTCTCAAGAACGTCCTTTTCCCACTAGCAGCTGCACTTGACTTCGAATTGATATCGCCGGGTGCGTTCAAACGAGTCAAAGACATCTTCGATGCACCGAAGTTTTTCATCAAAGGCGCGACAGTCAATGACGTCCGGCAAGGACTACTTGGAAACTGTTGGATGGCATCGGCAGTCTGTGCTTTGACGAACAAGGAGGGCTTGATCGAAAAGCTTTGCCCAGCCAGAAACGAGGAGATAGCAGTATATGGATTTGTGTTTTTCCGTGATGGCGAATGGATCTCAACAGTCATCGACGATTTCTTGTTCTTGAAGCATAAAGATTACGCCTCGAATGAGTACCCTCGCGCCTTGTTGCATAGTGTAGGGCAAGCAGATGACGATCAAGAGATAACCGCAGAGGAGAAATACCGACAACTGTATCAGGTTTGACTCCTATGTTATCTTTCAACATTGTCAAGTGTGTTACTAAAGATTTTAGTCTAACTCCAGCGCTTTGCTTTACGGCACATGTCAAGATCCGAATGAGACATGGTTCCCACTTCTTGAAAAAGCATTTGCGAAAGCTCATGGGGCAAGTAAATCTCTTCTTTTCTATCACGGGCACATGAATACAACATCTGGTGGCAAGAGTGTACCTTGTTCGCTCTTAAAGGCCCAATTCCATCCTTTGAGCATACTAACAAAGATCCGGGACTACGGTTCATTGGATGGCGGCTTTGGCTTCGAAGCACTCGAAGACTTCACTGGCGGCGTCAGCACCATAACCTCCCCCAACGACATCCTCGACACGGATGCGTTCTGGAAACAGCTGTTACAAGTGAACGACAAATTCCTTTTCTGTTGTAGTTCGCATCCCGAGCGCGAAAAGGTACCTGATAACTTCGATGTCCTTACAACGGATAGAGGCATTCTAGGTTCTCACGAGTATTCTGTCATCAGAGCAGTGGAAATGGAGGGCAAGCGGCTTTTGCTACTTAGAAATCCTCATGGACAAGGAGAGTGGAATGGTGCTTGGAGTAAGTTGATCCCTCGCTAGTAAACTTATTCACCACGATACTCATGTGACTCTTAATGCATAGGCGATGGAAGTAAAGAGTGGACCGCGGAATGGATGCTTCGACTCGGTCATCGTTTCGGCAACGATGGAAACTTCTAGATGCTATATGAAGATTTCATCAAAAGATACTCGCGTATTGAGCGAACGAGATTGTTCTGCAACGACTGGAAGGTTGCCCACAAATGGACTTAATTCGACGTGCCTTGGACTCCAGAATATCTCGACACCAAGTTTTCTTTCACGATCGCCAAAGCAGCTCTTGTAGTCATCGTCCTTACCAAAGTAAGTTCTTGTACCCAAATGTAAGGTCTCATGAAGCTAACCAATCTATAGCTTGACGAAACTTATTTCCAGGGATTGAAAGAAGGCCCGTATTCCTTCACAACTTCGTTTCGCGTTGAGAAAATCGGCGAAGGCTCCACCATCCTTGAAATCGACGGCTTACACGCAATCGCACGATCAATATTGGCAGAGCTAGAACTGGGAGCTGGCGAATACCAAGTCTCTGTTAAAATCAAAACCCTTTACGAATCTAGCTCACGTTCCATTGAGCAGATAGTTCGCAAAAACATAGTTACTCGTTCCGAGAAAGTGCTGCAAACGGGACTACGCTACGATGAAGCCCATTTTAAAGCTAAGCTAGAAGATGAAGAGTATCAGAGAGAAGTCGCCAAACAGATGAAAGAATCTCGAAAAGCAAGATTAGTAAAGAAACTCCGAGCAGAGATGACGAAAGTAAAGCGAAGAGAGAAGCACACAGCCAACAAAAAGAAGCGCAAACTCCTCGCAGCTAAACTCAAGAAATTAGCAAGCGCCAGAGCCAAGACTCCTGATCCAGCACCGACTCCGATACCAAGAGTCCTCAAAAGGACCAGGCAATCAACCAAGAAATCCAACTCGGAACCGGCAATTATCGAAGCCACTACTACAACCACAATCGTCGAAATCGACAACGATTCAGACTCCTCCATCACCTCCTCCGTATCCTCCATCTCGACCGACGAAGTAGAATCCGAAATCGAGAAATTAAGACAAGAAGCTTATGCCAAGAAGATTTTCCCTCTCTCAGGGCCACCGCCAACGCAACCTCAATCCGAGTCGCCGTTCCCGGACGATGGTTCGATTATCCCTGATTGGAACGCGTGTCTGGTATTAGGACTGCGAGTCTATGCGCTGAATAGTGATGTTGAGTTGCGGATTATTAGGCCTGAGTGGGAGCCCAGGGATGAGAGCGAAGAGAGTGGGGATGATGAGTTGATGAAAGAGATTGTGCAGGAAGAGCAGAGAAATGGGGTGAAAGTGGTAGCTGAGAACGACAAGTTACTTGAGATGATTACTTCTTTGTAGATAATCGTTCTCGGATGATTTTCTCAACACATGTACTCATTTGTAACCACTCCTGGGTTGCTCACTTGCAGCTACAAGCCGTTGATTGCAGAGTAATGGGCATTTCGGCTCATATTGCATCGTAATACGCTGTGAAGAACATGCTAGATGCAGAAAGCGCATAAGTATAGGATATTGGAGAAAAGCTAGCAATGGATACCACATTATTTTACCTCTCTCGCTTTCGCATGCTGTTATCCCCTTTTTTACGCCCGAGGCACAGGACTGCTTTAGCGACAGCGCTCGCCGAAATGCCCTGAATACGCTATCGCTCAGCGCTTGAAAGATTCGCTTAGGGGCTCACCGCGGCTGGAAACTAAAATACGCGTTTTGAACCACAGCATAGGGATAATTATCAGCTTTCGTGGATATGGTGTCCCTGCCAGCGCTGTGCCTCATCAAACCCCCCAACAAAATAAAACCTCTTGCGCCTGGTCTCATTGTCACAACCCAGCGTAGTACAGGCCTTTTAGCCCACAAATAGAACATTTCAGAGAGCCGAAGAGATCTAACAGCGTGTCATGAGTTCAAAGTCCCTGTACAGTAGTCCAATCACTTTATTCTGCATTCTCCGTAATCAGCTGAGACATCGATGTCAAGCTGCCAAAGTCTCAATCAACACCTCTTCATTCGAATTCAAATTAAGCACAAACACCAATGTCTAAAATCTATTCTATTTCCTTTGTTCCACCCGAAACTCCCTCAACATCGCTAAAGAATTCAAATCGCACATACTAACACATGTATACCCTCTCAGATTCCCAAACCATTAATTTTAAGTCATCGGATATGGTCCCGCTGGCGTGGTAGGTGGATTGACTAATGATCTGTTCAAAATTAGTATTTTGCAGGGCTGTTATGTTAGGATGGGAAGTAACTTACCCCCATAAATTTGGATTCGCCACAGTGGTTTGGTTGGCAACATTAGTATAATCTTGGTAATCGCCAGCGGCATTGCCTTTCATGAGAATTCCCTGGGCGGCGCATACATCCTTGTGGGAGGCGGGAATATATGGTTTCATGGCCTGTAGTTGAGTCGGGGCTTCGATGAACGTAGCTGTCAAACCAGCTTCGACGTGCCATTCGATGTGACAGTGGAAGAGAGTAATGCCTGGGTTATCGGCCACGAAGCGAATAGTGACTGAGCCTTCGGCCATCATTTGAACGGTGTCCCGACGCATAGGTGGTCCAGGTGGTGGGTTGATGGGGAAATTAGCTCCGCCAGGATCGCGGTAGACGACTTGGAAGTTGTGGCCGTGGAGATGGAAGGGGTGGGCATTGCTGTCGTGGTTGGAGACTGTGAGTTCAACCACTGACCCGTACGGAAGGACAGTGGGGTTTGAGTTCTGCCCATAGATAACAGGGTTATTGACAAGATTGGCTGGAGCGCTCAAAGCGGTGTAGAGAGTTGGGACTTGTTGCGGGATGTAGTCCAAGCCATTCATGAAACCTCTCCATTGACCGTTTTGGTTTTGACCGAAATCAACAGTCATGTAAAGCTCTACGTCAACAGGGCCGAGTTCGGGTTCTTGGTCATAGGGAACGAAGACAGAATCATCAAATGGTTGTTGCGTGATGGTTAGTGGTGCTGGAAGAGCAAGAGCAGCGTTGTAGATGAGGTAAGCAGAGACCTGAAGATAGTTAGTATGAAAACCAGAATACGCGTAGGTGTCTTACTTCTGTGTTGAATGTAGTTGGAATAACCGAAGGATTGAACATGGCTGTATACATGGATGACTTCACTGCAAAGTTCTTCGATGAGGTCGACTTGGCAGTGATAATGACACTATATCGTTGTGCAGCAGTAACGAACAATTGGCTGACAGTGTATGGCTGAGTATACACACCATCAATCTCAACAACTGTCATGTTGTGTTGGTCGAACTGTAGATAGTGGGGGACGTACGCTCCCATATTGATAATTCTGAACAGATACTGTTTTCCAGGAACCATAGCGAATTGGACATTCTGTGCTTCGTTGATCAGGATAGAGTTTGGAACTGGCTCTGCTCCATTGTTGTTGTTGGCATTGTCAACAGACTGGTAATAATTGATCAAAGGAGGAGCTTGAGAATGGTAAAGGTCAGTGAGGGTGAGGATGTACTCTGTGTCGACTTTGTATGGAGCATTGACATCCTTGCTGATCAAAGGTCCTCGGAATCCATCGATATACTGTCCGCCAACATGGGCATGGTACCAATAAGTACCAGATTGGGCAACGGTAAATTCGTACACAAATGTCCCACCCGGTTGGATCGGACACTGGGTCACCATTGCTGGTCCGTCGGCGTACGTTGTGTTCCTCTGGTAAAGACCATGGAAATGAATGGCAGTAGTTTCGTTGACAAGATTGTTCGTGACTTGGATTTTGACGGTGTCTCCCATGTTGACTATGATTGGAGGACAAGGCCATTGTCCATTGACTCCAATAAACGGGCGCTTGAAACCATCTGGGGAGGCAGATACCCATCCAATACTCCATGTGTAAGTTCGCAATTGAGGAGCTGGAGGCGTGACAGAGGGCAAAGCAGTCGAGCCTGTAGAGCTTGAGGTAGCTTTAGAAGCAGAAGATGATTTTGTGAGGACTGATGAGGTTGTTGATATAGTGTGACTTGAGCTGGTCGAAGCTTTTGTTGTTGAAGAGACAATTTTTGACGAGAGTGAAGATGCAGCGGCTGGGTTGTACATGTACATATCGAGCTTTGACACACCACCACAGTACTCCGACGAGCTGCCCGAACAAAGCATGGAACAGCCCGAAGTTGGCGTCGAGACAGATCCCGCCTGAATAGTATTTCCACAATAACACTGGCTAGCGTACTCAACGCCACTATAAGCGTAACCCTTACAAGATGCGATACAAAGCTCGACTGTCATGTTCACACTTGAGAAGCTGGGTCCTGTAAGGGCACGACTTGCTGTGGCTTCTGTGTAACACCCTTGCCATACGAACCCGCTCGCAGTCTGGACATGCGCAGGCGGTGCTGGTGGAGGAATGTAAAAGGTGTTCTGGTATGTGGAAAGTCTGTTGGCAGCACCACAGAACTCAGTAGTGTTTCCTCCACATTTGTCTTTGCAGTCCGTCTCGGTCGATCGCGTAGTCGGATCCAGAGTATATCCGCAGTAGCACTGATTCCCATATTCCGTGCCAAAGAAATCGTAAGTAGTGCATTGAGTAGCACACATCTCCAAAGTCATAGCGGCGTTGGTATAGGCAGATGCGTTCAAGGTGCGAACATTGCCAATCAAGTCTACATGACATCCAATGTACTGGAATGTGCTGATCTTAGCAGGCTCGAGAGCATTGAGCGTTCCAGAAGGTGTAATCGAGGTCGTGATTTGGGTAGACGATATCGTAGTAGTGGTCGAGGGATGCAAACTTGGACTGCTTGTTGATTTCGTGGAGGTTGACAGGGTGGTTGAGACCTTGACTGTACTAGATCCAATTGTCGACGACGTTTTTACTGTACTGGAAGAGGATGAAGTCTTTAGGCTAATTGAAGAAGATGATGACGATGCTGTGCCTTGAGCAGCAGTACCTTGCATCAAAAGGTCTGTGTATCCTCCATCACTCCAGAACGTGAGATAGGATGCCGAAATCCCAGTCTTGCTCGGCAAGAAGACGATAGGAATTGTAAGGGAAGCACCTGCAGCCAATGTGGAGCCAACCGCAGGGAAGTTCGCGCTGGTATAACCATTACCAACCACCGTAGAGGTGACATTCGTATATGGCATACCATTAGCATAGTAATCCTGCCAAGCAAATCCTTTGAAGGTTAATGTTTGACTCCCTTTGTTGGTGAGAATCACCGAGCGTGAAGCTGAAGAAGGTGATTGTCCACCTATGTATACACCTCCGAATGAAACAGTCGTTTGATTGATGGTAAGGTATCCAGCTGAAGCGACGACTGTACCAGTAAGTGGCACAATTGTGCTTTGAAGATAACCGGACGGTGCAGTGGCTCCCACGTTGAGGGTCCCGGCTTGACTTCCGGGAGGCAATGGACCTGTTGAGCTGGCACCTTCATATGACAGAAGTTCCGCATCGCTCAAATTGAATATCTACCAAGATGCAATATTAGCAAGGTCGACCTTGGAGATAAAGATCTGAACTCACAACTGGGAAGGTGAATGTTCCTCCAGATGCTACACTGGCAGGGAAAGTTGCAGCGCCGCATTGAAATATGGATGAAGAAATACCGCAGCTGGGCTTCGTGATAGCAACACCTGCAGTGCAAGTAACTTGAATCGTTGCACTTGATGCGACTTGAACTGATCCAAAAGCAACAGGATTTGGGGTACAAGTCAAGGCAGGTTTCGACTTCTGACCACCACCACTGAGACCCAAGACGACATTAGTCCTCGAAACGTAGACACGGCCGTCACCAAAGACAACTCTGTGATACTTTGTAAGTCCACCAGTAGCGGTACCAGTAGGAAAAGTGATACGAGTCAATACGCCGTTCACGGGAACAGCATTGAAAGCTACGAGACCCAGGTTGCTATCGGAAAGCCAGACCTGTAAGTATGTTAGCATGATGAACGATTGAGTGAGATGTATCGCGTACGATGCCAGTTCCTGGAGCGCCATTGTTGCCTGTTGGTATGTTAGACAATTTTTCTAGAACTGAATTACAAGCATGAACTCACTGGTGATTGTGGGAATCGACTGGCCAGCCAATGTGATAGCTGATTTTCCGGCAAGGGTGAACACAGGATTCCCATTTCCATTTCGACTGAAGGAATAGCAATATAGATAGTCTGCAGATGGAGCCAAGCTGGCGGAAGTTAGAGACGTCTCCCGATCAGCTGCTCTGATACATACTACAAGTAGCCGCCCTCCAATGGGTAACTAGCTGGACCGCTCAACAATGCACTGGCATCTACTATAGTCTGGATGACTAATGCCAAGTTAGTACATGATCCTTGATTGAAATTTGTCTACTGACCAGCATCTGCACCTGCGCTTCCTAGAGAAATGTTAGCATTCATATAAGTCTGGTATTGGTAGGACTTACCTCCTGCGAATCCTCCCAAGTTATCGGCGTTCATAACGTAGACCTTACCATCCTTTCCTCCAGCGACGGCAATTCGAGCAACCCCATTACCATAAAAGACAGTGGGATCCAGTAACGCAATACCTCCTGATCCAAAATCTCTGTCGCCTCCATTGTTGCTATCGTACGCATATGGTTCAAAGTAATCTTGTTGGGTAAGGGTTCCAGTATTCGGATCGACGCCCATGTTGACAGCGGCTTGTTCAAGTGTGCTAAGGTAGGTCTTTCCGCTTGCTGCTTTCCCAGCTGCACCACCATTCTGTCCTGATCCACGAGCATTGCCAGTAACAAAGAAGACCCGGTTCTTGGTTGTGTCAGCAGCAATGCCCATTCCACTCTGCCAGATACCAGCCTTTCCACCACCTTGTACCATGATATCCAGCGCTTGTGGTGATGGTGCATATGGACTGGCTTCCATGGCTTGGATGTTCGTAACGCCGACTCCACCTGTCTTGCTCAAAGTAACAAGCATGCCGGTATAGTTGAAATTGTCACAATGACCACCAAATGCGCCACTTTGAAGGATTAGCAGAGTCATAAGACGTAAACAATACATACACGATAGCGTTACCAATCATTGCGAGGCCTGGTCTATTGAGCACGGTACCACCCACGAAATACCTAACGAAAGTAAGCCGCGGGTTCCGAATCCAAGATCTCCAAGAATCTTACCGAGTGGGGTCATTGTTTGCATAATGACCGTCAATAATCACAGGAAATCCAGCGACATCTGTGAGGCCTGGTAATTGGACAGCGTAGAATTTATATTGACCTAAAATTATTAGTCTGCCTCAACTGAAAAGGGAACGATGGTCGGCTACCCAAAATAGTGCCCTGGGGTCCTGCTTGTCCTATGGTGTGTCAACTCTTGTCCAACCTTGATCATGGACGGGCGAACTAACCATTCTTGTAGCCCTTGGAGAAGAAGTACATGATGTCAGTGGCTGTATCGATAATTGGCGTACCTGTGATTCCCACAGTATTTGGTATATCACTATCCCGTCGTTAGTCCCGAAACCTCCTTCGGGTTCAATAGGGTGGGAGAGTTTCGAGGACACTCCTCTCGAAGGGAATGATGAAAAGGCTCCAGGCAAGTTGCATGAATCAAGGGAGCGAAACGGTATGAGAAGAAATCTTACCCACAGTCAGTATCCGAAGAGGCGAAGGGGGCGTCCAGCGTTCGAGAGTTGATAAGGGCGCCAGTGAAACCATTCAGAACTCGAACAATGTTCTGATTCGAAACCATGATAACATATTCATTAGGGGCCCCATTGGGTGTATAAACCAAAGGCTTCGCATAAAATATTTCGTTTGTGTTGTAGGTCTGAGTCCAAGCAACGCCCAGATTACTGGCAACGCTGTTGGGATCCATATTATGATTAGGTAAATAGCCAGATTGAGGGGCATCCTAGATGAGGTCAACATCTTCCTCCGTCGGCCATCTGTAGACTCGGTAGACATACGGCATCTTGAGGTGAATCTGTGGAAACAAATGAATGGACAAGGACTGGCAACAGTGCCAGTCCTAACAACTTCACCACACGCATGGTCGTCATGATCTGGGAACGAGAGACGCAGATCAAAAATGACGATAACAAAGAGTGAAAGTTTGCAAAATGCAACGCAAGAGAGTGACAGCGGGGGAGAAGAAAAGAGAGAATTTCCAAAACTTGGAGAGGGAAAGCACGAGTCTAAGTTATGGAGAAAGCTTGTCTTGGGGTTGTCTTAGACATCCATACCACAAACAGCATGTGCGAGCCGCAGTGCGCTAAGCTGCACAGGAGATTGATGAGTGCTCACACATCCTTCAGCTCGCTGTCGAGACATTGAGGAAAGGGCGTGCGATAATTCAGGCGGAAGCCATACATTGTACAACAGCTTTCAGGCTTGAAGCTTGAGAAAAATTAAGATTGGTGGTGTTGTGGGCGTCGCGGCAGCGTTACGGGAGCCCTGGAGCTGGAGCTGTCCCGGAAGCGAGCCAGTGAAGATCTAGGCCAAAAGGGGTCGTCGTCGCTCCAACATTTCTTCCCAATCTCCATCACATCACTCAATCATTGTTGATGTAAATGCCATGTTCATGCTTCGTGCCGCACCATGTTTAACGTATCACCATCTCGGGAGTAGTCAGTAGTGCTACACCACTCCCTCCCATATTCCTATCAAGAAGCTTGCAGGAATAATCGAGTCGCACCCTGCAGCTCTGTGGCTTGTATGTTGACACCAGCCCAGCGGCTGGGGCCCGTCCATCCACCTTCTTGAAGTCTTGGCTCCAGACTGGCCCAGTCAATGACATGCTGGCAATACTTCAACCTTATTTTCGGAACACTTCCCCTGAGTGGGGGTCTTCATCTGATATCGGACCTGCATGCTTGAACTCGAGTGCGCCGCATGGCGATCGTGGATGTCTGCCTTGGAAAGTTCCCGCGCCACTGGTATGGTACCTGCATTGCTGTACAACTTTGTTTATTGATTTTTTGATCCTAGCATGTCCACGGTCTGGTCTTCATTCCTTCACGGCAGCGCGATGTGATGCGACTAGCCAGCCGCCTGTCGCATAGCAATCGTCTCCTTTCTTTCTCGATAAGGCTCAAGTACTCGAAAGCCCTATCGAATTTGATTATCTGATGGCTCCAAGTCCCAGATGGCATCGCCCAGTTACCACCCCGTTGCCAAGTGTACCGCCGGAAGAATCATGGCGCACAACCGAATCCATATGCGACGCTGGCTGATCCCGGCCTGGAATTCGATAAATAAAGAGATTTGTGCCCCCTTTTGAAACATCGACTCACATCGGGTGTTATCTGTTCTTTGCTTTTTGTCAGCTTCTCATTTTTTAAAGACCGGGCCAGTGAGCAGTCTTGTCCCAATCAGATGAAATGCCAAGGAATCTCCTGAATTAGTTTTGGGATTCCAAAGCTTAATCAACGTGCAAGCTACAAATAAATGTGTTAATAGAACATCTCGGTACAAGATCTTGTTCGAACCAGTTGTGTACTTGACCGCACCTGACGTGGCCTGTAAATCCGCTTCGTATGTTCTACAAATCTAATAATTGACATTTGGCGCATATCAGCTCTTTCCGTACTCGCAAACATCTCGTGGAGAACGTGTATCCACGATTTTGTTGCTTATCTTTGGGATCTTCGAAGTTTTTTTTTTATAGTTCAAGTCCTTTTCCTACCCAAACCAACAACAGATAGACATTGAAATTAGTTTTGAGCATGACCGTCCCGTCAGTGCCTAACTGGGGCTGAATGTTGGATCAGTCATGATGACGGGAGGAAGCAGATATGAAGGGTAGAGTTGCTTCAAATCTACACTATGTCAAATTCATGATAATTTCCTGTGAACTATGAGGATATGCACAAGCAATGCACAAGCAAGACCTCGGTTTCAATTTCTTTTATGCATTTCATATTTTCCTATTGAGTTGCCATTGCTGAAGAGTCACAGTCTGAGGCCTGTCTGGAGAATCAAGCTCGTCACGGAACGCGCAGATATTTACGGTACAGAGCATCAGTCAAATATGGAAAGGTTCGGCGATTAAGCCCCTGCAACCACAGGGCATAAAAAATCGCTAAAGAACCTTGAGGCTGATTAATGGGGGGCTCTAAAATCGGAATCGATTCTGGATGTACCTATCTCCATCGCCATTCAGGTGCAATGACAACTTTATTTTCACCCTTCAGGTCACATCGCTTTGTGAGTGATGACTGTCCGACTAGCAAAGGCCTCAACGCCGGCAAATAAACATACAGCAGGATAATGGTTGTATGCTTGAGAGCGGAGAAAATAAAGCCCACGATATGCATGTCAACTCCGAATATCGCAAATATCAACCAATAAGAAAACGAATCACCAGCCTCAAAAACGCAAGTGGGAAATGTTCTGACACGTGAGGGCAAGCCACAATGCAAGTTGTCGGCGAGTCTGTCCATTCAGTTCTAGCCCAAAGTTTCAGCTCCAACAACACCATTTTTCCATCGTCAGTCGGTACACTTCTTGTTACACCTTTCGACAAATCTAGCATCTCCGAGACCTAGCTAAGTTTTGATCACAGCGAAACAAAGTCATTTCACGTCTTTAACACTTTTATTTACGTTGAAATTAAGTTTTTCTAGGTTTTGTGTTCGTATTTGAAGCAATGGGCTTCGTCGAAGAAGATCTACCGAAAGACGACACCGAGACGCAATGCCAAGAAATACAATGGAATGAATGCAATCTTCTTGCTCCCAAAGCCGGTCCGCGCAAAGTCGCAGTGTTGTCAGGTCCCGCAAATGGTTATTTCATGGTCTGTTGGGAGTGCTACCAGACTACCATTGCACCCACACCCTTATCCGCTTTCTTTACCACCCAGGAACTCCCAAAATCTAGAACTGCCTCGTGCAAGTTCGCCGAGTTCTGGATCCGCTTTGCATGGCGACAAGTCTTGGCAGGAAAGGGTGATGTCGACGTTATGCTTCCCCCAGCAGGCCTCTGTACGTTAGACTCTGCTCATATTTTGTATTCATCCTAGCAGCTGAGATGTTCGGGATCATCCTAGAAGCTGTTCATGAAAGAATATGATATTCAGCTACTGAGCTCCCATATCTCTGTCAAAATCGTACTGATTTGTCAACAGTAGCGTATACGGAGCAGAGATGTCCCAATGCCAATCTATCAAGTGATTCCGCAGTCAAATCGGCTCAAAATAGGTTATGGTTCACCATCGTCGACCCAGAGACTGGTGTTCTACTGAAGCAATGGACCATTTGTGGCGGCTGCCACTTTCAGATTGTGAAGCTTTGCGGTCCAATTTCGGAAGCTTTTCAAAAGGTCTCAACAGCACCTGTTAGAGCCACTTGTGATCTGGTTCCCAAGGTCTCATCTACCCGCAGTTCAAGGTGTCTCGAGGAGCTGATGAATTGTGAACGAGCTACCCAGGAGTCTGGTGAGGTTGATATGCGTCCGTTGGCGAAGTTCATCAAACGATTTACTGGGATCCCGGCTTGCCCCAGAGATGTTGCGCCTACTGTACCGCAAAAGTTCTATCATCTTCCTGGAGCTTCCGAATACCCGATTTGTCAAGATTGCTACCTCACGGTCATAGAGCCGGAAGCAAAAGAGGGTGGCGTGACTCTAGCTCAAGAGGTCGTGTTGAGTACAAGGCCTATGCCAGGAATGACTTGCCAGCTCTATTCAGAGCGAATGAGGATGATATGGGCAGATGCTGTTGCGACATCTGACAAAGCTTTCTTGCTACAAAAGGTATAGTTACCCTTCACGCCTCGCACCATTTACTCACAAAACCAGCTCTCCGAGCGCCGCGCAAAAGAAACGAACCGCCAAGTCCAAACCTCACGCTTAAACCAAAGCCTCATTCAACTACAAGGCCAATACGAAATGTTGAATTCTCTGAGCATGCACCAGAGTCAGTTCGCCATGAATGAATGGAGCAGCAACTCGATGGCGTACACTGCGGCTAGTATCTCGAACATGAACATCTTTAATCCCAATCCAAGGGTCATGCCCGCTCTTCAGAAGCCTGTAAGTATCTTTTTGTTGGTTGGGGGAGCAAAGCACGATTGCTGAGTGTTCTGATTATAGCTCGATTTGAGTCAATCGCGGAATACGTCGAATCAAGCTATGATGGCGCTTCAAGAGAAAGGTAGAGTTTATGAAGAATTGAATACCTTGGAATGGGAATGGAAGAGGTACTGGGAGTGAGGAATGTTGATTCCTCTAACTCAGACTTTGACAACAACATTTCCTAGAGAAGATTACAAGAAGTTGGTCCAACCAAGACAATGACATTTGAACCCGCGGAACGGAGAGCCTGTTTTCCAAGTCGACATTTAATTTATATATGACTTGCTATATGCATTAAGAACTCCATATTCTGAATCAGAATGTGAGCGCATGAGCTGTAGGCCTCTTTTCCTAATACATTCGACTTGTGGTTGCTTCTATTGAGTTTAACTTCTTGTTCGGGTTACATGGCTAAGCAGCCCCTAAGCTGCCATCCAACACTTTTTCTAGGTTATGCGGCACCCCCCAAGCGAATTATGTCAGGGGCTAGAGTGTAGCGCAGCCAGCGCATCCAGCGCGGGGCACTGCACTCCTGACGCAGTTGAGTGCCTCAGGCCTGAAAAAGAGGACAGCCCAAGGTCACATGACACATTGCATCCTCCCCAAAACTTCAGCAATAACCGGGCGTGCTTTCTTCAAGTCACTTGTGGACTTTCATATTCAGGATCTGCCGTTATTTTCACTGTCTTCGATGAGAAGTACGTGCGATTTCAAGATCTATTCTCAAACCACTATAACAAAGCCAACTCCACTCCTCCATTCAATTAGTAGCTTTGGTAGAAGACTCGTTGCACCTTTTTTCAATTCGCTCACTTCAATATTCCTACAAATGATTACAATTCAAAGTCAACAGCATAATTTATATAATTGAAGTTATGCTTCCTTACAATTGGCCTTAGGCCGCCATGCATGATTGCCTTGGAGGCCTCCAACTTCAAACGGCCTGGAGGCCTCATCAATACGGTATTTCATCCCACACCTTGGGCTTTTTCCGAATTTTGATAGCTATGGATAATTCTTGATCTGCCTGTGACTATTGTGCAATCTGCTTGAATCCATCGCACCATCTTTCCATTGATCTGTGAGCTCGCGCGACTGACTATCAAACCATGGTTCTTGTCAAGGGTATTTTGGCATGGGTGCTCATCACTTTGGTGGAAGCGATCCAGTATGGCTCCAATTCAGTGGACCCTACATTTGCGCTCCAGTGAGTCAAACTCCAACCAAGTCACTATTAGATTTCCCCTGCTTACGCAATTAGACCAAATCGGTCGAGTCGTAGCATTACTACGACCATCTTCCATCAAAGCTTGCCAATAATTCAGGCAACCACAACAACTGCTGATCTTCCAACGCCTACATTTCTACCGGATCTACCGTCATCCTTAAGCAACGAGACAGCTAGTACTAATGACACTGGAGATGAGGAATCCACACAACTATTGCAAGCACTGATTGAAGTCCACGACAATCAACGAGCTCGAGAAGATGAGCTCATTCTCCATCAAAAGAGACTTTGGGCACCGGATTGGGATGAACCAGTCACAACAGACTCAACATGGTGGCCATTATTAGGAACTGTTGCCCTTGCGGCAATCACTATTCAACTTCCTGATGAAAATGAAGATAGAATAAAACGCCAAAGGACCTGGACACCCGACGATGACTACATCTCTATTCTCGAAGATCTGGGCGCTGCGAGCAGCTCCTGGCATCAGACTTTGAATGATATGGATATTCCACTTGACGATACTCAGAGTGTTCGGGAGCCCCTAAATTCAGCTACATTCATGTATACCGATGAGACGTATTTTGATCCAGATAAATGTTTATCTGGGCTCACTCAGCAGAGATCTTTACACCATCCGTCAGTTGTAACATACTTGTCAGCATTAAGGAATCGCGATTTATTGCAAGAGAAACTCAATGATATGTTATCTGAGAATACATATTCTAAGATACACTCTAGGGTTCTGCTCGGCGTTCCTTGTACTGGGGAGGAAGAAATGGAGTCAGTGGACGAAGTTCGGCTTCAGATAGAACGAATTGATGAAAAAATCGAGGAGATCGCCTTCGAATGTACGATAAACGGTATTAACTTGGATGGCTTGGATGATTCGGATGGCTGGGATGAGGATGTCGAGTCAATCGATATCGACATACAAGAGCGGAATGTTTTGGCAGAAGAACCTGCTCCGAGTGTCCAAACTTCGGCATACACGAGTTTCTCGGATCTTCTCCCAAGGAAAACAGGAACAGAGCCCGTCTTTACATACCATGATTTGACTGCTAGCGATGATTCAATACGCACGAGCGACCGCATCAATCAATGGCTACTCGAATCTCTCCGCACATCTTCCCTAGAAGTCCGTCGTCTTGTTGATATCTTCGAATCTACGACACTGATCAATCTTGATCACAAGTTGTACATCAGTAAACCCTGGCAGAGACGAGTACTCCACCACTGGTACAATGACGAATCAGACACAAGCTTCCCCAAATTTGCATCTGGATCCTTAGATCACCGTGTAGAAGAATCCGAATCGATAATTGGAGACATCACTTATAGTACAAATTCATCCTCGCTCAGAGATGAAGATTTTGCAGTATCCAATGATGGGATAAATGCTCCGTCGGCCATTGCTGCAAGCTTACCTGAAGCTTCTTCTCTGCGAAGGGTCGAAGGTCTTTCACGCTGGGTGAATTGGGAGAATACATTGTCCTCGTCAATGACAGAATCAGACGAAGTGGTGGATATCTGTCTTCAAAATGGTGAGGACTCTGACTCCAGTTCAATAGGCGGAGATCTTGATTGCTCCAACAACGGGAACCCAAAGGGCTCGATGGAAGTCGACAATACTAGCTTTCGGATGGAAGCAGCAATAGGCACCCCTGACGGCCTTGCTCTACATGCAGGTATGATGGCAAGTACCAATGATCCACTGATGGGCGAAGAACAATATCTCGTGGACGTGGACGACCCATATTGGATTTGGTCGTCAGATGAATTCCACTTGAATGAATTTGAGCCATTCTGCCAAGATTCTCCTTCCCCAGTCCATAGCCCGTCAGCGCAGGAGGGTGCTGCATTCCTGGATTCTGTTCTTCGATCGCCGAGTCTTACGAATAGCGACCCCACTTCAATTGCATCAATACCAAGCCCAACAGTAGCTCCGCGCGAAGTGAATGGTTACAGCTGTGAGCACTGCTCTCAGAAATACTCCAGACCAGGTGACTTAAGGTCAGAATTTCTAGACTCGTTTTGAAGATAATGCTAACTGTTCAGGAAACACACCAAGTACCACGACAAGGAAATTCGCTGCCCTGTAGCTAGCTGCGAAACATCTTTTGCGACCAACCGAGATCTCAATCGGCATCTGAAGGGACCACATGGTAATGGTATCAAAGAATATGTTTGTCCGCATGAAGAATGCCAGACACAGAACCGGAAATTCACAAGAAAGGATAACTTGCTCAGACATCTGAAGGAAAAGCATGGGAACGGTAAAACGGAAAACAGGAAAATGGTCAAGGGAAGGGCAAGAAGCCAATCAATTTGAGCAGACGATCGTACATCATTCGAAATGAATGTAACGCGGGACGAATCTCCTTATTTCTGTACAGATCTCTTTCCACATATGTGTCAAAAGCTGCGAAGTCTTTCCGATGATACCTTAACGGCTGATGCATGGCTTGCCGGTGATACAATTTCCTTATGCCGTTTGATATCTCATTCCAAATCGCCCTCATGACAAAGTCAGCCCTACTCCCTTATTCAGACAGAAGATTTACGTACCTGCAACCCATTTATCAAACTCCCAGTCTTGTCTCTTGCTAGCACTTGTAAAGAAGATGTCACATCACTACATGACGAGACATCTCCGTCCCATCAAATGGGATTTTATCAGAACCTGGCCCATCAGTCTCCCCTTCCCCACCGTTCCCTTCATCTCTCCCCTTACACGCAAAATCCCTAACCTCAACCCCTTCCCTCCCAAGCCTCTCCTCGATAAAATCCACATCCTCCTTCCACCTAAAGAAATACACCGTTCCTAATATCCCATTAACCACAATCGCATCTCCCCTCCTCCACCCCCCAACCATCTCCTTAAGATCAAAAATTCTTTCATCCATCGGTCGTTCGATCCAACCCAATTCTCCTTGCTCCTTGTCCCCAGGGTCGAAATCGAGTAGGCTTTCATTAGTAGCATCATGGATAGCAAGCCTCGAGCCGTCGTGAAATTCGTCGATTCGAAGGAAAGTGCTGGAGAATTTGCTGTGTGCCGGGCTGGAAAGGAAGGCTTTGATAGTCTCTTCCGAGTGCGCAGGACAGTCGAATAGAGGGAACACGTCTAGAATCAAGGGAGCTTCTTTCGGTAGTGGGACTTCCGGTGCAGCCGGTGGTGGAGTAGTGTTCTGCTCGCAGATGGGATGCTGAGTTGACACAGTTCCAATCATGTTGGGGCTTACTCTGTCTACTCTGGCTTCTCCATCAAAGCGTCTCGGTCGATCATGTTGCGCAATTGGGATCTGCTGCATATGGAATTTAGCTTGCAAACGGTGATTCGGTCGACGTCCCTTGACATTGACAATCCTCACCATCCCAGGACTCACCCTCTGCATTCGTATCGCTTTCGCGTTTCCTTGTATAGCATAATCAGTCAGCTGGACAGCATCGGGGTCGCAATTTAGAGATAGCTCGGGAGAGTATATGCCATTCAACATATTCAAATCCACGCACCACTACCAATCCGGTCAGTCCACTCGACCAACGCCGTGCGGCCATTGTCAAAGTACATCCTGAGCTCCACGAACGGATTGGGTGCCATTGCAGCTTAGGGAGCAAGGAAAGGCTAGGATCAAATCGATAGGTGGAAAGTGAAGAGATGCCTGGTTGTGAGAAGAAGAGCTCAACCTTTTGCACACATCATGATATACTTAGATAGTGGGAAAGGGGATTGTTGGCAAAGAGTCAATTACTATCTAGACATGATAGAATCCAGCAACAGTTGACTGAGTGTATGGTTTTCCAGAGCCAGCAAGCGTTACCAGAAGCAACAAGGGCCAGACATACCATCCAGCCTATTTACAGAGAACCGAGCCAACGAACGTATTGCGAACTCAACCAAGCAGCAAATAAAACCCAAGTAATCCGTTCACCCATATGATACAAACTCCAGACACTTCGAACGCCGCTTACACAAAGAGCCTCCGTGACGTGAGATTCGTTAAGCCGTCCGTCCCGTTGTCAACGCCTTAAAAGACAATATACTTTCACAAGTTGCAAACACCTGCGGGAATGTGCAGGTGGGCAGATTCCCAACGCAAACGAAGAGATGACTTTGAAGTAATCAAACAAGATCCCCAATCGGACTCGAGGCAATCCAACGTCTAGCAGGAGTTGCGATTAGGCCTCTTCAGGCAAGACAGTCTCTCCTTGTTGACCACGGTGATCTTCCCGAAGTTGTTCCAATAAGGTATCGAGATTCTCATTCATGATGCCTGCTTCGGTGCCGAGTGCCTTGGAGATGAGTCGTCGGTACTGCTCGCCCTTTTCACCAGCACCTGCCATGCTCAAAGCATCTCTATATTGAGCAACCATGTTCTGACGCTTGTTTTGCTCATCGGCAAGCATCTTCGCCAACATGACTCTCTCTCCAACATCATCTTCATTGGGCATCATATGGCCGTTTGTCTTGCTGACTTCACGCTCAACGGAGCTCCAAATCTGCAACTTTTGTCGTTGCTCGATCAAAGATGTGACTTTGTTCTCTGCATGAGCAAGTCGTTCTTTTCCTTGCTTGACAAGTTCAGGTGATTCCTTCTCAAAGGTGATGTCGAGGATCTGGGTACGGACTGATTCGAGCTCCTGGACTGTACTCTGCAAGATACGCTTCGCTTCCCGCTCAGATGTCTCCTTCTCGACAAGCTCTTCGTCAAAAGAGTTAGCCAAGTCTTGGAATTTCTCAAGCATGAGAGGTGCAATTCTTCCTTGAATGGACATGGCAGCTTCAGAGATGTGATGGACAGCTCGGGCATGCGGTTCTTCGGGCATCTCATACTGTGATCGAGAATCAGGGCCATACGGAGAAGATGAAGCTTGCGGGTGACGTTCGGTTCTGCGATTCTCGTTCAACTCCTGGATGAGTTCCTCAGCAGTGACTTTGTCATGATTTGGAATGTTGGTGCTCGCTCCCCGACCCATCAAAGCTCGAACACACTTCCGAGCCTTATTCTTTGCTGCAATGTGAATGGCAGTGTTGCCTTCAACATCTCTTGCATCAATGATGCGCTGGACTTGGTCTGGCTCAAGAGTCTCCTGCATCTTGTTCAGGATGATGTCGATATAGTAACGAGCACAATGATGCTTTTGTCGGCTTGTGGTCATGGCAGCTGCATGGTGGAGGGCAGTTGACTGACAAAGGTCAATGCAATCAATTGTGGTCATCAATTCCTTCACCACAGACGGCATGCTTTGCTTGTCCAGGCAATTCGTGAATAGCACAGCGCGCATCAGAGGAGTCTCGCCACGAGAATTCTGTGCAGCCAGATCAGCTCCAAATCTCTTCAATTCCTTCATTACCTCCACATCTCCCATTGCAGCTGCCCAATGCATAGCAGTATGTCCATCCGTGTCGATGACCCAATTGGGCTGGAAATTAACGGGAGGTTCGGGCTTTGGAACTTGGTCGGAATTGTGGGAAAGCATGAAATAGTCAAGAAGCTCATCGGAGTAGAGCATATGATCCCGCTGTGCGGTATTCTCGATGTGTTCCTCACGCTTGCGCTTTCGATGTCCTGTAGATTGCTGCGACATATCATATCGGTCATCCTCTGCCATGAAAGAAGCTGAGGCAACGGTTACATCATCGGCCATGCTCTCATCGTCATTCAACTGTGCGCTGATATTGTCATAGTCATCATCTATGATCGCACGAGCAGGTGCGGCCACTGGTTCTATGCTGTTAGCGCTGCCTTGGTCAAATCCGTATAGGACTCACTGTTTCCCCATTTCGGAACAGCAGGCTTCTTTGGCAGCTTTGGCTTAGCTGTGGTGTGCTTTGGAGCAGGAGGTGGGCTCAAGTTGCCCGGAATGAATTCGAAGATTGTGCGGAGCTTCTCGTAGACATTGTTTCGTTGAGCCAAAGCTTCACCTTGCTCTAGCGGAACCCAAGTGCCTTCGAAACTTAGTATCGCCTCAGCAGATTGTACAATTCATCGCACCTTGATATTTTCCATATCCACCCTGGACCTTCTCATGCTTCTCCTTCTGCACCTCTCGTTCGAGAATTCTCGTTCGAGCAGGCTTGTCAAATCCAGCTGCCTTCAGGATATGTGTCGCATTGATCCAATCGTCTCCGCGACGGCGCATAACTGATCGCAGATATTAGAAATGCTCTTCCGGATATAGAGGGATGTGCGCAATCATACCATGTTCCTTTAAACCTTCACCAAACTGATATTCGTAGACAGGTATCTATGCAAATGTGAGCGCTAAACTTCTTCAACGACTTCGATGACTTGAGAATATTATACGTACATTGCTATAGGTAGCGGAATAGACTCCGGGGCCTCCAGGCTTCAAAGGAGGCATTTTGATGGTGATTTTCGAGGATGGCTGAAAGTGAGGTTCAAAGCTGATTGTTCTGCAGAGCAGGTCCGAGCGTCGCGCACAACGCGTCACGACGCGTCCAAACGCGGGAAAATGGTCTCAGACGCGTTGGGTGATCGTAGAGAGATTGTGGAAGTCAAAGAAGTTCGTGCTCAGAAGGAGGGGATGGAAAAGACGCGACTTCTGAACTTGACGACGCGTTTGGATGTGGGCAAGAGTGAGGCTAGTACTAGCCTCATGTCACGTGACTACTGTCAATGCTTGTGTGTCAAATCAATTCACCCCCTTTGACTCTTTTAGTCCTAGGTGTTTGTTTGTGGTTGTTTGTATTTTCTTGCAGTTACTTGAAACTGACAACTAGTGTTCTGATATTAAATTTCACAATATTTCGTTGGCACTTGGACGGCATATAATGCTTGCTTCACTTGACGACTCGGTCTTTTCTGGTCCAATGATACTAAACTCGAACGCTTAGGTTTTCTTGGAGGTCTCCGACGCTATTCCTATATATTGTTTTGTCTCACTACCTGATTGAGAGCTTAAGACCTCATGTTGTCTTGCACGGCGAAACCCCAAAAATCTTCACGTGCACTGTTGGATGAAAACCCTCCATTCAGCTTGATGACATATTGACCCTGAAGTGGCAAGCCAAAGAACTCTTATACAGATATAGCAAGGACGTGTATGTACAATTGCGCTTCTTCTATCTCGCACCTAAGGTTCATAAGGAGACTTCGCCCTTGAACCAGTCATCGGCACACCTCCAGTCTCCGTAACAAGAATAGGATCCTCAAGTCTCACCCCGAACCCCACACTCTTATCCATCTTCTTCGCTTGATCCGTAGTAACATAGATACCCTTCTCTCGTTAGCATCCCCTTTTCAAAGATCAACAGGCACTTACCGGCTCATTAGTAACCACCTCTCCCACCTTCAACTTCTCCCCATTCGCCCCATTCAAGTACGGGTGCTCATGCATCTCCAACCCCAGTCCATGCCCCAATCGATGTGTAAAAAACTCCCCATACCCCGCATCAACAATAACCTTCCTCGACACCCCATCAACAACCGAGCACGTCTCATTAACAACCATGTGCTCAAAAGCCGCCGATTGCGCATCCTTCACCGTGTTCCAAACCCCCAAAAGCTCCTCACTAACACTTGCCCCGTTTGGTAAAATCGTCCTCGTAACATCACTTCCGTAATCATGTAACTTGCTCCCGATATCAATCAACACAAACTCCCCATCCCTCAAAACCTTCCCTTTCGACCCACCATGCGGGTTCGCCGCCTGTTCCCCAAACAACACAATAGCCCAATATCCCTTCCCCACTCCCGCCCTCGTGAACAGATTCCCCGCTGCCTCAAAGATAGCTTCCTGCGTCATCCCAATCTTGATACTGCGTTGCAACGCCCTGACGAGCTGCAGCGTAAACCGATTAATAGCCTTCAAAATCACCACTTCAGCATCCGTCTTGACCGCTCTCAAAGCCTGGATCTCCTCGCTCATGGGCACGACGTCTATCCCCTGCCCGTGGAGCCCAGCCGCGATCATAAACCGCACGTGCTCATCCAGCATCACTTTTCCGTACCCTGTCTCTCGTTTCAGGACTGCGTAGGGAGATTCTTCTTCTCGCCATTCTATCACCTTTTTTGAGGAATAAACCATAGAAAGGGACGCTACGCGATTAAGTTCGAACCGAGGAGCGAGATAAGAGAATTGACCATCTTTGTCGATGATAATGAGGAATGGACGTTCCGAGAGCTCAAACGAGGAAGATACATTGGCGTAGTAGCTTGACGTTGCCGATGGTTCAGCTATGAGGGCATCGACGCCTGCTGAAGTGAGTGCCGCGGCGAGGGTGCGTTGTCTGGTGAGGAACTCTTCTCGGGAGATGGGGGGCACGGAGAGGAGGTCGACGTGGTGTTTGAGAGATTTCCAAGCGTGTTTTTCGAGGGAAGATGAAGAGAGCTTGCTGGTGTGGAGGGCTCTGGGGAGGGCGTAGATGCTTAGTATTATGGTGTTGAGGGCGATCCAGAGGAGGATTAGCCCTTTGGGGGGTTTCCTTCGCCGAGTAGATGCTGAGGTCTGGGGAGGTGTTTGAGGTGAGAGCAGAGGTTCCTCGGCGGCCTTTTCAGAAATTGATTGATACATTGTGACTTGTTTACTTGTATCACTGGAAGTACCTAGATAACGGATAAGCTGAGAAGAAATTAGCAAGCGGCCTTGAGGAAGAATGGTTGGGGATAACAATCGGTCAGCATTCACTACATGCTATGATATAAGTAGAAGTGGGGATGTACTTCAAAACGTTCCTGTACTTTTGAGGAAGCATAGGAGTGTTGATATGCAGAGTGGGGTTTATGAATCGAAGTGGCTAGCGTCAAGAACATGCGCTACGGTGAGCGACTAGTACCAATAAGGACAGTCTATCTTCACAAAGTCTTTCTCAACGTCGATTAAGGTAACATATTTCTCATAAACTCTGAATTCTGAAGAATGGTACAGTACAGGTAAGTAGCATTCGCAATGTCAAGAATGTAAGTTGAATCTCATCGAAACTGGCAATGTTCCTCTTGTCTCCCGCACTTCGACATTCTACACATATTCTTCTGAGCGTGTGACGGCATGCACAGAAAGCAAGATGTTCCCCAATCAGAAATGCTTTTTTTGCTTCGCCAGACGGAGGATACTAAGTTTCATAGCAAATAGTTTCTCGATTTATTGGGTATCTACCACTCTCTACCACGCAGCAGAATACTTTCCATCTTTCCTAGCAAAGCGAAACGCCATACATCCTTAGGATATACGAAAGATACCATGCTCCCACGAACCAAACTCCAGGAAGCAAATGCCGCAATGTCAATAGTCACGCTCAAAACACAACCTAGGCTCGCGTCTTCAACCCAGCACCATCATCCTCCAACTCCTGCAACTTCCTACTAAGACCCACACTCGGTCTCCCCTCCGTACTAACAGTACTCAACCCCGTCCCCTTCCTCACCAACAACGCAGCTCTCCACCTCTTTTCATTAACCCCCTTCGGCAGCTCCTCTCCGTCACCCAACCCCAACACCTCCCTCACCTCCGGAATCTCAGCATGATCCCTCGTATTCCGCATCCGATGACACCACGTAACGTGTTTCTCCTCCACAGCTCCCATCTCCAACATCCCCTGCTCACCCAGCCGCTTCGTCTGTTCCTCCGGACTAGACAGCGGACTCGGAGACTCCATCTCTACGGGCTCGAAAAGGAATTCTCCTCCAACTTGATGGTAATCACCTCCTTTCAGCGCTCTCCCGCCTCTCAGCATCTTCAAGGATTGCACGAAGCCGTCTAGCATTATGCTAAAGAGCTCCTTGCGCTGGTACTCGGGTCTGGAGCCGAGGTTGAGGGTGCGTGTCATTCCGAGCTCTGAGTAGAGTTTCTTGGTCGGGTCGGCGTAGATGGGGAATGGGCACGAGGTTTCGCGCTGGTACATTGGGATGAGAGAGGGGTCGCCGTGGCCGATTATGGCGATGAAGGTAGGTGTAGGGAGTGAGAGGAGAGAGGAGGTCGAGATTGAGGAGGTGAGCGTTCGAATGTATTCTTGGCAGTTCTGTTTTGGGGCTTTCATTAGCAGATATATATGTCATAAAAGTAGAAAAGATACGTACTCCGCAGAAGAAATGCCGAATAAAAATAATCAACACCCGTCTCGCAACATTGGGACCCGTATATAAATTCTTGAACGGAATCGCCTTCCCATCTTGATCCAGAACCGGCAAGTTCTCAATCTTCTTCAATGTCTTAAGAGAAGGTAATTTGTTGTCTGTCTTCACATCTCCTACAAATTCGACCTCGATTGGTTCAGAATCGGAAGCGTTGACAGCGGTGTCGGCAGTCTCGAGTGAGGATTTGGAATGCGACGAGTCGGCCGTGTGCTCTTCCGGATGTGCTGTTGGCATGATGGGCGTGGAATCCTTTGCATATGCTGCAGTACCAGATGTTATAGCCATCGTTGGGTCTGGGGTAGGAATGTGGCAGAGATCAAAGTATCTTGCTCGAATTCTCTCAATTCATGCAGAAGCCAGCTGTGTTTTATTATCTGCCCTTGGCGATTTCAAGAGGTGATCTTCAAAGATATAGTGACGGCGATGTTTTTGAAGAGAATTTTGCGTCGTCCAGCGCGTGTCTTTCTTCAAGTTCAAATCTTGGAAAGCTGGAAGTTGTCGTATCCGATAGAAATCAACAGCCAACCCACCAAGTGGGCACGCCTTCCCATTTGCATGCGCGGCATCGTGTCGAAATTGTATGGAAAGGGTATGGCGATTGTCGTAGCGTGGACCGGATGCCCATACTTACGCCGTTTTAGGACTGTTTGAAGGAACTGGGGCGGCCGATGCGTGGGTGGCGCTTTTTCCCGGGCCACACCATTGGTGCTGCATTTTAACCTTATTCGCATCAAGCCTCGACGATATCTTAGCTGGATGCCGCCCCGAGGCAATGTCACTGATTGTGTCATGTCTGAAAGTTTTGAGACTCGAGAGAGTTTTGATTCGGACTGCCCAGTCGTCAGAAAGAAAGAAAGAACTGATTCAACGCGAGGATCAACTTTTGTTTTGGGCCAGTCAGAGGACCACTGGAGCCAAGCCAAACTCCTGTTACGGGAAGACCTCATCCCGGTTGTCGATCATGAGGCCAAAGTTGGTCGGTGGAGAAGTGGCTGGCATCCCGTCGATTCCAGACTCTGAGAAGGGCTTCAGTCGATATTCCGCTTAGTCACAGCTATGAAGCTTCATAGGATATCAATACCAGTGTCCGCTCTATTCTTGAGATCAAGCGACTCGAGGTTGACAACTGTCTAGCATGGAGAACGGTGTTACGGCGCATGCCGCTGCTCGTCCAGACAAGTGGTGTCCGGTGATAGCTCCGCTGTTATGCAATTTACCACTGTCCTTCAACCTTGGGGGCTTTATCTGGTGCAATACTGGACGCCGAATTTTCCTCATCAAGACTCCTGTGGTTGTTGACAGACTGCGCCTTAGAACGTGGCTACGACTGGCCATCCGGTTCGTATGGAGGTAACACCATAAGGATGCGCGGGGTCATCCGTCAAGGCTGTGCTGTGTCTCGCCAATGATACTGACAAGAAATGCATGGTTCTGCAGCGCCGCATCCAGCCTTTCAAGTGAGGAGCAAGGCAACCACTGCATCTCCATCTCCATCAATTGACCTCTCTTATCAGGTTATCACCTGGCAGCAATGGCTCAACAAGACAGTCCCCTATCAATTGCAGCAAGTATCACCGGAATCTTGACTTTTGTGGCCGCGGTCGTGGCAGGTTTCTATGCCCATGCCGTAAGCCTCAAGAACGCCATTGATACGCAGGCTGAGGTTTCGAGCGCTCTTGAGAAGATTGATTTCCTCGAGACAGAGACCAACATGCTGAACAACGCCTATCTGGCGTCACAAATTCGCCATCCCGAGCGCAACAAGTATGGAAGTGGAGATTTCAAGTACTTCCATGGTCTGTATGGCCAATCTTTAGAGCGGATGCGGATCAAAGATCGCGAGCTGAGGAAGACTGCCACGCTCATCGCCGGTAGCAGTCGCTACGATAAGGTGTCTCGAGTAAAATCAGCAGCATTGTGGATGACCGCACGCGACCGAGTTCACAAAGCCATACAAGAGAGGAAAGCGGAAAGTAGCCGGATATTCCAGATCCAACTTGCTATTCTGTCAGCGTAAGTAAGATTGCTGCAAGACCCGTTAGGACGGAACTTAAAATCACTCATCAGGAAGATCGATGAGCTGTCTTACCATCAGAATCATCATAACGTCACCTGCTCTATTATCGTCGAGGAATTGGAGCTGGGAGGATCACAGACATCGTCGCAGACATGTGAGAGGTACGTATCTGTCCGAAGTTTCTTCCTCCTCGAAATCCACGTTTCCCAGCTCCACATATACATATCGAAGTCTCCGAGAGAGAAATATTGATACCCTGCAGGGACCACCACTTTACGACGAATGCCAATCTCAATAGTGCTGCTGATGCGGAAGCGAATCGCCGCATTCGAAAAGGAGACTCGCCGCCAGCAATTTCATCGTCAGCATCCCGTCCAACCCGTTCCCCAGTGCGCTCAAAGGGGGAAATGTCATCTGAAATATTGACTGCGATAAGCCCCCCTGTCGATGAGCCCCTGGCCGATCCGAACTTTAGCGATTATCACCGCGCCCTGAGAGATTTGGAGCTGCGGGTGTCAACGTCGCCGGCCCCGTCATAATCGTCATCCTCTCGTAATCGCTGAAATGATCCTCGATAATCTTTTCGTGCACTTCTTTCTGGCTTCTTTTGACTTTTTCTTCATCTTTCTTGGTTGAGACAATTTTCCTTGGGGGCTGGATTGGTCTTTCCTTCCTGGTATTGGCGGGACTGAGACATCGCCAAGCCACATGGCATCCAAGCACCTAGGCAACACAAAGTTCGATAAACTTCTTCCCGCCTTTTCCAAATCATGTTTACTGACTTCTCTCCTTCTAGATCTCACCTGGATACCTCTCAGAAACAACCTTATCTCCTGCACTACGCCTGAGTCTTCGCCCTTTGCTGGTGTGCTACTCCTGCCTCCTGCGGCAGCGAGAGGTCGGTCTAAGACATTGCACCACATTGTTCCGGAGGCTGAGCTATTTGGAAAAGAAACTCTCAATTCCGGTTCAGTAATCTTACGCTCTGGTCTACTTTCAGATCTGGGGAGACCTAAATCCAGACTAATTCCCATGAACTCTTGAACCTTTTTTGACTGGGCTGCTTGGACTTTTGACGTACGACACTACCAAGGGCGAGCCAGTTGACCGGGTATGGTAATTGTCGACACAGCAGCCAAAGGTCGAGTGCTTCTGGAGGGCCGCTGGCTGGATTCGACACGGAGGATTTATGAAGTGCTTTGCCTGGATCGAATCGGCCGTGCAGGCATTGTATGTCGTCTGGTCAAACTCCTCCACACCCATACTGATATCCATCCAGAGCAAATGACAGCAAAGGCGGTCAACGGAAGGATGATCACAAGGAAACAACCTCGCAGCAGACATACAACGAAGATGAGACCAAGATCAGTCAGGCTGAGGGGCCATCACCGACGGCAGCCTCACCTCCTTCCATACAGACAACAGAAAAGCCGCATGGAAACTCAACAACCGATATCTGGACCGATCCTAAGCCATTGCCAAGCACAGAAATTTCTGGTTCGGCAATACGTCCAACAATACGCTCCATATCCGAAGAAAATCTGCCAGTAAGGACAAGCAGCAAGAGATCTAGCAAACCACCTGGGGCAATGGCAACTTCAAAAGAGCCACTACATGATGTATCGTTGGCTTTCGACTACAACCCAGCGGTCGTGGCCTACGTATCAAGTGGCCGTGTCAACATTCCACGGACTTTGAGGCGACGGAATATGAGCTCCACTTCTACTATTTTCAAGAACTCACCACTTGCACCAATCACAATCATTGTCACTACACCAGAAGAACAGATTCCTTCACCACCGCCAACCGCTGCACTGGTGGCGGAGCCACACAACCCATTTAATGCTATAAGGGCCCACCGACAGTCGGTATCATTGCCTTCGTCACGAAGAACAAGTTTGTCATCGTCGCCTCACCTCCTGATTCCGGATTCAAATAGGTTAATGCCGCCTACCGAACAGCAGATCAATTCCAACAAGTTGAGAAAGGCTCGCGAATTCCGGGAGATCCGGAAATTCCTCATTAACTTCATGAATGCGAAAGGCGACAAGTTTCCAAAGAAGCTACGGGTACGGATGATGGAAATGTACTGCATTACAGAAGCCGACCTCTCACCCGAGACAGTAGCGAAATTCGATGCCGATAGAGATGAAGGCGTAGTATTGGAGCAATTGGGCATTTCGGAACAGGAAGGCACAGATCTGGATGACCTCCGGATCTTACAAATGGCATTCATGAGTCAGATCCCTGTCGTGACTCCAACGCGGGAACAGGCATTGGTAGATACTATCCCCGCGCCCCGACCAAGGAAACAGAGCTTGATCGGAAGAAGAGCCGAAGCGAGAAAGGAGAAGAGTGAAGACGACGGACCACTGACTTGGCTGGGTCCATTGATCACGACCACTCCCCTCGCTGCACCGCCTCTCGATAGCCCACCTCCGAAACCATTCATTGGGGACCATAAACTCATCCGCGCTTCCTCAGTGCCGAATTTGCAGCGTGTGCAAGAAACGGACGTTCCTCCCGTCCCGTCGATCCCAACCGAGTTCACAGCAGTGAAGCGAGGAAGAAATAGTACTCTTTCTGGTGGAACGACCTCGGTAGCTGTTGATGCCAAACTTCGCATCGTGGACCAACAGACAAGGACTAAGCGCGGGAATATCATCTCTGGTGCGTTTGGATCAATTCGTGAAGCTATCGCCGCATCAAAGAATGTGAAAGCAGCAGAGAAGAGAAGATTGTTAAAGGATGCTATTCTTTAACACCGACCATCAGCATCCGAGCTGATTAAATTTGTGTTTATTTCGAGCGACCAAGCGAGCGAGCATGGATATACATACTTTTTTCTTACTTACTTACGGCATTCTCGGTGTTTGGAGCTGTGCTTGTCTGGATTTTTACTTGTGTTGGCATTTTCTTTTTTGTGAAAGAGAGGATACGGTAGATATTCGAGGAGTAGTAAGACCGGAAGAAGAGGGGCCGCATAGGAAGGAAGATACGATACGATAATTACTAGTAGCTAAAAGTTGCTTTCGTGTATATACATAGATATCATACATAAGATATAGGCGGAGAGAGAACGACTGAAGAGAAGACAATGCTTTACTTCCACAATCGGTGACCTTGAATCGTTACTTGTAAACAAAGCCCTCTCTCTGGTTTATTGTATATTCATTTTATTCAATTACCCCGAGCTATTCACATACTTATTGCTCGCCCTCTAAACGCCACCAATGCATCGCAAAAGTCACCCATCATCCAACCACTCCTCCTGCCCAATCTGATCCCAAAACGTCTCCCCAAAAATATATGTACAAGTATCCCACCCCAAAATCAGCACCGCCGTCAGGAACCAGTGCTTCTTCCCTCCCCCACCATTGCTAGGTCGATTTCCCTGCCCAAATTTCAGAGCACTAGAATGCAGCAAAGACCGAGATCCCCTATTCCATATGCCCATCCAACAACGCCTCCCCCAACAACGGCCAACCAAGCACGAGCGCGAAACCGGGAAAATAACTATATACCTCTAAATCAGCCTCGTCCTAAGAAAGCAGGAGAGAGGAGAGAAGGGGAAACTTACAACATCGCAGCATCACCCAGTTTCCTGAACTGGCGTCCCCAGTCTGCGGGCGCGGCTTTCGTGCTCGTGGGGTAGCGTTCGAAGGGGTGCGGTTCGAAACCTCGCGCTGCTTGGCGGATGCGGGATATTACGCTGAAGGGTTGGCTGCGGATGGGTTGGGATAGGCGGAGAGTTCGCATCGCTGCTGTTGGGGAGAGTCTGAGGGGAGGCATTGTGTGAAGTTGTGAGGAGATGTGTGATGTTGTGTATTGTACAGTAGTAGAAAGAGGAGATTTATTGGTTCCCGCTGAGGAGTAGAGAGTTTGTTTCTTGCTTGAGTGGAATTGAGTGGAGTGTTTTGTATGGATGAGTAGAATGTATTGCGTTTTGCTGCTGTGTAATGAAAAAGGATATGTATGGAGGCTACCTACATACAATATATAACACACGCAAAGAAAATCACAAAGCGCACCGCCTACCCGTCCGTCGGGAATTATTCATCTTCCAACAGACAAAAGCTCAAAAAGTGACGGCCAAATGATCTCATGTTGACCTCCTCTCGTACGGCATCAGGAGACTTCTCCGTTTGCACACCAATGAGCGAGAAAGGAATGATGATGTAAATAAACAGTGGTGCGATGCAGGAACAGGAAAGAGAATGAATAGGAAGCGTGAGGTGATTATTAGTGTTGGTGGGCTGATTTTCTCGGTTCGCTGTCAGAGGTGTTCGGAGGCGCCCGGTGCACGTGTTTAGGCAAAGAGGGAAAGGAGTTGAGGCTCTTGGGTTGAGTTCGGCGAATGATGAAGGATGATTCCTGATTGTTCCGAATCGTTGAAGGAGAGTCCGAAATGAAGTATACTCGAATTCAACAGGATCGGGTGTGATTTAGGTGTCACGTGTCACTGAGTGTATTTCAAATGTCAATTTCTTTTCCGAACTTCAACGCATTCCATCAAGCAAAAATCACAACGCCAACGATACCACAACGAGTAGAAGAGCGGAATACTCCCTGATCATCCCTGATCCTCCAACAAACGAAAATCCACCCGCCTCTGAATATTCTTTGAATCAAGGCAAAAGCAGAAAAAAAGAAAAACCATGCCGAATCAATCCCAGATCCGTCAAACGCCAGCTCGGATTGAGAACCTTCAATGCTTCGTAAATGCTCTGAATGCATCAAATCTTAACGTCTCCGAATGAGCTTCAAGAATCGAAGGTCGAGTCCAAGTCAACGCTCTGAAAAGTCGAAAAACCGCTATTTGCGCTTCCTGCGCTGTCTGCGCTGCCAGCGCTGCCAGCGACTGTAGTTTGATGCATCTCATCGATCGACGATAGCTACCCAGCCAGACCTCCTCGACTCCGAACGCATTACAAAACCCACTACAAACCGAGAATCATAGGCCGATTTCCTCTCGACCTCACTCCTCTTCGCTTTCATCTTCTAGCAATATCGATTCTTGGTGAGGACCTGCCCTGGTAGTCGAAGTGGAAGACTGTCTTGGAGGAGCACTTGCGCTTTGACGTGGACCTCCGCTGGCTTCTGAAGTAGACGACTGTTCTTGAGAAGGGACGCTCCGACGTTGAGTTGTGCTTTGACGTTGAGCTTGAGTCGTCGACCTCCCATGGTTACCGGTGGTTCCACGTGGAGGGGGAGGAGGCATATCATGAGCGTTTGATCCTGCCCGAGAACTTGGTGCAGTATCTTGGTTCCTTCCAAGACTACCTCGCGACGACCTGTCGTCAGAACTGAGGTGGGACTGCATGGCTCTCCCAGCTGCTCTCGTGTCGATGGAAAGTCTTCGTTGTTGAGCATTCCGTCTCAACATACTCTCTGGCTCTCTGATTGAATCAGTCATACTGGCACGATTGCCTTGTGTGCTGGCGTGGCGTTTTCGCTCGGATGTGTTCGCGAGAAGAGAGTCTTGTCTTGAACCATTCCCTGGCCCTCTAGATGAATTAAACCTACCAGCCCTGTCAATTGATGGCCCAGTCTGTTGACTCGCGTCACTAGGCATATCAAATATTCCTAACCCCTGTGTTTGTCCCGATCCTTCCAATGGTGCTCGGAACGGTGCAGGTTCTCGAAGCGGCTGTAGATTTGATGCTGGAGAGAATGCCACGCTGCTGGGTCGTTTACGGTGCTGGCCTGTACCTTGCGTCCATTCAGGGCCTGTGCCATAAGTGGAAGCCCTTGGCTGTGGTGTTGGAGGATCAACTCTGATCTCTGGTGATTCCGAATTTGGAGTTCGACCAAATTCATTAAATGCCTCTCCAAGAGCTCGCTCAATGACGGATATATCAAGCGGCCGACGTTCTCGTTCGCGTCTGTACTTATCAGACTCGGCAATCACCAAGGCCAGATCAGCGTTACTGGTGGTTATATTGTGCAAGGCTCTTGTTGCTTGCCGTACCGCTGCTTGGCTACCGGGAAGTGGCGATGGTAGAGTGGTTTCCTGGGTTGGGAGCCGCCATGGATATCCACCATCACCGGCATCTTTTTGTTCGGAAGATTTTTGCTCGTCTTGTCCCTGCTCCGATGCTTGCTCGATATTGCGAGCCACCCGGGCGTGTTGCTGAAGGAAATTCGCAAATGCTCTCACTCTTGGCGGAGTAGGGATTGGAGGAGGAGGCATCGGAGGTGTAGCCATTGGAGGAGTGGGGTATTCTCGATCCCAAGATTCTGCAGCACCACTTGCTCCAATATCCTGGCCTTGATGTGTCGCCTGACTTCGAAGCTGTGGAGGTCGAGACTGTTGATTCGAAGCTCTACGACCAGTACCACCAAATTGTTCCTCTGATCCACTGGATCTCGTAGCAGCGAAGCTTTGTGTTGGTGCACGACCTGGAGCCCTATTGATTCGACTTTCGTTGAATGTGTTTGATCCGAAGCGATCCCTCTCCCTAGATTCAAACGCCAATGTATGAGCATTCGACGCTCTCGTCGAAGATGAAGTTCTGGTTTGCGATTCACGAGTAGACGGTTGTTGTCTACTTTCAAAGCTCGAATTTAGACTTCCACTGTTATCGTGCTGTGAAGGTGAGCGAGAATTCGAGTCATCAAACTGTTCAGTGTTGTTACGGTTGCTTGAAAGTCCCCTCATATCATAACCTTTGTTTGGAAATGATGAGTTTGGGCGTTGGTGGTCGTCGTAGCGGATGCTCAGAATTGACGATCCGGTGCTACCGTCAGCCTTGCTTGGAATTATACTTTCGATGCCGAATAGTTGTTGCGTATCGCTTGATCTTCTATGAGATGTATTCGGGAGACGTTGTTGGTTGAAGTCTATTTCACCCATACTTGTCTCCCTGCCAAAGTCGGCAAGCGCGACAGGGCTATGAATATCATCAAAGTCGTCCTCGTCGTCCGAATCCGTAACATCACCATCACCAGGTAGCAGTGCTGCAGCTCGAAATCTACTCCTGTTGTTCTCTCTTGAACTCTGTGTTGGGTAACCATCAGAATCAGCTACACCATCAGCATCGCTTGCTGGGCTTGAAGGAGGTGCAGGTGGGCCTTGTGAACCATCTCGAGGACCCTTTGGACGTCTAGGAGTGTCTGAATCTGAAGTTCCTGCACGATCATTCTCTACTGTAGCTCCAGCCTCGACGTCTTGTCTTGAACGTCCTGCGCTCGACGGAGCACTGCTTCTTCTTCTCCTAGGTGCGCGGATGTTCATCGAAGCTAGAGGTTCTGCCGTACCTGATGATACATCAGATGTTGTTCACGTCTCTCAAACATCACCTCGAAAGACTCACCTCTCACTTCTCGCCTGGGTCCTTCCGGTGGCCAGTCTCTACCCATCAGTTGATCGTCCTTGCTGAGAGGGTTGTAACTCCGATTCGTCCTAAGACTTCCAAAGAAACCTGAAGCTCGATCATTTTGACTTGGTTCTGGATCAGCCGTCGAGCCTTGCGTGCTTGTCGTTGACGGACGTCTTGATTCTGCGTCGTTCGGTCTTGTAGATGATCCACCAACATCGCTCTCGTCCCCGCTTGCCATGGTGGCGGCGGTGGAGATCGATTGTCTGAAGGGAATCTGGAGGTGAGTGCTGTACTTATGTTCTCGTTGTCCTCCCTTTGCATCAGAGCAGGCGTGGTCATCTCTCTTCTGGTCCATGCTGTTCCCGTTCTTTGACGATCGATCGTGAAGTTCTTTCAAAGGTCACATCTTCGTATCTTACGAGCCGTGTTTGCGAGCTGATGATTAGCCGTTTTTAATATTCACGCATTTTGCATGCTTCCTCCCTTCAAAGAACACCCCTGAACTAGCAAGTAACTACGTCGGCTCTGAGGTCCGTGCGGAGAGTCTTTCCTTCCCAGCGGTTGCTGCAAGTTATAAAACTCGAAGCCTTTACATTTTACACGATGCTGGCAAAGACAAGTATGTCCTCGCAAGGGATTCATCTGGAAATCAAAATCTCATTGAATCAATCACTCAGAGAAACTCAGAGAGTAGCAAGCGTAATGGGATTTCTTGGTAAGAGCGGACTCTCTGTCAATCTAGCTTAAGTTTAAGTTTAGGATTGTACAGTTTGTATAAGCACAGCTTTGTTACCCATTGTGTGCGTGGTTTTTAGAGCTATGGCGTCTTTGATAATTGCTTCCCATCTCGAAGAGCACACTTCTGGGTCTCAGCCTTGTCGACAAGCCTTGGTTTTGCTAGCTTGATTTAGCCTTACCAAATAGCTTTGTTGCACATCGCACCTCTCATAACTCATAATTGCTGCTCATAATGCTCATGATGGCAATTTGAATAATATGAGCTGGATTATGAGACACAATCATGAGTTATGAGAACTACGACATGCAACAAAACAAGATAGCTTAGTATTTTGAAAGGCAATGATAATGTATAAGCCCAATCTAACTCAGCTGCCGGCTTTCGATCACGTGGGGGCCACTCCCGGCTCTTAAGAGCTTGCGGAGATCTTATCCCCGGCTATTGCATAAGATTGGTATAAGCTCGTTGCTGTTAGATCTCCATTGATTTGGTTTTGAGCTTTAGCCTTGTTAGCCTTGATTCAGCATTGTGCTCGCAAGTGGTTTCGTTACACATCGCAGCTCTCATAACTCATAATAGTAATCATAATGGCAGCTCAAGTAATATGAGTTGAACTTATGAGTTGAGTTCTAGTTATAAGTTATGAGAACTGCGACATGCAACAAAATTAGGCACCAGAGAGGAATATGACGCAAGTTCGACTTCATCTTGTCGGGTTTTGTCAAAAGGATTTTTGAGCCTCCGAGTAGCAACTTTCACTTTGGACATTCAACACAGCTTGTCCTCACGTGCCATCAAAGGAGCTAAAGCACTAAAGGCTGACAATCCTTGATCCCGCTCATTAAACTACAGAAAGGTGTATAAGACGCTTTGAGGAAACTTGAGTCCTCCTCCAATCAAACAGCAAACTTCAATCACCTTCTCCAAGCGCAAGACTTCTTCAGTCTAACTACCGACTTTTGGATCTCCTCTTGCCTTTCTTTTTGCCCCTTCTCCTGCTTCTTGCACGTCTTGAGATCGAACTGCCCTCGGAGTCCGCATCGCTGGAGCTTGATCCATGTACTAGATCTGGTACATTTTCCAATCCTGTATCACTGGATTCAACTCCTGGTGCAACCTCCTCAACCGGAGGGGTAGGATACACCTCCCCAAGAGCTGGATTGACCTGTGAATTGACCTCTCCCGGCGGAGTCGTGACGATCCTCGCATCATTGGATTCACTGGAATCATTCTCTTCCTGTTCAGCTTGAGCTCCTCCAGCTTCTGTGGATCTTTCTGACTGTGGTTGAGGTGATGATGCATTGTGAAGGTCTTCTTCATTGTCAGCTTCCTCCTCTTGACCCACAAGCGACGCCTCGTTGGACCGCTCCCCGTCGTTTTCTCCGCTCGCCCAATCGTACAAAGTATCGTCGTCGTCGATATCAGCGGGTGTGCTTTGGTCTGTGAGAACTACCCCTGCAGATTCGGATTGGAAAGATGAACTCGGAGTTGAGGGAGCTCGTTGCCCAAATCCATCTCGGTCTTCATTGTCTGAAGAATTGCCGTCCAGAAAGGCAGCTTCCATATTGCTGCGAGCTCGATTGAGCATATTCAGAGCAGGATCTCGCTCCTCCTGATGTGCCGGGGACCCTGCTACCTGTTGACCATTCATAACACCACCGAGTCTCGACTCTCTCGAAGGAACATCTACACTTGGTTCTTCCGATAGAGACCTGTTCTCTGTGGTGTTTAGCGTGCTCTGAGAATTCGCTCGTCTAGCTAGATCCGGATGCTCAGCTCGCAGGCGCTCTATCAATTCCGTGGTGTTACTCGATACTCTCCTTGAGAAGTCGCTTTGAGAGGGTCCCGTTGGAGTCGTCTCGTGCGACGTTGTCTCGGCTCCATCCAGTGTCTGAGGCGATGTTGCGTCACGGGCTGGGTCGCTGAGATCCCGTCGAGTCTGACTTCCCTCTTCTGTCGATTCCTCTTCAGGCGTTACTTCTTCTATGTCGCCCACTCGGATTACAATGGATTCGTGAACATTATCGTCAGATGCAATATGCTCTGTTGGACTGTTCTCCCTTCCCTCCGTACCAAAGGATGTGCAATCGTAAAGTAGAACAGAGTTGTCGTGCAAAGCTCGGAAGAGCCTCCCAACGTATCTATTTCTTGTTAGTTCATAGCTGCGGCTAGTGGGCTTCCAAATACCTCAGCTTCGAACGTGTGAGTAAAGTCACTCTCTTCCTACAACGATGTCAGTGCATCAGGTCAGATCAAGTCCCATATTACTTTGCGAACTGACCCCATTGAGTTAAATATGATAATCGGAACAGCATCTTTAGCAGCAACCTTCACAAATACTTGCGTACCCTGGATTGCAATATTCTCAACTGCAGCATACAGTCCTGGAAACTCTTGCTCGAATTTCAATACTTTTTGCTGTGTAGTTAGCTCTGCATCGTTCTCCGCCCTAAACTTGAGCTCGTATAGCAGGTGATCCGAATCCGGTCCATTTACACCGGGAATCGGAATAAGGTTGTACAGTCTCTGATCCTCTGAACCTCCTGCTGATCTGGGTACCAGGTGCTTGTGTCTGCGGCTCACTCTTTCACTGGGCGCAATGTGTCTGAATGCTTCGCCTGTTGATCCATCGCTGTATCGTCTACCGAAAAACGAGTGCGAAATTTGCACCATTGATCGGTGGGTTCTCTCTTCCTGACTCTTAGATTCTGGTGGCGAATACTCCTCGACGTCCGATTCATTGCTTTCGTTTTCTGGACTTGCGGTTTGGAGGCGATATGGATTTCTCCCGGCACGAGTCCGTCGCATGCTTCGAGGTGTTGGACTAATGTTCCGAGGAACAACGCGTCGTCTTGGGTGATCCGGGGCAGGAGTTTGGGGGCGTTCTGGTGGTACTCTGTCGTCGGCCATGTTGCAAGTGACCCTTGTGGAGATATTTTGATGTCTTCGAATGAGCGATATTAATATGTTTTGATAACGATGGTTTGTCTGGATGCAAAGAATGATGTGTTTGGAAAGGAAGATAATGTAGCATTGTCAAAGATATCCAGAGATGCCATTTGCATTGGGAAGGTGCAAGGGACTTGACTGCTCACCCTCTACGTGCAATTCTGTACACACTTTCGGAAGCCACGACCCGCTCAAGTGAGAAGTTTTCATTGATGCTCGATTATTTTCGATTCCCTTGTCAGTTCACAAACCATGCTGAAACGATACCCGCTGCCCAGATCTAGAAGTGTCCCTTCGAATGTTCACCATCTAGCGACCTCGACATTCATTTCTTGCTCGCGCTTCTCAAACCAGTTCTCGTACCCTTCCTACCAATCTTCTCAGTCTTGGCAAGCTCCTCATATTCGTCCTCATCCTCATCCTCGCTTTCCTCGGCGCTGTCTTCATCATAATCCTCGTCTTGATCCTCCTCGGTCTTCAACTTCTTCTCACGTGGTGTCAAGCGAACCTCGGGCTCCACGTCGGATTCATCTTCTTTGCCCTCACTTTCGTACTCTTCAACGTTCGACTCGTATTGTTCCGCTTCCTGGTCTGACTCCTGCTCGGCATCTTCATCTTCATCTCCATCGAGCAGACTTGCATTATCGTGGACTGGGACTCGGGAAGGTGAGGCTGACAACTCGTCAGATCGGATTTGAGAGAGTGCATCGTCAGTCGTATGGTCTGGTTGAGGACTAGGACTCATCGAACGTTGGGCAAAGGTTGGCGGCAGCGTATCGTCGTGTTTGGACGCCATCTTGTGCTTTGGTGAGAAGTTTGGTGATGGGTAGCTTTTGAGTTGTTTTAGGATAGCAGTTGAAGCTTCTAGGCTACGAGTATAGCTTTGTTGTTGACGAAAGCGAACCCTCACTTGGAGAGAGTAGTAATAGTCCTCTTAAGCGAGTTTCCATTTTCAGCAACCGATTTTCAGTGAATTTTCCAGGCAGTGCGAGCAATTTCTCGCCGGATAGAAGTACTCGTTGATGTTGAAAGGGCTGCCAAATGCATCAAATTACTTTGAGCTACCAAGATCTTTGAAATTCTCTCGACACAACCATCTCAACTTCAAGCTTGGCTATCTGATTTCGAGCTTTCGAAGCAAGTATTTCATAATCATCTTTGGGATATATGTTTCTCTGAGGTACTTGCATTCGTCTTCAGTCATCCTGACCATAACACCAGCGACTGCTTGGTCAATATGACTCTTTTTTACCAGACGACAAATAGACACTATGCCATTTTTCATAAAAATCCATCCCATCGCGACTTGAGCCATGCTGACACCTTTTATCTTCAGAGATATCCTCTAGGCGAGAAATGATTTCTGTGTTAGCGGACCGCTCCCGACCCCTCAAAACTATGCCTTCGAACACACACTCATCTGCTGACGAGTGTCCCAAGGATCTTGGTAGGGATGAGTGAGAATGCTAGCTGCGAATGAAAGACTCCAACACCGGTAGTTCTGTAATACTCTTCCACAATTCACAGAGGCATAGCATGTTTCATATACTCTCAATATTCTCCGTGGTTTCGGAGAATGCAATTTGTTCGCGAATGATTGGTCATAATTTACGTGAATGATTTCTAAGTGTTGACGTACATTTCGCTGCATGGCTCACGTTCGCCCTTGACGTAATAATTCTGAAAAATCACGGCTTGAAAAGTAGATGAATGGTGTTGATATAGTCCCACGAATAGTCTTTGGTCTATCTAAAACCCATATTCTTGGACCCTCCGCCAAAGTTAAGCCCCAAGCTCAGACGCTCCATATCCACGCAAGATTTGTCTATACAATGTTAGCTTTCAATGGCCAAGGAGAAACAAGACATACATGACCGTGCTATGGGGCTCTCCCAGCGGAATCCTGACTATGGGCACGAGGGATATTTGTCGGTTCCAGTTGGATCACAACTATGTCCATCGGGGTTGATATTCCAGCATGATCCTGCAAAGGTTCTCTTATTAGCTCATTGCATTGAAAGTGGCATGAAAAAACATACCATCAGCGCATGAGCAGTAGTTCCCAATACCTCCATCAGGGTCCGCCCTGTTTTACATGAATTAGTATGTGCCTCAAGGCTCGGAAGATGATATATTGAATGAAATGAGACTCACGCATTGTAACATGGCTGCGGTCCTTGAGCGGCTGAGAAGCTGATCAAGGCCAGTGCAACAACGAAGAGGCTTTTGTAAAGCATTTTTATGATTGCAAAGTGAAGGGGAAAGTCTTAAGTTCCTTGATAGTTGAGATTCTCAAAGAAGTTATGAATATTTGTATAGATATGAAACTCGGAGTTTGATTTCTGGATGGCTTTTAACTATTTTCAAGATGTCTTTTCTAATGTCGCACATGTCATTCCTTATGATGTCAAAGTGCATCAAACTCTCACACACATGATGCTTTCGTCAGCTTACAGTAATTCTTGTCAGAGATAGTTGGCTGTGGATTCGATGCTTGTATTGCCGTAGTGTGGTGGGGAGGCGCACTCAACCAACATCTACACACTGTCGTTCATTCACTCAGAACGAAGACTCCTCCGATCAGAGTTGTACAGGAACATTACGACAGGCTGACGCCTACTGCCCTTTGGTGGGAAAGTGGAGTCCACTTTAAGAATTATGAGCAATGAGGGATCGTGTCGACTCGACAAGGTGAGTTTTGAGGCGTAAGAACATGAAGTTGTGAATATTATTTGCTGTCTCGGAATACTCCCGCGCATAAAATAGATAGGCTAAAGAAGCCCAACTTTCCGGCTAACCTATGATTGCATAATGGGGGCGTAAGATCCGATCTCCATCGAAGATCATTCCCCGCTCGGCAGATATTTGAGAAGAAAAGAAGCAATGTAGCGCACTGCCGCTACGGCACATGTATGCAGGGGCAGCAGGGGTTTGTCTGAAGTCAGCACATAGAAGAGGTGCCACACTTACCGAATTACCGTGCAATTGTAATACAGCCTCATCATCTAGTAGTAAGAAGTGAGAAGATCGAGAGTAGTGGAATTGTTTCTACGTAACTGAAGGCCGGGTGCTGTATTATCCTCGGTTGAGTTTCTCTACTTTGCTATAATTGAAAATCTTTATTCATTTGTTCACACAGCTCAATGCCGATAGAATAGAAACACTTAAGCTAATGGAAATTGAGAACACGCGTTGGATTCCGATGGAATCAATAAGAGTCAATGGATACGTTTCTTTGCTTTGCTGGGCCACTGAATTACGTACAGGTCACAGCTAGTTAGAGCGATACAACTTAACAGCTGAACAACTTGCCTTGCATCGTAGCACACAGCGCCGCATAAGCTCACTTGACTAATTATAGATGTCTGTTAAACAAGAAGATCATGACCCAGTTCTACAAAAGATTCGGCATCCGTGTTGCGAATTCTGGTCCTGAGGCCAGAGCAGGAGCGTGGGAGCCTCGAATGATCAAACTCGAGTACACGAAACGGACCGAATTCATCCAAAATGGAGATCTATGCGGTCAGCGATCTCAGTGCCATTGATGCCTCATGCTGTGTAGCAGTCAGTTCCAATTCAATTGAATGGTTAGCTGATGGGAATGCGAGAGCGAGCTGTAAGTCCTACTTTCTAAACATGGGATTCAGATCACGAAACCGTCTTCAAGAAAGAGGAGTCAGAAGATATGCTTACGTCCAAGTACACAATCGCTAAGCTGTGCTGGTTCTTTGTCCACCGCAGATATATATGTACTCTCTTTCAGCGCTCAAGTGATTCCTCGAACATCATTTTCGCCCTGAATTCCCAACAATCATCAAACCAAACTGAATCAAGATGATTGTTACTTCAAGACTTTTCTCTGTCTTGCTATGCCTGACAATCACTTGGGTGAGCAGATTATCCTCTTTCTAGATCAGACTTGACTAATGTCTCTATAGACCCGAGCTACACCCACCGAATCTACAAGTTCAAGCACTCTTCGCTACATAGCTGGAGATGACCTCAACAGCATAATCCAGGGTATGACATATGATGATCTCAGCGTCTTTCATCTCGGTTCCGACGGTGTCCTCCGAACCTTCGCAAACAATCTCACAGTCCTCGACTACCACCAACTCGACGTGGGCCAAGTCCAGAAACTCGCTTCAGAGCAAGCAGCCCAGTATCAGGCAAGTGGCTCTGAAGTACCAGCATCGCTCACACAACTTGCCGAGTCTCCTGTCGATGGTCGTCTGACTGTTGATATCAACGCTCTTATGAATCCTGATGACAAACCAAATGTTACTCCGATCACTGGGACTACACCGCGCTCTGTTGATTTGGAGAATCTTTTTGAGAGGCAGGTTGTCTGTCCTGGAGTTCCTGGTTGCATGAGTTTGGCGGACTGTACTCCTTATAATTGCTTTGCTTGTTTTTACCCTAGTGGCCCGCCCTGGGGAACTTGCTTTCTTTCTGGAAACTAGAAAGTTACTGGCGGAAGTGTGAGATGGAGATATGCGATGAATGAGATTTGGACTTGGGACGAGTGGAACTTTCTATATCTATCTTTGCCGTAGATGCGCGATTGGAAGGATTGACACGCTCGCTATTTTGTAACTTGAAGGAGAAATTGAGGAAGACCACACTTTCATACAGTTATAGTTTGAGGCCTTTGCATTTTCAAATCTTGAAGTGTGTCGTCTTTATGCTATAAGTTCCGCCCAAGGGATACTTGAGGCTGTGTTACGAACTTTTCAATAGCAATACTAAAGTTTTCGGGGTAAAGTGACACCAACCAGGGATTTGGACCCAATCAATCCCGGTGGTATGACGTGCAGAGTAGCAATGTAGGATGATCGCTTGTCAACCCTACATATCCCCTAAGCTGCCATAAACACACTTTTGCAGGCCTGAGGCACTCGATTGCGCCAAAGCCCAACACCTCACACCTCGCCAAATGTCCTTAAATGCGCTGTGGTTTAAGGCCTAATTATTTCGCTTAGGGGTGCCACACAGCCTAGAAAAGTGTGTTTTGAATGGCAGCTTAGGGGATTAAAAACCGAGCGCCCCATACTGTGCCGCATACCTCAGACGCTCACCCAACCCACTCCTCAAGAAAGTCGCCTTCTCAAATCAAAATAATCTCAGCTGACTTTTACAAGAACAAAAACCATGTCTTCAACCTCTCAATACCCTATCCCACTATCATCTCTCAAAGATCCCCAACGCCTAGCAGCTCAAAAAGAACTAACCCAAATTCTTAAACCCCTCAAACACGACCTCACCCTCAACGGCATCTTCGCCCTCTGCAAAGATGGCGTCTTCCGCTCTCTAACCGCCGATCGCTCAGTCGTCGACGCCGTTGCTCTACGACCAGAGCTCATCAAAGCAATGCTCGACCGCATGCCCTATAAGCCTCAAAACGAGATCGATTATCGTGGCGTTGACGGGACGAAAGTTCCAAAGGAGCAGTGGTTTCATCCAGATAAGAACTTGTTGCCGCCACCGTTCGTTCCGCCGGAGGAGAGGAGGAATTTCTCGGCTGAGCAGTTGGAGGAGAATAGGAAGATGTTGGAGAATAGGCAGGGGTGCGAGCCGCAGGTTCGTTCGGATTATGATTTGGGGATTAAGAGTTTGTGACGGTTGTGGTAGAGACTGGAAAAACTGGGTTCCGTCTTGGGATAGACTTCCGGAGGAAGAAGAAATAAGAACAAATGATATTCGATTCAAACTTCATGGAAAAGCTCATTAACTATAACTGGCCCAATCAAAAGTATTGCTCATCAGCTGAACCATCATTCAAAACAGCCAACAGGCAATAAAAGTAGATCAAAACGAAGAATCCTCAATCCCTCTCATCGTCAACCAATTCCTCACCCCCAGCAGATCCAGAATAATACGCCAACATCTCATGAAACTTATTATACTCCTTCCACTGCAACGCCTGAAGCTCAGGCAGCAGATCTGGCGCGCTCCTCTCAATGAGAACATTCGCCATATCCAAGCACGATCCTTTGCCCTCTGACTTCTCCAGATGCCTCCTCACAAAGCCTGCCACTGGATTAGCAAACCCAACACTATCTTGATGAAAAGGGAAGGGAAATACCAGAACAATGCAACTTATCAAACTGAGGCTTAGACTGGATCGTCAAATCCATCTGCTTAACCTCCAGATCAACAAGGCGATTCATCTGAGCGAGGAATTCGCGGGCTTCTGCATCGGAGGGATTGGCTTTCTGTTTGGTGTTTTAGAGATAGGAGTAGAGTGGGAGGGAGGAGGACTTACGTCGGTGCTTTTGATACCTTTCTTGATAGCATGTTTCACGGAGTTACCTTGACGTGCTTGCTTGATTAGGTCGTTCATGCTCAATTTTGAGACGCCTTTGGACATTGTATGGTTGATGCGGGTGAGTTTGCGCTCGACGTCGGATGCATATTGGGTTACTTTGTCCATGGAGATGGTAGTTTTGAATGTTGTTAGTTGGAAAGTGGTAGTTTAGAAGCAGTAATTGCAAAAGAGGGGCAACCTGTGAACAAAATGGTCGTTTATCTTATCTCCTCTGGTCTGTTGTATTGCTTTTGCGGGCAACACTCTTACATTGCATACATGCTCTAGTGGTTGCAACCCATCCTCGCTTACAACTCGAGACGAGGGATCCTGTTTGCATGGGCTGCGATGCCTTAAAAGGTGGCACGAATGAAATCTTGCAGTTTTCACATATTCCCCACAACGGCAACGATCAACCCCATTTTTCCAGCATACACAGGGATGGAATGACTCGCGTGCCGTTCCGTTCACCAATTGTACCCAAAACCAAAAGAAAGGCGTAGAAGGGCAAGCGAATCAAGAGGCGACGGCTTGTGATATAAGACGGGTATAAGGCATCTTAGCTTCATTTCTTCAAAAGCAATTCTCACCAATGCTACTTTAATTTGATTTCTGAGAAATGATCCTATGATGTTTACTGATCGATCAACTACAAGTGTAACAAACCCGTTGAACAAGCCTGAAAACTAATTGCGAGTTCCGCAGCAAATCCCAGGCGACAAGTACACTGGATCCGGTCAACTTGATGACAAAACAGAAAGAATCAAGGCCCGGCCCGGAATCTGATAATGGATGGTAGCATCCTTGCCTTGCTCAGCCGCACCTCCTCACGATGCACGTCCACATGTGACGTCCAACGCACCCAATAGTATCTTTGCCCACCCTCTCATAGGAAAGCCATCGGAAGACTACTTCCTTAGGACCAGACAATCAAGTTTCTAAATGTGTGTTTACTTTACTGCGACTTGATTCGACCTTCGAATGTCCCAACTTTCGGTGCCAACATGAGGGAATCTAGTGCAACTCCGGCTTGGTCAAACTTCCGTTTCGGGGTCTCTACCCCTGCCTCATTTTCAAGCCAAAGGGCTATCCTGGGTATTGAATAAGATTGAACATAAGGTGAATATGAAAAACAACCAATCTTCGTCTCTCCCTCTTGACGATATGAGTGAATACACAGCCTAACTCCACGCTAATGACATCTCCCAGGTATATAAACCCCCAAACCCACCTAACGCCATTGGGAAACGCGCACCCAGATCAATCATCTGTACTATTGGAGGGTTGTCGGCCCGTGACGATCAGGTAACCTTTGTGAGGTGGGTTGAGGTATGAAGAAGTTTCTTTGGGGGAAAGTAACTCATTTATCGTCGATGTGTCCTGTTGTTGTCAACAAACCTCTTTCTTTCGCTGTCAACAAATTTAGGATCAACACATAAGCTTCAATCCCAGCTCAAGCCCAAAATAGAGAAAAAGCGAACCTCAAAGATGAAATCTGGGTACCTTCAACATAACAAGAGAACGTGACAATAACGTCCCACTGAACAGACGACATACTCTTACCGACGAAACAAAAGATTGACAACAAGCTTACCCTCTTGCTACCACCCAAATATAGACTCCACAAACAGCAGAACGAACACAAACCAAAGTCTGATAACTAATTAAAACTCCTTCCCACGTCTACATTGACGCCGGGAAGCATAGAACCACGATGGACAGCACGACTTCGAGTCCGTGCCCCATTTCGACGATGAAAGCACTTGCAGTACAGATCAAGAATCGAGGAAGGCTTTGGTATTTATATTCCACGAAATCAAGGTGTGAGTGCACCTACATGGTGAATATTCTGATAACGACCAATCGCTCTTTGGGAAAAGAGGTGAACAAAGAGCACAAAACGTAAGCGTGCAGTGAATTGAAGATGCCCGGACTACCGTCCGTCCAACAACTCTCCCACAATCCGTCCTGCAAAGTCTATAAAAACCCCTGACCGGCCCGAGGTTTCTCCGGACTCTTTAGCAGCTCTGTACTCGGCGGAATGCAACATGTCTTTGGGAGGTGCCAGGTGTGAGGTGCTGTGGAGAGGAGAGGAGAAGAGAAGACTTTTCTTGTTAGTAGTGGAAGTGTGGGGGAAAGAGTTTTTTGTGTTTATGGGGGTTGTAATGAAAAGAGTTATTATTGTTAACATGACAACATCTTCTCTCTTGATAACGACTTGTCTTTTGATAGTAGCTTTTCATGTGACAACAACCAATCTCTTGACATCGAAGATTCAAATCGAAATTGAAAGAAGTGAACACATGAATTGAATCCTAAATCAAACTATGATCCGTTATCGACACCAGGAACCGGCTCACAACATATTCTGTAATTGCTACGGCTCTGTTTCGAGTGATATGAATTAGAGTTGGAGTCGGGTTGTTGTTTATATAGGGATCTAACTGGGAAGGTTGGGAAGGTTCAGTGATTCACCTATTGGTGATAATGTAGAAAACAGAAAGATATCTAGTGAATAAACAATGTTTGAGAACTTCCTCAAGCTCCGGAATCCCTTTGGTACTTACCTAAGACAGAACCCACGTGGGACTTGTCGCTCTTGGGTATTGGAATTGCTCGCCGCGGTTCAGTATTTGGAAAATGTGTGGGTATTGTGACTTCAAATTTTCGAGACGCAGTAATGCTACCGACTCCCCTCAGAAACCGACCTCCTGGGCTGCCATTTCCTCTTCACCATCCTGACCCACCTTCTCCTTCTCCACTCTCCTCTCCGTCCCCTCCCTTCGGATTCAGCATCGCTTCCCTCCTCCCACGTCGGCAACGCCTTCTTCTTCCCCTTTTTCGGCGGCGGACTCGCCGGACCTTCCCCATCCTCACCATAAATAAGTCCCTGATCACTATCCTCATACTCGTATCGAATATCATAAACCCACCTTTCGCCCTCCGTCTCAACCTCCACGCCCGTGATGATCCTCTCCTCAACCCACTCCCTGGACCACAGATCAAGCGCCCATTTCTTCTCGCTCCATTCCCAGCCCTTGGGAGGCTGGACGTCTTCAAAGAAGCGAGTACCTTTCGGACGCTCGTGGCGAATTCGGCTTTCGCTTAGGGGATCGTAGGGACTGGAGCTGAAGAGCCAGGATTCCCATTCTCCTGCCGAGGATAGCTTTTGCAGTTCGAAGATCTCTACTTCGCGGGTTTCGGGCGCTGAGTCGAGGATTATGTCTTGGGATATCCAGGTATCGAGTAGGGTTTTGGCTTGCACTTCTCGGGGGATGATGTGTTGCTTGTGGACGCTGTGCATCTGTTTTTGGATGGTGGGGTGGCCCAGTGCCGTTACCGTCCAACCAATACCTAGGACTATTAGACGCCAGGGTAGCAGGTGGGAGGCTGTGAGCATGACTAGTATTGCGAGGAATCCGAAGAGGAAGAGGGTACTCGATAGTGGTTCGTTGGAAAAATTCGTGGCAGGAGTAAGTATGGAGAGAACTTGGTCGTGGACTCGAGAGAAGTCTTCCATACTATTCTGCAAGTCTCGCATATTTCGGAAGAAGTCTTTACTCAGCTCCTTCACAGGCTTGACAGTTACTGGAGGTGCCAATGGTGGACCTGCCGTGCTGTAGCCATATGTAGCATGTGCTGCGTTTGTAGTTGGTGGAGGGTGTCGAGCGATGAATGATGGGATGAGGAGGGCGAGGAGGAGAATGGCCAATGGGAGAACGGTCAAGAGATATGGATCGAGGCAGATAAATGTATATACAGCGAGGAAGGAGAGTGTATGTGTTGGAGTGTTCCAGGACAGGAGTCGGATGACTTTCGACTGGAATACAAACACCACACCAATGCGAGCATTGAATCTGCGAAAGTTCGCAGACATAGTCGGTAAGGAGAAGGAGGGGCGGGAGGTATAGTCGAGAGCAGGAGACGATTCGGCACGAGAGGAGGAGAGGTCCTCGACAGGTATCACCTGCTGAAGTAACCTGTGGGACGTCAGCTGTGTACCATAGACTTGTAACGTAGATCTCACTTCTCCAGAATCCGATCCTGCATGCTTGTACCAGGTTCTGACTTCTGCCCGGTTACTTTCCGCATGTTTTCCTTCAAGTTCTTCCCATGTCTCTTCAATCTATCCCTCTTGCGCTCGCTGTCCGAAAGGTCGCCTTCGACTTCATCGGAAAGGTCATTTTGCGGATCGAAGGAGATGACCGGTATAGGGTCGTCACGATTGACGAAAGCATCGACAGTGAATTCGTCCATATTTGTCTCGTGAAGGGTTCCGCAGATATGGTTCGGGAGGTTGGAGGTCCTGTGATGCCGGATGCGGCTTAGAACAAGGCCTTTCAGGTTCTCGATGCGGGCGCTGGTGATAGAAGTTCAGCATATGTTGCTGAATATTCCAAGTTTTCTGGGAGAAAGAACAGATTGTTCTGCAGACTTCAGATGGTGATAAGTTCGTGGACTCGTATAAGCTCTCTGTGAATGCTATTGTTCCCCCTCCTGCGAGCTTGTCGTGATTCAGAGGCATGCGACCACGAACCTCCGACTTAGTATTGACGACATGGAGATACTTTAAAGACCCAAGTGTGCAAATTGATTTCGTGCAGCGCGATGATAGAAGTTGTTTGCATCTCAAGACATAAGAAAGTGTGAAAGTGAAGCATCAACTGCTATCGATAAGGTTTGTCTTCACATGATGACGTTTTTGGAATGCCGAGACCGCGAGTCACAATTTTGTGTGCTCCAATAAACAGATGAAAAAGTGACAGATGTGCCAGCGCTGCAGGGGCACAAACATCAAATCGCATGGCCCAGTAGAATGAGTCCCAGCTGGTCCAACACAGACCGATAAACAAACCGGCAGACAGCCGTCAGATGCAGGTTGAGAAGTGTCGTGGAAGTACCCCTTTTCCGTACCTGAGAAGAAGAACGGAAGATGGGCTGGCCCGAATAGATTCTGTAAGCGTGCAAATTAAAGGAGAAAGGTTTGCTATGAGTCTATAGCTTGCTTGCTACCGGTGTAATAATAATATGCTATTCTACAGCTATATATGCTAGTTTAAGGGATGGAGAAGCAGATCACGGCAGCCATTTCAGGGGGTTCTGGCTTCCTCTAAAATTCCCCGATCAGAAAAAGGAGCCACAGAGCGAGAGACGGCCGTTTCTGGTCACGAACTCGGAGTCCTCACTCGAGCCTGATCACTCATTCAATATACAGAAAGTCGGTTGACCAGCAGTCTCGGTTTCAGACATCCCATATTCCATATCCCATAATACGTCTATTATTTATTGTGATGCTTCCTGCCCCGTAAACAGCCCGCGGTTCTCGCTTCACAATCATCCAGCATTATTGAGAGCGTCTGGCCTATCTCCTTGTAGCGAAAGTAGACGACCGGGGTTCATTAGTCTCGACAGCAACGCCCAAGCACTGGCGGCACCTCTCGACATCACGGCCACGGCAACTCGCAGGAACGACAAATATTCTTTTCAGAGGACAAGGACGCAGACCCAGACCCAGACCCAGCAGAACACACCTCACCGTCAAGACCACTCCTCCACCTGTTCAGATCCGCGTCGGTGGTCGCAACTTCACACGCCTTCTCCTGTCCTGGTCGCCCTCAATCCTCAAAATAAGCTGCGGGCCACACGACAACGACTACCCTGCTTGAAACTCTCCACGAACGACTCTTGAAATGAAATAGTCAGTCGAACACCTCGGCCCTTGGATGGACTGAGCTTCTTCGTGAAGGAGGACCCTGAACACGCTCTCGTCGCCGGACCCTTCTCTGGAGACCTCGACGGACTCTTTCAATGATTCGAGAACAAAAGGCCCCGTCAGGTCCAAGGCCGGACTTCACGACCTCCACCGCGTATGGCAGATTGATTCACGAATTCCAGATGATAAATATGCTGACTCAATTAGTAGGCAAGAAAACTATGATCCAGGCGCAAGAGCGCGTACTGGATCGGTGAGAGAGCCAACACTGCACGCATCCTCCCGAAATAACCACTCCCTCTTCTCCTTCGGAGGATACAACGCGACGGACGAGAACACAAGCGGATCTTATGATTTCCTCCCTTCACCCAGTTTTGACGATCTGCAGAGTAGCATTGCAACAGCGTCAAATGATTTTAACTTTGATCGTGCTCCCGTTATCGAACCGAACAAGTCAACCGCAGGGAAGAGACCATTAGAACCGAATACCACCATGGCGGATGCGAGAGGATCTGTAGCAGGTCGAGGGCCGACAGGGCTAAGAGTTGCAAGGGCAGACTCAATCTTACGACGGCAAAGTACATCGACTCGCCAGAGCAGTGTATCTTCTACGACCTCGGGGGCTTCTGGAGCCATGGATCCTCCAAGCGCACCGCTGGCAATGCGGAATAGACGTCAAAGTCAATATCCCCCTATATCTGGCAGTGCTGCTGCGAACGCTGTAAAGGCTCCTCGAAGATCTATCGGACCTGGTGTGGTAGATACCGATACTACAAGAGCTGCTCAGAGACGAAGGCCGAGTCTGGCATCCAGTGTTTCGGCACAGGGTTTATCGGACGCTGGAGGTGTTTCTACACGAGTAAACATTGGTGGTGGGCCCTCCTACACGGATGGAGCCCGTGGGCTCACTGCTTCAAGAGCAGCGAAAACGAAGTCTCTACAGCCGCCCTCACGCCAAGGGCAGACAAATGCAGGGCTCAAGGCAGGGACCCCAGATCATACCCGATCTTCGTCTTTTGCTGGAAAATCGCCTGGCCGTGTGAATGGAAGAGGCACAACTACACCATCATCCTCTGCAAAGAGAATGTCTGTTATGCCAGGGATGCCACTATCAACATCTCATGCCACTGGTCTTGGAGCTAGAACGGTCAGTCCTACGGATGCCAGACGAGCGAAGCGCTTGTCAATTCTTCACAATGCACCTCCCATGCCTAACACACCGCCTACCCCTCAACCAGACGGCAATACCATCAGGACATCTTCGAGGTCTCCATCGATGTTACCAAGAAAAGTTCCAACGCCATCTTCGTCCAGAACTACTCCAGATATCAGTAATCGCAAGTCGTACAGTTCTGGAGTCTCCATTGGATCGACAACGAGCTACAATACTGCCCGAACTTCTACTGGGTCTCTACAACCTCGAGTTCCCCAACCAGCTTCTTCTTCTAGACTTCCCACACCAAAGCCCAGAAGCGTTCACAGCTCAGCAGGGAATAATGAAGAGGAAGAAGTTCCACCAGTACCCGCAATACCCAAAGCCTATGAGTCTCCAAAAGAATCACCTGCAGAGCCTCCATTCTTCAACAAGAGAAAGTCGAGCATGCCGTTCGATGCCAGCAGTATCAATAGTACTTCTACAAATAGCTTATCTGGACCAGGATCAGTGCGGGAAGCCCCGAAGAACGATCGAGACCAGAGAATTCGTAAAGTACCAGCTACAAATTCTGATGTAGATCAGCAAAATCATACCACGCCAGTGAAGAAGAAGAATTTGCAGCCACTACGGCTCCCTCCATTGAATTTGCTTCCTCTCAGCACACCTACAAGTGCCAAAATCGCCGCTTTACAGCCAGATAAAGATCCTAATTTCACTGATGGCCAGGTCACACCCCCTCCAAGGCGTGTAGCAACAAAAACACCAAGCACGCCAATGACTGCATCGAAAGCTTCGTTCTTTTCAAGACGGAAAAATGACTCGAAAGCGGAGAAAGAGCTTGCTCATATGAGGAGCAGCAGCTCAATCCATCTTCTCCGTTCAGAATCTTCCTCTCAAATGGGTGGAAGCAGTTCCGAGTCCACCAAACCGATTGCAATCAATGGGAGAGCCCCCAGACAAACAGTATCTCCATTCATATCCTCCTCCCTCCCGAAAAGTGGTGGAGAACATTCGTTTATGCCTAGATCAAAGACAAGCGGTGATATTGCAGCCACAGATGGTGCCACCGAACCGCCACGTCCAGCTCGACTCACGGGACCTCGTGCTCAAAGATTGGCTTCTGTAGCCAAAACCGAAACTCCAACACAAATTTCGAGTCCAGAAGATCAGCCACCAACTCCCTCGTCAGGCTCATCCTTGAGACGGAAATTGAGTCTGGGTTGGAAGAGAAGTACTTCAAAGAGCAACATTAGCGTCTCACAAGCCGCCATTGAAAGAGATTCAGAGTATCCGCCACAACCTCCAAAGCATGATAACATGCCTCCACCGAGACTCCCTGCCTCAGCGACAACCGGTAATATGGGTATTTATGCTGTTCCAAGTCCAAGTCCATCGAACAAGTCAACCAATTATCTCGATTCCAAGCGAAGGAAGAGCTCCGTGTCAAGCTTAAGCGTATTTGGGAACCATGATAGGACGAGAAGTGATTCTTGGGGAGTGAATGGTAGTCCTAAGAAGGAAGCGGCCGATGTGAAGTCCGAGCGACCAGCCGCTGCCACGCGGACGACCTCAACTGTCGTGCAGAAAATGCTCAACTCGAAAACATCTACAGGCACCATGCGAACTGTCGATCCCTGGACTATGGATCTCGACAAAGACGACATGGTTGCTGAAGAAGAGATGAAAAAGCTCGGTATGAAACGAAAAGAGACCGAGCAAGCTGCGAGACAACTTGATGCTTTGAGGAAGAGGGCGACACCCAAGACGCGCGTATCGTGTGAAGACGCCCTTCGACATGCCACTCTCAACATTTTTGAACGCGGAGAGATTATTGATTTCAAGGATATCTACTTTTGTGGTACATTGGATGCTGCGAAACATGTTGGAGAGCTGAGATCCGATACTGCCAACTTCGGTTATGACGATGAACGCGGAGATTACACTATTGTACAAGGTGATCATCTTTCTTACCGATACGAAATTGTTGATGTCCTTGGGAAAGGAAGTTTTGGTCAGGTCGTCAGGTGTATTGATCACAAGACCGGTGGCTTGGTTGCTGTAAAAATCATTCGCAACAAGAAGAGATTCCATCAGCAAGCTTTGGTAGAAGTCAACATCTTACAAAAGCTGCGCGAATGGGTAAGTTGAGGTATAATGGTCTTTAGAATCCACGCTAATCTGCCACAGGATCCCAAAAACAAGCACAGCATGGTCAACTTCACCCAAAGCTTTTATTTCCGTGGCCATCTCTGTATCTCTACTGAACTGCTGGATATGAATTTGTACGAGTTCATCAAGTCAAACTCATTCCGTGGCTTCTCCCTGAAGATTGTGCGACGATTCACGAAGCAGATGCTCAGCAGTTTGCTCTTGTTAAAACAACACAAGGTCATTCATTGCGATCTCAAACCCGAAAATATCCTCCTAGCTCATCCACTACATTCCGAGATCAAAGTGATCGATTTCGGTTCGAGCTGTTTTGAGAATGAAAAAGTGTATACTTATATCCAGTCACGATTCTATCGATCACCAGAAGTCATCCTTGGTATGACTTATGGCATGCCTATTGATATGTGGAGTGTTGGTTGTATCTTGGCAGAACTCTTCACCGGAGTTCCAATTTTCCCTGGAGAAAATGAGCAGGAACAACTTGCCTGCATCATGGAGGTCTTCGGGCCACCCGAGAAGCATTTAATCGACAAGAGCACTCGTCGGAAACTCTTCTTCGACTCGATGGGTAAGCCTCGCCTTACGGTCTCGTCGAAGGGGAAGAGACGGCGACCATCTTCCAGGACTTTGCAACAAGTCCTCAAATGCGATGACGAACCTTTCCTTGACTTTTTGACTCGCTGTCTGCGCTGGGATCCCGACAGACGCTTGAAACCAGACGAGGCCGCTCGACACGAGTTCATCACTGGGCAAAAGGTCTCGATACCAACTGGCCGCCTGTCGGCCAGAAATGACTCCCCTATCAAGCGAATGAACACAATAGCAACACCAACTACAAGCAGTCGTCCGCTTCCAGAACCGCCTGCAACTAGTTTCAAAAATGGCACTGCCGTGAGGCAACGCGAAGCTTCAGGTACTAGCCCCATTAAGCCTGTTGGAGCAGCTTCAAGGAGACAATCTGCAGTCAATGGTCTGGCTTCCACTGCTGGGATGGCAGGCAACAAACGCACAAGTACTGGGGCTGTTCTTGCTCCAGGCAGTAGCGGTCTTCCACGAGTGACTAGAAGCGTCAGCGCTAAACATCAAGAGATGGCATCGGCTGGTGCTTCCGCAGCAATGAATCGACGTGTATGAGGATTTGGACGATAATGATACGCACTTGGGTACATAACATGGATGAGCATTAGATATCAGGTTCGGCGGTACCGTTCAATTTTCCTTTCGAAACGAGCAAGCGTGCATTGTTGCAAAGCGTCTTCATTTGCTATACTTTCCTTCATACCCCCATTTTCTAATTTTTCGAGAGGAGCAACAAACGTGTGGGCGGCTTGATGATTTGATTGATACTACCGGGCGACTAGGCTTATGCTCGCTGGTAGGGCGTTCTGAGCGTTGTTTCTATAAAGAGAGAGAAGAAAAAAACCGAGAGCAAACAATGCATGAAGAGCTTTTTGTGTGGTTGGGCGAGACGCTTGCTTGATGATGTATATTAATGTCTTTCCCTTGCAAAGAGGATTTTGAATGATAAGGGGGTAGAAAAAGCTTCTCCATGAGGACGAGTAAATTATGTTGGCATGGATTGGGAGGACGAGCGTGGCTGTTGCCATGAGAATAAATTCAGAACACGTTCTTTTGAGCTCAGATCTGTTCATCTTTTGTGACTTGTGATCCTCGATCCTTGATGATCTACCCGGCGATGACGATGTGGCCAAGAAACAATAGACTTGCCTCGATTCATGCAACAAACAACCCAATGAAAAGCCCAACCATCTCCTCCCAAGAACCCCTCCCCGCATAATCCACTCTCAAATTGCTCTTCCAAATCGGGCAAGTATCTCCACACGTGACCAGCCACGATTCCCAAAAGAAACTGCAGCACATCCCTGCAGACCAACTGATTTGTTTACCCAGCAACGACCAATTTCGCGACCAAATTTCATTTTCGTCCCAGCATCACGCTCGACCAGCATAACAAGAACAATACCTACCCCTCCGCGCATGGAATCCAGTCCGAGTCTTCTTTCCTCCAGTATACCACAAATTCCCTTCCAGAAATTAGGAGGAAATGGATCCAGACAACCTCCGCACCGCGTCCCTGTACATCAACAACCAGCTCTTGTCCCGCGGCCTCCTGCGCAATGGGCAGAGTATCGATTTCGCGCGCCCCGACCGAGGCGAGGGTGGGTTGGAGGCTAGTATGGGACGGATTATGAGTGTGGTCAATGATTTGATTTTGAGGAGAGATGTGAGTTTATTTTCCTCCTCCTTTTCCTTTCCAGATATTAACTGATTGCCCAACAGCGCGACGCAACACAGCGCGAAACTTTGACAACGACCTTGAGAACCCTGCGCGCGGATTCGCTGCGCCAGACGACGGATTTGGAGAGGGTGCAGACGAAATATGCAGAGGCGCAAAGAAAGTTGGGCATCCAGGAGGCGGCGGAACGGGGGTTCAAGACGCAGATTAAGAGTGCGGAGAATGCGGTTAAGGTGTTGAGGGAGGAGATGGCGAGGATGAAGACGTTGGTGCAGCAGAGTAGGAATCAGTGTGCGGTGGAGGTGAGGAAGAGGGAGAGGGTTATTGAGGGGTTGAAGAAACATGTTGGGGATGGGCAGAGGGTTAGGGGTGGTGGGAAGGCGGTGGGTGTCAGGGAGATAAGTGTTGTTGGGGGAGTTGGGGAGGGAGAGAAGGGTGGGAGTGCAAGTACGATGGATGAGGGGTATGATTTGAGGAGTGAGACGAATGAGTTCTTGACGGAGTTGGCGAGGGGATTAAGTGAGGAGAACGAGAATCTGGCTGCGTTAGTGAGGAGGACGGTGGAGGATTTGAGGACGCTCAGTGGATGGGAGAAGGAGGGTCGCGATGAGGTGGTGGAGGTTGTGGAGATGGGATATGAGAGTTTGGCTGGGGAGATGGATGCTGTTATTGAGCATGTGAGGACTTTGTTGACGAATCCAAGTTTCGTGCCTCTTGAGGAGGTTGAAGTCAGAGAGGAAGAGATCATACGGTTGAGAGAAGGGTGGGAGAAAATGGAGAGTAGATGGAGAGATGCGGTCCAGATGATGGATGGCTGGAGAAAGAGGATGGCTCGAAGTGGACAGACCGTCAATCTGGAAGAGTTGAAGATGGGTCTCCTGCTTAGTCCGCTCAAGACAAAGGACGAGAACGAACAACATCAACTATCGACTCTTATGGAAGAAGCTGAGGGAGAAGGAGATACCCAAGCCGATATCGATGCTATGGACGAGTCTGAGATGGTTGAGCCCGTCGAGCCCGACTTCGACGAAGATCTTGACGACTCTGATTCTAGTCTGTTCGAAGAAGAGCCAGTTGACGAGATATCCGAGGAAGTATCCGAAGAGGCTTCTGAAGAGCAGATGGAAGAAGAAGAACCGAACTATACCATTCATACGACTTCCTCGACCTCTCCTGGACCTGCACCTCAGCTGTCGCCTCTGAAAGAGACGAGTGGAAACAAAGTAGCTATTCTCAGTCCAAAGCCACGTGAACAAGAAGGTTTCACCACAATCATCGAGGAAAACACCTACGACCTCCTTCAAATCGAATCCTCACCGAAACGTCTGAAATCCGCAAAATCTACACCTCAGACCTCAACCCGCCAACAGAGAGCAACACCATCAACAAAACTCACTCCGCCTGAAGATGAAATTTCCCTACTCAAAGCTACAAATACAGCACTGCCTCCATCACGCCGACGCGAGCGTTCAATCTCTCCAGACAAGTCTTCCCGCGCTACTCCAAGACTGAACCCTAATGCGACACCGAGATTGCAACGAAGCAACGAAAGTCGACTTCCAAGACCAAGAGAACAGCCACCAATGCAAAGCCCACTTACAATGGCTAGCATCGCAGCCAAATTAGCAGCCAGCGAGCGCGAAGCTGATGCTGCGAGAGTGAGAGCTAAGATAAAGGCCGCGAGAGCAAATAGAACGAAAACTTCTGTTGATGACAAGAAGTTAATGCCTCCACCTCCTACTCCGCAACAACAAGCCAGAGAAGAGCCAGCGAGAGATATGGACGTCGATGAATTCGATGTTGGGAAAGCACAAATCACTGATTGTGCAGGAGAGGGTGTGAGCAGGAAGAGGAAAGCTAGAGATGTCGGCAGAAGCCAGAAAGCTAGTAGGAGGAGAAGTACATTGAGTCCTTGGGAACTCGAAAGCTTGATTCTTGGCAATGTTGCGAGTCCTGTCAAGGGCGAGAGCTGAGAAACGGATGAGATTGTGTGATTATGGGATGCTGGCGTTCTTTGCTTGGGAAATGAGATATGAATTCATGTTGTATGTCTTGATTATTGTATAGAATAGCACTAAATCAGAGTCGGGTAATACCAATGATTTTTCACAAAACAAAACATTCTCCTCAAAGTCTACAATCTTCCAACTCTAATCACAATTTCTCCTCCCTCCCCTTCTTATTAACAACAGGTAAAACAGGCACCCTAGGATGATCTCCAGCCAACCGCATACCCGTAACCTCCTCAAGCTCATCAACAGCCTCAAACGCCCGTCCCAACTTCACCTTAATAGTCCTAAATCCCACCATCCGCCCCGTCTTCAAATTCTCCCCAATATCATCTAAAAACACTACATCCCCCGCCTCAATCCCTTTCCCCTCCCCCAATTTTCCTTCTTTCTGAGCATAATCATTAACCATCTCCAACGCCAACTCATAAATCCGCACATCCGGTTTCCGCAGCCCTACATGCGCACTGCTCACAAAAACATCAAACAACCGTCTAACATCCTTCTCCGGCGCCGGATTCGCATACGGATGTTCCTCTGGAAAGATAATCGTGTTGCTCAACGCTGCTAGGATGTATTTCTTGCTTTCTTTTAGCGCGAGTAAGGCGGGGTACATCCACGGGTCTAAAGTCCGGGATTTGTCCATCATTTTCCAGAATAGTTCTTCGCCGTCAACGGAGGGGACGGGCGGGGTGGTGGGCGGTAAGGAAGGGTCGCGGGAGAGGGCGAGAGCGTAGAAGGTGGGCCAGAGCGAGGCGTTGGTTAGGTCGCGGGTGAAGGAGGTGTAGAAGGCGGTGGAGACGGGGATTTCGTTGCGTTCGAGGAGGTGCCAGGTTGAGGGGCGGGTGCGGGAGATTGTGTAGTTTATCCAGCCGGGTGGGATGCCGTGGGATATTTCGTAGTCGAGGATTGCTTGGAAGGGGGAGACGACCTGGGGGGAGGGTGTTAGTGGTGATTGTTTGAAGGGCTGAGAAAGATGTTGGATTGTAATAAGGTTCATGTTGTCGAACTTGAAGTAACTGAGGGAAGGTGCTTGGTTTACAGAACTTGGGAGACGAAAAGACATTGGCTGTAACAATGCTGTCCAGGAAATGTAGCGGAAGAAAAGACACAATGGATGATTTACTGGCGTGATAAAACTGCAGATAGAAAGTGAGAATGTAATTGAAAACTAAACTCAAAACTTCTCTGCTTTTAACTGAGAAGGTCAACCGAGCTTAACAAGTCTTATGTGTCGAATCGAATGTAGGACACAACATTAAGTTCAGAAGTATGAAAGCTTGAACTATCTGTCAACACTAGTTGGACTAGATTTACAAAGCTAAAAGGACAATACGATCAGATCTGGAAAGTCCTCTTACACAAACTCCCCCAATATCAAATAATCTTGGGCAGTATCAGCTATGATCCAAGAATAGCGGGGTAATTCAACCTACAAAACCTTTGGCTGTTTTGAAGTCGGCATTATGGATTCTATACTCTCTAAAACAAAATCGACAGGGAAATCTTCTTGTGACATTGAAAATAAATGAAGAGACAGAATGGAACTGATTACAGAAAGAAGTGAAGATGTAAGCCGAGGTTCGTCGGTCTCAGATTGACCGCCTCCCGATTTGGAAACATCGGTCACGTGCAAGGCATTGAACAAAATGGAAACTGATCTTCTCATGGAGACTGGGTACAAGTTCGATCGTAAACAATTGACTCGTCGTCAAGTTATGCAAGTCTGGCATATATTGACGTTTTGATCGGTTCTTGTTCAAACTCGTCAACGACCCTGCAAAATATTTACAGCCTGAAGCTGGTGGGGCACACAAGCGAGGCCACAAATAATTTTCGCACTTACACGATTTCAAAGTTGCTTCCTCTCCTCTCCCAAACATCGACAACTTCAATCCAGCAATAGTGCGGTAAATCTGTCAAGATGGTAAGTTGATGCAATTACTTCATTGTCTGCGCTGCGCAGACAGTGGACTACACAATCTGGCGATCAAAGTTCCTCGAATGAGCAGAAATGCCAAAGAGAACTTGAGAGTCCCTGCAGAATGTTCGGATCTCAGATCTGAAATGTCAACTGCGGATTCGAGGATATGGGCTAATTCATGATTGCAGCCTTTCACCAAGCTGGTCAAGAACTCGGCGTACTACAGGTAAGAATCTGCGAATCTCTCATCTTCGTGCAATACTGATTGTCAACAGCCGCTACCAAACCAAGTACAAGCGTCGTCGTGTTGGAAAGACCGATTACTATGCCCGCAAGCGCCTCATCACCCAAGCCAAGAACAAGTACAATGCCCCCAAGTACCGTCTCGTCGTCCGATTCACCAACCGCGATATCATCATGCAGATTGTGACCTCTGAGATCACTGGCGACAAGGTCTTCTGCGTTGCCTACTCCCACGAACTCAAAGCCTACGGTATCGAACACGGTCTTACCAACTGGGCTGCCGCATACTGCACTGGTCTCCTGATCGCTCGTCGTGTCTTGAAGAAGCTCGGCATGGATGAGGACTTCCAAGGTGTCGAGGAGGCTGATGGAGAATACAAGCTCACCGAGGTCTCTGAGGCAGAGCGACGACCATTCAAGGCCTTCCTCGATGTTGGTCTTGCCCGTACTTCCACTGGTGCCCGTGTCTTCGGTGCCATGAAGGGTGCTTCCGATGGTGGTATTCTCATTCCCCACTCCGAGAACCGCTTCCCAGGTTACGACATCGAAACCAAGGAGCTCGATGCCGACACCCTTCGCAAGTACATCTACGCTGGCCACGTTGCCGAGTACATGGAGACCCTTGCCGACGACGATGAGGAGCGATACAAGTCCCAATTCCAGGGCTACATCGATGATGAGATTGAGGCTGATGGCTTGGAGGAGTTGTACCAGGAGGCTCACAAGCAAATTCGTGAGGATCCCTTCAAGAAGCCTGAGGATGCCGAGGAGAAGAAGCCCAAGGAGGAGTACAAGAAGGAGTCGCTGAAGTACAAGGGTCGCAAGGCCACCAAGGAGGAGAAGATGGAGAGAGTCAAGGCCAAGATTGCCGAGCTCAAGGAGGACTAAACTTCTGTCTCTATGTTATTTCGCTCTTTCTCGCTTCTGCATCCGTCGAATTGGCTCTGCAATCATGGGATGACCGTCATGAGGAGTTCTGGCAGCAAAAAGACTTGAATGCATTGCAATGAACCTCCAGATATGCTTCCTTCATTGAACTTCGTGACTATGATATCAGGATCCTAATTCAGAATCACTAACCTCTATCCCGTCTGTCCCGTTAAGTCACAGTGATTACTGTGCTATTCTGCACGACATGTGACCTCACTGACAAAACAAGCAACAAGTCCGGGCAACTGCGGTTGTTTCTCGTTGTTTCTCGCAAAGGGGGGAAACTCCACTTCTGATTGATTCAAAACTGCGGCAAATGATTATTAAGCTGTGCAAAGATTATCAAAACACACCATTTTCGGGCGATATTTCTCGATGGGCCCATCCTCTTGGTTTTGCGGAAAGTTCCTGCTATCGACCGGGCGCCGATGCTTCTTGGCGAATTAGATTCGAGCCCACTCCTCAGCAGATCCGCACATGACGGAGACCCTCGCCTTCCCACTTCTACCAGAGCACGAGAATTCACTACTATCGAAGTCTCGTGCGAGGAGAGTCTTTCTCGTACACTGTGATCGGATTACAAACCAGTCTTGCACCAGCGACGACGGCGAGCGCGTTCGCATTCACTTCTTTTTGCGCATCATGGCTCAGCATCTTCAATGTTAATCAGGCTTATCTCAGCTCAGCTTGGAGTGCCGTCTACAATCCCGAAATACTTCCCTCTCTGATATCAACCGCGGCTTTCCCCCTCAACGAAGGAGTCGGCAACAATGGAGAGTGTTCACGGCGTCGATGTGAGTTGGATGAGCAAACATACGAACAGTAACAGTAATGCGAAAGGTACGTATGAGAAGAATTGCCTGAGCCTTGTCTGCAATGTCTGCTGGGCACTGAGCCTTACCCCAGTCCGAAGGAAGAGAAAACATTAACCATGCCTCTTAGTAGATCACAATTCAAGACCACAAGCAACTCGAAGTAGCACAACTCCTCCGTCTGAAAAGAGTCATTCGATAGCACACAATGGCAATAGCCATCCTCCGAACGAGCATGAGCCCACACCTCCGAAAGCGATACCTGCCCGACCCAACTATTCGCGAAGTGCCTCCTCTGAAAAGACAGTCACACTGAATGGGAGTATGCAGAAACCCGGCTCGGTGTCCCCAAATACATCCAGACGGAATTCCTGGTTGTCCAGTATCTCCTCGAAGTTCTCTTCTTCACCAGGAGCACATAATGCACATGTAACACCCAGCAATGCGGTACCATCCACCACACCCTCCACCGATCCGCCAGTACCCATTGGTCCAAGTTCTCCCAAGAACGCAATCCTACCACATGCTGCGAAGGTTACTGGAGATGCACCATATACGCCGGCTCCTCCAAAGTCTACACAACCTAGCTTCTTACAAAGTGCGCTGCGAAGATTATCGAGCTCTGGAGGACAATTGGCCGCCCCAGCCCGAGGTGTGCATCATGGAATATGTGAACGAAAGGTGCTGAATGTGGATCATAATCGGGAACGTTGTCGGATAACCGACCTTGACCAGTCGAAATTAAGAAGGGTGGCATTCTGTGTGGACGTAGAGATAGCAAGTGGTCCACGGTATTACGATGACGATGTCGAGGATGAGAAGCGAAAAGAGAAAAGAGAGAAGAAGAGGATGGAGAAGGGTGAGGGGCTAGCCTTGAAGCAACCTGAGGCCATCAAGGAAGAAAAGGAAACCGATGGTGTTGTTAAAGCCACTGGGGAGAAACTACCGTCACCTGGCAAGGAGGTCATTGAAACAACACAAGAAGTTCCAGACGATCCTCCTGGAGAAAAGGATAATACCAAAAAGAAAGAGAAAAAGAAGCGTAGTGAAGAGGAGAGAAAGGCCAGAAAGGAGAAGAAGAGGAAACTAGCAGAGGCCAACGGCACTCTTCCTGTTGAGCTAGTCAGAAATCCAAGTGACAGCTCCATGAGCAATACACCCACTGGAACGGGGACTCCGAAGACTCAGGCTTCACCTACCACAGATCCCGTTCGAATATATCGTCGATGCTGCCAATTACGGGAAACACCGATCCTGAAGAAAATCACCGAACAGCTGACCGCCTTAGCAACTAGAACATCAACCTCTGGATTGGTATGCAAGTTGGATTTGACTGGGTACTGGCTCCAGCTCCCTGATCTGGTGACCCTTGGGGACTACTTGGCTGTAGTACCGGTAAAGGAACTAGTCATGGAAAACTGTGGTCTTACTGATGAAGGTGTCCGTGTCATCCTGGCAGGATTATTGGCTGCAAAGTGTTCTGACTGGGAGAGACGGAAAGGCCACAAAGGAAAATGGGGAGAAGTACCTCAAGGAGGTGTTGTGGAACGTGTAGTTTTCAAGAACAACACTAAGATTGGTCGAGATGGCTGGCGGTACATATCGACATTTCTCACTATGTGCCGGTCTCTCAAATCGATTGACCTATCCAAAGTCCCATTTCCTCAGCCCATAGCTCCTCCACCGTCTCCACCTTCTCATGGACCTGGTCATCTCACCCTCACCCGGACAAGTACGACGAATTCCACTGCAGATACGGCCTGCGTCCTCGGAAGGGCCATTGGTGAGCGATTGGGTGGGAGAGAATTTGAGTTGCTGAACATGGCGGAATGTAGTTTAACAACTGAACAATTGGGCAATCTGATCGATGGAGTAATCAAATCCGGTCTACGACGTCTCGGTATCGCCGGTAACGACATCACTCCTGAAGGAATGCAGCACGTCTCTCGCTTCGTCCGCGATGGAAAGTGCGAAGGTTTGGATCTGGGCGGAAATGATCTCAAGGATCAGCTTGGGGTAATAGCCGATGCGTTGGACGGGGATAACCAACTCTACGCATTGAGTCTAGCAAACTGCAACCTTACCCCAGACTCTCTGTGGACCCTTTTCCCGGCATTGGCGAAGCTGAAGAATTTCCGATTCATTGATCTCTCTCAGAACCATGGCTTGTTCGATTCGGAGCCTAGTGCCCTCTCCTTACTCAGAAGGTATGTAAGAATTTCTTTTCTGCAGTCATCAAATGAGAGATTTGGAATGCGAAAGAGGTTGCCTACCCAGATCAGTGTTGCGGTGCGGCTGACGATGCGGCTCAAAACCGCCTCGGCTGACTTCTCCCGTCTTCTAACTTCAGCCCTACGTCTTCAGCCCTCTGGTCGCATCAAGGCCACTGCTACTGTATCTATTGGACATACTCACACCCGAATGGCGTGCTTCATGTCGTCTATGTAATCTTTGGTCGGCTTCGAATGATTCGCTGACGTTGTCTCAGATATCTACCCAAAATGCCAACACTGAAGCGAATACATCTGACAGATGTCTCAATGACTTCCGAACAGGCTATTGCTCTCGCAGAGATCCTTCCGGAATCCCCGAATCTCGCTCATGTGAACATTATGGAAAATCCTGGTCTGGCAGCCCTTGCAGATGCGAAGGACGAAGCCAACCAAGAAGAAGCTTGCGCATTATACGCATCCCTCATGGCGGCCGTCCGTGTTTCCAAAACCATCATCTGCATAGACATTGAAGTGCCGTCACCAGAGTCGAGTGAGATTGTGAAAGCCCTTGCTAAGCAAGTCGTTGCTTACTGCTTATGGAATATGGAGCGCGGCCCGGTAGCTGAGATCAGCGAAGCCGCAGCAGCCATCTCAGATCCTCACGGAGGTGAGAAAGAAGTCGCTGTTCCTGACGTGCTATTGCATCTTGTTGGTCATGTTGAGGGTTTCCACGAGAATCACGATGATGACGAGCCAGCACCTGACGATGACTACGTAATTGGTGGAACGGGAGTTGTCAAGGCATTGGGCATATGCTTAAGAAATAGAGGCAATGATTCCAGGAGACCGTCTGCAGATCGGACATTCTCTGGTATGTCTCAAGGAGGTAGTGGTTCGGCGACACCGAGTACCCCTGTCAGTGGTGGCAAGGCCAAGGACATGTCAAAGAATCTTCTCGGAAGTGCTCGCAAGATACGAGCGCGATTACAACCTGCCTTGGTGAAGGAAGCGCGGGCTGCAGATCGAAACAATTATCGTGAGTACTTAGCCGAAGCAGCTTGGACCAGTAACGCTAACCACCTCTCAGTCCGACTACTGTTCCTTGACCAGACACTTGAGGGCATGATCAAACGATTCGAGGATGAATATCCAGAGACCCGTCTACCCACGGCTGTTACCTCACCGCCTTTGCCTGACATGAGTCTAGCCAGCCCATCAGACAGCATCGACTTGAGCATGGGAGCAGACGGACAAGGATCTATATCCGATACCGAGCCTGCTCTTGTTGAGGCACCACTCTCTGATGACGAAGATCATATTCGTCCCATGCTCTCGAGACACAATTCGGACGTCTCACTTGCCTCACGCGCGCTTTCTCAGGAGGAGGGCCGCATGCATCGATTCGGACAACAGTTCCGTAGGGATATCCTGAAGCCTGAACAAGAAGATCATGAGCATGGCACGACTGGACGAGAAGAAACGCCCCGCCATCTCCAACTATTGAGAGCCATGGTAGAAGGTCTAGGCGGTGAAGAAATCAAGGATAGAGTCAATAGTGGTGGGTCAGATGCTGTTCTCGAGGAGCTGAATAATGAGGCAAGCTTGTTAAGGAGGCAATTGATGGAACAAGATCCCGAAGGGTGGGAGAAGTTTCGGGAGAGTCAGGAAGCGGCGCAAAGGAATATGAGGTTAGCGGGGATGGAGCGAAATGTCAGTGCTATCGAGTGAGAAGTGGGCAGGCCCGATTGTTTCAAATTTCGGGCATGGGTTTTTTCTTCTTTTTCTCTGAGCGTTTATTACTCTGATGGCCTTGCTACACGTGCAGGCCTCTCGTGGATGGATGGATTGATCTGGGTGTAAATTATTATGACCGATGTACGAGAGCGGGACGGAGTGGAGTGGAGCATCATTCAACTAGCTACGACTCTAGCTTATTTGCGAAACCAAAATACCAGTCCTTTCGATGGATGATTGATTCTTGATTACTTCACTCCTTAGCAGGCGAAGTGAGGTGAGGTGAGGTCCGAGATCCGCACGCACCGTACCGCACACGGGCCAATATGCATATGGAAATGGAAATGGAAATTTTATACGACATGCTTACATACATAAGGTACGAGTTGGGCAGCAAGCAAGCAAGCAAGAATATTGGGAGGGAAAGCGAGAATGCGATGCGGATCGGATCAGATCAGCGATCAATATCAGCCCTAATAGTGGATCGTCCAAAAAGGAACGGGTTGTGAATGATGGCTAGCTAGCTACCTAAGTTTATTAGTTAGAGTTTAGACTATCACGTTAATGCAGATAGATATTCCGATATTCGGGACGGTGTCCAATGAGCGAGGGTTGGCTTTGATTATGTAGTGAGAATGATCTGCTTAGAAGGGAAGGGAAGATGGGAGCTCAAGACTTGCTGGAAGGGGTGAGTGACGATATACTTACTGATTTGGAAAATGCACGGCTTGGAGACACGTGCTGCCTGTTTATTTATTTATGGGTTGGGGGCGAAAAGACCTCGGGGAGGGAAGGGAATTGATTCCAGATGTTTTGTTTGCCACTTTTCATCGTCATCATCAGCCACATGAGTAATGATCTGGATGAGTAAGGTTCTGGTCATATCGAGTACCGGTGTGGAGAAGAGAGATGGGGAGAAAGAAAACAGCGGTGTCGGTGTCGTGAAAGTGGATTAATGCAATCGATAATAGAGTTCTTCTCGAAGCATGGCTTTCAGCTAGGTCAGGATCGGGGATTTTATTTGTGCAATATCAACCTTGGTATACAGTGGACGGATGACATTATGCCCATCACTTGTCTGTCCGTCAGTCGCAGAATTCCTCAACAAGGAAAGAAACCAGTACATCAATACAGAAAATGCCAAGGCAAGATTCCCGAGATCTTGGTTTTGCTTTGCAGCATTAATACGAATGAAATATGCTGGCTGGTCGGGGGTGAGTACAAATGATATCACACCCCCTCGCTCCAATATATCCCATCCCCATCCACTACCCAAAAAGCATACGCCGCGCACGTACCAACCGCAGCTGAAAACCCCGGTATAGCGCGCAAGCGAAGCGCGCTAGGATGATGATGTGAGCTGAAAAATCCACACCAACACAATACATGGAGTCGAGAAATCATGAGCAGGAAAGTAAAACAGTAACACACTCCCTCACTCACTCCGTTTACGAGGAAGGGACGGGGCCGATATTCCGAGTATGGGTGGTATGGGTGTATGGGGTGCAGCTTACCTCCCGTACTTATTTGCGATCTGATCTCTCGAGCAGCGGCGGCGATTATTCTGTCTGTATGGTATGTACGTACAACTGGAGAGGGGAGAGCGATTGGTGCTTTTACGGCGCGGCGCAATCGATCACCTTGTTTGGCCATCGTTCTTTTTCTTCATGATTGTTGGATGACAGACATGACAGACTCGCCTCCAAGAAGCGCTCGCTCGCTCGCTCCATTCATTCATTCATTGTTGTAGTAACTAATATTGTTGGTCGGTTTTGAATAGCGGCGAGCTGGAAAGTTACTCGTTATAGCATAGGCGCGGGAGATCGACGGGAGCAGGCAAAGCAAAGCAGAGCCAGCTGATGAAAAACAGCCTTATGGCCAAAGACCGAGGAGTGAGGAGGGGAGGAGTGAGTGAGTGACCTTTTTGCGGGCGGGTGATTGGAGGGGCAGGGGGCGTTTCTTGGTGAGGTGGGGTTGGCGTGATCCATACAGGGCTGAAAAGAAAACGAGACGAGTGAGTTTAAGTTGGAGCTACACTAGCTAGCTATGTAAAGGCCGATGAATGATGGACTTTTGAGCAGGACAGGGATGTAGAAGGGAGGAAGGGAGGGGAAATGCAATGTAATGCACGATGCAAGTAGGCCCTGACATGAAGAAATGAAAGGGAAACGGGTTGGGTTTTCGTTCTATTCATTTTGTCGTTGTCGCATGCGCGTCAGATCACGGCTTACGTTTCTTGGTTCCATTTCCCTTTTGGATGGATTCCCAGAGCACGAACCACCACCACCACCGCAATCGTTGCCAGCTAGAGTTACATTACATTACTTCGTACATTACATCTGCATTGCAGAGCAGGGGTCCGCATCCGGATCCACTTCTGCCCTACCTTGCCGCCATCCCTTGTTTGGGTTGTTCCGTTTCTTTTCCTGCTGTTCCCTGTTCGCCGCGGTAGACGAGGAAGAGAGAGAGATGAGGTGTGCGGCAATAATGAGGAGGGATGGAGATGCTAGCTCGTTTCTTGCCAGCCAACATTACCTACTTGCGGTGTATGGTATGCTTGGTGGAGGGACTGGACTAGCGACTAGGTTCAATGAAGGAGGGAAGGGTACGATGGCGGATGGCGTTTACGCCCACCTCACCTCATTGTCTCATCTTGAGCTCCTACCATCATCAGCGAGCAGCCAGCGACTTGCCGCCGCTAATTTAAACTGCACGGAAAGATGCTGTACATACATACATAAATAAGGGTGGTCCCCTCTCCTTTCCCCTCCCCTCCGATGATGATCGATGACCGATGAATGAGAGGAAGAAGGGAATATTAGGTTCTGAGTGAGAGTGCATCACATTTGTCCTCGTGCCCCTCCTCTTCTCTTCTCTCGCCGTCGTCTATATACCAACCGCCACCACCATGCCTGTCCTTTCCGAATCAACTGCTTCGAATCATGGAGACGCACCTTGCTCCTCCTCCTCCTCCATCTTCTCCAGTCCAGCCATGCCCCATGTCCTCGCGGCCTTCGTCCTAATATCCTGCGTCGTAATCCTGATTCGTCGCCGAACCTCTTCCAACAAACTCCCACCAGCGCAAATAGAACATTTCAACGACGAGAAGAAATACGAGTACCAAGAACCACTGCTCAGGATGCCAAGACCCGCCTCCCCAACCCTAGCAGAAACAAACCTGACCAACGTCCGGAACCTGGAATCCGTGCCCTCGGTGTCTCCCTCTACGTCGATAGTAGAATCATTCGAGCCGCAGCAGCAGCAGTTGCAAATCGACATCCCGAGACGGAGGAGCTATACGAAGACCATCGGGGTGGAAAAGGAGATCGAGGTCACGGGCGAGATTGTGGTTAGTCCCGAGGGGTGGAGACGCCATACGAGGGTCTTTGGGGGTGGGGTTTGTAAGGCGTGTGAGGAGAGTGAGAGGAGGATGAGTGCGTGACTCAAGGAACGGGAATTGAAGCCTGGGGAGGTGGAGGTTAGGCTTGTCAGGGAAAAGAAGAATGAGGGTGTCACGTGAGTGAAGGATTCAAGGGAGAGTGTGAGATTTTGGAAGCTTCAGGGGACGTCGTTCGATGTCTTGCTGAGCCTTGGAGCTGTGAGCATCGAGGACGAGTTCCTGGAGATCTGTTGGATGCGGAGCAGTCAAGGTCGCGTCATGGAGGCGTTTGTGCTGTTTGCTGTTTGTTCTAGGCGTGTCTGGAATCTGGGCTCGATCTAGGCGCCGGGTGTTGTTCGATACTTCATGTTCATATTCGGTGTAGGATCGTATGTTTTCTCTGAGAGATGTCGGGCATTGGTATTTGGGTAGGCGCTGGTGTTAATAGCATGCATAGGTATAATACGCAGTACGAGAAATGAAAGTCTAGATCAAAATTATTGAGCTGTCGAGCTGTGATAGGTCTTGGAATTCATGTGCTGTGTATAGTCTGGAGCCGAATTCGACCTACACGGTCAGGCTTGAGGAGAGACAACAGCTGGACGATGTTTCCTTTCGGGCCGTGAGGCAGATTCGTGGGTATTCGATAGTCGGCATACTACCGAGTACTACCATCGAGGCGTGATGGTGGAAAAGATTGGCTGGCTGGGCAGGAGACACAAAAAAGCTTAATCGAATCTTGGCGTTGCTTAATCAGAGATTCGCGTTCGTGTTTGTTTGCCAAGGTCCGATCAAACGCACAAGACGATGACGGTCAGCAACAATAATCGCCATCAGTACGAATCCTCGCGGCCGAAACCCAACAATAGCTAACACAAGAGAAATGAAGCTAACAGTGATGAACGAGGTATTCCAAAGCCATATTGCAAGGGGAGGTAAGATATCACCCGAGTAGGATCTAGGCCCCAAACTGGTGGCGGGTCTAGATCGAGGGACGAGCGCGAAATAGCTTATCTACTGTCGGACGGCGGTTTGGAGCTTCTGGATGTCTGCAACAGCAGAGCATTTTCCGCATGTCTGATCTTCGAGGACTTGACAAGGTACTTGAGAAGAGGCGTGCGGATGTGCTTCATCTGAGGGTACGGTTAAGCTGAAATATCCGTGAAAAGAAAAGAAAGCGCATGCAGCAAAAAGATAGATTAAATTCGGAAGAGAAAGTCCGCTACCAGGGCTCAAAGTTGGAAATTCCTTTGAAAAGTAATGAATGTTTGGTAGAGAATCTGACAAATTAGTCTGTGGGATATGTTATACGTTTCGTTTCATTGATAACAAGAAAAGGTTGGCAAAGAAGGTTCCAGGTTGCCGTCGAAGATGCAGGTGTCCTCCCTCGTGACCTTCGATCACGTGTCAAGGTCCGTGCCCGGATCTGCAGGCGGTGAAACATCGAAGAATCGAAACTTCGATTTCTCCAAACAAATTCCCGTCGTGCAATCAACGCAAATGAATGCAGCTGGAGTCAAAGATTCGTCTTCTCTGTAATGCTACTGTGAAGCATAACCGGAATTGCTCTCTGCCGTCAACGTTCAGCGCTAAAGCGTCATTGTTTTTGAGATGGAAGATTCTCGGCCACTCAGTCTAATTCGTTCAAGCTTAAGCGGTGAAGTTCACCTCAACATCTTCAAGTCTACTTTCAAACAGCTGAACCGGTTGTTTGTGGCGGTGTTGGGGATAGTGCTACAATTCATTGCTGCCAAGATTGCCAAGCTGTTCCGAATTCGATGCGAGAGGTCTAAGTACCCTGTTCTGGAACACCCTTGCGAGCTCGAGCGAGCCCCATGAAGTTTCTCTCCAGGCACGAACCGAGCATCCATTCGCCGGATGTCCTACGGAGGTTTCTTCATCTAACCTCTTTCTGACGGAGATGGTCGAGTGTTTGGGTCTCCAGGGCTGGGAAAACATGGCCCAAGCTTCCCATGCATGAAGGATAAGGTGTTTGAGGATCTACGCCATCCTTGAACTACCGGTTGTGCTCCAGCAGAAAGTATGGAGGCAACTGGCACAACCTTACCTTTGTTCCAGTACGCTCCCCACCAGAAACCTGACTCACCCAATCGAATCTTTTCTAGATACTATCCCCAGTCGTGATTCGATCAAGATCCAAACACGCAGAGCCTCAGCCGCCGGGACTACTGGAGAGTCCAGCCACGGTGGATACCTTTATTCAAGGATAAATAATTACACCCTTGAGGGTTTATACTTCTAGCACTTTCCACATACAAATTGAGTGATAGCAACTCACTCATTGGTCCAAGACCTTGATTTGTTTGTGCTCTAAAACCCTCAAGGGTGTAATTATTTATCCTTGAATAAAGGTATCTCTATGATCCTCAATGATTCTCTTCTAGTGGCTCATCACAGACACTGCATTACCTCGCCAAACGAGCTGAGTCTCTCATTGGGCATCACCTTGGTAATCAGATCCTCCATCGCATCTGCAAAATAACCTTGCATCGATCCCGTCGGTTACCCAACCTTTCTCTCAGCATCCAATCGCAGACCTTGTTACAGTTCTCCTGATCTCGAAGCTACACAGCCTCTCTGTCTGTGATGGCGATCCGTCCTCGGATCTTCTCACGTCTCGGACAACTATCGCCGGATTTGTGGTTAGATGCGACTCTTCAAACAAGCAGAAAACTTTTCTCCATGTCAGAAAGCTGGTCTAGCTGTCTAGCTGTACCAAGCCGCGGCATCCGGTCTTTTAGCTACCAAGCTTTCTGGCGAATCTGCTTGTTGTTGATTTAGTATAAGAGTATCTTGGTATCCCTCTCAAAGTCTCTCTTTCCTCATCATCAGCATCTTCAGCATCTTCTTCTTTCATCTCTTCTATCTTTGAATCCAGCCCGGCGCCGGTCGCATTCAGTTTTTCCAACTTTATAACTATCTTTTAATAATCTTTACCTTTCGATCTTCCAATCCACCACACAACCTTCAAGATGCAATACTCATCAGCAATCCTCCTCACGGCCTTCGCTGCCACCAATGTCTTCGCCCACGGTGTCATTGACTCCGTTCAAGGTGCCAACGGTGTGACCATGCCAGGTCTCTCAGGTACGTATTGATCTCTTGAGGAGCTTCAATCAGTTTTCTAACTTTCATCCAGTTGCCGACGGAACTCCTCGTGATTGCGCTACCCCAGCCTGCGGTGCTGAGGCCGACACCTCCATCATCCGCCAGAACGAGATCGGCACCAGCAAGGCCACCGCTCTTGGCCGAACCAACGGTGGCGGACCAGTCGACGCTGCCAAGATGGTCTCTCTCTTCATGGGAGGAAACGGAAACACCACTGAGGCCGTTGCTGCCCGTGAGATCCACGCTGCCAACGTCCTCCGCCGATCTCTCGGTGAGCGTGCCGCCAGCGGTGGAACCAAGACCCCCAAGGGTACCTCTGAGACTGGTGTCAAGGCCGCAGCTGGTGCTGGTGCCGCCTCTGGCATGCCCACCACCGCTGATGACGGAACTGTCAACATGAACTTCCACCAAGTCAACCAGGACGGTGCCGGCCCATTGACCGCAATGGTTGATGCCACCTCCGGTGGAACCGACCCAACTGCCTTCAAGACCGCCACCGTCACCCAGAACGTCCCAGGTATCGGCATTGGCGGTCTCTCCGCTGCCTCCACCATGGACTTCCCCGTCGCCATCCAAATGCCCGCTGGCATGACCTGCTCCGGCTCAGTCGGTGGCGCCAGCAACGTCTGCGTTGCCAAGCTCCAGAACGCTGCTCTCGCCGGTCCCTTCGGTGGATCCGTCGCATTCACACAATCCACTGCTGCCAAGAAGCGCGCCATCGAGTACAACCTCAGCAAGCGCCGCTTCGCTCGCGCTCTCGCCCAGGAGGAATAGATTATTATTCCTTTCTAATATGAGACTGGTACGGGGTGTTTGATACGATGGACATGTAAATAATCTTGAGCGTTGTAGATTGGGTTTTCTTACTTCACATTCTTGGTGGTGGAGAGGAGCTTGGGGAGTGATGGTGGAATCTGGGATTCTGTCATTCCTTGGGTGGAAGGGGGGTTAGAGCTTAGTAGAATTGACTTTATACATTCCTTAAAATATATTCTGATGCTGATGACCATACTGGTGAGTCTTCCTTCTGGCATTTCGACTTGCCTACCTCCTCTCTTTCTCCCCTTCATCATCACATGCACCCAATATTTCATTCCGGGGAAGTCTCCCTTCCTACCCCGTTTCCTCGCTTCGAATCCCTCCGTTGATCATAACGCATTACTCGCATCCGTTTGAACAGCCATGTTCGCACGTCGTTGATTTTGAGTCTTGGCAGTGGGTCTCCCGAGACAAGCGATGCTCCAGATCTTCCTGCCAAGAGATTTCTAGGTTTCGTTTCAAAGTTGTTTGCTGCACGAGCATGTTCTCGCTCGAGCCTCTTATATTCATGACGAACTTTTGGGTTTGCGGGAAGGTGGAGATCCGGGTCTCATGCCCGACTTTCACTCGAAGGTACTATCCCCCCCCCCCCCCCCCCATGAATAAAGGGCCGGTGGAGACATTTTGAGGCTGTGTAGTGACAGGGGGGTGTGCCAGTAGGAATCTAGAAATTTCTAAGGTGGAGATCACACTTTTAATTTTATTGGCAGACACCCCCTTGTTGCTAATCAGCCTCCACCGGCCCTTTATTCATGGGGGGGGATAGTAATGTCGGACAGGGGACCTTCTACATAGGTAGTCAATGTTGCGCGGCATCGTGTCAGACAATTGCAAAGACGTTTAATCGGATCAAGTATACCGACTTTTTTCCGGCTTTATTTCTCTTGGCCAATTCACTGATTATATTCCCGTATCAATATTCTTGACAGCAACAGCGTTGTTGATAATGCACCCGAGGGTCAATATCAATAACACACTTCACAACACTCGGACGAGAATCCAATATCTCATACTTTCCGAACGCTTGAACCAATTTCTGTACCTTGGGTGTCTTCTCCCAGTCCCAGTCCCATGCGCCTTGCCGAGTAGTTTAGGTGCCGACGTCGTTTTGTCTAGAAGAGGGAAAGCGTTCTTTTATACCCAAGCACCACTCGTCCGTTACTCATCGGCAATCCGACATCTATAATACCAGTCGGGTGAATGAGAAAGAAAATCCAACAAAGTGAGAAGCAAGTGCCACTCGTCCGTTACTCATCAGCAATCCGACATCCAAGACATAGAGGTGAATGAGAAAACTCCAAACAGAGCAAGAAGCAAGAACCCCTTTGACTGCGGATTCACAATCTAAAAGGGTGGAAAAGAAATGAGAGACTTCAAACAGTGAAAGGTCGTCAGTATAGCACGTTCCATCAAGATCTTTCCCAAGTATAAATAGCTCCACACACCCCAGGTGTCAAACGACAACATTGACACCTGAAGATGCTGCTGACGACAAAGCCGGTGCAACACAGGCTTTGTTAACCATGTAATAGTGAAAGGGAGGCGAACGATGCATACACCTGGAGCTTACTATTCCTTTGAATATTCTTTCAACCCTGGAAAGTAGATTCTTTTCCTTTGAATCTCGAATACATTTTGCTGCCACTCGCAATTTTGTTGTCAAGTTGCATAGCATATGAGGCAACAGTTCTTTCATCAAAACTCTAGCTTCGAACATCTTAACTTTCTCCAACACGATTGTAGATTATCAGGCCCGGATCCAGGATATCTACACTGCATACCTCTTTGACAGCTTACTCCCGACCACGTCTAGATTTGGTTTCGTTTCTCTTCAATTGGAAAGTCTAAAGTCTTTGGTGATAAGTTGATGTATTTATAGACTTTGCGAGCGGGTTCGAACAGAAAAGTTGAATCGGTCCTCAACTCGTGACTAAACTTCACTAGTTTTCTCTTTTTCGAATTTTTCGACTGTTAGCAGTGAATTGATGCTTTTCACAGTAGGCTCCTTAGGACTGCCAAGACGAGGCTGTGGAAAAGGTATATAATGAGCCCCTCTGCCTGGACTCGGAAATTACCAGTCAATCAATTAATGTTGGAGGTACTCGAATTAGTCCCCGGTACTTCATATATAGGACAAGGAGCGGGCAGGGCAGGTTAAATGATGATCTCTGCTAGAACTATGCCTCTTTCGATCACTTCTGATCTTGTTCATAGATGGTACTAGGGAGTGGGAATATCATATTTTTTTGTTCGAGTGGGGATTTGCTGTCGTCAAACGAAAGCTTGTTATCAACAACTCATATGCGCTTCATTGAATGAAATGAGTCCAAATCACGGAGTGTCAAGGTGAGATTCTCTTTTGAGTTTGTTAAGCTAAAGGAAGCTTCAGACAGGGCCGGGGCTACGGATCCTCAGTTCCTTATTTCCACCAGATTGTTACGTCTCTGCCCTCACCCTGTGTGAGGTCACGTGGGTTGGTATGGTGAATGAAGTGAGATAAGGCAATTGTATTCGAAGTCAAGAATATTAACAAAGTTGAGCACGAAGCTCCTAACTAAAGGGTGTAACAGGCCGTTATATAGAATACTCCCATCGTGGAGTCTAAAGGGCGACTGGATCCCTGGAGTCCCTAGGAGTCCGTCAGACTCCCTGGACTCCACCACGTGACCTAGGGCCCACTAATCCCGTGATTCGTGACACAAATGTAAGTAGAGCATCCGCGGGTGTCAGTTTGTGGAAGTTCTTGACGGTTCGAAGGTCGCAGGTATATTTATACTTTTTCGTATCTGTGAGGAGAGCAAATTAATGAGGCTGCTCCGAGTGCTGTTGGTGAATGATTGACTATACAATAATTCTGCTCTCGTTTTCGTGTTTCGTAAATTCACTCGACATGTTCGATACAGCCTGCTCGCAAATTGCATTCACCATCACCAATCGAAGCATACATATACACACGCTACATCTCCTTCTTCTCTTCTTCTCATTAGTTTCTAAAAGTCGAAGGACCACGACCCCAGCAAAGTACTGTGTGGAAAGTGACGTCATTAGCACAAGACTTGAATTCCGCATGCGTCTTGGATGACTTATTTCCGGATCTGTCTCATGTTCACGATTATAGAAACCAAAGGGGAGTTGTGATATCATTTGCAATAATTATCTAGTTGGCAGCAATACTGCACTTGACAACAACTATCTAAAACATCCAAAAATCTTGCCGGGCATGCTTACTCTTAAGATCGGTTCACTGAAGATTGAACTTAGAAACAAGGTTCCTGGACGAATGCGCCTGGTACGACACACTATAATGTGCAGATCTGATTGTTATGTCAAGAGGTGTTTTAGGACGGGAGGTTTACTTTTATAGATCTTTAAAACCTGGCCCTTTCGTTGACTCCTTCTGAAAACAGGAAAACGGAAGCTGGGACGAGGTTTCACTCGCAAATTGATCAAATTTTCTTTAACAATATATTCACAATGAACGAAACGGTCATAAAGACGAACTTTCATCAACCCTTAGGCAACTATGGCTCATAGTCATGTCATGGATCAACCAGGTGTCAGCTATAAATACCCATGATATTTCTCCTCACCGCCTTTGAGAATTTGAGAACAATCAAGGACGAGATGGACACTTACTATTTGTGCTGGAACTGGAACTAGCACTGGCACGCTTGCTTTCATTTTGATATCGATAACGCTTTTGCAAGACATATTAAATAGCAGTTCGACATGTGAGAAGATACCCAAGCTTTGTTATAGTAAAGATGACAATGGCATAAGATTTGACAGCGAGAGGCAGAGTTCATGATGAAACAGTGGTGGATTATAAAAAATCAACTTTTGAAAGAAAATAAATCATTGTCGGATAAACTTAAAGCTGTTTGCTTTATTAAAAGTGCTGACAATTGATTGGACACTAAATGGAAAATAAACTCTTTTAAATTTGATAGAGATTGTAAGAAGAAGAATGTCCGAAACATAAAATCGGCTTTTGAGACTTAAAAGTCCGATAAA